TTAACTTCTATAGAATCCTAAGAACAGGATTATAGGAAAGATATTAGTTATATATAAGAGGCTAGAAATTCTTAAAATAAAATAGAGAAAGCTTAAGAATTTATAGTATTATATATAAAATAACCGAGAAACCTATTATAATAAGTACTTATTAGCTAAATACTATTCTAAAAGAATCTAAATAATATTATTAATAAGAAATATTAAACTTAAAATAGGAAAGCTTAAACCAAAATTTATAGATCTATTTAGGATCCTTAAATATATTAGTAATTCGGTATATAAATTAGAATTATTAAGTATATATAATTATTTATATCTAACTTTCTATATTTCTTTCTTTAAAAAATATATAGTAAAAAAGAATTAGAAGCTATATTTATATTTCTTCGGAAAACTTCCGGAATTAGTAGATAATAATAAAGAATAAGAATAGGAAATAGAAGCTATTATTAATTACTAATAAGATAGTAGAAATAAGAAATAATAGTATTTAATTAAATAGAAAGCCTGGCCTAAAGATTATAATATCTAGTTACTTATTTTTCCTAATCTTGAAAATTTTAAAGAACTTCTGAAATTATATAACTAAAATTATAGCTTAAAATCCGAAATTATTTTTTAATAATTTTTTAAGATTAAAAAGAATTCTAGATTACTAAGAAAAAAGCTATTTAAAAAAAAGAGAGGACTTAAATAGTTAAGAAAAGGCCCGGAATAGTAATAGAAATACTTTTTTCCTGAATTTTTTATTTATAAAGGTTTTTTAGGGTTTTATTAAGGCTTATAAGAATTATATTTAAATTATTAGAAAAAGGTTTAGGATTAAGAAAGGTTTATTATAGATAGACTAGCTATAGGTATCTTAAATAAATAATTTCTAATTTCTAAAATAAGAATACTAAATACTGGCCCTATTTAGGACTTAATAAAGAATTAGCTAATACTTTCCGGAATCTGCTTATCTTTTAATAGGATATAGTTATATTATAATAATATTAGTATTAAGGATATTAAAAGAAGTAAATAAGGAACTTATAATAGCTATATATATTTTATAAAAGGCCCGAACTTTTAAAGTCAGATTCTAAATAGCTATAAGTATTATATTATTAGTATTTGAAATACTAGTAGTAAACTATTTAGTAATCTTAATAGTAAGTTTAGTAATAAGGTTAATACCTTAAAGATAGATATTATAGTATTTCTTTAAGGAATTAGTAAATATCTAAATATATTAGAAAAAACTTATTTTTGGAATACTAATCCAAATAGTATTATTATTTGCCTTATTAAGATAAGAAGAAGAATTCTAAAACTTATTAATATTTTTCTAGTTTTCAAAAACCTAATTAATAGTATTATTCTTATTAGTATAATATTATTTAGGATATATTTTAAGAAATTTCTTAAAGGCTATAATAGTATCTTTTTAGGACTAGTAAGCCTCTAATAAGTAATAAGGAATCTGAAATCGTATTAGCTTTAATAGATATTAAAGCTAAAGAACTTACTAATATATAAGATTCAGAACCCTTATTATAATAGTTATAATTCTTCTTACTAGGTACTATAATATATAAGGTAAAGGAATTAATAAGCAAATACTTGAAATATTTTAAGTATCTATTAGTAATAGGAAAGGAGACTATAAGGTTATCTTTATACTTATTATTATATAGGCAAATAATAAAGCTAGAAGAAGATATTATAGAATTAATTAAAAATAATTAAAGAAGGCTTGGAAAAGAATAGAAGAAGAGGCTAAAAGGTAATAATAGAAAAAGTTATTATATATATAGTTATTAGAAAGAAAGAAAGTATATAGTAATATAAAGAGGTTTTTTTATAGAAATAGAAAACTACCTGGATTAACTACTAGTTTTCGTACTAGTCCTAATTAGAAACTAGTATAACTAATTAATATATGTTTCCAGGAGCCTATAAATAATTTCTAGGATCTTAGAAATATTTATATAGGTTTCTTATATAAATATTTATTAAATTCTTTCTATATAGCTATTTAGATTATTCTAATACGAGATCTAATAGGTAGTATTAATTTTATAGGATAGTACTTTAGTATTTTGGATTAAGCTAATTAGAATACTCAGATCCTAAACGAAATTGCGATTACTAGTTAGCTTCTATATTTGGGATATAATTACTCTTCTTTCTCGCTTATTTAGCTCTAATCTAATTAGATAATTTTTATATCTATTATCTAGATTATATTAGTAAAACTACTTCCTAAGATACTAGAAGTTTACTTTAATTAAATAATTAATTAATTAAATATTTACCAGGATAGATTAATAGATCTTGGAAATAAGATTCTAGAAGGGGGATATAATTATAATATATATAGGGTTATATATAACTTAAGGGCATATAATGAACCTCGGATATTACGGGTATTAATTAGGGAAATCGGAGGCCTTTTGATTTTATAACTAACTACTATTTATATTATAAGTATTAGGCTTATAAATTACTAATTATATATATATTATTAGGGCCTCCTATTTAGAGAGGGCTTCCCTGGACCTTATAGGAGGGATAGAGATTAGTTTTATACTAAATTTAATACTATAGTTTTATAACTTACTAATTTATTCTATTATCTTATTACCTACTAATAAATACCTTATATCTAGACTCCTTTATCTAAAGTTACTAATATTAATATAACTAATTAAGCTTAATAATTTATTAGGGATATTAATTTTAAAGATATACTTCTTAAATAATAATATACTCTTTTCTATAATATCTTTACTTAGTTTTATTATATTAGTATATAAGTAATATATACTAGTTACTTTATTAATTATATTACTTAGATATATCCTAGTACTTTATATATTATAAGCTTAAACTTACTAATTATGACTTAGAACTATTTTGTAATTAGATGCTTTCTTATTAATAGTTTTCTCAAATATATTAAGCCTCACTTTATACTTATAGTTTTTATTTCTAGTATTGTCCTATTTGCATTATTAGCTATTAGTCTCTAAGAATATACTAGAATTACTATTATTTATCTAGTACTCTTCTTTGAGACCTATATCTTTCTACTTATCTTCACCTCTCCCTTTACAGGCTCGGACGATACAGCAAACGTGGAGCTAGTTTCATTGTTACGGCCGTTAGTAGAGGAGCTTTATTCCCGCTTATATTAGGAAGTATTACAGATACTCTTAGTAGCAATACCCAGTATGCGTTCTTTATTCCGTTAATTAGGTTTGTAATCGCGTTTACATTCCCGGTATACTTGAATGTATTCAAGGCGAAGAGTCTGGATGGCTAGACGGAGAAGGTTAAGGTTAGTATTAAGACTAAGAAGGATGTTGAGAATGGGTCGAGTGGGAGTGGAGATGAGTGGACTGAGAAGGAGTAGCAGGCTCAGGTTGAGAAGGTATGATTGGAGGCAAGAAGGGATAACTTGAGGTTTTGGATTATATAGTGGTGAATTAATCTTGTTTCAAATCGTCGTCTCCACAAAGAGGGCTCGTGAGGGAATGAAATGAGCCCTTGCGGGGCTGATCACATGATTTATCAACTTTGTTCTTTCGTTTCAGGAGCTGATAATCTCACTTACGCATTAACCCGACAAAAATCTTTACCAAGAACTTAGTTCTTGGTCTGTTATCAGCACTCGTATGCCGTCATTGGCGGTCATTCAGCCACCCGAAGCCGTGCACGTGATCTAGGAGCATAGTCCTTGGGATTAGAATGGACGTGTATCTACAACGTTGCAATTGAAAATATGCCGACGAGAGATCATTGAATTAAAGTCCGACTATTAATTCCTGTATCCTGTACATAACAGAGCTTCATTATCCCATTATCAGATATCTGGTGTTTACTATTCGCGTAGTCTCTTTTCTGGCGATCAAGCCCCTTTTCACACGAGCAGCTCGCCCGCCGAGAGGTTAACCCACGACTACCCTGGGAGCTGTCTAAGTGCTATTTTGGATAATGTATCAGTACTCAAATTTATTTTCCACACTTTCTTAACTGCCACAGAATATATTTGTACTAATGCACCCATTGGCAATGCTATACAGGACAAGTATTCGGAGGGAATTACTTTTGTAGGCCTTGGAGCCCTATATAAGACTTTTCTCTAAAGCAAACTTTTGTTACTATTACCTTCTACTCCATTGACTGTAATCTTTCCGAGATAGTTCTATAAGATTAATCACGGCATCCTCCTCTATATTGAACAAGAGGCTTATAATACGAGCACTAATATATTATTATTAATTGTATGATCCTAATAGTAATTGAGTTTAACGAGTTATACCTGTATTTAGAAGTAGTTAAGTGACTTGCGTTATCTTGTATAAAGACCTGGCTTTCGGCATCGGTGAATAATAGCAAAGAGCTCTTGATAATTTTTAGTAAGACTTTTATTATTTATTTTTTTGAATGCGTCAGTATTTTTAAAGACTTCAGAAATACGTTTAATTAATAGTAAATACTGTGATAACTATCCGTATGCCTCCTCAAGGTCCTAGAAGCTTGACGGGGCCAGTGAAGGTGATTGAAGTTATTAGAGAAATCCCACCAGGACTCCAGCTTACACGGCAGAGGTTAATGACACCGCAGTAAGCCTTGAAAAAGAGGAGATGATTATTAGGGGCTTTCTGGGCAATAAAATAAATAAATAAAAACCTGCAGAGTTTCACAAGTACTAGCACCCTTACTCAGTAATAACGATTTGTAAGTAGCTATTACAAGAGTTCCCACTTAATCTAAGCTAAGTGCCAATTACTCTATCGCGAGAGAATAATTAATGCGAGGGATCATTTCTGAAGCAACTTCAACGCGGGGTGATCTGATTGCGGCGCAATATCTCATTGTAGGGTAACCGACTTGAAATCATGCAGCTGAATGAGCTAGTCTCAAGGGTGTGGGGTACAGGAAAATAAAAGAAATCATAGACTGAGAGAACACGGGAAAGCCTCACTAATGCTGGCGACAAGTAATTAATGAGGTGTACTCTGTTGTGGTTGTGGCTGTTGGTTGTTGGCGTTAGTGATTAGTGATTGGTCTAATATTTCGCCTTGTAAAAGAGCTGGACGAATCATGGGCCTGCAGCGAGAGCTCGCCCTGTCAGGGCAGCGCGGGAAGGATTGACCTCTCTGAAGAGTGTTAGACGTAGCTTAACAGGAACTCCTCATCAAAACGTTATAATTCTGCCTTCTTTTCAGATGTTGTTGAGGTTAAGTCTCGTCTTTTTACTTATTTCTACAGGAAATTTGCTCACGTACAGCGCTGTTGCTGGCATGACTCGCCAAAAAGGACGACCCAGGTTCCTGAGACGCCATCATTCTCAACCACGAACACCACAAAGGCTACAGGGTAGCCAATCCGGACATCAAGTTTCGCCTTTGCGGCCGAATTCCTATTACACACCCCGTCCATCTTTCTCCCCACGTGGATCATTTCACAATAACGAAGAACATGAATCAACACTTCAGACCTGGCATCGATCCTCGAGCCCTGCGCCGCGACGACTGGGCGACACGACTTTTCGGTATCAAGACTTAGATCCAAGACGCAAGGAAATACGTCTCCTCCGTATCCTACCCGAAATAACATCCATCATCAGATGCGAGCTATTCCCTGTATCATTGGACAACCGCTGCCCGTATATCGCTATCTCGTACGCTTGGGGGGACACGGATGATACGCGGATCATTATCCTCGATGGGCACGAGTTTGTTGTTACCGAAAGCTTGATGCTCGCTTTCCAAAGACTACGCTCCAAGTCTGCTCCAGTTATCGTGTGGGCAGATGCCATTTGTATCAACCAAGGAAACATTGAAGAACGAAATCAGCAAGTCCAAACCATGACAAGGATCTACCAGCAAGCAATTGAAGTAGCAATTTGGCTCGGGCCGGAAGCTGATAATAGCAATATGGCTCTCGAACTGTTGTTCGAGCTCTATCGACATAAAAGTTCAAAGACAAATATCCTTGCAATTATTCAATCACCAAATCGACGGGACTCCTTTACTGCGTTGGTTGCTTTGTTTGATCGCGAATATTGGGGAAGATTATGGGTGGTACAAGAAGTTCTAAACGGAAACAATAAGACGGTTTATTGTGGTTCGAGCAGCTTACCTTGGAACATCTGTGTTACTGCTTCTGATATTCTTCGACGGCACTACGCGGATCTGTTACTCGCCTTTCTATATACCAAGGGTGTAGCAGCAATATCTGCAAGTGGTCGAACCTACCCTGGACAACTTAGTTGTGGCGGCCCATCTGTTCTGCATGACTTGAGAGAGGATGGGGCTTCGTGTGGATGGCTAGATGTCCTATTATACCACCAAGAGAAAAATTGTGCCGAGCCAAGAGACAGACTTTACGGCCTTTATGGCATTCTACCCGAGCACGAATGGTCTCAATTTTCAGTGGATTACAACAAGCCGGTGAGAGAAGTTTATATCGATGTGGTAGACTATCTGCTTACAACGACCCGGCGTCTCGATGTCATTTGTGCAAGCATCAATTTCCCTGTACATCAAAATACACATGGAATGCCGTCGTGGTGTCCAGACTGGTCCCAACGTCGACGAATCTTGCCAATAGGATATCGATTTTCTGGATTCTCGGCATCAGGAGCGTTGGAGCCAAAAGCTACATTCTCTGGCAAACGTCGAATACTTAATGTTGCCGCTATCTTTCTCGACACGATCACATCATGCGGAATTCCTCTCAATCCCCCGATTTGTAAAGGAGCGCTGTTAATGGCCTTCTTCGAATGGCGAGAGAAGCTCAAGGAGGTCCAAGGATTCAACCAAGCGGATCACGAAGCATTCCACGAAGCATTCTGCAGAACTCTCTCTTGTGGTCAACTTCCAGACGAATACACGCCGAAAGATTGGTTGGAATGGACATATCGCACTTTTGCCCTTGGTCTACTTGGTCGTTATCCCCATTTAAAATTAGATCCTCATCTCATGTCATATGTTCAGAATTTCGTTTCTCTTTCTTTGGGTCAGCAAAAACAGACGCTTACGGAAAATTTTACAAACGCGATGACGGGGAGGTGCTTCGCTACTACACGTAACGGCCTTTTGTGCCTGGGTTCTGGTGCGTTGCAAGTGGAAGATATTGTTTGCGTTCCGCTTGGCTGCTCAACTCCTATCATCCTTCGCAGGCGAGGTGATGGATTTACGTTTATTGGCGATATCTATGTCGATGGGTACATGGGTGGGAAAGCAATTGATGATTGTAACAATGGATGGCTGAAAGTGGAAACGTTTGCCATACATTAGACTTTCATTGGATAAAACTTGCATCATCATCTCTGGTTGGGTTGTGTGTTGGCCGCATCCATGCATAGTTACGCTCCAGAATGGCTGTATCATCGTCAATATATCTTTTTCCCCAGGCATTGGTGATAGTCGCATCATGGCTGATATATCTTGTTCCTCGGGGTCAGGTGATAGCCACATCATATCTAATATGTCTAGTTCCCTGGACATGGGTGCCAAAACCATTATGGTTGATATATCTTGCTCGTCTAGCCACGGCGACAGTTGTATCATAGTTGATATGTCTGGCTCAAAATCCTGCGCCAGCCGTGGGCCACCCGAGTCTTCCACCGCTCCCGAGTATCTGAGAGGTTGTGTGATTGCTTCCATTTCGTACGCCAGTTGATCGAGATTTTTGTACTGTCTTATGTAGTCGGTGAGGTCGCTTTGGGTTGCTACAAGCTTGCGGTAACTCCAACCATGTGTAATCATACCATTGATAATGATTTGACTAGCAAATGCGTTGCATGCGCTGGCTTCGGCCTCATACTCCGGAAGATGTTCTGCTCGATATTTGAGAAAGATTTCTACATCATTTCTACTAAGATGGCTCTCCTAGCTTGAAAGCAGATCAGCACTCTCTCTTGAAGCAAACTTGAACTATGCTCACTTACGTGGTATTTGCTTTTCCGACTTTGAGAAGTGATCCCAGTGTGGGAAATGAGTTGAGTAGAGTAGAGTAGTGGGCCCTACTCATATTCTACTCAAGTTTTTTTCTCACTACTCATACTCTACTCAACTACTCTAGAATATTCTTGAGTAGTTGAGTAGTATGCACGTGATACCATACGTGACGTTGGTGCAGTTCCTTGCTAGGATCTGCATGAATCTCCCAAAACCACTGCATGTCTTTACCCAGCTGATCCTTCGCCAGTACTGTTTAGGTACTAACATTGGTGCGATTCTGCCTTGCTAGGATCTGCATGAATCTGCCAAACCTCTTGATGGATCCTGCTTGATATGATACCGCCGTTACATGGATCCCGTGGCAGTTAGTAGGCACAGTAGCTAACTAAAAACGGTGCTACGAGTCCAATGTCCGTTAGCGTCTAGGCTCCCAGCTCCTTCTATATTCTACTATTTATGCAAGACGAGGCACTAGTCTTCCCAGGAGCGAACTTGTAGTATGTAAGGGGAATAGAACGCCCCGGTGCTTCTGTTTGACAAGGCACCGTGCAGGATCAGGCCGCATCGGCACGCCCCCGCAGCTTAAGAAGAGCAGGCGTGCTTTCGTGGACGTATATAGGCAGACTCATCTCGGCGACGGTGTATTTGATCGAAGAGAAGTACCTTTAATAAAGCTCTTAGAAAATTGAAGTCGTACACTCGTATGCGAGTTGGGTTGTTTGAAGGGAGTTGAGGAGAAGTTGAGAGGGGCATTAAGCGAGGCCCCTTCGGTTAAAAAGGGGAACCAAATCGGCTCCTATAAGGACCCTTAATAAATGTGGTAGGGGACCGAGAACGGCTACTGTCACGATATCTTGATAGGCTCAGAGATGTGGCTATGCTACAGGTAGTAGGGTCTATAAAAGTCTATATATAGATAATATAGAAACTATAGCCGATTCTCGAATGAGCCAGAAGCGGATCCCCTAAGCGTGATCTATCAACTCACCTTCGACTCACCCATACTCACCAGAACTCACCCTTAATTGCCGGTAAAGCAGCTCTGCTCACCTTTCCGAACAGAACCGGATTTTCTTCGTGTTAGGATTGGCGTGCGATAATGAGCCGTTGAAGGGCTACTGGCTGTCGTAGCCACAGTGGGGACACCTGCTAAGTTATGGGTTAAGGGAATTGCTCTTGCGGCAATTGCGGCAAGGATGCGTTTTGTGTTTATTCATTTGTTCGTTTTATAAGTTGAAATTCTGTCTAAGCTACTATTATTTCTAAATTTCCCAGTAAGGAATGTGATAATATAGTTATGGGGAGGGAAAGAGGAGGAAAAGGAAGGGACAAATTTATAGCTAGTGAGAGTAAGGCTTGCGTTCTAAGATATTTGAAGGAAGCTCACTTGAGTTGTAATTACTTCATTTATCTAGTCCTCACTCTGATTAGTCCATATTTTCTGGCTTAAGTCTGCCACAGATCTCTATGGTCTCAGCAATAGCCTCACCTTTATATTTGGATGACATTCCGAACAAAGAATGGGACACGCTTCGAGAATATGATTACATTACGCAAGACGAAAATCAAGCGACAAATGGCCTTGAACAGACCTCTAAGGAACAACAGTCAAATATCCCACTTCATTCTTGAAGTCTACTCATTCTATCCCTGCCCTCCCGGGGACCTTCTTTCTACAGCAAGCTGGCACTGTATAAAGTAGTGTTGTTGGGAGACAAAGGCGTGGGAAAGAGGAAACTCGCAACTCAGGTCATTCATTCCATTTCATTTTTGGTTAGTTACTGACACATCCTCCAGTTAGCCCTTAATCATTCTGCCTAACCCAAAGACCCGATCATTGAAAATTTATACCAAAAGCCAGTGGTCATAGATGGTCTAATGTGCATGCTAGAAGCCCTGATGGTCGATAGGTCTTACCAAGCACAGGGCGGCGCACTCCGAGACCAGTGGATCAGGGATGCCGAAGGCTTCGTACTGGTTTATTCTATCACCAATTGGTCTACCTTTAATCGTATTCGGAGGTACCACAAACTGGTGAAAAGGGCGCGAGAAGCGGCACTGCAGGAACTGCAATGACCGGAAACCCACACCATTCCCCAATCATGTTGGTCAGACACAATTGCGAGCATATAACTGAACGCAAAGTTTTGACACAAGGCGGGTTTGGTCTGGCAGATACACTAGGCTGCGAGTTTGTGGATGCTTCGGCAAAAAGCGCGGTATCAATGTTGAAAAGGCATTTTTCAACGTTGCAAGAACCATACGTCGACATCATATGCAACTTCCAAGGAAGCCAAGGACTTCAGACGAGAAGAACTCCAATGAGCAGGATCGCTCCGAAATTGTAAAGAGACGAGACCAAGAGAAAGTCCAAGAACGACCTCCAAAACCCCGAACCGGAGCTGGGTGCGGAAGTCTTGCCCAGCATCACTATGCTTGCTCCAAACGATGACTAATTAGCAGTCTCGCGGGCTTGTCTAGAAGAGTCATCATCGTCTAGATCAGTAAGAAAACACTCTACATGAGTGGGAACATTTTCCAGGTCGGCTGGGCCTTTATCCAGTCCAATTCCTTGAACTCGGCGATATTCACCCGATAAGCAATACCGTTCTCCCAACGGATCTGCAAGGCTACAACATAGGGCGGGTAGACTTCTGCCATCTCTTGAACCTCCTTTCGCCCGATGACAACAAATTCTTGGAGGCCCGAGGGGCTTGGCAATGAATTCCAGTGTTCTTGGTCCATCCTGTCCACGGTCCCCACTAAAAGCCCCCCTGTCGACTTCACAGCTGCCCTGGGCGTCTTCACGATTCCGTTCGCCTCATCTATGCTCGATGATTCAGGCGGCAATATTGGTGAGCCATAAATTGCGATGTTCTCGGCTTCCGAGCCAGTATGTTCGGGTCTTTCGACGATGAGGAATGCTGAAGAAGCCCAGAAAAAAAGAACATGTCCATCCGGCACAGTTCTTAGTCTAGACTCTGTTAAGTCTGGATGATGCTTTTGAATGTCATTCCAGGTGATGTTACCGCCATTTTCGTCCCGACTAAGTAGCGTTCCCTTCTTTCTGCCAGAATCCGGCTTTTCGATCGGCGTGCCAGAGTATTGTTCGTCCAATCTATTCCTACCAGCGATTGGAACAATACGAATAGGGTAACTCTGGTGCGAGAAACACAAGAAGTTGAGAGTTTCACTATCATGAAAATGTGTTAGGTACAGATAAGATCCAGGCCCAGTGGAATAGAGAATTGTGAAATGCACACTCACGTTTCTAATTTATCGTCCCCAACACTAACGTTAACCGGACCCATCCAGCCCATCCACGACCAACTTGGCAGATTGACGTGTGTTTTCAACGAGGTTAGCGGGAGAGTTGTCTTCTCGGTGCGGCGATGCAGCTTGTAGTAATATGCGGGAGAGCAGTGTGGGCTCCGATAAATTATCGATCGAAATTATCGATTAGTAATCGTTATCGGCTAAGCGATCGATAAACGATCGATATCGATAATTATCGTCGATAAAAGTGGGCCCAGCCATTAAACGAGCCCTATTACGGCTTTCTAGTTCAATTATAAACCGATTAGTATTAAGATTAGTATAAAAGTATACTATTATTACTATACTATTAGACTTTTTAACTTTTTATTTAATAGTCTATTATATAACGTAGACTAGCTAGTATTTAATCCAGTTATCGATAATTCCATCGATAAAAGTGGGCCCAGCCAGCCCTTAAGCGAGCCCCATCACCTCGATAATCATCGATAAAAGTGGGCCCAGCCAGCCATTAAGCGAGCCCATCGATAATTCCATCGATAAAAGTGGGCCCGCCAGCCATTGAGCGAGCCCATCGATAATTCCATCGATAATAGTGGGTCCCAGGGCCTTGGCAATACTACAGGGCCACTACAGGGCCGCTACAGGGCCAATACGCTATATTTACAGGCCTTAGACCGCCTTTACAGTACTAAATCTATTAATAATAGTGGGTCCCGGTGATGTCCCGGTTACGCGATATCCCGGTTACGCGATATAAATACCCGGAGTACGGTGGAAAAGAAATGATATCGTCTTAAGGCTAAATCATTTCCGCCATATTCCGGATATTTATATCGCGTATAGTATTGCCAAGGCCTTAGTTCGATAATTATCGTAATCGATGGTCGATTATCGATTATCGAAAAATTAGCGCGATTATCTAATCGTCGCTTATCGAGCTTATCGGAGCCCACACTGCGGGAGAGCTCCATGCCAAGGAAACGCTGAAGCGAGATTTGGGATGGCCCCAATGGAATTGCTCGCCGGAGATGCGACCCAAAGCTTCCGCAATACCCTGAAAAGCATCAAAGACGTCTCCAGGGAAGGACATCTGCGTGTTGGAATAAGATTCCACCAGCCTGCTGTATTTTTGCTAGAACGTCTGGCGAGTAGTAGTCAACCTGGATAATGGTCCATCGATGGTTTTGAAAGCCAGTGTAGTGCCCCTCTGTTTCCATAGCTCTATACGTAGGGGCGTATCAGTAGAATCTCGCTCATAGATTTTTGGTGGTTCGAAATGGGATTCCTCGCAGAAGATAGCTCCGTCACATACCCAAAACACTTGCCCTTTGGTGAAGACAAGACAACGACGAGATAAGCAACGCTCTTGTACTGTCCATGTGCGTGTAGCCCATATACTCACATCGATTTCGTCGTCATCAGGTTTATGAATGGCTTCGAAGCCAGTCCACACCGGACAGTGATTGCAGGTCGAAACGACAGCTAAGCCAGGATCGTCACGGTCTTCGTTGGGCGGAATAACAGTTACCGACTTTTGATGAAAGTTTCGCGTATAAGGATGGAGGCCCGACAAACCAGCGTTTGCATTATCACCACAAGCTGCAATAATAGTCAATGAAGCCTGGTGGTATATGTTTCCCATGTTGTTTAGTTGATCTTGTCTGTCTCTGAGGTCAAAGTCGGTCTGGCCCTGGCAAATGCAGAGGACGTCAACCCACAAAAATTTGATGGCCAACAGTCGAGTTAGGTGTATGGCATCTGAAATTGTTTGTGGTAGTTTGAATTTTAATAAGGAGTCTTTGACTTGCAGACTCATCTCGTTGTATCCGCCGAGTTTGACCTGCACCGCATTTCCCCAGACATAGCTCAGAGCAGCATATCTGTTGGGTAGCTTCGTAAGATCAACATCTCGCAAGATGCAAAGACAATTTTTATCAACGTCGATGAAACGGATGAGTTTGACAGAGGTCGCTCTAATATCTGTCAGTATTGGGACAATCACCCTACATGCATTTATTGCCACTCACCGAGGATTGTTAATTGAGAACTCTTCGTCAGAGCAACAAGTAATGTCGTGGTCTGTTTCACAAATTCTCATCCACTGACGTAAAAGATCTAGGTCGACGACATCTGGTCGCATTCTGCCTCGAAACAGCATTCTCGAGGAATTCGACTCGTGCTCTGCCTGTATCCTTGCTTGAGGATGGCTAGATGGCGCAAAGTCATCGGGATGGCAGATCTGTAGTACCTTATTGTAGAATGCCAGGGACTTCCAGTTCTCGATAAGCACGTCGTCAACGACCGTGTCCTTCTTGTAAAGAACTCTCAAGCTAAGTCGTCGTAATAAGGTCAGGCCATCAGGTGAACTTGAACCGATGTCCCTAATGGACTCGCTGATATAGGCATAATACTCCCTATCGATAGATGCTTCGATCCAAAGGTTGTCGTCGTCCTCGGGCATAGGTCTGTCGTACAAGTATCTGGTCCCTCGTTGCTTAATGATAGTGCCAAATAGGTGGCAAAGCTCACACGGTCCGACATAACGGAGAATCCTGGCAACAGGTCCGAGAGGCACAGATGTTTCCGTAGACTTGCTATTAGCGCCTTTGGTGAGGCTGGTGCGGAAATGTAGGTTGCGGAAACTCGGTAGCCTATTCCTCTGTGCATGACGGACTTCACGGATCTCAACTGCAGTAGGACACCTAAGAGAGGAAAAGGGAATTTGCCGGCAATATTCGCAGAGATTGCCCATTGTTGCCAATTGAACAATAACATCACACGGAGGCAGTTCTGCGTTACGACCTGATATGATGGCTCGCTAGCGGGCCGCTCGAATGCAGGCATAGACACGTGGCGACAGAATCAATTGCCCGACTGGGGGCGCTTCCTCCAGCCCCTACAGTACAAGCCAACTAATATTAGACCCCTTTCTTGAACCCCACCAAAAACAGCTATTTTGCCCATTCTGCGGCGAAATACCACAACGCCCACAACGCGTGCACTTCCCTAATAAATATGATTTGTATTAAACTATATAAAATTAAACTTTTTTACAATTCCAAGTATGCTAGAAATAAGAGGCTCTTTTCTAATTAATTCGTGAATTGCGACGACCTGGATCCATGTGAGAAATAAGCGAATTTTGGTATAAAAGTGGTACTACAGTAGGCCAAAACATTATGCTTTACCCCCTCGTAACTTTACGACCACGCTTCCCTAGGTTTATTATAATCTATAGGATTAAGGGCAATAATCCAATTAAGGATTGTACTCGGACATTTTCATAGTAAAATAGCCGGAATGTGGTTAGTTGTGAACGTGCTCCACCCAGCTTTTTGTGAGAAAAGGGGTTTCGCTTAATATGAGTTGGTGGTGACTGTAGCTCGGAGGATATTGGACCTGATTAGAACCTTCCATCACGCTTAGAACTAGAATTTCTTGTCACACTTGCAATTCTCCATGGAACCTGCGATCCTCTTCCTCACTCACATCCCCTCAAAACGGTCACAAATTCACCAAATCGGAAATATGACAGCACCACAGTCATACACTCAATTGTTGAATGCCAAGACATGTATAGCCTGCTTACAAACATCGAAAATGCTCTCTGGCTCAATTCCCGCAAAAGAAGTCTCGCAGCGTATTCACTTTTAGAGCCCAAGTTTTAGGAACGTATCTTCTTCGAGAACGGAACAAGAACTAAAACGCGCTCTTTACACAAGTAGCCGTGCTGTCGGTGGAGTTGAGAGAAGAACTGGTACAATAATGCAGAGAGGAAATCCATTAGTCCTATTGTTCAGGCGTGAATTAATAGTTACGACAGGTCAAGTACGTTTTGACCCCCACCAGCGGAGCTTGAATAATTGACTTGGTTAGGTGTAAAGTGAAGTGAAATGTACATAATAGTTAAAACGTTATATTTATATCAAGAAAGTTTTATGAGATGACCTGCCATTCTGAAAAGGGGAGAGCATGCAATCTCGCTTCGAGAAATTCCCCTGCCGAACTGTTCGAAGATCTACAAGATCTCTCGCATCGTCCCGCTTCCAACTTCACACCAGCTAACACAATATGGAGCGTAACAATACTCCAGCCTTTGATTCGATAGATGGAATCCCAAATGCTCCCTCGTATGGCCTAACATTCCCGTCGTATAACAAGAATTTTAAAGGTATCCAAGGTCTCAGAACTTCCTTAGACAGACTCCAGTCTCTGCTCCCAGGAAAGCTGTGATAAGAATTGCGGTATTCGCTAAAGCCCTGGAATACCCTGAAGTACAGAAGTGCAACTAACTTCCCGCTCCGAACGCGAAGAGTCAACATCATAGCGCTGAAACCGTCGAATTCATAGCTTAAAGGAAGGTGCAGGATAGCGTGAATAGTGGCTATTCCACCAGGCGAGTAAAGTTATTTCACAAAGATTATCCCGAAGTATGAAAGACCAATAAGGGAAGAATATCCCGTTCAGCCAAGCGCAATATTGCCACCCATCACAAGCAGATCGACTTTATCTTTCGAGCGCGCGAGCCCCAATCGACCCCCCTCTTTTCGCGTCGCCCGAAAAGGGTACGACTTGAAATCAACAGCAACCTTTCAAGGGATTTATGCAAAAAGGAAATCATTCGTTTTCTGTATGGCAGCTAAACGCAGCTTAACGAGGCAAGCAAGGCAAGCATGGCAAAGTAGATAGATAACCCATGCTCGGTCTCCATCCCCATTCCCAAACCTCGTTCGCCAAGAAGCCGAGCAATGCAAACGTTTCACCCCGCCCTCCGCACGCCCGTGAAAGTAAGGTTAAACAATCTTGGCTTGCGCTTGCTCTGTATCAGAAGTAACTTGTCTCACGAGCCAGCCAGTTGCGAGATCGAAAATGGCTCCAAGACTCTTATTTTTGATTTTTGATGCGAGTCCAAGGTCGGGACGTGCAAGACGAGACCAAGAAAGGATGCTGCGGTTCGAGAATCGAAGTGATGAATCTCTTGATCGTGACCCTAAACTACTTCTTCCAACGGGGCAGGCAATTCTCTACCCAAGCTTGGCTAGCTAAGAACTTCTGGGCTTTCATCATAGAGCTGCACTTTCCAAGCGGAAAATTATTTACTCTTCATCTTTCCTTTTCTATTTCCTTTTGGGCTTTTTTGGTTTCGATCCAAAGGTGCTAGAATATCAAAAATGTATCGCCACATCATCATCCTCCTCGCTCTCCCGACTCTGATCAGAAGCCAGACGATAAACGGAATCCCCACCTGTGCCGTACATCCCCTCGCTTTCCTTCCCCCCTTCCCCCCAATCCGCCATCTCCCCCCCTCTCTAACCGAACAAACACAGAAAGAATGCGCGCTCTCCATCATCGCCACCTCCTCCGACTGTCCCCTGAACACGCAACCCTGCATCTGCGCCTACCTCTCCGCCTACGCCTCGTGCGTGGGCGAAAGCTGCAACGGGACGGACTCCACGCGGGCGGTCCCGGTCCCGCTCCCGTACTACATCCCCGAGGCGACGATCAGCGTGGCGAGCATGGGGACGTGTCCGGCTGTCGCGGCGACGAATCCGGTTTTCGGCACTCTGGAGAGTGGGAAGACTGCTTCTGCGGAGACGACGACGATGACGACGAACGAGGCAGGGAGGGCTGCGACGACGGGTGAGGCTTTGGGCTCGGAGGTGACGATGACGACGATAACTTCTTCGGAAACGAGGACGTCGAGCTCAGGGACGCGGAGTGTGGCTTTGGTCACGGGTATGAGTACAAGTGCGGTGCCTGCGAAACAGACAAGCACTGGCGCAGCTGGGCCCTTGGAGGGGCATCGGGTGCTTGGAGTCTTTGGGGGTGGATTGGGGATTGTGCTTGGTTACAGGTTTTTTGTGTAAGAGATGGAGGGGGGTAAGGAAGGTTGCTTGGGAATAGAGAAAGGAGAGACTAGAACGGCAGGCGAAGAAGATATGACACTAGACTAGGTGAAAAGGCGGGGGGAAATAATAATAGAAGACAACTAGGCCAATGATCTGGGAGAAGAAACACACGGCACAAGAGGAAGGGGGCAGTTGAAGGGTATATATTACTACGTAAATGACTTTTAAATGTATATGTGGGGAAGATATGAGTGGAAAATATGTCCAAGACTCCTGGGACTGTTGCTGTTCTGTTCTGTTGTCCACTGGGCTCCAGGCCCTCCGTTCGATGCCAGACTGAACGCCGGTCCTTCTATGCAAATTCCCATCCTAGTCCATGCCCTGCGCACCCGATGCAATATGCCACCCAAAACAAAAGTACACTATCGACACCACAGTCGTATATCCAGAGGACAACAATGCACCCACAGACGGAGAATGCCCTTCGTGGGTCTTACAGATCAATGATGGTTCGAAAACGGCGTCACAAGATCGATACTCTTCGGCCGATGTCCGTAACCACTCGGCCCAGATCGCGGCGGAAGAGGACGATCCATGCCCATACCTCCTGTGCTACCATATCCTCCAGCGGCCGTGCCATGGCTCTTTCCATACGAATAGAGATCTTCTCTGCTCCTGCCAGCATACCCATTCGTTGCATAGTACCCGCCCCCATAGCTCTGCGACGTGGTATACGTGTGCGACCCATTCGTGTACGAGTTCCCGGGCGTCGCGCTCGGAGTGGGGGTCGCGGCCTTCGAGCCCGCGAAAGGGATGTAGTTCCACACCCCACTGCCGGTCCGATTTATCGAGCTGGCGCTGCTCTTCGGAGGGGATTCCGGCTCGCGTCGGCTGGAGCCCGTTCGCGGGAGAGCAGTCGCAAGCTCACGGAGCGATGCCAGGGCCGTGCTGGATCCCGAATTCGCATATGCTTGTGGGGGCGAGGCCGAGTAGGCCGGCGCTTGGTAGGATTGGGGGTACGGGTCCGAGCTGAAGTAGGAACGTGGTCGTGATTGTGTGGGTGAGAAGCGAGGGATGATGTCTGGTCCTTCTTCGTGGGAGGGGGTCGCTGCAGCAGACCCCGACGTGTATTGTCTTGTGTAGGGTGTAAGTGGTGGAGATGACGGCGTGTAGGAGGCGGGGTAACTGTTCATTCGTAGGGGCTGTGGGGGTGCTTGATCGTGAAGGCGGCAGCTGCGGGCAGAGATACGTTAGTTGGATGGTTTGCACGAGGGTGTGGTGGGGTTAACGGTCTGAAGATAGGCCCCCATGAGTGGTGGGGTGAGAAAGCAGGGGAGCTTACCCCTCTGAGCAATAAAGGTATGTGTTGTTGGCAGGGAGGAATTGCTTTTCACACGTCATGCTGTGCTATTCGTCAGCCTGCATTCCAAAATCTGCACCCCACAGTGGGGGGTCCTTTCTTGGGTTTTGGGGTTCCTGGGGATGTCTCCACGATCGAGTGCCAATCTCTCCTAGCTGCATGGAAAAAGGATGAGTCTTGACGTACCAGTATTGCGGGAAGGACTCGCCACTGTCCCGACCGCTGTGATCCTCATCACGTTCCCGATCCCGATCCCGATCCCGTTCCCTTTCGCTCCTGTGACGGCTCGAACTTCTCCCGCTGCTGCTCCAGCCGCGCCCGCCTTTCGTCACGGACTGAGGGGTACTTCTGTGAGGCAGCGGCGCGGGTCTGGACGAGGGTTTCTTCTCTGTGACAACCACGAATTCCCTCCCTGATTTCCTCCTCGAGTGATGCCTCTTCTCCTTCTCGGAATGGATCCGCGGCGACAACGGTGGCGGGGAGCTGCCCGCATAGTGGGTGCGCACTGGTGGGGGGCGTGACTGAGCCAGCTTGGCGAGTTGGCAATATCAATCCTTTTCAATTGATTTCGCGTGCGATAATTGAATACAAAACTGAAGAAGAGAGCCAGCGGAGGGGCTGGCTTGATGTATACTCAGGCGCGACCGTGATCGGGGTCAGGAGGGCCTGGGTCTTGTGATGGTTGTCGCGGATGTGAGAAATGACAAGAAATTCTCCAGATACGGGTGACTCCGAGGCTGGCGCGCTGCTGCGATAACGGCCAACGGCCCCTGCAAAGTGATACAACCACCTCTGCCAAATGGATGCACCGCGTTTGGGTGGCCGGTCTATCCTGGAAGTAGATGTAAATTGCACGCCCGGGGCCGAGAGCGGAGAGCGGAGGGAGATTGTCGTGAGATGTTGTGAAGGACGACGAGGTGCTGGTTGGCTGCGGTTGGCTGGGTTGGCTGCGGGCTCTTGAGGAGCTTGTTATCCGGATAGGCCTCGGAGGTTTTTGCTAAGGGCGGGTAGGGAGATGATAGAGCTAAGGTAGCAGTAAGTAACTGGACGATCCAGGAGGTGAGGCGAAGGCGAGGGCGAAGCGAAGGCGAAGTGTGTTTGTTGCTGGCGGAAGAAGTTTGCAGGAAGCGAGCCCTTTGGTGGTGGCCAACGGCGTTCTTTTGAAGACTCCTCGTCTCACTTCGGCCGCGCTCTCAGCCTTCAGCAGACTTAGTTGAGCTGTGCTGACCGCTGAGGTGTGATCGATGGCGGAATGCGGCTGGTCGTCGTTCTTGCGGGGCTGTGGAAGAGATTTTCAGTGACGATGTCGTGCTCCGGGCGTAAGAGTCAGTAGTCTGCAAAATGATGCTATTCAACGAAGAATTGCGTTCAGGCCCCGTGCTGCATCCAACGGGCACGGCGAGATATTATACAAGAGCACAGTATCGTCGGCCCCTCACAACATGGTATTGCACCACCGCGCCGGATATTTGATGGAGCAACCGGCGTCTCCACCCTTCTCATTCAGGTCATGATCCAACACGTTCTCGATCCTCGCACCTGTCGTGCCCCTCTGCGTGTCGCTATTACGCACCAGCAAGGTACTCATTGCGGCATCTGGATCACGACCCCCACGTCGGTGCTCATCTCTGTCCGTCTCCAGCCCCGCCGGGCCCGCCAAGCACTGCTTCGTCGTCTCCAACGGGCCATGTTTGACGAGACGAGTCAGTCAGCCAGCCAGCCAGGTTGCCATGTGCCTGCCCAGCTGCCCAGCTGCCAATCACGGCTTTCATCACCTCCGTCTGCAGTTACGATACGATACGATCGCACGAAGGAAGCTGTTCAGTGTTCACAGCGAGGCAGGAGGACCCGTTCATCAGCATCGTGATCCTTCACTCTCTTACTGCATTTAGTATTACGAGTTACAGTACAGTACTCTACACCTGCAGTCCACCGAGCATTGGCCGCACCTTGTGCTCCCCCTGGTCCCCCTCGTCCACCCCTCGTCCCCCCTTGTCCTCCTCCCGCGTCGCCGAATCTGTCGCCCCGTCTGATGGAGACCCCCCCACGGCCAACGATGCAGGCACAAGTCCACAAAAGAGGCAATCCGAAGACGCCGCCGCCGTCACCCTGGGAAATCTCCCCCTCGATTGCGCCGAGAGTGCTCACAGACGGCTGTGAGCGGCATTGACCAATATACTCCGTAGACAAAGTACGGAGTGTAGATATTTTGGGGGTCCCTTTCCGCTGCTGCACACGGTCCACACCTGGGCGCTGGCACCGCGCTCGGTACCTCGATAGATATCTCCGCCGCCCGCGATTGGCCGCTTCACATAAAGCTATGACGACGGGTGATCGCGGGATCTCCCTCTTAGGAGATGCGAAGAGGGGAAGCCTGATGCCGCATCCGCCCAACATTAAGCCTTAGATCAACAGGCTTCCTCCCTCCCTCGCAGGTTACCCGTGGGGTGGGTTCTGCCACGGCCACGGCCACGATTCTGCCGGATAGGGAGAGCGGCTGCGCAGCCATGCTCCAACCACACTCTGCTTGGGAGCAGCGCTCATTGGCAGATGAGGGAAAGCACGCTACTGCACGAAATCAAGGCAAGCGGCCTCCCCATACCAGTAGGGAGTGTTTCGTGTGCACAGCTCTCGAGATGGCTCGCTGACTCTGTCTTCCTGACGTCTGATATGACACTCCTCGCCCGAACTCTGTCTGTCTGTCTGTCTGTCTGATTCAAGACTCGACGTTCGGATGCGAGGGTTCGGAAGCGGAACGTCAACCCGCTGGGTATTCCCCTCCGCATCCATCTGCCTTGGGGAGGTTCCACTGCAGACGTGGGGGCGCAATAAAGTCCCGGAAGTTTATTTTGCGGGCAGTGAATCAAGAGAGGGTAAGTTTGGAGATTCTTGGCCGTCGTGCTAACCGTATCCTGAAACATGACATATCGTGAATAATAAACCTTCTGTGTAAGATTCCCTCAAACTTTTCGGGGGGAGGATGCGAGGCTTGTTTCGAGAGGAAAGGGAGACATGTGAAAGTTGATAGGGGGTCTAGACTTTCCAGTTTCGTTGCGTCAAGTCATCTTGTATTCGGGGCGCGCTCTTTTCCTCTCTTCGATGCACGATCGAGCTATGAGTTTAGTGGAAACTGATCGACGGATCGTATACAAGCTTCTGGAACACGTCTCGAGCAAGTGCCGTTGAATAATGTCTTTCCTTGCGAAACGCTGCGGGGCATGCAAATTGCGGAGACCCGCAGCCTAGAAATCGGAATGCGGACATGGAGCCGAAAACTCAACCACCGCGCAGTGGTGACTGTTACCTAACACCAACAAGGTTCACATTACCTCTATTTCAATCGCGAATACATCGTTTTTCAAGGTCTCCATTTGCCTCCTTTTACCAAGTCAAACACTCAAGTCCTCCACGTTGGTTTCACCCTGTGGGGACGGCCCAGACCGTCTTCCTAAACCTGCCAATGCCGACACGACAAAGTCCACACAGCAGCTGTTTCTCGGTTCCATCTCCAGATTTCTAATGAAACCCCCCCCCAAAAAACGTGTCAACTATAGATATCTAAAGGGAGCACGTCAATATTATAAAGAGCCAGAAAAAAAATGCGTTTTCTCTTTTACACGCATGCAGCCGCGTGGCCTCACGTCATCCAAACCAAGCCTTCCGGCAATGGCGATGACATATATACATACATATCTATCTCCCCACCTCCAAACAGACGAAGAATTAGATTATTTGTCTATCAACATGCTTCAAGTTCGCGCTTTAGATAAGTTTTTGCTATTCGTTCTCGACGACAAAAAAGGGGAAAGGGGAAGGAGGACGTGTCTTTCAAGATATTCAGATATCATTACATATCTGGTAGTGACTCAATCTTCATTAATATCCTTCAGAAGACAGTGAGGTCGAGGGGGTTCTATGCAAGAACGTCGTCTCGAGATAATATACATTGGTTTAATCATCGATTTCTATTCTTCAAGTGACACGAGATTTCATGTTTTATATCTTACATCTTATATATATATATATATAATTAAATTTTCTCAATAAAGCTAGGCATACGTCTCGCATCTCTTTCACCCTCTCTAGCATAGGTTCAAGGGTCATCTACCACATAGACTGATGATAGCATCCCTTCCCACCGTGACCCTTAGGTCGTCCGACGAGATACCAGAACTGACCATACCTCGGCTCCAACCTATCGATCCAGCTAATTCACCCTGTTGCTCGAAATGTCCAGTGGCGAAGGCGCCGTCACTTGCTAGCCATAGGGAGTGTGGATTTCGTGGTAGGGTTGCATGGTGTTGAAGCTAAAGGAGGGATAGCCTCCGAGTTCTATATAACCCTGGCGGCAGGCGGAGCAGAGAGGCGCTCTTTTTTTGTGTGTTCATTCGGAAGGCGGAGTTTGGCTTGGTTTTTTATAATGGTATGATATATTTGGCTTCTATGCTGAGGAATGCGTGATGGTCTGTTTGAGTGGAAGGGGAGAATAGGAAGGGGAGAATAGGAAGGGGAGAATAGGAAGGGGAGAATAGGAAGGGGAGAATAGGAAGGGGAGAATAGGAAGGGAGAGAAAGAAAGAGAGAAAGGGGGAGAAATTTATACACAGAAAGTGAGCTTTGGTTCTGTGATACTCGAGAGGAGTCTGTTAATTTAAAGTGGCTATTTGTTATCTGAAATTGGCGCTCTCTGCCGTCTTGTCCAGTTATCAGTTATACTTTATCTTCTATTTTCTGTAAAGCCAGACTTACGCATGCATACGTCGCTCTTTCCTCCACCCTCTCCATCTACCTACCACATGGATGGATAATGAGGCCCCCCCCCCCCCCCAAAATATCCCCCATGATACCCACCACCTCCACGTCCGCCCCTACCACCCTGAATCCGACCACCAAACTCGTCATATCCCGTCTGCAACCTATCGATCCAATCGCTTACCCTGTTATATGGATTATCGATTTGCAGCCTGGCGAGAGAACCTTGGTAGCCAAAGGCATTGTGGCTTTGCTGCGATAGTTGCCGCTCTCGAAACTGCAGCGTGGACAACTCATTAGTCCGGAATGGTGTTCGCCGCAGTTGGAACAGAAGACCATTTCTGTGGCGGTTGTCTTGTTTGTTACTTTAGAAGTCAGAATCTTGTCTTAGTTTCTACATTGTGTATAATATTAAGTTGTTTTAGCTTGTACGCTAGGGAAGGTTGGCATGGTTTGAGAGGGAACGAGGGAACGCGAAAGGAAAGAATAGAGGGATTTATAGACAGAGTGTAAGCCTGCTGCTCTGATATTCGAGAGAAGTCTGTTGAAAAGAAGTCATTGGAGTGGTTACTGCTATTTTGTTTATTTAGCACTTTATCGTCATGTTCACTTGGCAGTAATGTTTCGTGATTGAATCTCTATTGTGAATATAAAACATGCTCAAAAATTGGAACATCTTAGTATTAAATGCTTAGCTTATGTTGAGTTAGGTAATTTGGATAACAGCTGCCCTGGCCTAGCAAAAGCAACTTGATTGAATTTCTACTGATATCTGTCAAGTATATCTCAAATCCCCATCTTTGACCTTTCTGCGAGCTTTGCGTACACCTCCTCGAAGTACCTCTTGCCTGCCGTACCATACCAACGCGAAAATAATCAACAAACAGCTTAAAATCACCCACTTATACTCCCAAAAACACATACCATATATATCTTGATCACGAATCCTTATAAATAAGTTCACTCGCCTCGTAACGAGGGGTCAGCACTACCCACTCGGCCCCACTTCCCTTCTCCACTATCCTCCCCTGCTTAACTTCACATCTCAAACCATCCCATTCATCTCCCTCACCTCTCATCCATATCCCTTTAAGTATGGAATCCAATTCAGCTCCCAAAGTCCCCTCAACCCTCTACACACCCCGCCTAACCCTAATCCTCTTCTCACGCTCCAACCCCGCACATTACGCCTGCATGCTATCCTGCCTCAACAACGCGACCGCCTGGTCCCAAATGGGCGACTATGGAATCCGCACAAAAGAGCAATTGGATGCATTGCATGACGCTACACGCATCACATCTCCTATTAAACTCGACCGCGAGTTGATCTACCTCATTTCCCTCACTTCGCACCCCGAGGAGTTGGTAGGCGCAGTGACACTGGCTCAGAGGTCTAGAGAGATATATCCAGACATTGGATGGGCGCTCAAAGAGGAGTTTATTGGGAAAGGGTATGCGACGGAGGCAGCAGCTGAATTCCTTCGCGCGCTTCGAGACGAGATCGGGATTCGTGACATCTGCACATGGCCCGATGAGAAGAATGTGCCGAGTAACCGCGTTGCTGAGAAATTGGGGTTTGTGGAGGGTGGGACGGTGAGGGTCAGTGATGAAGGTGGGAAGGAGGCTGTTGTTTGGATTCTGCCTGGGATGAAGGGTGTTGGGAGGGGAGGGATTTCGATAAGTTTTTGGGGCGAGGATGCAGGAAAAGAGACGTGATTTGAACTCAACGGAAGGTTTGGATTGGCATCTGGACGTGAATTTAATTTTGGGTTTGAAATGAAAGTTTGGAGATGATGAGAACCCAGAAACTCCATCTATCCAACCCTAGCCGTCCCATTCCCAGTCGTAGCGCCGCCCGCCTTCTGCGTAATACCAACACCCGATCCGCCCTCTCCAGTACCCAGTTGAACCTCAGGACCAGACTTCAGCGCACCGGCTGCGAAGTTCAGCGCCGCGTTGAAGCCAGTGAGATCTCTCTTCTCTACATCCCCATCCTCAATCTATTACCGGTCAGCGACAGTTCCGCCGCGATCAGATTCCCAAACGGTATACCTCACCCTCAAGCTCTTCAATGTCTCTCTTGTACTCATCCTCCTCATCCAACTCCAAATCCTCATCCACCAAATCATCAGCCGTATCCCTAACCACCTTTCTCGTCTCGATCTCTACATTCAATGCCTTAAGATGATACGCATCCTCATCAATGGGGTCCCTCTTCGAGTTGACAACACTCTTGCCCATTCCCTCCAGTAGCTGCGTTACCGCTGCACCTTGCGGATCTTGCGCGACGGTACCTTCGGCAGCTGCTGGGGCAGCGGCGGCAGGAGCGGCGGCGCCGTTTGCGAAAGCTGAGTTGGCGGCTGCACCTTGGAGGGTGTTCATGAGGTTCGTGACTGATTCCGTGCCCTTGAATCCAATGGCTCCATCACCGACTCTGGTGCATGTAAGCATGAGAGCTTAGTAAGAAGGAATGAAAGCTTACACCAAGGCTGGAGAGTAGGCGCCCATGTTGATGTTCAAAGGTTTGGGGAGGGGAGAGGAGAGGACGAGGACTGCCGAGGTGGCAAAGAGGAGGGTTGATGAGTAACGCATTTTGGCGATATTTGATAAAAGAATTAACTGGGAAAGTTGAGAGAGATGTAATTGATGAAGAGAATGCAAGAACGAGAGAGAAAGACTAGCTTCCTGAAGAACAAGTGAACTGAATGGGTATCAAGATTAACTGTGAGCGCCGCTACCGAGATGGAGAAGTCGGGGAGGCTGCTCATCTTTATGCCATTGAACAAAAGAGTCTCGGTCGAGAATTTAGACTTCGCACGAGTCTCGCCCATCATGCCAAATCTCTCAAACAGGTACGAGGATCGACAAGAGGACGTGGATGCGGTGGTCTATTCTCGCGAACATCAATCGTCTGGTGGAGAAATTCAGAGGACCGTAAATGTGGGTGCCTCCCGCGACAGCCAAGCCTGCCCAGAAAGATTGGCGGTGGAAGCGCGTTTAAAATTTTCTGGGCGGTGACATTGGGGGTGTGTTACAGTGTTACAGGCAGGGGTGATACGTGCCTATGCTTGGCGGGATGCCAAGACAGCCACATCGTTGTAGCAGGAGCTTCTCACGGCCGCTTGATGTTTCTGTCAGCTTGGCTGAGAAAACTAATTGATTGATTGATTTTTATAGTAATGTTTCTGAGCCTGTTCCTTGCTTGGGGTTGCTGGTGCAAGGAAGATTCTTTTTTTTTGGAGGCTCGAGGAGTTTCGAGTCTAGAGCGTCGCAAGATATTGCCACACAGATTCTCTGGGCGGAGGTGAAATGCTTGGCCTTGCCACAGGCATGATAATTCGATGTACAACCTTGAGCCTGAATAGAACGCTGTTCCATTTCTGCACGTGCTAGAAGGGGTATGTAAAAATGTTAAGATGCTTTACAAGCCGATCGAACCTGTATAACTCCGCGTCCTACAACCTATCAAACGAAGCTCGGAGTACCTATTGCTCTAGTTCACATCCTTTTCGCAGAAAAAGCCGAGGTACAGTTCGGTGGTCGAATATCGGAGTTGTTGGGCGCCTGACACGTTTCTGTTTGCCAATCCCTGTTGGCGTCGTCAAGCCGGTTTTGACAGCAGAAATAAAAAGCTGGAGGACAAGTTCCAAATTCAGCGAAACCCTCAAATGAACGAGACGGGCGTAATACCGGTTCTTCAAATCACACCGTCTGGTCATACTTGACAGCCTACTATATGAACTTTCAAGGAGTTCGGTAATAAGAAGCGAAAGAATCAAAAATGGGCGGAAATTTTGCCCGCTTCATCTCTGAACCTAGTTGCACTCGGGTTTAATCACAGAACATATAGTTGTGCAAAGCAGAATCTGGAACAAACGCGAAGCCACCTCCTAGCTGATCTGTAGAAACGAATTCGCAAGGACCACTCAGAGAAGCATACAAAACACCCACTCGGGCGGAGCCATGGGCACACATCAATTGATCCATATAGTTCAGAAGGAACGAGGGGTAATAGTCTCATCGCATTAAGCAACCCCATATCTCCATTCGCCGAAAACCAAGCATGTAGTTTCCAAACACTCTCCCCTTTGCAGTCAACCTGCAATTCACAGCTTGATGGCCAGCACTTCCCTATTCCAGCCTCTGCCAGAAGAAAAACTATACAATACATACAAATCACCTCCCTTTCGGCCTCGAACTCGCCATTTCTCCGTAGCGGCCACGTTCTCGTGTGGTATCGTAAGCTTGTAATACGCGCGTTTGAGACTCGTCAGCTTGTGAGAAAGCGTAGCCGCGTTGTTTTCGCATACGCTGGACTTGGCGCACTTTACGGATGGCCTTTTGGAACTGCTCCATCCTAGATTGATCATTAGTCGTTACTAAAAAGGAGAATAGACTGGAGGCGTGACGTACCGTGGTCTGTAATCTTGAATGTTGTACTTCTGAATCTCTTGAATGTGGTGATATGTTTGAGGGTAGTACATTCGTTTCGAGCTGAAAGAATCTGTTAGCAAAAGAACCAAGACTCTCATCAGAAAGGCGTACTATTTCCATGCGAAATCTCTCGACAGACAAAGGATTGGGATGACGAGTACTTGAAGCCAGAAGATCGGACTTGGGAATAACCTGGGTACGACTCCCTGATATTCCGTCGAAAATCCAAGCTTTGGCGCCACTGTTGCGTACACGGCGACGAATACCATCCAAATTATCATACTTCCAGGAATAGCGATGACGTGGTACTTGGTCCAGATATTCGTTACCAGTGCAGCTTTCCCCAGCACTGTTGCGAGAACGGCGGTATACAGTGCCGTTCCCCAAACCCAATGTCCTGCAGTCTTGCCATCACTCTGGGGAAGATCGTTCCACCAAATGAACTCGGACGTAACGTAGAGTATGAGCGAGTGGTAAAAGCCGTTGCCGACCCATGAGAAGAAGGAGTGCATCTTGAAGAAAGTGTTTTTCTGTCCGATCTGATATAGTTGAGGATACCGATCCAATAATCTGGCTGAGATGAATTGATCGAAGATACCCATCACTAGAGGTGGCAAGACAGTGAAGAACACATTGTAGAAGGAAAGGGTCCAGGACTCATAGATAACTTCTCCGGAGAAGGCGTTTTGGAAGGAGTACTGCGCATGTAAGTCTTGAACGGAGCACTTTGTGACAGCTAACTTACCCAGAACTGCGTCATGTACAGGGTGATATTCTTATAGAAAGAATACAAAACGACCTTGCTGACTCTTTGGTAACTCCAGGCGCCGTGCACTAGAAGCAACTTGCGAAGATATCTGAACTGTCCGATGGAAACATCCGCACTTCGAGCAGCTTGAAGGCCTTCCATACCGCTGATACCCACGCCAATATGTGCAGCTTGAATCATGGATACATCATTGGCGCCATCGCCGATTGCCAAAAGAATAGCTTTGAGATGACGCTTAACAAGCTTCACGACCAAGGCTTTCTGAAGTGGCGAGACTCGACAGCAAATAACTGCCTTGCACATCACAGCGAGGTCCAAGAAATTCTTCTCCAAATCCTTCTCCAGGGCATAGGTCAACGATTTCCCGTCGATCACAAGAGCTAGAGTGTCCATGGCAATAGTTCCATCACCTTGCGTGCGAATGGCGTCTAGTTTCTTTTGGATGTTATCTCGGGTCATCACCGCATTTTCTTCGTTGACGATGAGGAGAGTCATGTCTTCGCTAATCAGTTTGCAACTCATGCCGATGTTGATGGCGGTCTCTTGACGATCTCCAGTCAGGACCCAGACCTTGATTCCGGCTTCTTGAAGTGTGTGAATAGTCTCCGGGACACCATCTTGAAGACGATCCTCGATAGCTGTTGCGCCAAGAAGAGTGAAATCGCGTTCCAAGATTTCCGCGGCTTTGTCGAGCTCTTCTGCACGATTACCGCTGATGGTAGTTTGCGCTTTGTCAAAAACCTGCCACCATTCTTGGAATTCTTGCTCTGGGATCTCGCGGATCGCAAGACAAAGAGTTCGAAGACCTTCCGACGCATACTCTTCGAGATGTTGTAGTGTGATATCGACATGTGGATTATTGCCACCCAATCTCTCAAGAATCACAGTATCAGCACCCTTGCAATAGCATCTAATTTTCCCATCTGGACACCGGAAGATGGTTGACATCCGCTTCCTGGTCGAGTTGAATTCGCAAACAGCCAACAGTTCGTATTCGAATTCTTCACCTTTGACTGTGATTTGAACGGACCTCGGCTTTCGTGCCGTAAACTGGTACCCCATCATAACAGCACCCTCCACCAAAGCCCCTTCATCTGGCGAGGCTGCTTGGTATTTGATTGCTCCTCCTTTCTCATCAGTTCTTTCGGGAATAACTGTATGACAGGTAGCCAGCAATGCCAAGAAATGGTGTATCAGAACGCTTGACTCGTGGTTTTGCAGGTTCTCCTTCAGCCGGGTGAAATCGTGAACTCCGACCTCGATGCCATCTTGAATTGTAGCACGGTGGTCCTCCGGGACCTCTTCTGCATATTGAATCCCTCCAATCGAACACTGTTTGAACTCCATCTGATTACAAGTCAGAGTACCTGTCTTGTCAGAAAAGATGTACTCGACCATTCCCAGTTCTTCCACCAGGCTTGATGTACGGCACACAGCAGGGGTATCCATCTTGTCGTAGTACATGTCGAGATCATCGTTGATGAGAATGGCCTGCCAGTACTTGACAATTTCGATCGTAACGAAAAGCGAGATTGGCACGAGAGCAGAATAAAGCACCCAATAAGTGAAGATGTCTGCCCAGAATTGTTGCACCTTCTGCAAAGCAGTCGTTGACAGAGTATAGCCAAGGTAAGTCAACTCCGAAGAGTGGTAGATTCGTACGATCAGATCGCCAATAGAGCTGATCACACTGAGGATTATGAGAATGCCAACTAGCAGGAGCACCAGAATGTTGAGTTGCCTCTCCACGGCAGTTCTCTTAATCGGGGTCGCAGTTGCGTTCCGCATAAGTTTAGTCTCATGGCCAGTAAAAACAACAACACCGTGGATCCAGGGAGTATTTCGTAGTGTTGCTCCTCGAAGAAGTAGCTGATCAGGTTGGAGCGGAAGTTCTTTCTCGCCACCTCCAGCGGCTACGGTCAAAGTAGCTTCGTACGTATAGAGACTGCTGTTCGGCTGCTCTGAACGCAGCTTTCCTCCAAGTCTGCTCAGATCGCTTGAGCTAACCATAACACACGTCTCTGGAATTGCTTGCTTGATCTTGAGATTCGTTTCTCCATCAAGATTCGCCGTTTCAATGTAGCAAAGGCCTTCTGGTTCCGAACTCGCAAGCAGGACAATGTCGGCTGGGAAAGGCTCTTCAGACTCAACGCGCACAATATCTCCGACTGCAACATTTATCCATTTTGTCTCTTGAAATGATGATCCTCGCAGAACTCGCGCCTTCGAATTATTCAGCGTTTTGTCTGACGATTTTCTCTTGTAATCCTCAATCAACTCTTTACCAGCAGACACCAACAGGACGAGAATCAACGGACCGATTGTGGTATACTTGTTCGTAGGCGAAATGTTGGGTATCTGTTGCAAAGCCGCAGTAAATAAGAAGAAAATGTTGGCAAATTTGGAGAACTGTTCTAGGAGGAATTTGGGTAAAAAGGTTGCGATGTTATACTTCGCCGTAGATATGTGATTGTCCACATACTTATTCGTACTGTTCGCTGGGGGATTGTTGAGATGGATGATCCTAGGGCCCAGGGTCGATGGGTCTGGTTTTCCTCTACCGAATCCGAACTTGAATTTGCCCACGTCGAAGCTCTTTTTAGGTGTTTTCGGCGTTTCTGGACCGTCTGTATGTGACCTGGCTCCTGGCTCAGTCAAAGGAAGATCCATCTCCGAGTACTCCGGGCCCATCCCCAGCATGCTTTTTGCTCTTCCCATCAGGCCGCCTCCCATACTCATCACACTATTTCGGTTCCTAGGCTTCCCTCCCATCGACATACCGGCTCCACCCCCAGGCAGCGCGCCTCCTTGATTATAGTATGATCCTCCATCCTCAGGGAAGTCATCCAGGTCATCCGCATAACGTTGGTAGTTATTCAACCCCGACGTCTGGCTATATGTCCTTCCTGCACTTCCAGAAGCGTATGGACCAGCTCCATAGCCCGGCACTGTTCCAGGCCCACCAGGTAGATTCTTTGTTCCCGGATGTGGTTCACCAGCCCCAACGAAATCATCGTAAGATATTGAGGGGCGGGGATTTGAGGTGTCGTGGTCGGCAGTGTATGCGCGTAGCAGATCGTCATCGTTTACAGGAGCCCGCTGGCCGTCTTTGTATATCGGTTGCTCATCGTTCAGGTCGAGGAGGAGGTCGTTCCTGTTGTTCGGGGGCTTGCCAGCCATGCTGACGGACAGCTATGAATCGTCGCTCTCAGGACGGCGCAAGCTCTGTCGCGAACATCCAAAGCTACTCAATGATGAGATTCTATGAGATCGTCTTGGTAGGCGATCGTTTCGTGTTTGGAAGTAGGGAGGTGTTCCTGAGGTCGAAGAATAAGCCTCCCAGGCACAGCCTCAATCCTACGGCAATACGAAGCGCGGCAACGCAAACTTCAATTCAGCTCCACAGGCAGATGCTACCAGTTTGGTACGAGTTATCTGATTGAGGACCGACAGGGAAGTGATTCAAGAACCATTGACCAAGTCAGAATTAGTCGCAGAGTCGTCTTAACTTCTCCTGCAGCAGTTCATGTCCAAAACGGTTCCTTTGAACACCCCTGCTAGCGCTGTTTTGTCTTGGCGACGTCAACTTCAGCCTTCTCCCGCCACAGGACGTCACGTCAACATCAACTCCAGCATCAACAAAGATGGTCTGCGCAAAATGTGCGAAACTCTCGAAATCGACGACTTTGGCAACACCAGGTGTCAAGAAGAAGAGTGAGATGTATTATGGCTCGCCTGCAGGATCCTCAAAGACCGATAAGACCAAGACCTCCGCAACTTTGGGTAACAACGGCATTGGGAAGGCGAGTTATCACCCCTCAATCCTATCTTGTACTTACTGACCAACTTGCAGAGTAAGTTGTTATCAAAAGCAGCAAGAAATCCCTATGCATCATATTCGAGCTCCTGCACCACTTGCAAGACAAAGGTGGATCAAGGGCGAACATATTGTCAAAAATGCGCCTACAAGGCAAATGGTATGACTTCTATTTTTAATAAATCATCGCTAGCATGACTAATGTATCTACAGCATGCGCCATGTGCGGCAAAGCAAATTCGAAATCAACAGCAGCGGCTCCTGTCATTGCTGGCCAGAAGTTTACCCTTAAATGAAATGAACGAATACCACGACCAATATGCAGCGATGAAATTATAGAGGCATGGGCGTCAAGGAGTTCGAGGATTAGAACTGGCCCAAATGGTACAAATTTCGCGGAGCAAACCCTGTGAGCAAGTGAAGCTCGGGATTTATGTTGAATCGTGTACAAAGGGCGCTCGTTTAGATACGTCGATTTCCCCATTTGAGCGGCAAGGACTTTGATTTCAGAACATGAATTTCCTTTACGACATAGGGTCTGCCTCGTTTTGCCTGAAATGCCTCGGGGGTTTCTTACTGGCAGTACATCGTTCCAAGTGCTCCATCACATATTTCCCAAAAGATACAACCAGTTTTGATTCCAAACAGGACATCAATATCCAAAAGCTCTCTATGATACATACTCTTAATAACCACCTCAATCGACCCCATAAATCTATCTTCATTAATAAATATATTCCTAAAATGCCAGCCCTTATTCGCACCCTCATCAAACTCCTCATCCGGCAGCTTTAGCGTGTGCACCGAAAAATATCTTGCTCCTCTCATCATACTGACGTTTCGAAATCTTTTGTACAAGACATACATTCATTGAATTTCGACGACAGCGGAGCCGAATGGAAACCACATGAAGTGCGTGATGGCGGCTAGAATATCCGTATTTGCTACGATACAGATCTGTTCTCGGCGATTAATACTGGCGAAGTCGAGCACGTTAATAGTGATATCTAGGTAGCTGATGCGTAGTGCGGATATTAGTTCATCCTGCTTCTCGAGTCTTCGAATTCCCTTACGATCAATGAACGTCAAGACCAAGGCGGCTATTGTCAAATACTATTATTTATTTGTATCCTTTTATCATTTTGAGTAATTTGGACAAGTTCATTACTTCCAAATCATCCCTCCTTCCCATTCTCCAGCGCTAAAGCATCCGTGTCTCTATCAAGCCTCACCCAGGTCTTCTCAGATATCCTCCCAATACTAATCTAACTCTCATTTACCCTCCAATAAAATCCAGATGTCTTATTCGTCATTTGCCTACCTTTATTACTGAAAGTCTCTGCAATGTTTCTGCTGCCGTTCCAACTACTCATAATCACAGCCTCAATGTCCATGTAATTCCATTTCCCCAATTCCCTCCAAAACATCGTCCTAATCGCCTCTTCGAACGCTATTATCACAACCACCAAATTAAAAGCAAACACAGCATAGATGTAAACTCTCTGTCCAATTTTAAGTTCCATACTGGTGACCACCGCTTCTGTTACCGTCGACTGGTTCCCAACCATGGGTTGCGCGCTGTCAGCTGGTACAATGGTGGCGTTACGTGTCTCTGTCACTTCTAGCCACCCAGGCTTAAGACAGGCTCTACTGCTTATTGTTCATGTGATTCTCCTTACTCTCTTATATTTAGCTTTACTCTTTGCTCTAGCTAGCTCTCCAATTTATCGCAGTTCAAGGCATCTGGCACGCGCTTGCATACCCAACGAGAATGTCATCCAGCATCGCGGAGACGGAATATGTGCCTCGGGCAGGAGTGAATGTTGCTTCCGTCAGTGGGGTACTGGAATTGCCTTGCGAGATGTTGTAGTTCTTAATGCTGCTCATGAAAGAGTCCCCCAACAGCGACTGAAAAGATTTGTTTGGTCGTTTGAGATGAGCTCCAATTGGTGGGTCGAGGCATGGGCAAGATTGCCTTCTAAGTTCATATTTTAGCTGCTTGATACTGGAAGAACAGTGATATGTTTTGCTTTGACATCGAAGGTGATATTGAACAGTGTTGGGATGTAGTCGACCGAACACTGGGTTGTATTTAGGAAAGCATAGTTGGATCCGGCAGCAATCCCCACATATTTCGTACCATTTGCTTGGGCCGCAGCTACTCCAGTAGCAACGATGGATGGTGCGTCATCACGGCCGATATATGTCGAGCGTTCTCCCACGCCGTTGCTATTCGGTAGTGTACCTATCGCTTCCCATAGAATAGAGGTATCATCTGAAATGAGAACAAAATCCGTGCTTGAGTTATGGATACCATTGACGCTGGCATTGTATCCCATTTCCTGATATGTTTAAAACATCGTGAAAGCGTCATTGAGAATATTGTCATCCGTAAGCCCGGCTGGCTCGCCAACTCCGTAAGACCGACCGATATAGGCGAGACCTGAATTGTCAAGCTTGACATGTTTTCGTGGGCTTCTATCCACAGTCGTGGCAGAGGATGCTGTGGATAGAAGAGCGCCTTCCATTGTGACGCCGACATTATAAGAAAATACCCCTTTTGAATTTCTGGCCTCTGAAACCTGGGCCGCGTTCTCAGACTCAGAAGGATACTCATGTATGAGTGACGTATTATCGTATGAAGGAATCATAATACCGAATGTGCGAGTCTTGAAGAGAGTAACCAATGACAAAGCACCTGCCCAAAGCGTAGAGGGAATCACCGTTATGCCCATGAACAACAAGAGAGGTAGTAGATATTCGAGAGGCAGACGCCAAATTATGCTCGGTGTGCACAGATGGGACCAAAATTGAAGGTTGTTCAATGAAGCTTTAGTCCGGTTGAAGCGCAGTCTCGTGGCTCGATTGACCAACGTGCACAACATAGTGACCTGAAAGAACGCAAAAGCATTTGAAAGCAACTGTACAACAATTTGGGTCGAAGCTCTGTTGTTGTCCACGAAGTTGTATAGAGATGGAGATAACACCCAATTTTGTTGCTCCGCTACAACTAGAATTGAACTAATCGCGCTTGTTATGAGAAGGCCGAAAAATCGCGAATTCTCCAGTTGACAAGAGAAGCGGCCATCTTTAGATTTCGTGTACAGGTCTTGCTCTCCGACGTCGACGTCTTGCTTGCTAATACCCCATTTTACGGGCAGATCCGACAGGTTTGACGATGGTGTGAGGAGAGGAGCGACTGAGGCAGTCAAGGTGAACCAAGATGTTGGCTCTCTTGCCTTAGCGTCCCGGGGGACTGGATCGACGATGCAGCGGCAGCGCCCCCTTTGGCTGAGCAACCAACCACCTTCCCTGGCTGCAATGTTGTGAGACATCGGGGCGTAGCGACTGGGGGCTCAATGAAAGACTTGCACTAAAGCCCCCACGTCCCTGCGGGTTTGGTGCGTATCAGCGGTACAGGCTTGAATCAGCGATACGGTCATTTTTGTAATAACTTCCACAATTCCACAAAATGAAAACTAAAAGAAGCCAAAAATTGCGCAATTATCGGGCGTACCTCTATATAACCCCCCCCCCCCCCCCCCTTTTTTTTTTTTCGGGATCTTGTATTACATTGTGAAGTTATTAAAAATTCCAAAAAATATTTGTTAGGGAAAAAAAGTGATATGGTATCCCTGATTTTTGACCGTATTACTGATACGCACCAAACCCGCAGGCACATAGGGGCTTTGGTGCAAGTCCTGACGCACGATTATCCGCTTCGCTCGCCGATCACGCTAAACCCCGCCCCCCGTTTGGTCCTCCGCCCGAGAGGTATCACGAGGCTAACCCAAGGAAGAATTCTCAATACCGCCTGAGCTGGGCAAGCCCATCCTTGGAAACCCGCAATAGTCGATTCATGAGAAGATTCGCGATTATGCAACCCCTGGTTCTCTTAGCAACCACTTTCACAACAGACACGTCAAGAGGCTGCTAGTGAAGCAGCAGATTAACTGTAGCGTTTCCAATATCAGGCATTTGCTCCGGATGAATCTTCTAAACCACACAGAGAGATTTCCTGGAACAGCCTCATGGCGTACTGCTTGATATTAGGACGGCTTGGCACACGGTTTGATTTCAATCGATAATTGGCAATCCTAGTAATCCCGATTCAATACTGTAACCCCCGGGGCCCGGGTACTCTATCTACAACTCTTCACGCGACTTAGACCACGTCGGGTACGAAGGCACAGCCGGAATCCAGTAGTTGGACTCATCTTACATTTTCCTTTCGACGATATGGGTACGGTTATAGATTTAGCACTTTACCCAGTAAAATTGCGTGGCGATTCTGCTCTGGCATGCTATGGTGGCATTACTGGCAATTATCCTTCTTCGGATCAAGGTTACGTCAAGTTCTTGGGGCTCGGTGGGGGGAATATTGTCTCTCTATAAACTCGCCTCCTCCTAGCAACAGACTTAAGAACACTGGAGCAGGAATAAATCGACTAGACACTTGGAAGTACCAGGTGCTCGTAAGGGCTACTCGGGGCCATGATCGCAATTTGAGCCTAGTGTTCAAAGAGGAGGATAACGATTTGGATTATGAGTTGCCAAAGGCTGAGAAAGATACGGACGAGTGCAATGTGCTCGTCGGAAGGAGGTCCATCCAGTTTACAGACTCTCGGATACGGTGAGGGGCTAAGGGGATCTATTGCTTATGCTTGTTATTGTCTTCTTGTTAGCTCACATTTGTCCTCTTCTCGTGGAGATTATGGATGTCTCTCTTTTTTCTTGGACCTTTTCGTTTCTGCTATAAATTTGTCCTTGTCACTTACTCGTAAATCTTAGTTAAGTTCTCACCAAAAGTTAGAAATTTACTCCTTGAAACTCAAGCACGTGCCCAAACTCGATGCCGTGCGCTCTGGCAGAAAATACCTGGAGAGGGGGCTAACTACTTTAAAATGTTATGCTACGGTATACCAATGCTAAAGTGTGAAGTGTGTTCAGTGTATAGGATCGATAGCCGAACGATAATGATCGCGATAAAAATGGGTCTTGGTTTTAACGACCAAGGCCTGAAAATAGTAAGTAAGGGCCTAAAATTTTAGCGGGAAAAGCCTGAAATTTAGCGAATAAAGTTTTTACTCGCTAAATATAGGCTATGATCAGACACACTCTTGTAATTCAAAAAGGCCTAGAGTCATATATCCTCTAGAGGATCCAGTTGCTCAAAGTGCTCTTAAGTTTCCTGGGCAAGCTCCTTAGCATTCTTCTCACGATTCGAATATCCATATTTCCAATTCTGCCTAAAGTGGGCTGCCCAATTTGGCATCACAACTGACTTCCAGCTTTTCAGATGGCACCAAATGCATGAACTGTCGACTCGGGGATATTTGAAAGCAACAATTTCTGCTTCTTTCGTCCTCCATGGCTGTGTTCTCTCGTACTATGCATATCGTCGCCAAGAAAGGATTATGGCTCTTCTGTATGTCCTGTCGATCCAGATGGCCCCGCAGCTATTGCTTCTTTGTGCTTTGTATTTCATCCTCCATGGCAATATTCAATTTTCCTTGCGTGGGGATTTGCAGAATATTTAGCGCGGTATGTCCAAATCTCGAAACGCCCCCAGGATATGCCATCAAATTCAGATATAGTCCCGGAACACCAGGAAAAGTCTGCAGACGGCCCTTGGCTACCAGCCCCCTGGGTAAACCAGGGGGCTGGCTACAATGCAATAAACCATCCTTCTTCTTTGTTACTCCTGACTCCATTTTCCCGTGTAGCATGCAATACTAACTAATATACGCTAGGATTAATCCAGGATCGACCCGGCACAGATTATCGCAAAGCCTGGTGGTACATTGTGGTTCCAAGGCAATGTCACAAACGCATATGAAACTCTCCAGCTATACGTATAGATCACTGAGTTTCAATGTTATGAAACGGACGAGCAACAGATCGCCTTTCTACAGGAAGTCCCATCTTGGATAGGCTCAGAAAGCTATGTTGAGAGATATGCGTACTTCGGAGCGTTTCCGTGAATGAGAAGAGAAAACCCTCTAATGAATGTATAAAAGAGGTTGCTGGAATTAATGGCAACACTTTGGCTTCAATCAACTCGATGTACAAATACTAATAATTACCAGTATGTATTGCACATATTGGTCCGAATGAAGAATAGATTTAGTTGAGGGTTGTACTAACGTGATCTGTCTAATCAGACACACAAAAATATTATTTGCACGTTTATCACGCAGCCACAACTATCAAAGTTCTTTCAACATACGCTCATGGTTTGACCTCGGCAACAGTCATCTCGACAGCTCCATCCAAGTTCAGGTTCACCTCATCAATTGACTCGAGAGAGACTTCCCTTTCCTCAACATCCCTTGTGCGTCGAAGCTTCGCAGGGCCTGTCTCAAGTTAGCTCGAGACAAAACACTATACGGCAGCTTCCGCACCACGTTGATCACCCAGCGTTCTGATCTTGAGCAAAGTAACAGTCGGCAGACCGCCGTCCTCTCTCCTCGTAATCGCACCACCAGGCTTGACCGTAATCCCAACACCCGACCCCCCTTCTCCAGTTCCCAGCTCAACACCAGGACTTGTCTTCAAGGCTCCAGTTGCATAATTCAGGGCGGCGTTAAATCCAGCGAGGTCGCGCTTCTCTACATCGGTATCAGTAATGTCCTTCCGGGGCTCGAGGGTATTGACAATTCGCCCAATGCCGAAGATACCTGAGGGGAGGGAGGACGCACTTGCTAAAGCTTCTGCGGGAGTGATGATCGTGGGTGTGTTTACGCCGGCCTGATTCAGGCCCTCGATGGCGGTGGCTGCTTCTGTGCCGGCCGAGGCGCCTGACAATGTGTTGACGAGTGCTTCAGCCTCGGCGCCAGAACCAAACGAGATTTCACCATCGCCGACGACCAAGGCGGGAGAGTAGGCACCGAGATTAATGTTCAAGGGAACGGCGGAGACGCAAGCTGCTGTGAAGAGAGCAAGGATGACTGATTCGTAATGCATGGCGATGGGAGTGATTGAAAACTGATGATGTTTGTTGTGGGATTGATTGATATATATTTTGACAGAAAGAGTGAGAATTATAAATGAGCTGTGAGCGCCTTAGGGAAGACTTGCTTCTGAAAATGAGGTATTTGAAATGAATGTGAGCGCAGCTGGAGAAGAAAATGGAGAAATTGTAGACGACTAGTCTATCTTATACTTCTAGGGATGGCAGCAGATATACCGAGCTTTCCGTGACACTTGACTTACTGGCACGTTCCATACCTCGTTCCCCTCGTCCAGAAGGGGGTATATCGATCTGCCATGGGGCCTAGCATGTCTGTCCGGATGTTGGAGTCAAAACGCCAGTCACAGGAACGTCCCTGGAAGATCGATATACAATTGGTTGATCTGTAAGGCATGAGAGGCTGAGGGCAGTGGTACGCAAAAGCCAAGAAAGCCCAGAACAAGTGTCAAGGCTGTGAGTTTGTCTGAAAATATCTGAAACTTGAAAAGTCCGCTGCTCGCGGAGGTTTTGCGACACTTGGCACCCTTGTGCCAAGCTCGATACTTGGTCTGAAGTCACATCGACGGCTTGACCGTGCTGCATGAGTTGTCAACACCAGCTTGGCGTCTCTTGTCAGCTTGGTACTGAGAGTTTGGACGTAATTGGTTCCTTCTTGGACTTTGAAACTCTGTTCTGAGAGTCTTGTTCTGTTGGTGAAGGTCAAAGGATCGACGTCGGAACTTTTCAGATGGAATGCCGAGCTCACGTGACAATGTCCCAAACTGGTTGGTGGCTTGACCAGCCCTAATCTTCATTCGCCCAACGCGCCAGCATAACCGCCAAGCCATACATCACCATGTTGGGATACGCTCTTGCCTTGATTCCCCTTTACTTCTTCATCTATCTTCCGGTCTCATCGATGCTCCATGGGACTGCACAGAACCCTTCAGACCGAGACATTGTGAACTTCAATTTCAATGTCTCATCCATCGCCAGTGATGAGCCCCTATCTTGCCCTCCTCACAGCTACACGACTCACATTCTCTCTCATGAGCCACTCATCATCTACATTGAGAACTTTCTCAGTGCTGACGAATCTGCCCATCTTCTGAAGATCAGGTATTCCTTGTTCCGCCTCAAACCGAACATCCGGATGTCAAAACACGTGACTGACCACATCATAGTGAAGACAAGTTTGAGGCCTCAACTGTCTCTACTGGGACTGAGACGTCCGTTCAAAAAGATATCCGTTTCTCAGAAGTCGCCGTCATAGACCGTGATGATGTTGTCAGATGTATCGAGCATCGGGCGAGAGCTTTCCAAGGATGGAATCCAGATCTTCATATTGAACGACTCAGGACTCAACGTTATGCAGTAGGAGGCCATTATAAGCATCACTATGACTGGAGTGGTGCCAGTCGAGTAGCCGATCGCGTGAGCACTTTCATGGTATATGTCGACGCAGAATGTGAAGGTGGAGGGACCAACTTCCCGAGGATCAGGATGCCGGATGTGAAAGAAGGGAGATGGTGTGAGCTTTTGGAATGCCATGAAGTTGCTGGTAATGAGAATAGAGGACCAAAGCTAGGAGTTACATTCAAACCAATCACGGGGAATGCTGTTTTTTGGCACAATCTGGCAGCGAATGGGAGGGGCTATGAAGAGACGTATCACGCTGGGCTGCCGATATTATCAGGACACAAGGTTGGTCTGAATATCTGGAGCTGGGGCTCGAGACGGATGGGGTAGGGAGTGATCCTTATATCAATACATCTCCGGTACAGCATTTTCCCATGAGGCGAGCTATTCCCGTGTATTCCCTTTTCGTCCTCTTTCTACTCATTGAAAAATGCCCACCGCGGCATGCGGGGCGACATTGAGAGTTTGATTTGACTACGTTCATTGGCTGTCGGGGATATTCCCACGCGCAAGGGAACAAAGGAGGCTTTGTCATTTGGGAAGAAGAATTGGACTCGCAATGCCTAATTTCGTTCTTCCATGCCACGACTGCTGCAGATGTTGGGTTAATATAGACACGATCTAGGCACGGAATGGAAATCTTCGTGGCACAAGAGGCGGCACCGCAAAAAGAAGCGCATGGGCGTTGACGGTGCAACTCTTTCATCAGGCATTCGCGCTCGGGAGAAAGCTGTGGTGGAAGGCTGCATTGCGCAAAAGAACCTTCTTAGTTTTCTGGTTTTTACATCTACAGCATCTGTCGTTTGCACCTCTTGCTCCTGCCCCTCTTCATCACCGCATCGTCCTCGGCCCCGTGTTCGTCGTTAGAAGAATTAGCAATTAGCGTGTCTGAGTCTGAGGAAGCAGCATGAAACACTCCCAATATGCTGTGCGACGCTTGCCAGGAACTTTTCCAGATTCACAAATAGGTGCAAGGCCCGCCAGTCCAGCCGCGCTCGGGAGGGGGCCAGGAATATTCTCCAACGTGCGTCCTAGCTCGGCTTCATTCGGGTTGCTGATGCAGGATGCCATATCTGTTCAGTCGACGCCCGATTTCTACATATGCAGAATGAACTTAGCAATGAGGACATTCACAAAAGTCCGTTTACGTACGCGGTAAGGTACAGCAGCAAATGGGCCCAGATGATAACTCAAATTATCGTATGTTGCGCGTCACTACCAAAGATCCTGAGACCACAGAAGTAGGACCAAGGAGCTCGAGATTCTTTCCCAAAAGTGTAAGTTTGACGACTTCTCTCTAGAGCTGTAGTTTGACAAGCTGCCTAGATTTTCCTGATGGCGAACAGACCAACTCAAGTCGGACCAACTCTCAAACGGTCTTTGGCCAGATCAAGAACTGGATTACTACGTGTATTATGAACATGCGAGCTGTGGAAAGTCATGCAATCCATCATTCATGCCAACGAGATTCCATGATCTGGGAGATTCTGCCAGTGATCCTCATTTGCGGCTGCTCATCTCTGCCGAACGCTTCCAAGGCCACAATAAGGATGACGAATTCAAACAACAGCATTCACAACTTCCTAGACTTGAGTCATCGGTGGGGTCGAGTCTAAATGCCAAAACTCGAAAGTAGTAATGAAATTGCATTTCGCCAATCCATACCTTTTCAAGCCTTGCCGAAGACTTTCCAACACGCTATCGAATTAACAAGGCAATTGGAGGTTCGATATCCCTGGATTGATGCGCTATGCATCATCCAGGATTCAGACGATGACTGGTTGAGTGAAGGAGCAACAATGGCAAACGTGTATAGGAACGCGTACTGTAACATTGCCGCGACTTCGGCCACAGACATTAACCGAAGCCTCTTCTATGCACGAAACATTCGGGGTGATTCTCCCGAGCCCAATATTAAATTAGTCCATTATAGAGTTTGGCGTGCTGCTGGCCAACTATAGCGCCTCGCCTGAATAGTCGGCAGGTTCGGAAGAAGCTGCATTGCTCAAAACTCCAAGTTCCGACGTCGAAGATTTCTCCGGGTTGTGAACACCTTCCAGCTTGGCATAGCAGGTTACCTCAAGTAAGGCATTGTGGCAAATGCTGGAGCTGAACAGATGGCTCCAGAAATGACCGCCAGGATAGAGCGTGATGGGAACGCCTGGTGTGCCAACGTTGACTGTTACTGTTTGCTACGACCCATCAGGCCCAAAGGTTTGCGTTAACCAAGTCATTGGAAAAGGCTGTCCAAGAACACTTTTTACTGTGCCAACTCAAACGGATGTCCATAAAGACATCCATATCCAGCGATGACGGTCCATATGTTAAGGCCTATTCGCCAATACCAGCGGTTTACTAATTGGGGTCCCCATTAGCTTAAACTTTGCGCAGTTGCAGGCTTCTGATTTCAAAACCTTGGAGCTTTGGCGAAGCATGCTTACCCCTACTCCGTCAAATCATTGCTTGTCAGCCATCGTGTGTTTCGATTCTTCAGAAATTTCCACGAATACAACGGAACTCGAATTCTTACTACAAATTTGCCCGAGAGCAGCACGGCGGGTTTCTTAGAGTCTTTGGCCCTGGGTATCAACTTTTCACCGGGAATGGCTCCGAGCCACAGACTCCGCATCTCACTTGGGTAAATGTCTTTTTAGCCTAAAATCAGGACAACCTTAAAACTTGGACATATTGGGGATGTTATGGTCTAAACACCAAACAGGGAAAGCAACTTCTAGAATTTTCAGGTTCAGTGCCAGATGGAGATGAAAGCGGTAAGCCCATGCGTCGATAAACCCCAAAACCAATATTTCCTACATTTCCCCCTAAGCTTTACAGCACAACTGTCGTGTAACGAAACCTCTAGCAGATCATAAAGTAGCTTAAGCCCACAACATTCTGATAACATTGAGCTTTTCCATCTAGAGTTGTCGATGCCTAAATACGTACTTCGGATGCCCGGCGAGGAAATGATCAGCGGCGACAGGTAAGTGGAAGGGCAACGAAGCAATGCCTAGAGCCATTCTAGTCACTTTCAAAGCTGCAATAGCTATGCAAACAAGAACGGGCTAAACACAACAGATGTTGACCGGCATTGCCCCGTTGATCGCGTCTCGGGGAATATATTTCGCTCCCGAGTGGCCGCCGAGTTACGATACCGAGGCCTACTCGTGTGTAGGATAAAAAAAAAACCCCTACCCTGAAGTGTGTTTCTGGCAGGTTCGCCTCCACAAAACCTTGAATTCCAGCTCTCTTATTCGTTAGAACCCCGTCCTGCGGCGTCGTGGATGCAGACAAGGCATGGGTTTATTCACCCAAGTCACCAAGTATACCTATAGTCGGCCCGAGCTAAGAACGACAAAACCCCCACCCCACCCCCCCTATTATAATACTAGTTGGTGTAAATTATACTAATTAAAATTGTAGTTTATTCTTATAAAATTAAATCCTTATTCTCTTAATTTTAATATCGTTATTATTGCGAGAGTTATAAAGCACGTGATTTTATTAAATTCTTTATATTTTTATATTATTAATTAATTAACTTAATTACTCTTTTATAATTTTATTAATACCCTGAAAACTATAATATTAATTAAGTACTTCTTTTTTATATTTCTTATAATTACTTTTCTTTTAAAAATTAATAAAAAAATAAGTTAATTAAATTCTTATTATAATTAAAAATAAATTTATAATTTGAGGTTTTATAAATAAGTAATATAAAACTCCTTTTAATATAAAAAAATAATTCTTTTGTTATATATATTAAATATACTAATATAATAAAGCTTAAAGATTTAATCTTGTTTTAAGTTTAATAAAAGCTTAATAGTAATAATAATAATAATATACTAAGTAATATAAGAGAACAAAACCTTTTCATTGTCCGTTAGCTTCTCGTATTGTTTTCTACTTATACAAGCTTAAAATTTCATTGGTTGGGGTTGGCACTGTATCCTTTGAACTTGAAATTAAGTTAGGCTCGCAGGCACTAGCTGCCTATTAAAAAAGTTTGCAAGCAATGTCTTGCAGTCTGGAGTAGACATTTTACTTTAGGACTTACCATTGCCATATTGACCGAGCTATTCTCCGCTTAATCTCGTTCGCCTGCAGGGAATCTGCTCTGTGCCGAGTAATCCCTGTCTATTAGCGTCAGCAGCCAGGGGCCTCGGAGGAGGAAAGAATTTCTCGGCTGTCGGTAGCTACTCAAAAGTCATAAGGATGAATGAGACAACAGATGAGCTAACTAGGTGTGTCAAGCAGAACAAGCTCAGCCGGAAACCTACCCCAAGCTGTGGCGCAAGCGAGGTGTTTTATATTCCGAGATCCTACCAGACATCGGGCCGGCGCTGGATCATACATCACTGGAAGAGGCACTGAGTTGAAGCCGCTTCTGAAAAGCACACCATATCCGTGTACCAAACTTCATAGATTCTTGAAGCCAATTACTCTCATCTCTCATCGAAGTCGACCTATTTCAATACCCAGAATAACGTCAGCGGTATTCACTTCTGTATGCAAACTCGCCATTCATTTCTCTTCTTGCCCACGAGGGCATTATTGGTTACCTAGAGAAGCGTCAGGCCATCTCATCAGCTGTAATGACTGTTCTATTACAACCGCGATCCCGATTCAGAACGACATGGTTAACAATCTTAGACTTGCATAACTAGCGCGGAGCGGACATTGTAGAGTAACCTCTGGCTTTGTTTTTTCTGCTCTAAGTCTGACAGCGGCAACAAGATCTCTTTGAGAGCACACAAAAGAGATGGAGTTTCTCTGCCTTCTGGCATTTAGTCTCTTCAATAAAGTTTGAAAATTGAGCAATTTATACTCTACCTTGCATTCTAGCAAGAGGCATCTTCTGAAAATGAAGCCCGCTTCGCTCATTACCCTCGTTTATGGCACTCTCGTCTCTGGTCAAGGTAAGCTGTTCATTCGTTGATAATGCCTTTGAATTCTGATTGACTCTGCTCCAGCAACGTATCCCAATATTTCAGCAAAATTCCTTCACACATTGGAACCTATTACTGTAAGCTCTGCCTTTAGTTTTGTTGTCAATATCATGCACCGGCTCCCCTGTCAGACTGGATATCTGTATATCACGTGATTAGCATCGCCATGCAATAGACTTAACGCTTGCTGCCTTGGACTCCGGCCTCCTCAAGACCCTGATCTCCTTGCTGTCATATCTCTAACAAATCTCTCAGGCCCTTCCAGGAGGCTTCCCGTGGGGAACCAGAACCGCGAGTATTACAAATCCTTGTAAGTCGTCTCTCAATTGAACAAATTCGGAATCTCAATTGCTTACCAGAAATAGATGGTGAGTTCATGTTCGGAAGGAACACTAACTACTTTTGCTGATATTAATTGTTTTTTAAGTTGGTGAGTCCACAAGCTCTACGTGGATTCGCAAGTCTATCGTGCTAATTTCTTTCAAGACTCTCCAAATACCGGGTGAGTATGTGCATGGACAGCCAGGTAGATTGCTCATTAAATGTAGTGTGCTACGAAAATATGACCTTACCGTCGGTAGAGGCACGGCGGCTCCTGATGGATACTTGAAAAATTCTCTCCTCATCAACGGACAATTTCCTGGGCCTCTGCTTGAAGCGAACTGGCAGGGACCCCAAGAGATTCAAACTGGCGGTCATTTTTAACGTCGTATAGGGGAGACACAATTCAAGTCACTCTTCACAACCAAATCACCGGACCGCAAGAAGGAGTTGCTCTTCATTGGCACGGGATTTTGCAGAAAAGCACCCCGTCAGTTCTTGTCCGTCCTGGAAATCATTTCCTTCCAACTAACTTTCGTAATAGGTGGATGGATGGCGTTCCCGCCATTTCGCAATGTCCTATTCCTTATGGACAAAGTTTTACATATTCGTTCATCGCTGATCTATACGGAAGTTCTTGGTACCACTCTCATTATTCTGCCCAGTATTCTGGAGGACTTTTTGGACCTATGATTATTCATGGACCTCCGACTCTCCCTTACGATATTGGCATGTAGAAGCACAAGGAATTAATGGTCTTCGCTAACAATCAGAAAAGATGTTGGACCGATTCTGGTGACTGATTATTACCATCGGGATTATTTGACGGTATTGAGGGATGTAATGGGCACCGTCCCAGCCAAAGTACCTGCATTCTCCGACAACAATTTGATTAATGGCCGCAATAACTTCGATTGCTCCAAGGTTGCTGCTGGAGATACCACGCCATGTGTGAGCAATGCTGGCCTTAGCAGCTTCAAGTTCACCCCTGGCAAAACCCACCTACTTCGCTTGATAAATGCTGGATCAGAGGGCATGCAAAAGTTCAGCCTCGACGACCACAACATGACTGTCATTGCCAACGACTTTGTGCCAATTATTCCATATACAACCCAAGGTGAGCTTGTCCTTATTATCCCCCGCGAACACGCTAAATAACAAGCCGATAGTTGTCACATTGGGCATTGCCCAACGGACTGACGTTCTCATCTACGCTCCCGCAAACGCTGTGGGCTCGTACACCATGCGGTCCTCAATTGCAGGATACCCTTGTTCCTTTGCTCACCAACCAGATGCTACAGCAATTGTTTACTACGGCACATCGCCAGGAACATCTACATCTACCCCTTGGCCAGCGTGGGTCGACTCCATTGCAAATTCATGCCAGAACGTAAGCTTCGGGGCCTGCGTCACTCTCAATCAGAGAAATACTAAAATAACACAGGACCCAGTCAACCAGACTGTTCCGTGGTTTCCTATCACCCCCGATCCAGCACCTCCGGTCACGCAACTAGTCACCATTGGCCTCACCACGAATTCTTCTGGTCACACGATCTGGACAATGAACAACGTAGCTTTCCGCGGTGATTACAACGCGCCAATTCTTCTGCTTTCGAATAGCGGAAACAATTCTTACCCATTTGACCCCGAAGTAAGCCGTACTATTCCCTGCTTGTTGTCTCCCAATACTGACTTGTTCCAGTGGAACGTCTACAACTTTGGCTCCAGCTCTTCCGTCCGCTTCGTAATCAACAACCCTACCGGCTTCCCACACCCCATCCACTTACACGGCCATAACTTCTTCGTCCTAGCAGCCGGCGCTCCAGGCGACGGCAATTTTCCTGACGGAGCCCTCACCAACCCCAAGAATCCCCAACGTCGCGACGTCCAAGTCGTCCCGCCTAACTCCTACATTGTCATCCAACTTACATCTGACAACCCGGGAGCCTGGCCACTTCATTGCCATATCGCCTGGCATGTGTCTGCTGGGCTGTATCTCACGGTCTTGGAACGTCCGGCTGATATCAAGAACTTGAAGATTCCGAGTATCATGGCGCAGACATGTAGAGAGTGGTCGGCGTTTACTAACACGACTATCCCGGATCAGATTGATTCCGGGTTGTGATTTGGGAACAATTTTAGACGAGTTAGCTTCTGGATATCTCTGGTAATTATGGATTGTTGTCAGTCTCAGAGGAAAAGAAGCTTAATCGGGGGTGACCTGTGTTTGGAAAAGTTTGCCCCGCTGACTTTTTCTTCATTTCTTCGCGCGAGGCTCTTTGTTCCGTTTTAACTTTTCCATTTTCTGCAACACATACACTCTCAGCGTTATTCGTGTAGATTTTCAAGAATCATTACACTCGGCATAAGGGCCGTTTCTTTCCTGTATACTTATCTCAAAGCTTACCATTTGGCTCTGATGAATACATGATCTGTGATACTTGTGTGCAATGGTCGATTCTAGGAGTGCTGGTATATTCTAGGCATCTCCTTAAAATCCCTATCCCCCTCCTCCGGCAGTTGAAGCCAATCATCATCCAGCACTATCTCTGGAATCTGTCTCTCCTCTGCCCACCTCCTAACCGTCTCAAAATCCCGACTCATATGCCTCGTATTGAAATCCACGGACGCCTTCGACTCCTCAGGACGAATCCACACCTGCCCCAGCACCCCGATATCAACTGTACACATCACTGTTGTCTAGTAATATACAAGCAATGCGAGACGTGAAACTTCACAATATACTCATCGTTCTTAAATGTCCCTTCGCCGAGGATGTGATAGTCGTAATTGAACCAGAGACTCCGACGCAGCAGGTTCAGACAGTGAAGATGATGGAGTCCCTCGACATTTGCGGGGCAGCCACCGCCGTACTTTTGGTTGATTTTTACTTGGTAGTGTGTGAGACCAAACTTTGGGGCCAGAGAGGAGGAGATGATGAGCGGGCCATAGTTGACGCCGAGGGAATCCTTCCTAGGTTGTATCGACTTCTGGGCTTGCAGATTGGTGGAAGATGTTTTCTTTGAGGAGGGAGCCGTTTAATTGCGTTGGGACGTAGGAAAGAGGGACGCCTTCGAGAATTGATGTTTGAGGGTGTCAGTGAAAGCAGAATGGGCAAGTTGGGGAGCTTTCTGACAATAGTTGGTGATTTGCTTTACTCTGGAAGTTGGGCTGGGAGTCGATTCCCAATTTCGACGTAGATATGGCAGATATTAACACGAGAGCTGTTGGAAGGAATTGTGAAAGTCGGCTGCGAGGAGACTGACCAAGTGATTCATTGCTAAGAAGCAGATCCCGGCAGTCTTCTCTGTACTGTATTCTGCTAATTCTGGCATTCCTTTTCGAAGAATTGAACACATTGTGCATTATATCTTATGAGGATCAAGGACAATCAATAAGTTTTAGGAAATGGCCAAAAAAGTTCAAATTTGGGAGGGAAGTGAACGAGACGAATGGTGACGTCCACCACATCTCGGCATCTTTGAAATGTGCTCCCTTGGTCGTGGGCCGGATGCAACAATGCAAAATTGAAAACTCCATCAGTAACAGTGCGAAAACCCGTATTGCACGAGTTCAATCTTGAGCTGGACTGTACTGTACAGTACAATGCACAAAATAGTCTGTCTTCTCGAGGTGGCCGAGAAAAGTGGCTCGACCCCAAAGGTGGGGTGACCTGGCGTGTCTTCGGCAACTTGAGGTTACATCTGGCTCTCACTGGCAGGTGCCAAGACCAAACTTGTAGGAGCTAGTTCGGAGACTTTTTTTTCCAGATTGGTGAGAAGTGCAGATCATCCAGCTTTATTTAGAAATCCCCGATGGACAAAATAGGAAGGATCTGCAGCTATGTCAGACTTCAGCAAGCCAAATGCCACCACAGCTCAGCCACCATCGAACCTAATCGTCGGGGCGTGTGCAAGTAGTATTCGCCGTGGAATACACGTGCTGGTTTGTATCCTTCTAGAAAAAAGGACTTTGGTGTTTTTGCTAGCGCAGCTGCGAGCTGTACGATGCTCAAGTCGAGTTTCTCAACGACCTTGTGAATGAAATCGATTCGGCAGGGATGAAAACCTCAAGACTTGCTTGCAGGGAAAGATAGGCCTTTCGAACAATAAACTCCACATTTGTCCTTTACCTCGGAGTTTTCCCGACGGATGACAGAACGGCGCAAAGATTAGATCACATTCTGATCAGAGGGTTTCAGACCTTCTTCTCCTGCCACTGCTACCTGCCATCAGCCGTCCCAAGTAACCCAACCCGTATACCCTGTCACCTTTTACAACTTTCAACTAAACAGAAGATCAAGAGTAAATGTCAATGAAACACCTGCTAGTCTCATTCGGAGCATCCGTTAGCAGGATTCAATACTCACAAACTCACACTCCACAAGGTGCCATTTCTCAGCATCCCCTTCCACGGAATACCGATATCCCATCAAACTACCATCCCAGATCTCTTTCATCAAGGATTCATCAGCAAGCAGCCCACCCAAGCTACCAGCCAAACTCACAATCCCTATCAATCACATGTCATCAAAATGAAGTTCACGGCGGATCTTATGATTCGAGTTCTGAGAAAGTATAAAGGCGTTGAAAACAAATTTTGGGAGTATGGGAAGTAGTAATAAAAGGTCTTCAACTCGTCAAGCCTTCTGAATTTACAAAGTGAGCTTGGACGAAAGACCATGAAGCGAGCAAATTTCAAAAAATATGCAACAAAACTCAAGAAAAATCATCCACTTGACAGCAACTCAGAAGAAGCCATGATATCAACTTGATGATTCAATGTTCAGGTTCGATTTCCGGCGTTGACTGCGATGTGCAATGAAGCCTTGATTACAAAAGACAAATGACTCGAAAATTCCGGTATGAGCTATCCATTGTACCAGAACTCTTGGAACAATGAGGGTAGAGCGATGTGTTTTATTAATCATATTCACCGTTGAGATCAAAGACCAGATGATACATTACTTGATTCTCATCTCATGATTAGCTGAAAGCTTGCCATTCAAAGAACGGATTTCATACGATCTATCTCCATCAGACGAGACGTCTCTTCATCTGAAATGACTAATCGGTGTTCAATCGACGTTCTCATTGTGCCAGAAAATGTGAAAGAATGATGATGCGACATGCAGCAAAGATTTCTCGACTCAACCGCCTTGAACCCCAGTGTCACATGCGTTGTTATGGTTAGTTATTGCAGCATTCACTGTTCCTCTCGTCCAGATGGATGCTTGCTCAATTCACCGAGAGGAGGTAATACTGAAATAATGACGTGATCAACAAGAAGGCATAGAAATGAGGCAAGGCCCGTGAGCTGCTCGAATCACTTGATTCTTATAAAGCGCGAAAATAAAGCGTCTGACGGTACCGTTATCCCAAAAAAGCACTGTGCAGAGGCACTGGTCCTCAATGTGGAAAAATATTCTCATTTTTGGGGTATCAGTGTCACCTGTCTGTCCTTTGGCACCCCCGATCCCTCCTCCCAGCAGCGTCGAACACTGCCCTCTCCACTACTGGCACGGAATCGCTTTGTCCTTGCCCATCAGCAAGAACGAACTCCCACCTTGGCGCAGGAGCATTAACATTTGGCCACAGATCCACCGGTAAATAATCCCCCACATCGACTCTAAATCCTTCCCTCTCCTTCATATCCGCCTCGTACACTTTCTCGATCTGCTCCATAGCCTTCTTCATGATGGTCTTAACTTTCTCTTCATATTGTTTCCGCCTGTACACTTCCAGGATCAAGCCATCATATGAGCTATGGTAGTTTTCGTAGAACAACCGCATGGATTCAAGTTCATTGAGCTGCTCTCCAATATTGATCTTTGTTTCCTCCCAGCGTATCCGGAAATCCTGGCTCGCAATTATGTACCCTGGCAATCTTGCCCCAATGCCCTCGAGAATCTGATACGCGGCAGTCATTTCGTTATATGTGGTGGTGAGCGCAGACACATATTCGAGGACGGCATCATGTTTCATCTCCATCTCCTCAAGATACTCCTTGAGCTCCATGACCACATCGTCCACTTGCGAAGAATCCTTTTCTAAGACATCAAGCATTTCTCTTCTCTCTTCGTCGGATATGGGTTCACCAGAGGGAGGATCATTCTCCGTGTTCATCACGCCTGAGACGGAGACTGCTTCTGCTCCTGGCGGCTGTGATGAAGCTGCTTTCCGGACAGCCGCGTATCCTCCTTCGGTATGTCGGATAGCATTGACGCAGAGGTCAAAATGCCGGACCAGGGAATCGAGAAGTGCTGCCATTTCCTGGGCATGGCTCTCCAAGCTTTGCAAATGTGTAGGGATTGTAGAAGAGAGTTCGTTGCGTGACTGGGAGGCGCTGGGTTGTGGGGAAGACTTCATGGCGGCTTTGAGGGCACGAAGGTCATTTTCGAATGCCAATATCGAGGAGTCAAATTCTGTTTGTGCTTCCTAGGAATGTGTTAGAAAGGCAGGCGAAGTTTAAGCGGTCATCTTACCTTTGACTCCCGTATCGACTCCTTCAAAGCATCTCGCATGGTCTCTACTCCCTGTTCATCCACAAAATCCAGTAGACTTCGAGGGTCCTCTTTTTCAGGCCTAAATGCAGCTTCCACCATTGTAGACCTCAATATATCCATCGTAGACTCCAGTCTTGCATTCGCGGCGTCTAGAGTCCGAATAACACTCTGTGGGGCTAATCAGCCTGATATTCCTCTTGGCAGATGCAGCTGCGACATACCTTGAAATCCCACTGTCCCTCCTTATAGATATTCTCAATCCCTCCTCTAACCTTCTTTAATATCTTGACCTGCTCCGAGATGCCGCTCCTGAGGAAGCCTGTCCGAGCATTCAAAACCACACTCTCTTCCAGCGCAGCTCTCGCAGACGTCACAATTTCATTCGCACGCCATACTGTGCTAATCGATGATAAAGAGCGTTTGGACGCTAGGAGATGAGATACGAGGGTTTCGAGAGGAATGTCTTGTTGTGCCATGGACCGAGATTGGGATTTAGAAGAAGAGAGGGAAGCACGACTGCGGCTGGCTGGGGGTGAGGCCGACATGGTGGAGACAAGGGGTATTTTTTATTAGTCGCAGAGATGTTACTATTGTTCGAATTGTGCCGTCTTCTGCTCGATCCTTTATCGTGTCGATTTTGATGTTCTGGGATGTTGAGAGGATGATGCGAGGCTGCGAACTTCTATGGTCCCAAGAACTCACCAAATGCGCTCCGGACTCTGATTGGCCGGAATTAACATTGATCCACTTCTCTTCTCAATCCAATCCAATCCACCACCTCGCAGCCCCTTTCCTTCCTTCTCACTGGGAGATTCGAGATGTGTACCTCGAACGATCATGTTTGACATAGTCTCATGTTTCTCATCGCCTCGGACAGAAGCATTGGAACTCGGAGACTGGGCCCGAAGACGCAGCGGTCAACAAGGCATCGCCGCATCGAGGCTCTGGTCCTCCATGCAGAGTTGGACCTCTCTACGCCGAACCACGACCGCATTATCGGCTCGCTCGTTCAAGTTCAATAGAGGTGATCCATGCCTTTCAAGATGTTGTGAGGTCGTCGTCGTCGTCCATCTGACCGATGAGGCGAAGGCTCCTCTCAGCCCCTCTGAGCCCCTCTCGGGAGATCTTGAGAAGATCTCTGCTACATGCAAGCGCGAGTGGACCCAAAAGGCCCGAGAAGCAAGATCCATGGCACATCTGTTGCAATTCTTGCATACTGGCGTTGCATTTAAGTGAATACCGGGCCGGTAGTGCTTTTCCTGGCCTGATTTCTTTTGCTATGTCACGTGCATTCAAGCGGGAGTTGAAAAGAATTGGGAATCGGCCCGTTTTGTGCAGTTGTCATGGGGCGCCAACCACGCAACGCACAGCCTCGCGAATGAAAATCCATATTCAGAAAGATCAAGTAGCAACCGTGCCCCCGGCGAGACGTCTCGAATCGTTCTCCTTTCGAGATTGTGCGTGCTTTAAGCCTACTTTATGCCAAAGTTGATGAGCTCAGCGGCCTCATTGATGACTCGCCGAGGAAGATCACTTAACAAATCAGCTATCTGTGTGCAAAGGTCGGTTTGCTTCGCTAATCCGGCTCTCCGGAATTGTACCGAGGACGGTGAAAGCTTACGATGTTGACAGAACATCCTCTCTTCTCGAATAGCCCTCAAGAAGCCAGTGATTCCGAGGCAGAACAAGTCAATCTATTCGGAGATGAACTGATCCGATGGGACGCTGTTTGAGAGACTTGGTTTATCTTTGAGGAGCACCTCCGTTCGGGTTATATACCCCCGCATTCCGTCCACCAGGTCCACCTGCCCCTCTCTCCAGTCCTGGTCTATATCAAGTTCTCCACACCCTTGAATACTGGCTATTCCTCCAGCAGCCTCCCGAGATGTCTGAATCAAACCAAGCCCACCACAATGATGGAATCTATCACGCACCGGATGTCGAGGTCGAGCCGTTTCCAACTCTGGCCAACTCGACAATGGGGGGTATCACAGCCCCCATCCACCCCCCACACAGATTCAACGACGAAACGTTGATGTATGTTGCCGTGCGTGTCGGCATGGGGTCGAGAGGCTCGAAAGAAAGGTAATCTATCTTCTCTCTCTACTATTCTTTCACTTTTATTATATTGACACCAAGGCAGGAAATCCTCATCCTCCAACAAGAAAACATCTAGATTAAAATCCTTCGCCAAAGCACTAAAACGAGGCACTAACCCCTCCAACTCATCAGAAGACATCCGTGTAATCCGGATGCCTCGTAGTGCCTACATCAAATACTTCGCCCGCAATGAAGTCGACGAGTATGTCGGCACCGAGCCGGAGCGATCTTGGGGTGACGAGGATCTAGAGGAGGCGTTTGGGAGATATCGAGATTTCAGGCCGACGAGATGGGTGATGAAGAGTGAGGATGGAGGGAGCAGGGGGGGGCCGGCGCTGGTGCCTGGGAAGGAGGTGTTCGTTGCTGCGGAAGCGAGTGGAAGGGGGGATGGTGGGAGGTTGCTGAAGGACGGTTAAGGTGGGCACTGGGATACCTTGGAGCCCTCAGTGAACAATATATTGATTGATCGTGTTGCACTGACATGCTGGTTTCATCTGCAGTTGGAAGAGCAGCTTGCTATTGTATCTTCATTAGTGGAAACACCGGTTGATAGCACCCTGTGGAGATTCATCTTACGCGGGAACAGGGATGCATGCTGGCGGGCCCGGCCGGGGGAAGTAATACATAATTATGGGAATCGAATCGATGAGAAATTGATGCCATTTATTGGTCTTTCTTTCTACAAAACATATACACCATTACCACTCCCAACTCCAGAGCCTTCCGAGAACGCCATCCACACCCTCTACCCTACCACCGACATCTCAATTATTCGCCCCCAGCGTCCCTAAATACCAAGTCTTATCCTCACCGCCCTCCAGCTCCTTCGTCGAGAACCCATTCCCCAAATACCCAAACCTCCCCCTCTCATAGACGTACTCAAAATCCTCCCCTCTAAACATCTCCAGCATATGGAACCAATGGATCCTGCTTCCTGGGTGAAGTGCCGTAACCGGTCCGGTCTCTTTCCCATTCTTAAACCATGATCTACAAGTCTCAGACCACACTGTGCGCGGCATGAAGGCGTCAATGTGTTCACTATAGGCCGAGAGCGCGGCATGGCTGGGTGAAAGAGATAAAATGCCTTCGGTTTGGCATTTTTGGATGATGGAGCAGATGTAGCGGGATATGTGCTCTGTGATTGTGATGACGCTGCCGTGACCGATGGCAGAATTGGGGCCGAGGAACACTTCACAAAACAACATTAGCAACGTCGTTTTCCCTATCTCGCGTGATGAGCGGACTTACTAAAATAATTGGGGAAATCAGGAACAGCGCAGGACATGTATGCTCGAGGTAAATTCTCCGTCCAGAGATCTTGGAGGTTGCCTTTCCTTCCTATTACAGGAAAGCGTGGTCGGAAAGATAAATCAAAGCCAGTGGCACAGATCAAGGAATCGACTTCTACTACTTCTCCGGTAGCGATCTCAATGCCTGTTGGGACAACTCTGGCAATGTTTTCTGTTACAACGCGGACATTTTCTTTTGTTAGAGATTCGAGGTATCCAGGTCCTGGAGTGAGTCTTCGACAACCGACGGCAAAGGAGGGAATGAGGGCTTTGCAGAGGAGCTTGTCATTTCCAAGAAGAGTGGTCATGTAAATAGATAACAGTTTGAATGCTTGAGCTTGACGTTCGCTGTCTTTCAGCATCTGGTACTCGAAGTCAGCCGCTTGTAAACCTGAATCAGTACGATATGGAGGGGTATTCTCAAACTAACCATAGGGAATCTTCCGTTGATCTGCTCTTCGACAGCTTTAACGAATTCAAGATAGTATTCCGGTGAAGTCTTGAACTTCTCGATTTGTTTAGGGGTGAAGTTTTCTCCGTCCATGTCCAAACTTCCAAGAATTTCGGCGACCTTGCCGGATTTCCATGTTTTATACGATGGTGGAGCAATCCAACTTGGTGACCGGATGAAGTGAACCAGTTTTTTAACATCCAGGAGAGATTAGCTTTGAGTTTTTGACTTAATACCACGAAGAAACTCGGAACTTACCGGGTTGTAAAGCTGGGACAATCTGAACACCAGAGGAGCCATTGCCAATGACCGCCACTTTCCTTCCGGGATATTCGAAGTTTTCCGGCCAATTTGCACTGTGAACGAGGTCGCCTTTGAAATCATGGAGACCGGGTATTTGAGGCCATTTCCAGTTACTGTCGGATGTCAAATGACTTTCAACCCTAAGATTGCGCAACCAAATTAAAAAACTCACTTCAAAATCCCCGAAGCATTCAGCAAAAAGTGACAATAGTCATCAAACACTATCCCAGACCTCAAATCCTCAATCCTCAACTCCCAAACCCCCTTCTCATTCCACCTCGCCTGCACAACCCGATGCTCAGTCTTAATCTCCCTACCAAAATCTTCCTCCTCAACTACCCCACAGAAATAAGCTTCGATCTCTTCCGCAGAACCAAAGAAGGAGTTCCATTCCGGATTCGGTTTCCAGGAGTATTGGTAGTTGTGAGCGGGGATATCGCATTTGCAACCAGGGTATCGGTTTTCGTACCACGTGCCGCCGACTTTGGGGTTCTTTTCGTAGACGATGTGGGTGTAGTTTGTGAGGGATGTTCGTAGGGTGCGGATCATGTTGATTCCACTTGCTCCAGCTCCGATTGTGACGATTCGTACATGGGATTCAGTCCCAAGTGGTTGCTCGAGGATTGTGTATGGGGTGTCGGGTATTGTGACACGTGCAGCAGCTGCTCCTGCCGTTTCTGATACCATTGTCGCTCGAGGTGCGAGGAGACCGAATGTCTAGAATTGTTGTTGGAGGGCAGTTGAAGGATTTAATAATCACATGTGGCGAGACATATGGTCCTATCTGTAACTCTTAAGGATCGCATTCACTTTGATGTTGTTGTTGTTGTTTGTTGTCAAGCTGAACGACAGGCCGCAGTCACGGCGACCCGGTTATCTTACCCCGTTCGCCGCATTCCGGGGCTACGGGACTAGGTGTTCGTACATACAGCTGCCCCTGTTTGGAGATGCAGGAGCGTGGACATCTTGCCGAGTGCCGGGTTTCGTCCGCATTGAAGTGAGACGTGCGGTGACTACAGAATGGAGAATTGGTGGCAAAGTCGGTGATCTATTTGTTTTGGCAAGGCAAAGGGGTGGATTGGAGTCGCTTAAGCTCCTGAATGTTCCCTGCTAGAGTGTGTTATTCCCTGTAATTGACGACCCCCTGGCCCAACCCTTGATCTGTGGACTGCATACTGATCCCCATAGCTCACGGAGGAATCTTTCTTGGAGAGCTCTGACTTATTGCTAGAGGTTTTAGTTCTCCGGGAAGCTTCATGAGCTATTGGCACCTTGAACATGCCGTTTAGAAGCCTGAGCCCCTCCCAACGCTGGTTGGCACTTGAATACTCGCTGGGGGGGGTTTCCCAAGTTGCATCTCCAATTTCAATTCACTTGATGCATCAGCACTTAATGATTCACACTTCTTTACCGAGCAAAAGAAGTTGTTAAGTGCAATTGAGCTTATCTGCTGGGTTTTGAAGCTTTAAATGACCTAGAACACACACATCCGGAGAACCACAAATCGTGAAGCTATTGCATGGCTGTCCCGGACTCTTTGAATAAGGTGATTGACTGAATCTCAATCGCAACCTTCCAAATGGCTTCGGTTGCTGCAGCACGTTTCAAGCTCGTATTTTTCGTACCCCCATCCTCTCTCCCAACATGCAAAGCGGCAATGTTCGCAGCAGGCGCTGGTCATTATCCCGGCCCAAGAAACTACACAGAATGCTGCTTCGCCTCTATGGTACCGGTCAGCTTCGCCCTGGAGACACAGCGACCCCATATACCTGAGACTATGGGCGTACTTGAAGAGGTCCAGGAAGCAAGAGTTGAAACGATTTGCCTTAGTGAGGAGGTTGTTCGGAGAGCAGTTGAGGCGTTGAAGGGGCAAGTTCGCGGGAACTTGGAGCTCTGGGCCGCCTTTACACTTCGAAGAGTTGTTATGGATTGAGATAAGGCTGATGATTCTTCAAGTGTCATCCATATGAAGAGCCAGCATTTGAGGTACAAAATGGTGAAATTCTGAATATGGGAGGCGTGATCAGTGTTGGGTTATGGGATTTTGTCGCCGGAAGGGAAACGAGTACGAAATTAGCACTGATATTCTCTCTGATACATCAAGAAACAAATGGGAGCGACTGGTTGTTTTGAACTCAAAATCTTCATTGTTGACCGGGAAATCTTTAGTTTGAAGTGCGCAATATGCCCTCTTGGTGCGGAATTCGGAGCCCCACAGAATTCTCGCCAAAGCTATCAACTTTATATATCAAAAGAAGTAAATCCGAACGCTTCTAATCAAACAAATAGTAGTGAAAACTTATAACAATAGCGTGTGAAATCAAGTTAAACTAACTATGCCAACATTGACACCAACAACGACAATAACACCAGTCCGCGAGAAAGATGTCAATAACACTCCGACTCCACGCCCGTCCAAGGATGACGTTAAACTCAGCAAGCCGGGGTTAAACCCCCAATTGAAAGTTGAAACCGCGCAAAATTCGGTTCGTCTGAGTTTTCCTTACCCTCCACCCGTGGGCGCATGAAATATGTCTTTCTTTCCTTGCTATAAATTTTTTTATTGCATGGTGTTTTTATAGGTGGTGTTAATGAAGCGAGGCAAGCGTGGTTAGCGATCAAGTCGCTTATAATTTTAGCGACGCTGGCGCTGTCTGCGGAGGCGAGAGATCGATAATAGTGGGTCTAGTTCTTTAGCGATAGCTACGGGGCCAGTGAGCTATTTATAGAAGTCACAAGAACATGCCCTTGGCTTACCAGTGGGGCTATCTTACTGATAATGTTCTTGGGTGAGCTTGTCAAACTGATTACCACCGCCTCGTTATATGGCAACGTCCGGAGCTATGTCTGCTGATCCAATGGGCATCTACGATGCGTCAGGTGATGAGCGTGAAGTTGCGAATGAAGAGCGGGAGCAATTGAAATACATGAAATTGACGGATCGACTGCGAAGAGTCTTCAACGCTGCAAGTATGACAACCGGGACCCCGTTGGAGGCGCGGTCTCCTGCCTCCTCCTCCACCAGCTCCGAGAGAATGAGACATTCATTCGAAAATTCCTCGTTCTTGGTAAAGATCCTTCGGGCCCCAATAATTATAAAAGGTTGGAATATTGGCATTGCTGAGTGTGGAATGCCCTTCTCCGTGGTTCGGCGAATTTCCAGCGTTAAGGTTTGCCATTGTTTAGCGACCGAAGGGCATGAAGGTACTCCATAGCACCCACAAGGCGAGCTTGGCTTATTGGTGGCTGCTTGATCGTTTGTACTTCGTGTAGTTGATCGATGGAGATGGTGGTGGTAGAGAAATTTCGGCGCTAGGACTAGTTAATGGAAGGGTTGTCCAGAAATCTTCCCCCCTTCCATCAATTGCGCACAGGGACTTAAAACCGCGCGTAGGAATCAAAGAGAAAGAGGGGGGCGCCTTTCAAGAGAGTGTTATGGAGAACCGGGTTTCGAACATACCGAGGGGACGGTGAGTAGCAAGGGTTGAGGTTGAGATGCAGAGATCGATAACCATGACTGTCGTCTACGGCATTCAGGGCCTCAACGGCGAAGAAAGGGGAACAGCGGGTAATTCAGGTATCGCAGGCTCAGTTCCAGAGATCTCACCTGTTTTGAGGGTTTGGAGAAGTTTGACAGGAAACCATTCTGATGCACACTCTGATCTTCCGTGGATCGCAGCCTGCGAGTGAGCTGCAACAAGCTTTGACGTTTACGAGAGTTCCAACATGATCGGGTAGCGATTGTTACAGAAAGGACAAAGCTTGGGCAGGAGTGCCGTCTTTCTTCTCAGGTGAAGATGTGGCTGGTCACTCTCGTATTGCATAAGCTGAGACAAGAAATACCTGCCTAACCTGAATCTCAAGGCGGACTCGAGAATCTGACGACTTGAAAGACCTGTACAACAGAAAAGGATGGGGAAAACCGATGTCCAGAGTGGCAAGGTTGAGATCCAGAGATCGGTAATCAGGATGTCTCGCGTGCTCCACAAGGCTGCGGGAAGGACCCTGCAGGCTAACCTGAAATCTTGAAGCCGCTGCCAGCAATTGACACCTCAAAGAAATAAATCTGGAGAGAGAGAAGGGAAGCGAAGAGAAACAACGCGAAGTAGTTTGAATTCCTTGTCACAGAATTGATAATTGGATCCAAAATGAATAATTCTTATTAACAATTCAAGTTTTGCAGCACCCCCGCTCTTATTAATCTGGGAGTTTGGGACTGCGTACGTGACCAATGTCGTGCTTACTTGCGCCATCTCTCGTAAAAGAAACTCGAGCTCTCCTCTTGATTCGAGCAGCCTTCACCAACCCCATTACTCATTCTCTGAACATCTCGTCAGGAATCTGAAGATTCGAACTGCTCAACATCGGCAGCAGCAGCATCATCTCAATCAAAAGTGCGGAGAAATTGTTCGGCTCGCTGCTTATCGATCCCAGCAGCTCCCACTCAACATTTGCATTTGCGCCTCATCGCACCACAACCCTGTCGACCGCACGAGCACGCAATCTGGGGCGAAGTGAGATCAGTTTCCTGCGACACCAGCCCCGGTCAGAGCACGAATATCTCGCACGACCTGACCGGTACTTGATGAGGTGCTTGCTCTGACTGTGCCTCTGCGCCCCTGCGCGCCCGCCATTCCTGGGCCTGCTGGCGACTTCCGCGCGGCTGGCGGACTCTTTCCTGGAACATATGGACAACGGTTGTTACTATGGCGTCAACGCAGACCGACAAATTGGCCGTACGGCAATCCGTTGAAGTACCGGGCGACCGTCTGCCAGACGACCTTTCGAAGAACCCTCGGTGGCAAGCGATCGAGATGGCATCAGCGTCTGGTGTGAATATGGATCTCGCGGATCGTGTCGAAGCGGGCGAGCCCCCAACGCACGAAAACTGCGACGGAGACCACAATAGCGAGTTCGACCCAAGAATCACAATCTCTTCTACGAGCAAGATGGCAGGCCAGACGGTTGCCCCTTTCCTTGCGAAGCACATTCCCGACCAGTACGCACCACTTCCCAAGGCTCAACCAGCTACGACTTCGCAGAAGGACCCCAACACCAAATACTGCTATCGACATCGGCCAGACTCAAAATGCCGCAGAACCGCTGATGAGCCGACAATGGAGAATCTACAAAGGGTACGCCGACAAGATTGAACTGGTGGGCAAGACTGACGGTATGGCAGGACCTCCAAGCATTGTCACAAGCAGATCAACAAGGTATATCTCACGTTTGGGCTCTCTTCTCTGCAGCACCGGCAAAGCAGAGAAATCTTATGCTCCAAGGCATCCTCACACAATGTTGCTTTCCTCAACTATCATATCTCTCCAACGCCGTCAAAGACCTTATTCGTATCGACTTTCTCGCTGCCCTCCCCTCCGAGGTATCTTTCAAGATTTTGTGCCATCTCGATACAACCTCGCTGTGTAAGGCGGCACAGGTCAGTCGGCGGTGGCGTTTGCTGGCGGATGACGATGTAGTTTGGCACAGGATGTGTGAGCAGCATATCGACCGGAAGTGTACAAGCTGTGGTTGGGGATTGCCACTTCTGGAGCGCAGACAATTAAGGGACTGGAAGCGACAACAACAACTGCGAGGAGCCGGCCGAGGCCTCAATGAGTGGTCACCTAAGCTGACTCCGGTTCCTGATGAGAAGATTGGCAAGGACTTAGTGACATTGAATCGTTCATCCAAGAGGGATGCCGATTCCTTCACCTCTGACGGCCTAGTAGCTAATTCTTCCGAAGCAAGCAAGCGACAATGTACCTCAACAGAAGATTCTTACTTCACAAAGCAAAAGTTTCGACCCTGGAAGGATGTTTACAAGGATCGATTTAAAGTCGGCACAAATTGGAAGTACGGCCGCTGCTCTATGAAGATTTTCAGGGGTCACACGAACGGCATCGTTTGTTTACAATTCGGCGACACTATCCTAGCAACCGGGTCGTACGACACAACCATCAAGATCTGGGATATTGCTACCGAGAAGTGTATTCGAACGTTACGCGGCCACACGTCTGGCGTTCGCTCCCTTCAATTTGACGACACGAAATTAATCAGTGGAAGTCTGGATAAGACTATCAAAGTCTGGAATTGGCGAACTGGCGAATGCCTTTCCACATTCCCAGGTCATTCCGAAGGCGTTATAGGTGTCCACTTTGATGGAAATATTCTAGCATCAGGATCTATCGACCGTACCGTCAAGATATGGAATTTTATCGACAAGTCAACCACCTCTCTCCGAGGCCACAAGGACTGGGTCAATGATGTCAAGGTTGATTTCCAATCTCGGACTGTATTTTCGGCCTCTGATGACTGTACTGTTCGTCTGTGGGATCTAGATACCATGAAGACGATCAGAATATTTGAAGGACATGTTGGCCAAGTGCAGCAGGTCACCTTGCTCCCAGCAGAATACGAACCTGAAGATGCGGAAGCTGAAGATACCGATGATGGAGCAAGCAGCACTTCAAGTTTTACCGACCTGGATACACCTGATGAGTTCTCATCATCGGTCTTCGAGTCTTGGGGGAAGAATCGTCCTTTACCACCAAAATATATCCTCACCGGAGCACTCGACTCTACCATTCGCCTCTGGGATGTTATCTCTGGCCGATGTCTAAAGACCTTCTTTGGACACGTCGAAGGTGTTTGGGCTTTAGCGGGCGATACCTTAAGAGTGGTATCCGGAGCTGAAGACCGCATGGTCAAAGTCTGGGATGCCAGGACCGGCAAGTGCGAGAAGACCTTTTCGGGTCACACAGGAGCTGTATCTTGTATCGGGCTCAGTGATAGCAGGATGTGTACCGGCAGTATTGATTGCGAGGCTCGGATGTACAGCTTCAAGAACGAGAGCGAACTCGGAGAGCAGATTGAAGGGGAGGGTTTCGCGGCGAGCACGCCGTTGTAAATCGAGAGTGAGGGCCGGATGATGTTTTGATTCTTGAGCGATGTTCAGAATTTTCGACTGGACTCATTTCCTAGATACCTTCCATTTGAAGCGATTAGCGAATAGCCCTTGGAATGCAGGCATGGTGAATGGTGTTTTGGGCATCAAAAGAAATTAGATGCAAGGCGTATTAGGGTAGATTTAGGGGATCTCACGGAACTAATGAATACCATTTCGAAATGGGAAGATTATGAGTCTCCACGTTTTGTGTTAAACTCGTTAAATTTATGTTGGCAGAATTGTTTAGAAGGAACGAGTATTTTGATCGTTTCCAAAGGGGGAGCGGTGGGAGGAGACCCACGGACGTCGCGGCACGATGGGGCAGAGAATGGAAAGTGCTACATTGTAATTCCAACTATACTGTCAAAGGTTCAGTGGCTGGAAGGAGACATGCAGCGCTGGCAGTCGATGGGAAATTGTCAACATGGCTCCTACTCCACCAAAGTCTTGAGCCTATTCTCAGTGCAAAGCTGTTGTATTACATTTGACCACTAGTGCAAGGGAAGTGAGGTCGTTCTACATACCTCCAACAGTGGGGCAGCCAGGTATTTGTATGTTGCTATCAGTGGAGACTTTGTTGTCAACTGTCAGGTAAATTTCATGACATTAGCCAAAATGGGAAAGATGACATGTCTTATATCAAATTAATATCAACGGAAATAAATTGAGAGGTGGTCCGGTTCTGAAATTTCTCGTCGGATTCACAGAAGTTGCTTTGTTGACAGTGGGCGGTAGTTGTCAGTTACAAACATCTCGAAGTTAATTGAAGATTTTGGGAGTGAGCAAAACACTTTGGACAACAAGTCAAGCCAAAGAATGGAACAACCAGCCCAGTGTAGTTTCACATCAGAGATGATATCGATGTTGTACGTAAAGAAATTGTTCTGGTGGTTGCCCTTGGGGTTCGGACAGGGCGGAACCGATCGTTGTGCACAACGAAGCCGTTCTACCAGCTGCCCTCCCTACAACGAACTTGAATGCAAAATGTTGGGCTCACTTCACCGCTAAACATACCAGCATTTATTCGCTCCACAGAATTCAAATGAACTGGTCTCAAGGCAGCAATCTCAAATTTGTGTATTTGTGCTGCCTAGCTATCTAGGCTCGTCGGACAATCTGTTACCTGCCAGTTCCAAGCCCTACCAGAAATAAGAAACCAGAGAGCATGTGCAAACCACCTACGAAACATGAAAGGGGAATAGTGAAAATACAGCTGCCAATGTAAAATGCCAACAACAAAAAATGCAAAACGAAAATGCGATGCCAACCTGCCCTCCCAAACTCCATGCAATGCTAATATGCAGACTCAGCGCTCAACATGCCCAATGAACTCTCTTCTTCGGCTTCGGACTTGGCGTCATCATTGCCATAGTTCCCAAATTTGTGCTGGCCGGCGCGCTCATCGAAACCGGCGTGTCCGTCCTCCCCACCTTCATCTTCACCTCATCATCACTCTCCCTCTCCTCCCTAATAGTCCAAATGTCCGGACTCGGTTCCCTCCAGCTCTGCGGCCGCCGCGCTGACAGAGACCGCGTCTGACCTCGTCCCCTCCCGCTCAGCGACGGCGTAAGCCGGACCTTCGGCCTGCCCCTTGTGGCCGAGAACTCCGGGATATTGATAGTGATGCCGAGACCCTTGAGTTCGTCTGGTCTTGTGCCTACCCTGGACTTGCGTCCGCTTGTGTGTTTTGCTGTGAAGTCTTTCAACGCCATGGGCATCGCGAGGCCGAAGGTTTCGTCGTCGTCTGCTTCGAGTGGAACACGCTGTAGCGTCGAGGGGGAGATTTCTCGTACAGGGGTGTGGCTTGACTCGGGAGTCTCGATGCCGGCGGACAGGTCCTCATCGTCGAGGAACTCATCAATGTCTTCGGGGGACGTCAGGAAGAAGGAGATCGGGTTCTCGTCGATGTTATCGAGGTTCTCTTCTTCTCCGTCGCGCAGGCGGATGATAGTCGGAGGCCACGAGTCTCGCCTCTGCAGCTCGTTGTATGGCATCACGAATCCGTTTGTGTGTTTCTCAAGCGTGGGTTTGGATGCCCGGCTCGCGGCCGGTCTATATGGTGTGTATTGAATGCGGAAGGGGAAATAAATTCCCTACCTAGACAGAATGACGAGAGATATGCTTGGTGATCTGATCAGCGTGAAACCTACGGAAGAGATATCCTGATTTGGAGGAGAGGGGGGGTGAGATATAGAAGTCACGCAGAAGCCTTGTGGCAGCCTTGCAGTCACCACGCCTCCTTTCGGTACGATTATGAATCATAGGAGTGAGACATGCAACCGCCAGGACTCGTGAACTTCCAAGTCCTGCCAAGGTAATTCAGCTACTTGATCAAAGACAGAAGGAAAATTGCGAGGGAGTACGCCCTGCATCGTGACTGCGATTTGTCAAAGGCGAACTCCTGTGCAACACGAAGGGGGTATGGATGGCTGCATATGTGGAAGCCTATCCGGTGACGAGAAACAATTGAAGCCACATCAGCCGCATTCTAGGTGTGACTGCGACTGTTGCCAATAGGACAATCCGGGTTCTTCCCCGCGCATTGCCTGGAGAGGTCACCGTGGCTTGGAGGATGGAGGTGATGAATCCGGTGAGACAAATGCGGATTTGGAGGCGGGAGGGTGGTCATGCAAGGCACACTAGATCACGTGGGAGCTTCGCCCGATTTGGTCATCGGCCAACTTGAGAAGGGAACTCTGGCAAGAAGGGCGAAAATGGGGCAAAGGAATGGTTCACCGATTTGCAGCCCGGTATTCGAGAAGGTTATAGGCAATGTTCCGGCCACTTCATGGTTGAGGACTCGTCAGCGATGACGGTTCACCGAAGTTCAAACTGACACAGGTCTCATTGAAATATCGCAAAATCTGCCGTAGCCGTCTGAGAACAGAAAGGCCTCACTTGCCTTATTGTTGTAATTCGAAAGGCTTCCTTTGCTCATGGAGGATTTCGAGTCAAGGAACTTCTTTTGAGGGTTTGAGGCTATTCGGGAGCGATCTCCAGCGGGCCGAGCCTTCGCTTCTCGCTTGAAGCCGAAAACCCCCTTTTAGCATTTCACGACTTTAGAAAGCATTCAAAGCACAAAGATTTTAAAACGAATAAATCAAAATAGCAAAAGAAATTGGTGAGAATCCAGAAACTTGATTTTCGCTTAGTTATCTGTAGCAAAGCAGTCCTCCTCACAAGCCGTTACCCAAGTAACTACCGCAGTAGAAGTTAAGGCCGGACACCTACAACTTTGATGTAAGTGTACGTCTAGAAACATAGCTTGAGTTAAGCCTACGGCTAGAGACCACTTTAACAGCAATTTCTTAGTTATATATGCGGCCGTTGTTGAAAGAGGGGCCATGCACAAGCTCCACTCTAGGTAAACAATCCATGTTTAGCCCCTGTATTTAGCGAATCAGCGCCCTAAAGGTGAGTTCTAGGAGATCTTTTGCATCGTCGCATATGTTTCGACATTTGATAAGCTAAGTTAAGTTGGCACTGGAAGGTTGGATCGAATCATAAGTTTTAACTGTAGAGAATTCTGTGAAGGGCTGAGCCGAAATCTGCATAAATATCAACGCCGGAAAAGCGTTTTCTATCCGACTCCTAAACTCTTTGCTGTTCCCATTGACACCGCCCAGTCCATTCCTCGCTATGGAAAAAATGCGCCCTTAGTAGATTTAAATGCTCAAGGTTCCACTACCATTTATCTGTCGCCGACAATTATCCCCATACTCCAATCAAATGCGATGCAGAAACAGTTGTCACAGCCCCTTGACCCGCCAAGTGGGACAGCAAAATTCTTGTGTAGACCGGAGAGAAGTTTTGGAGGAGGTTTTACGGAGACTATTGTGCCGCTCTTCGCTTCTAAAGTGGCGCGAAGTTATCCATGGGAGACGTCCAAGATCAGGTGGGAAGGAAGGTTGTTATTTATGAGAGACTGAGATTTCGATTAGGAGGATGTCAAAGTTTCCTGTTCCTTGTTTTTATTGAGGTCCACCGGGGAGGGCAGCTCGCTCGTCTCAAACAGTGGGCTCGCCTTCCACATATGGCAGGGGACTGGTGCTCGGCACCTGAATCATGCTCCATGCCTCGTGATCGAACACGATCGCGCCATCAACCTCCTTCAAATGCCTGGAGAACTCAGTCATGCCATCCTTTCCAAGACTCGAGTGTCCGGAATTGGAGAACCACTGCTCGGTCTCGCCTGTGTCGGCAGCCGTCCCTTCGACAATCGTCTCATTCCAATAATACCTGCTCTCGGCACTTTGTCGCGTCGCCAGACTCTGACTCCCCATTTTGGTCCCAGACAAGGAGGATATAATGTCGACTCGTTTTGTAATAAGACTTCGATCAATGAGAGCGAATACCGAGGAAAGAGTTGCGAGTGAGGGGGCGATGATATACGAGCTATAGAGGTTGATCGGGTACGAGTATGTTGTTTCAATGCCGGAAAAGGAGTCGGAATATGAGCCAGCTGTGAGCTGGCTGAGGGATTGGTTGAGACCCAAATCCGTCATATTTTGGATATTTTGGAAGGAGAGAGACTGCGACCAAGCAACTATCTTAGGACCAGCGGAGGTGACGATCGTGGACGAAATTGAAAGGCTTCTATGTGCTGTGAGCTTGAAATAGAGTGATGTATTAGTTGAGGTTCCGTTGGAAGTTACACTAGATACTTGTGGATAGAAGCTGAAGACTGTGGACGGTATTTTACTTTCGATGGCCTGCTCCCAGATTAGAATCCGTCGGCCTGAGATGAAAGAATCTAGAAAGACTCACACTTCCTCGCGTCTGGTTTCCGTGTTCGTCAAGCCAAATGAATACAGCCCCCGTGACCCACCAGTTCTCCCCAACAGAGCCGATATTTCCAGAAGCTGAAGTATCAAAGCTCACAACTTTTAGACTGAAGTTGTGTAACTTCCCGTCACACAGAAGAGGTAACCAAGGCGTCACATCGACGTCAAAAGATGGCAAATCGAAGGCATCAATCCCTACAATTGGTCGCCAAAGTCCAGGATCTACCCCGCCAGTGAAAAGAAGAGGAAATGGCCATGACACTCCAGCCAGTTTTCCATCTATCAGCACTTGGATTTCTCTGAACGGAGAGTAACCATACAGCCATCCCGGATTTTCGGGGAACGTATTAACGTATTCCGTAGGCCCCAGTATACAAATCTGAATACACATTGCTGAGATCAAAAATGACCCTCTGCTCAATTTTGAGAATAGTGTCGAAGGTGGTCATGTCTTTCTGGTAGGACCAGTAGATTCCAACATCGATTGGCATAGCTGTTGAAGTGCGCCATACTTCGATATCTCCCAGGAAAAGCAGAGCAAGTCGATGATATTGTCGGCCATGAGATGTCACGGAGATGTTGAAAATGGTTGTAGTGAACTTGCAGTCTTTTGGGGGACTGTAAACACCTGCTTTCTTGTCAGGTAACGTGCATAAGATTTCAAACCTTCGTGAGCTTACCGACGTATGGTGCACCATAACTGCTCGCGAATGTGTGTTGCAAAATGGTTTGTTGGCAGCTCACTCCTTCGTAATTTTGCCTTGGTGGTACCTGAGCCTGAATGACTTCCAATGCTGCCGAGGCGCCGATCGAAGAAAAGATGAATAAAAGGACCAGTCTCGAGAGACAAGTGGGAAGAAGAAAGTGAGGCATGATGATGAAAAGCAGGTCGAGCCTCTAGTTTCGACCGACCCCAAGCACCGGGACCTTGGGACATGCTCTCTTAAGTCCATTGAGATTCGTTCGTAGATTGGATCTGGGTAATACCCATTCTGGCATGCAGGCCGACAAATGGTAACGTTCCGTCTGCAAAGCGGGCACCTTTATCGAGGTAATATCCGACATAGATAAGAAGGAAAGGAGACACGCCGTTAACGTGAACGAATCAAAGGTGGACTTACACCGCGGTTGGAGCCCAAGACGCGAAAGCCAAGTTGTTTTGATATTGAGGTGGACAATGCGGTCACGTGTGGGCGCTGCTTTCCTCCTCATCTTCCGCCGCGCTTCACATCCCGCGAACCCATCATTCCATCAGAACAAAGCCCCCAGCTTTCCCGTACATTATCGCCTTTAATTATCGACTTCTCTCTTGTGCTTTATTCGAAAGTCTCGGGTCGGGCCGCCTGAGAGACAAAATGACGCGAAAACAAATTCGCGACGATATGAGAGGAAAATCAACAGAAGACGCGACATCCATCAGCGATGGCCCCCTCTCCATTCGGGTAATCACACACAACATTCGTTACGCGACTCAATATCCGTTCAAAGGCGAAGAGCCTTGGTCAACTCGCTGTCCTCTGCTCTGCTCACAACTTGTCTTCAATTCGGAGAACCCAGCAACCTTCATTTGCCTCCAAGAGGTGCTCCACTCGCAGCTTATGGATATCTTAAGCTCACTTAACACGTCCACTGCAACTCAAAGCCATGATTCTTGGTCCTACATAGGGGTTGGTCGCGATGATGGGAAGTCGGTAGGAGAGTATTCTCCAATTTTATATCGCCCGCGGATCTGGCATCTCAAACGGTGGGAGACTCGGTGGCTCAGTGAAACACCCACGATTCCGTCGAAAGGCTTCGACGCTTCGAGTATCAGGATAGTTACGATTGGACATTTTGTCCATGTCAAGACATCTCAGAATATTCTCGTCATGAGCACACACCTAGATGATCAAGGACGACAATCGCGGCGAGAAAGTGCGAAGATGATCTTGGAACGCATTCGATTCTTCTCAAATCATGACCAATTGTCAACTGTCCTTCTTGGTGGCGACTTTAACAGCCCCCCGGACGATGAAGCTTATCAGGTTATGACAACTTCAGATTCAATCATGGAAGACATCGGCGCTCAAGTTCCCAAAACCAAGCATTATGGCAACGAAATGACATTTACCTCATTTGGTTATGTGGACAACAAACCAAGCCGAATCGATTTCATCTTCTGCAGGAAAGGGGACCGGGTCACATACCAGACATATGCCGTCCTAGCAAATCGCTTTGATGATGGGATCTATCTCTCGGACCATCGAGCTTGTGTTGCAGATGTCCTTCTGGAGCCTGGACCGACCTCGTGAAAGTCGGAAAGACCACGTTCAAGATAGTTTTCAGCCATTCGCGAGTTTCGAAATATTGTTTGACAGCAGATGCTACGGCAGTTTATTGAACTGGCTTTCATGGACGTTTAATTCAACATGCCAACTTGCTCATTCAAGCGTTGAGAAATAATTAGATGCCGGATGTACTGGACCCGCGGATGTACATTGAAGAAGGATGTTTGATAATCCGATCACCCTTGAAATGGCTATCATTGGATCGCCAAATGCAGTCTCTCGAATTTATCAAGAGTTGGGGTGGCCTTAACGGTACTCGTAGTGTCTGACACATGATCGGAGAAGCGACAACCCGACTACATATTTCTCAAGAATCCATGGTTCACGCGTTCACGTTCTTTGCCACAATTCCATTTGACGGATTCAATTCCGGAAATCCATCATTCAGTGACCGACCTTAACGAAAATGGCCGAAAGCCTCACGAGTGCGCAGAGGTTGAGAAACGCACGTGCTTGCGAAGCGTGCAGAGCTAGCAAAAGTCGATGTGTTTACAAAAGTGACGTTGGGGTGTGTCAGAGATGCGAACAGAGCGGCAATCAGTGTATCGTGAGGTCCAAAGCGCGCCCTATGAGGACTCGTGCGGTGTGAGTCTTCCCAAAATCCATAAGTAATACTTGCTGAGGTCCGACCTTGAGCCGGCCATCTGGTTCGTCTCACAAGAATATCTCCCCTTTTGGAGACTCGGAATTTTCCATTGATCTTCCAACTGTGTCTCCTCCGGACAATAGGCAAGACGTCGAAGACCTCCACCAGCACCATATGCATGCCTTTGGGGATACCGATCCCACGAGAGTTGATGAATCGCGTATTTGCAGTGCACGACGTAGCCCGGAGCATCCTGCCATCATCGAGCATCGTAAAGTTACTTTGGAGCAGGCCGAGGAACTTCTCTCATCATTTCGTCGCATGGCACCTCATTTTCCGTTCGTTCAGGTCCCCGGAGATGCCACGGTTCCATCACTCTCACGAACGTCTCCGTTTTTGCTTTTAGCGATCCTCACCACGGCTTCAATCAGAGACCCTCCGTTGTATCATCAAATGGATTTTGAGTTCAAGAGGATCCTGAGCACTAAAGTCATCGTAGAAGGGCGCAAGAGCCTTGACTCTGTACAAGGCATCTTGGTCTACGTTGCATGGTAAACAGTTGACCCGCAGTACCGATCTGCTAGGAGCTAATATATGACCAGGTATCCGCTCCATGCGAATCCAAAGAATAACCAGGCGTTCATGTATATCAACCTAGCAACCAGTCTTACCAGTGACCTTGGACTTGACCTAGAGCTCCCAAACCTGAATAGCTTCGGCAATATCAGTACCCAAGGTCTCATCGAGGGAGCCTCCTTCACAGATGCTGCCAAGAGAGCATATCTTGGGTGCTATTACCTATCAAGCGCGTTAGTATTCCTTCCTCCGATTAGAATCGCAAGCCACCGACCATTTTCCAATCACCGGACTGAGCTAACCTTCCTTTAGGCTATCATTAGGATTTCAAAAACCTCCCGGATTACGCTATCGCAATTTGATGGACGGTCATGGCCAATCTCTGTTGCAGGACGAAAGTTCAGCAGAGATCTCCTCACTTATCAAGCTACAGCGCCTAGCTGAGCGAATTGCCGAGGTTCATCGATCGTCTGAACCTAAGGGGGATCTTCAAATGGAAGCTCTGAACGCCGAAGTCAACATTCAGATGTTCCAACACGAGGTCCAGGAGTGGCGAAAGTCCATAGCTACGTCAGTTAGAAATCTGCGTATGTTACTTCTGTTCGATGAATTATCTATTTTCTTGTTCAATCTCGATGTATTCTTCTCATTGGATGCATCCTCAATTTTGTTCTAGTTGTTCAAACCATATAGAACTAACTCCTGCTCCAGCTTTTATTGGAATGGCGGAACGCTATTTGGGTTGTGCCATTTACAGTCATGAACTTGGATTTCTCCGCCGTCCTTACCGAGATCATCTCCGTTCGATGACAAGTAACCCACCAGTAAATCCCGCACATCTTGAGAGTTGTCTTCAAGCCGCTAAAACATTCTGCGAATATCTGCTTTCTCTCCCCGAAACCAGTTACCTTGACTTCACTGCCATTCAATGGAGCATGGTGGTCCACGCTATCCTCGTTCTTTCTCGACTCACGTTTGTGATGGCTGCAAACCTGGGATGGGACTCTGATACAACGCGATCAAACGTCCCATTAGTTATGTATCTCGATGCTCTCTGTTACAGGTTCCAACATCTTTCATTGACACCATCCGATACAGCCGAAACACCACAGAATCCAGATGTGCTCTACGTGTTCGGGATGATACTAAGGAGTTGCAAGAAATCCTACGAACGACGAGTCGCAAAGATCGCACCAGGCTTCTTAATCGTCGATGATGCGAACGTAATCGATATGGCGGCTCGAGGACACTGTCCGATGCTTGATCCGGCACTGAACCCCTTGTTTGATATTTCTGACTCGACATATGGAGGGTCATATGAGTTGAGTGAGAGCGCAACTCCGAGCACTTCTTCGACAGCAGCTTTTCTGCCTCAATACCACGACGTCTGGGCAGTTATGACTGGTAGCTGGGCTGAGGAGTTTTGAACTTGACTTGGTCGAGACCTGCTGGTGCTGATTTCATGCGATCTCACGTCAGCCATTTGCGCAAAGACCACCAGATGCGGATTAATTAGGAGCGTAAGACCGGCGAACTTGCTGACCCTTCATGACTTATAAAACTGATGGAGATCCTTCAAAATTCCTTCAGGATATCCTCGTCCTCAGCAATCGCCAGACCAAATCATCACGTGGACAACTTTTCTTGTCAGGCACCGGAGGAAAACTATCAGCCGCAGCGCAAAAAAAGTGCACCCAGTCATGTACGAAACCATTCTTGGTAGAATTGATACATTGTCGGCTTCTTTGGGCTTAGCGAGGGAGAGTAAACGGGTGCGACCGGGCGAAAATCCATGGGGCTATTCGGGAGCAAAAGAGGAGACTTCACTGAAAGGGGGGAACGCAGAGTGTCTGCACAAGAAGGAGGCGGAGAGTGACGTCGAATCGGTTGAAAGTACCTTTACGATAGTGGAGAAAACAGAGGATGAGCATACTTGATGACTAGCTGGCCACAACACCATGACTGGACGAGTGTTCTGACCCTCAGCTTCGAGAACTTCGGTGATGGGCACTCCGGGCACGAACTCGCCTTATCGAGTCTCTGTGGCGTTCAAGATAATATGGGGCGAGGGTGCCATTGAGTTGCGAGCGAGGATGACTCCTGGAGGCGAAATGGCGGTGAAGGCGGCTGATGGTGTAGGGCTCAAATCTATCATTCATCGTGGGCGAATCTCTATCACAGAGATCTGCTGCAGGAAATTACATCGCAGATTCTTGCCGCAACCCCAATTTTCATGCAATTGAGAATTTCTTTTGCTCAATATGGCTTACTTTTCTGGAGTCTAACATCTCCCAGCTGGGCGGACTCTCCAAGCAAGAGCTCTGGTCTCAGCCTTGCAAAATCACTAATAGCTGATAGGCGGACACTGGTTAAAGCCCCCAGGGGTGCTCGGATGTCTCGTGAAAGTCGTCATGAATGGCCTTGAAAGCAGGCCGAATACGGAAGAGCAGTCGAGAAGGCTCAGTCGGCAGCCGATGTGACGCATCAACACATCACACGAGCTTTTAGAATATATTGGTGGCTTGACGATTAATTTACGAAGGTGCTGTAGCTCTGGTTTCTATGTACAACCGAAGAGGGCTGCAGGGAGAGCTTTCCGAAGCCTGCGCACATTTATGGTATGCATCTAACGCATGAAAACACAAAGTTGAGGTGGCCACCTCACTGGCTGGCCGTCGATGCAAGTCGTTCGGTTAAGTTCGCAGTGGAAAGTATCAATACCACCACATTCACGATCTAGAGATGCACGGCACGATGAGTCTTCTCTGGACTTACGATTCTATGGCTCGCAATCCGTGGATGACGCCGCACTTCCAGATTTCGTGATCCGCTGCGAGTGGTCTGGTCGGCAATGACTTGCATCGTCGTGGTCGTCGAGGGCCAGATCCGTGGCCGCTTCACCACCAATGGACCGGATGAAAACCGAAGCTTCTGAAATACCAGTTTCGGAGAGTTACCACTCGTCTGAAACACGGGAACATGAGTTCGCAGAAGACCTGGAGTTTGTTGCTATATCAGAAGTGTGGGAGGGTATCCACTATCGCTGAATGACAACCTGCTGCGTAAGCCGAGGGCACGACGAAAGGTTGAAGATTGGCGCCCCATGTGCCATGGCAAATCCTTCCTTCGATGAGACCCGATTGGAGAGGTTGCTGCTGGACATTCCTCAGTTTTCATGCATAAATTTGGCTCCAGAGTTCGTACTCACTCCTCGCCCTCCAGCCACTGCTCTGCTACTGCTCGTTGTTCCCCGCTTGAAACAGTAGGGAGAGGCATTCGTCCCTTTGCACGAAATGCAAGAATACCGGACAGGCTCGGGCGTTGACATGGCGCATTCGTCGCCCGTCGCCTATGAGAGTTGCTGAGGTGCTGAGGTGCTTGAGGTGCTGGCATCCACGGCAGCCCTTCCAATCGCGCTGACTGGCTGGCGTGAAGCATTCAAGCATCACGGAACGAGCAACGGTCGTCAGTGTGACTGCGTCGCCTGCCTACCAGTCCTTTGGGGCGGCTTAGTTTAGTTCTTCATCAACCTTCATCTGCCACATCTCTCCACACTGCTACCTCGCCCGATTTCCAAGCTCTCTCATCTTCTCCAACCTTCTCAGGAAGACTCCGGCGGAGTCATAAAAATGCGACATCGCACATTCCACCCAGCTCCACTCTCTCCATAAGGGCGTTGCTACCCAATTCCACGTACAACAATTAGGCTGAAGGACAACACAGCAGAGCAACGGGCGAACACGCAGAGCGAGAGGTCGTACCCAATTTTTGCCTCTCTTTTTTTCTCGCTAGAAGGGGCATTGCCGCGCCTGTGCAAGGGATCTCATCACTTCGTACTCGTCCCTCGTCCCCCGTCGGCACGACCAACAGCCAGGAGAACAAAACCTTCGCACACACAATATTCAGAACATTTCGCACGTCGTAGATCACCGACGTTTAAATCGCCCGGGTCAAGCTTCGGTCGCCGAGTTGACAGCGACCCCAATCGATAACGAGACAGCCTTCCTCGCCTCGCTAACAAAAGGAGCTCAGACCCCCCCATCTTTTTTTATTTCCCATCCGCGCCCGGCCCGTCCAACCCACCAAGACACCGTACTCTTCAGGCATTCAACCTCCATCAACCCCGCCGTCGCGAACTGGCATCGCGCACCGCTGTCGGCGCAAGCAGGTCGTCGTCGCACAGCGAGCAGTCATGAGTGGCGTCAAGGGAGAGCCGATGTACGTGGAAGAATACGATGAGAGAACGGGAAAGGTCTCGGGCAGACTGGTCGCAAGCACGAAACAGAAACCGAAAGTGCATGAGTCTCGCAAGTCGAGGAGATCGTACAACGACACGGCATATCCAGGAGAAGGCAGTTCGAGGGATGCGCCACTGATGGGCGAGAGAAAGGAAGTGAGGATTGAACGTCGCAAATCAACAAGCAGCGGGAGTTCCAAGTCACCTCACAAGACGAGACCACCCTCAGCACACGAGAACAGAACCTTCCTAAAATCTTCGATCCCAAGCTCTTCCAAGAGGGAGTCCATGGATCCATCAAATTACGGATACGCAACACCAACGGGCGCTCCAGTTATGTCGCAACCAATTCCACACCGACCCCGAGCAATCACCACGCAATCACATCCAAGACCTGTTAGTTATCATGCCCCTCTGCCAGGTGGTGGATACAGTCGTCCCCCATTATCTATGTCCGCATTCTACCCACAACCGCCAATGATCACCCCTTCCTATCCTGCCCCTTCGCCATCGTATATGGATAACGTACGATATACCACGGCGCCACAGACTGAGTACGCTCAACCCCAAGCACGGCCACTTCAATCAAGGTTCGAATCAAGGGTCGATCCAATCTCACGCACCCCATCAGCTTTCGAGCCCATCACCCGTACACCATCAGCCTTTGAACCTATCCCTCGGACTTCGTCAGCATATGGAACCCGGTCTGCTTATGAAGGGACTGGGTCATACTTTGATGACTCTTATGCCTCAGCTTCAGAAGGAGCCACGATTCGAAGATCCGATAGAAGAGAAAGCATACGGATTCCATCGAGTGGTTTGACCAAGGCCCAGTCGGAATATATGGCCATGCCCCCGCCTATCATTCGACCCGGCATTCTTCGCAGGTCAACCGAGTACCCTCGTGGGACTATGGAATACACACTTGATCCGGATCCATACCGCGATGGTCGAACAGAGTATCGTCGTGAAGGATCTCGTCCCCGACGGTCAAGCTCGAACCGGCACTCGGTATCGTACGACCTTCCTAGAGAGGACGAGAGTGTCAGGGTTGAAGCCGCGAACAGTGGTCGCCGGAGAAGTGGTTATTATGAGCCGCCAACATCGACTCAAGCTCCCGCGTATGAAGACAAGCTTCACAAAGCAGCAACATATCAAGAAGATGTGGGTGGGCCGACCGTACCCCTTACAGCGGAGACTTTGAAGAGACAGCAACGACGACATGGCGGTAGTAGCAGGAGTACCAAGAGCAGTCAGAGTCGGGATGAGAGCGATTATAAGAAGTCCGCAACGACTCGGACAACACGAAGCATGAGCAACGATAACGACGAGAATGTGACTATCAAAGTCACCGGCACGGCTCGGGTCATGGTTGGCGGCGCTCAGATCCATTGCGATGAAGGTGGAGAGATTGAGATCAAGCGCCAGAAGAGCCTTCGCGATGGCAGCGAACGATCGAATTCGGAATATGGGGGAGGTGGAGGAGGAGGAGGGGGAGCAGGAGCAGGAGCAAGACGGCTTGAAGATCGTCGGAGCCGACTCGAGCGGCCCGCGCTTGGGAGGTCCAACAGAAGCTCGCATTCTGGTCACTCATACAATCGTTCGACACCTCACTATCCCGGGGAAAACTTGATTTGAAGACATTTTCTTTGCAAGCGACATTTTGATTTTTTTTGGATTTAGCGCATGATCTTCCGGCAGGGTCATTTCTTCGTTACTTCTCTTCTCCTTTCTGTGTGCACATAGATGGGTGGCTGTCGCTTTCTCCCTTTTTCCTAAATTCAGAGAAGAGGAAAGGTTCTTATACCCCCACAAAAGCACTGGAAAGCCTTGCTTTTACGTTGGACAATTTGTACGGATTGTTGTTTCGATACGATTGTATGACTGTATGATTTGATGACGGATACCTCGACGCGTTTTTGCGATATTCTTTCAGGCACAAATTGGGTTCTGGGTTCCTTAGGTAAAGAGACATGATATGCTAGCAATGGCAACCATGTATTTTTATCTGGCTACTTCTGTGCGGTTATGTTATCTTCGCATGGAATTGGAGTTGGAGTGAATAGATCTGCACGAAGCATGTTTCGTGCAGGTGTATGCTATGGACTCGGATTTTCTTTGAAGATTTCCACCAAGATTGATGATGAGCGATCAGGATGAAACATGCATAGCGGTAGTCATACGATCTATGAGATCTAAAACAAATAGTTGATAATGAAAACTTGGAGCTATTATCGTCCAATAAGTGACATGAAAAGTGCTGTGATTGAGAAAAAGGAGTAAGTCACGTGAAACGCTAACCCAACCCCTGATCTTGGTTGCCATGTCAATACTATCGCTAAACGTAAACAACGGCTATCCTGCCACCGCCCAACCTCCTCAATTCAAGGAACAGCGGAGGCAACCACAACTTGCTCGTCATTTCCTGACAGCTTTCTCTCCTCTTCATATTACCAAGCAAGCCCATCACGACTTCACAAACCCACGAAATCACGACCAAATCAGAAATATTATCTGCAGCGCGTCTCACAGGGCTGAAGACAACATTCCAGAAAGTGACATCCAACGTCACGATCTGCTCTCGCAGAAACATCAGCATTCCTCGGAATAAAGGCCGATCATGGCGCCAGTTGAATCCTACCTCTCCTCTCTCCTCAAACGCACATCCTCCTCAACCGTCTCCGACCTCTCCCCGAAAGCAATTCTCCTCGCAGCACGCACACAGAATCTCATTGCACGCACAGTCGACCCCGGCGTCGGCGTCACACCCCCAACTTCCATCCCCAACAAAGCCGTCTTCGCGCTCTTTGGCCTCATCGGCGTCGGTTTTGTGCTGACAGGAATATGGTTCTTCTTCTGGGCCAAGAACGGCGGCTTCTATTTCCAGGAGCATGATTGGGACGACTACAAATCTACGGTGTTGAGGCGGAAGGGACCGAATGGTACGACGTTGAGTGGCGCTACGGCGAGCACGGATCTCGGCGGTGGGAGTGTGGTGCATGGCGAGAAAAATGGATCGCGGTGGGGCAAGGGCAAGAAGAAGTCGAAGCGGTACAAGGATATTGATGACGAGGAGAGTAGGACTATGGAGTCTTCGCTGGGGGGAAGCACATTGGGGAGTGAGATGAGCGAGTTGAAGACTAAGACCAAGAAAGCGAAGAAGGAGAAGAAAAAGGGAAAAGATAAGCATGAGGGTAGTGAACTGATGAGCGAGATTGATTTACGTGAGGAGGTTGATCCTAGTGTTGTTGATGCGGTGAGAGCTTATCGACACGAGAAGCCAGCGAGAGTTGGTGGCCTTAACAAACCGGCTGATGGAAGTGCCTTTGATGGATCAACTCAAGATGGATCATCCGCTGCTTCTGAGTTGCTTTCCCACCGCGAACGAACACCTACCACGACTCCGACGAGGGTCAGAAAGGAACGTAGCGACAAGCATACCAGTGGTACAGGTGGAATCCGCAAAGTCGTCAGCACAAGTGAAGGTGGTAAGAGTGATTTTTGGAACCGAAGCGCAGGAAGCAACAGGCAGACTGAAGAGGAAGATCGCATCAAGGTGGAAGGCAGAAAGCTACAGGACAAAGGCCGCGCCGCTCAACGTCGAGACTTCAGTTTCCAAGCCGGCGATGACATCTCCGTTGCTAGCGAGGAGCGAAGCGCCCGCCGGGAAGACCGTGAACGTAGACGTGCGAGCAGAAGCCCTACGAAGAAGGTTCAGGGCAGTTATCATGAAGAGAGTCTGCTTGGTTCGGATATCAGCGGTGATATTGGCACGAAGAGTTATCACCATCCGATTCCAGGTTTGAGTATAGCGGGAAGCAGTGATTATGCCGAGGAGAGAAGGAAGAAGAGGAACGGTGCTGGCTACAGACGGGGTAGGACTGAGGAGGATTAGACTAGAGAATGAACATTAGGTATGAAATTGAATGAGCACAGGTGAGATGAGATATGATATCTAAGGCAGCATTGCTAGTGATTGCCTGGAGTTGGGTTGGACTTTGTATGTGTAGATTGGAATGAAAATGAATCAATGGACATTCCCTTTCCTCCTATTTTGAGCGTTCCAGGCCATATCTTCTTCTCAATCTCAAAATCATTGGAGTGAGTTAATACTTCTCTCAGTGGCTTCGACGGAGCAAGGCTCCAGTTCAGAGAATCTCTCGTGTATATTGGCATAATGGAGGGTCTTTGCATTTCGGGCTACTTCGGTTTTGGCCCCTTCAAATGTTCTCTTTCCTTTCTCTAAAAAAATCAGTGCATCTTGATCCCAATACACCCCTGAATTCAAGCTGTCATCCAGTCCACTCCATTCTGGAACACACTGTATTATTTTCCTATCGCCAGTCCTCAAATGACAACACATTGCCGCCAATTGTCCCATGTTACTCGAGTATTTCTTCGTCGCTTTTTGCAGCTCTTTTGCATAATTTGAACATCGTCGCCCAAGTTCTTGTCCATATCTTTCATCGAGTCAGCAGCGCTCACCTTGCCAACCATTAGCTGCTCCGCGGTCTTCCTCAGCTGTTCCTCGACCGCCTCCAACTCTGCGAGTAGCTGCCGGCCATTGCCAACAAGCTCCGGCAAGTCCCTGTTTGGGTTTTTGGAATAGAGGAGGACATCCTGTGCATCGACTTGCCAAATGCTAATGAGAAGATGCCGGGGGTGTAAAACATGGCAATATAGAGAATGCTTTCTATGAGAGATAGGTCAAGGTCAGAGCCGCCCATTACGCCCAAGGTGGGAGGCCACATATTGGTTTTGGTCAATGGACACATCGGCCATGTGGTTGATGGCGACATGGTACTTCACCAGCTTATCTACTACGTGGTATGTCCACGTATCGAGTCGTATAATATTTTTAATATGTGGCTCCCTGAATAACCGCCAGCACATCTTTGACGGCTCAGTCTCCAAGGAAGGGGAGAAATTGCCAAACACCTGCCATTCTTCAAAATTGCTCACAACAAGGCGATTCCCAACTGCTGCAGCAGCCATAAAACCCTTGTTGATCTGTGTTGACAACCCCGCACTCTGCGCAGCTTCCATCTAGATATCTGCCAATACAATTTGTGGCGCAATCTTGCGATATTCGGTGACTTGTACGCCTCGCATGCCCAGAGAAGAGTTAGGAGCAAACAATAGCGCAGATTCTCGTCGACGCCTGTCGGGGATAGGGCAAATTATGACAACACCAAACCAGCGAGAGCAGGCAGTTTTGATCATCAAGTTCTCTGGGCAAGCCAAGCATTTGCCATTTGGATCCATCTCCTGATTTTTGTGTTCCCTTCGTATCCTGTCCGCTTCTTGCCATTCACGTCCTGCTCCGTGGTTTCTTTGGATGTAGGCTTTCGTTCTCGAAGTCTGGCTGAATCACCGGGCCAACTTTGGTAGATTGAATTAGGGATTGTCACGAATGAAATGCCTGATGGACTTCGGGCATGCAATCAAGGGGTTGCAAGATTGCGTCTCTCTTCAGGCCTTTAGCTCCTCCCTTTCAATTGAACTTAAATACGCAAGTACAATCTATCAGTCTGTTTTGCTGATGATGCATTTGAAAACGGTGAATCTTGCTTTCTATTGTTCCAATGCTGTCTTGTTTGTTTTGTTGATAAGATATGACATGTCTCACTGCGTGGAATGCACGCTCTATAGAATCAGACAGAAACCGTAGCAATATCGCGGATTATTTATGCTTTGTTACCCTTTTTCTCTAGATTTGGAAAAAATCTGAATCTACTTTGATCTAGCGAAGGATTGAGCCCAAGCCGGTTCCCAGCAAACACACTTTTTCCAAGTATATCTGACTTTGGAAACGGACTGAAGTACCTTCCACTTTCCCACTCAAAGTACCCTACGGACGCACTTAACCACCCCTTCCATTCTATACCTCCCCATTTTTGCAACATAAAATCATCTCACTAAATAATCTAATCTACCCTCAACATATCGAAGCCAGATTAAGCATGACTTACCTCATCGTTTTCGAACCGATATGCAACGAAGACGGCTCTCTCTCCCTATCCAAAACGCCCCTTAACATCTTCTTCCTCTGCCCTACTTTACTTGTCTCTCCTCTTCTTCCAAAGCATCAAGTACACTTACTTATTTGCGCGGCGCTTGAAACAAGAGGACATTTTAGCGAGACTCTTCTTCACTGAGAAGGAGAAACAGAACGAGAAGCTCCTTGAGATGTGCTTCACGAATTCTCCGTTCGATGGTTTTCGGACAGACTAAATGCTAGAATATCTTGATCGGAAGCTGCAAAAATTTAACCAAGGCGACAACGATGGTGACTCGAAGGATATTGTGATTCAGAGCCTCGGGATGCGGGAAGCGCGCTCACAGAGGAAGACGGAGACAATTCGTGAACGGCTTCATAGAATGCTCTTTGATTTCACTCATCCTTGGGGTTTGGTCCATCTTGCGACGAGCTTCAGGCGATGGCCAGGAAATGGAAAGAGGGGCGGGTGGGAAGAACGGCTTGATTGCTTCTTGAGGGTTCTTTATCATCGCAGAGCCGGCTCTTGCTATTGCTGACAGTGCGGTTTTGTGCCGGCTGGTTGTGTAGCGTGCAAAATTTTGTCGAAGGATTAGAGTATACAGACAACTGTCACGGCCTGGACAAGCTGTGGAGGTGGAATGTGATGTGTTTTGGTATAAATATGTATGAATGATGGTGCCCTAAGGGCGGTGAAGAAGCTATATATACGCCTGTACGCAGCACGTGACAACAGCTAAGGTCATTCTGGCTCGTTATCGTTTCATTGATTATTTCCGTCTGCTCTCGGAAGCGATGTCTTTCCATTGATCTGTTCAAGCCCAATGAGGTGGAAGTGGAAAGAGTGGAACGAAATTAAACATGATATACTATACTTTTTTTTAGAGAATATTGGGATGGAGAACATACGGTAATACTACTACGGAGATCGCGGCATAAAGTATGGGGAATACAGGGCATTTTGACCCTTTTAGACCCTGTAGCATATAGATCAAGGTAGTAAACTCGCTATAAGCCCTATAACTCCAGGCAGTGCTCCCTAAATCAACCCAACGAGGCTGTAAGTCATTCGCAAGGGATAACTAGATCTTCTAGGGTTATAGCGTTGTTGGTAGAGCGACTATCATAGGCTTCTTTAGCGATGACTCCCTTGTAAGTACAGGGGAGAAGCCCTAAAAAGGTGTGACAGCCCATGTCGAAGGCGCATAGGCTACTTTTAGGGGAAGGGCCTGGAAATATAGGGCCTTATAGCGAGTTTGCTACCCTGATCAATATGCGAGAGGGTCTAAAAGTCTCCTAATGCCCTGTATTCCCGATACTTTATCGCGATCTCCGTGTATGCTGTTAGTGCCACTCTATTTCCTGACAAGAACTGTCTTATGCACCCACTATACAGTAACCCAACCATGAATGACCCGAATTGATCCAGGCTTTCGGGAGCAGAGCATTACACTTTGGTGGTAGAGATTAGTGATCGAACCGACTTTTTACAAAATATTCAGAATCAGGGACTAAATTGATTGAAATATTCCTTGTGAGACTAAATTCAAAGCAAATCGCGCGATGCTATTTCAAAACGCTGAATACTTAAATGCTAAAAGATGACGATAGGAAAATACAATCCAGTTTCCAAAACTTCCTTGGACGCGATACTTAATAGAAAGAAACAATAGCCGTAAATTGTAGTTTGAAAAACAAGAAAATCAGTGAGGGAACTAATAGTCGGACTTGACGTCGCGCTAAAGGGGCCTTTCCCTTAGGGCCCCTTTAGCGCGACGTCAAGGCCGACTATTATTTTCTTGTTTTTGTTCATCTTCCTCCCCCAAAATCAATTTATCTTCCTGTTTGGCTGGCTGCCCGGCTTGTTGCATGGAACTTTTGTCATCCTCTTTATCAGGACCTTTCGGGACAAACTCAAATGTCTCCCCATAGACTGAATTAAGCCAAGTGTAAATGGTATTGGGATCGGCCTCTTGAGGATATCCGGGAGCCAGCTCAAGGACAGTGATTACCTCGCGTATTTTCATGTCGTCCCCATTCTCGGAAAGCTTTTTGCGAGATGTGATGTGGTCTTCTTTGCAGGGACTTTTGCAGGAAGGACATTCCCGACCCCCCTGCGAAAGATAGTTCTTGACAAGGCACCTGGCACATCGCCAATACTTGTAGCCGATATTGCGCTCGGACAGCCAACGCCTTTGCCCTTTCTGCCGCTTCTGGTGACCCATATCCCTAGATGACTTCTCGGCTTCGGCACAAGCAATATCCTCCTTACGGAAGCCTCGAAGACGGTCTCTGAAGTGGTCTTTCCGCGAAAATGACGAATCTTGGGAACAAGGACACTTCGAATAGTCGCAGAAGAACGAACCATTTTCGCTGTCGTTGGCATTCTTATAGTGGCTTTCGAGATCAGGTGGTCGATCGAAATTTCTCACCTTTCCATTACACCCGGGGTATTGGCAAGGAACTTGATTCTTTTTGCAACCCCTAAAGAAGTGTGAGCAATCTATAATCTATTGTTAATGGCAAAACTCACGTTGGCTCATCCGGATATACCTTGAGCTGAGTTCCAAAAGTTGGTGTCCACTTCTCTTGCAACTCGAAGCCTGGTGACTTGTCCTTTGGCACTATAAATTTATACAGCTTCACGAAGTCGGTACCCGGAGTCCATCTTAAGCTAGATGGTGTATTTCTCACGCTCTCGGTCTCCTGCGGGTAGTCAAATGATGACCGGTGATTGTGTGGTGGTATAGAATAGTTCTGGAGGCCCAAAGGATAAATCTCGCGGTCCCATCCTGGGCTCGCTAATGAGTAATTCGTATTCTCAGTCTGCAAAAAGTCGCCCAGGGATGAGTTGTGCCAGCTTGGAGCGGTGTACCTGACGGATTCACTCGCTGACGTGGAGGAAGCATAGCAGAATGCAGTCTTCGGGACTGCGACATTTTCCAACTTGTTGTTGGGCAAGCGAGTAGCACCCATTTGCCTGCTGTTCTGAAGTTTCCACGAGTCTATTGTAGATGGTGTTTCCTGGACCAATATTTTGAAGTCAGAAGGAGCGAGATGTTCGACAGAAGGAAGATCAAACTCGCACTCAACTCTATCCTGGCTAGGATCATCACACTCCCCGTCGTCAGGTTTGCATTGGTCTCTTTCTTGCCTCAAATTCAAGTCAACACTGGAGGGTGCTCGTTCGAGCCGGATTGGCTTCAACTCCAGATCTTTTTGCGCAACACCCTTAACGCAGAACGTTGTCGAAGACGACGCCTCTAGAACTGGATTGACCCTGGACATGGGGGACAGAGATGGCGATGACTCTTTTGGACTTATAATCGCCGGTCTCCATCGTGATCGTGCACACACTTCAAAGCTGCCTCGGCTGGTGATATCTGCTGAAATAGCGCTCCTTGTAATAGCGTATTGGTACAAATCAAACCTTGAGGTGCTTGACTCTGATAAGCACGCGCCAACCAGCTTTTCAAACTGATTGGTATCGATCCAGGCAATTTCGAAGCTATTACTCGCTGCACACGCCTTATTGTAATGTACAAGCAGTCCCCGCGGCAAGTCACTTTTGTTGTCCCGACGTTGGAACGCTTCCCAGGCCTTATGTGTGGCGAGCAGCCCGTCTACAAGTTGTCTCAGAAGCCCCATCATGCATTTAGACCCCGGACGGGGCACATGTATAGCTGCGAGCTGGCGACTGGAATGAGAAACACGACAGGTTTGGGGTGTCCCGTGCTCTCCGTGTGGCTCTGTGGTTTGAATCGTGGGAATTTGCAAAGACCCTAGTGGACACTTTGAGCTTTGACATCGAATAGCTGATCTGACTTTTATATCACTCGGAGGAGAATGTAAATGTAGATCCGCTTCGGAGTCTGCTGGGTTTCGGCGGTTCACAGTGGGATCTTCGAACTCATTGAGGTCTCTCTCGAGGGCTGTACCCGTTTTTGATCCGTATAAGATGATAGGTCTGACGCGCTCAACAATGCCCCTCTCGACTGATTGTGGCATGAATCGGACGGCAGTGCCAAAACTGTCCGCCTCAGCGTCGATTTTTCCAGCGTGGCATGCAGCTGCGACTAAACCAGACGCAGGAATAACAGCAGGGATGGGTACCACGTAGGACTTCGGCGACACGCCATAGGCCGCGTAATGCAACTCAGGTAAGTGAGCTCGGGGTTCCTCTAGGTTATATCTTCGTCGATGCCCCCCAGGCTTGCTCTGCTTCTGGGACGCCCCATTGGTGTGGCTATGTCTCCGGCGTCGAGTCTCTGGAGAAGTCGAGGGGTGCAAGGAATCCGAACCGGCGTATGGTGAACCGCTGTCAAAGCCAGTTTCCCTAGATAGTCTTTTGTTGTTCTTCAAGGCGGCCTGTGTAATTCGATGCCTATATCTGTGACTACCTTGATAAGATGCTCCGTGCCCTCGATTATATTCCGAAGTTTCCCTTTGAACAGAATTGGCGGAGATTGATTCTTGTTGGATTCTCTTCATGTGGCGTCCTGGGTTATTGTCATTACCATCCATGTCATCACCGCTATCGTCTCCATCCTTCGGTTGAGGTTTGAGCCCTGGAAGAAAGCTTTTGGGTCGTCGGAACGGAAGTTTCCAAGAGGACATATCTATACCATCTTGGAAATGACCTCCGATATGGTCCATTCTTTCATCCCAAGTCTTGAAAATCACCCCACAGAAACCGCATTGCCGGGGCCACTTGCTGTTGACTGTGTACTTGCCAGCAGCCGCAATTTGGCTCACGTTGACCACCCCTGGATGACTGCGAAGATGCGCAATGAGGCGATCCTTCCTTCCGTATGTTGTACTAGATTGTTGAGCAGATTGGCATTGCAAATAGTGTGCTGTCAAATTTGTGCCCAAAATAGGCAATGATGCACGGCAGAATTCGCAGACTGGATTTCCGTTCCCGTCGGCAGGAGGTGGTGATTGCGGGCACTCCAGACACATAAAACGCTCCTGTTGGGAATGTTTCTGGCTTTTCTCATGTCGCTTCCATTCTGCGAAGGAGTGTGTGGAGTACTTACAGCCTTCCCGGGTACAGTAGTAAAGATCCTTGATCCCACATTGCAAACAGGGAGGGTGCACCGGTTCGTGCTGTCCATCTTCCACAGAGACAGAGCGTTGGCTCTCAACGACAGGCTGGAGTGATGATGAAGAAACCGAGGTGTTTTCGGTCTCGGATTCAATGTTGGCTAGTTCGGAGTTGGAAAGAGAATCCTGGGACGAAGAAGCGGTGCTTGGCCGAGTATCTTCGTCATCATCTGATGATATATTTCCGTACTTTTCCTCTTCATGGGCTAGCTGATCTAATTGGTCAGCTAGCTTGGCCACTTCATTGACCAAGTGCGTGGCCTTGCGCCGAGAGAAAGCAGAAAATGGTTTGACTGCCTCTTGGACTGAAGCAATAGCCTCTCGCAAGAGGGCGGTAGGAGTGTTCGCTGAACCTCTGTGATTCGTGCACTCAAACGAGAATGTTGTCGGTGGTGAGCTTTCTGTTCCCTTTCCTTTCTTGCCTCGGCGGAGGTTAGAAAGAGGTGACCCCACTTTCTGCAGCGAAAGAGGTCTGCGAGAGCTCAGCATTGGAGAAGTCATGGACCTTGATGGTGACTTCCCCGACGGTGTAATCCTGGAGCGTCTAGTTCTTCGTGACCGGCTTGGGTGACCATTCAGCGTTTGCAATAAACCAGCTGCATGGCAGGCTTGAGTCTTTGCCGGAGGCGGATCCGTCATTGGGACTAGATCCTCGTTGGAGGATTGAGACACTTCATTCGTAATTTGCTCGAGAGATGGGTAAATGAACGGGGACAGTGTCTGCTGTGAGCTGAGGCCGACAATTGGAGTTAAGTGTGTGGTTTTCCAATGTCCTTCATCGCCTTGAAAACACCAGCTATCACTGTTCTCAACTAGTCCAGCCGTCAGTATTCGCAAGGTTGAATTTCAGTTCCTGGATAAATACCCGATATCTCCACCGCGCTATTGAACTGGAAGTCCCCATGAGCCGACATATCAACATCGAAGGCGCTCATTTCTAAATGCTGCCCGGCGAGAGCTGTCTGCGTGAAGGTCACAGCCGAGGCTGGCACATTCGGCCAGGAGTAATCGCCGGATTGTGTCCCATCGGACGAGATCGTCTGTGATGCCTGCAGAGAGGTGGACTTATTTCTGTCATGATAGATGTTGTGATCGAGCTCAAGATCTCTCAGGTTGATACCAACAGGATCAGGCCAAAAAGTTGCCATTCTTTGTTCAGCCGCCGAGGTTTTTGACAGAGAAATCGGTCACAGACTAAAGCTGAGAGGTAAAATTTGTTTGCAAGAATTGATGTAACGGACCGAGACGTTGAGGATGGATGAGCTCGCGTGAGATATCTGATCATAATCTCAGCGTGCCCTCGAGGCAGATTTGCGGATGGCATAAAGGCTGCGGGCATGTGAGGGCTTTGCTGATGTCGAGGGCGATGGCTGAGGGCGGCCAATTAGCTTGAGAGAGAGGTATGACCTGCAGATGAGTCTCCTCCAATGAAGATGGTGCGTGTGTAACATCCACGACAGGATACTTACAATCTGTACTTGTAGGAAAATGGTGGTAAACAGAATAAAATGTCCCTGCAGAAGCTGGAACAATCTCGGGATTCAAGCTTGTGTATGAACTCTACCATTACATACTTTCAATATTCTTCGGCTACCTCTCATTGTACCAGACTGAGAGGAATATTCCAAGATGGATTTTTTTTGGTCCAGAGCACAGAATCCTTGACGTGAAAACTAACTTTAGAGCTCGTAACCTAGAATCAGATCAACAGTTTGATCCTTGCCAGAAGCGCCATCACCACCTCCTTTACCATTTCATCCTTCAACACGCCTTCCTCATAGGTTGCAGAAATCAGACAATTTCCTCCCTTGATACTGGCCACGTCAAACACAATACCAAAGTCACTCAGTGTTGCTCGAACTGCTCCAGCCGAGAAACCAACCCCTTTGATACTCCACCCACCGTCAGCCATATCCTCCCGTGGCTCGAACACGCCCAGGTTGGAGATCAGGAAAGAGTTATTTTGGAAGGTTCCGTGGCCGTAAAAGCTGACGTCTTCCATGTCTCGATCGAGAATCTTACAAACCAGAAAATCTTGCATAATTGTTCCAGTCTTATATGTTGCGCGGTTCAAGTCTTGTTTGTATGCCTTTGCTAGTTCCCACACTGTTGGTACATCAATGGTAATATCTTGTATGGATACCGGAGCTTGAGATGGGGACCGTTCATTTGCACAAGATCGGTACCTGCCCAGCGGCTGGACTCGGTAATATGTGCTGACCGCGTTCGTGAATACATCACGACCAGGATTGACCCTCAGTAGTGGTCGAAGGTTCACCGCGAGTCGTGAGAAGCCGAGCTTGGCCTTGGGATAGAAGTCTGCAGCGAGAGTGACTTGAATAAGTGTTTGAAGTAGAGCTGTAAACGATGTTTCGTGTTTTCGACATTCTAACAAACATTTGGTCATCGTGTCACCGTCAACCCTGAGCAGCTCTACTTTGGTGCGAGTTTTCATCTCTGCGGGGAATGGTTTGGCGAGTGAGGGGTAGTCCTTGGAAAATATGGCGTCGGAGAATAGGAAGTACTTTTGATTGACGAAGAAACGCAAAATGCTCCAGAAGAAGAAGCAATAAATGATGTATATCCACGATAACTTGCCGTCAATATGATCGAAGGGAGAAGGAGTCGGCATCTTGACTGGTTGTTGGATCAAGAAAGTGTCGTGGGCCGTTACCCTTAATGCTTCGGATGACATTTCGTCTGCATTCAAGGCAGTGAGGAAACTGCGGTGGAACGCATAACCAGAAAGCCCGTCGCCTATTGAGTGATGATAGACAAATACCGCGTACCGACCGTTGATGACGAGCAACTTCCACCATGGCTTCGTTGTATCTTTGGTGTCAAACCACTGACTGTGTGCATTCTCGAAGACCAGAGCAAGATCCACATCGCCTTGAATAGTGAGGAATTTGACACAATCCTGGATGCGAAGAGTAGGCAATCGAGCCTCCCATAGTCGATGATTTCCTTCTTTTATTTCGGATGGCTGACTGACCCCAATGATACTCAAAGCAGGATGATCATTGATGACTTTGGCGAGAGCCTCCAGTACCTTAGATTTCGTCAAGAGTTGACCGTCTTTGAAGTACTCAGCGCAAACAAGGACATTCGATTGGATACCGAGATCGTGGAACAGGTGCGTCAATAACTCCAGCGGACCTGACTGAAGGATTAGAGCTGCCTGTATTGGTGATCTGCACGTACCAGCCTTGCGAATGAGTTCATATCCGAGTTCCTGATCAGCTGCTGGCGTAGACCTGTTACTTTCTGCTGCCATTGTGGCAGTGAGGTGAAAGTTTGGCTCGAGATGAAAGTTGACTTGAGATATCTAAAGTAAATGACGCATTGTCATACTTGCTCCAATTCCAATAGCTTTATAGACAATGAGAGCGGAATTGATGTGGCCTGCTTACCATCCTCGTAAAAAGATGTGCCGAAGATCTACCGTACAATATGTTCCATCGCCAATGGGATCAAAAGTCTCAACAATCCCGACGGTTTTGAGGGCCACCAAACGGAAGGAATTTCCCAGAAAGTTCATACATAACAACAAGCAAGGATTCTCACATGCTTCTACTGGAAAAATTGACGGTGCTGCGGTTTCAACTCGATTACGAGGCAACTGCTAGGCTCCCGAAAGGAGCAAGCAGCCGACGGACTCAATGACAAAGAAAAGGAGCGGAATATTTGAGATATTACTTCCAAGGCCTCCAGTTAGTAAAGTCTTTCCATTTGACGTTGTAGTTCGCGTCAGGCCTCTTATCATGGAACTGCTCGTATCAGCTGTGCTGAAGAGACTGCCGTCTCCGAATCTTCTCTCCAGACCCAACTACACTTGTAATATTGAGCAATCTTTGAGGTCATAATAATTGAAGAGCACTTCAAGGTACTACTGAAGAAGATGAGATGAGAGCAGGGGCGGATGAGATGAAAGTCGGGATGAAGAGGTGACAAGGTAGGGATTTGAAGAGGACCTGATTGCTGTCGGCCCAGCATGCACAGACCGTCCAACCACGCCAAAATTTTGTGGTATGGCAGAGCTGCATAGCGCACGTCATTCTCCTCTTAGACCCATGAGACATTTATATCTTCCCTTTAACACAACTTACCCCTGCCGGGACGTTCTCATGGAGTCGGATTCTCTAGATCTTTAATTCGGAAGTGTGCATTTTATTTGAACCCCGCAATGGCTTCCACCAGCGTCACCGAGAGCACTCCGCTCATGTCGCCAGCTTCCAACAGCTTAGAAGCTCAGAAGAAGGGAACCCGAAATGTGACATTCAACCCGAACCCAGCAATCATCTCGATCGGCGGTGCCACAGGTTCTGCAACTCGATTAGCCCAACAGCTTAACTCCGTTACACCCGGAACTGCAAATGCTCCCTCCCCACAACCACAAATGCTCTCAGCACTGAACAGCAAGCTCCGCCGCCGAAACAGCCACGGCTCACCTCTCGTGCCTGTTCCGAGTACTCCAGTCCCTAAGATAGGGCCCCAAAGAACCACCAAGAATGCGCAGAAGCTCAAGCTCCTCCCGAACCCTGACTTCGGAGAGGATGGACCAGATGAAGAGAGTGGTCGGGATGTCTACTCGCAATATACACGAATCAAAGACCCCACCGCTCGCCGAGATGCTGCACGATTAGGAAAGGCGGACCGAGATCGATTGCCACGAGTTACAGCGTATTGCACGGCGAACAAATATCAGATGGACAATTTATTGCGGTTTTTGAAGGGCAGGGGGAAAACCAAGGGAGCCAATCCGAAGTTATTTGACGAATGCATATACACTCCATACAATTATAGCAGGCCTCATTTGTCTGAAAGAGTCATGGAAGTCCAGTCAATGCCAGCACAGATGCAGGAGCGGAGGCATTCGGATAGTGCTATTGAAGTGGAAGATAGCAAGCAACGCCGGGAAGACCTCATTGATCTACACACCGAAGCAGGAGATACAAGTCTGGGTAATAGAGAGCATGAGATACCAAATCGAGTGCACGCCGAAGTTGTGGAGCGCCAGATCCAAGATGAGACAATTGCTACGGAGAGCAACCTCGACTTCGACACTCAAGTCCATACACCCGAAATCTTCCTGTTCGGCTACGGCGTGGTAGTCATCTGGGGCATGTCGCTACAAGACGAAAGGAAATTCTTGAAAGAGATAGCCAAGTTCGAGAGCGAGAAGTTGGCTCCAGATGATGTGGAAACTGAGTGCTTCAATTTCTACTACACCAGGGAATATCAGGCACGGATATACAACGATTTCATTACTTTGCGAGAAAAGGGTAACTACATGACGAAGCTGGCGATTTCCCATGCTTTGGCACAGAGCGTAAAGGTATGTGACTCTTCATTCTGATTTATAGACTAATTCTAACGGGAAGTAGACATCCCTCTTCGAAGAATTGGTGGATAACACCATTGAGACATGCAAGGACATTCCGACCCAAATTGCCCTAACCGGTAAGATTGCTCTCACAAGGACGCAAATCAACATGCAAATCGGCGAGCTTTTCATCCTAAGAATAAACATCCATCTCAACGGCTCTGTGCTCGATACTCCTGAGCTCTTCTGGGTAGAACCACAACTGGAGCCTGTGTATCAAGCTGTGAGGAGCTATCTTGAGATGGACCAGAGAGTTAGTCTTTTGACTGAGAGACTGGACGTAATTGCGGATTTGCTGGCCGTGTTGAAGGATCAGCTGAGTCATGGGCATGGGGAAAAGTTGGAGTGGATTGGTACGGACCTTTATTCCCCCGATTTCCCTTTTCGCTGCATGTCCCTTCCTGCTATGTGATAGTTTCATTGAGACAAGCTAACCAGAAGATTAGTAATCGTACTCATCGCAGCCGAGATCGTCGTGGCTGCTGTAAATATTGTCGTTGATCTATATGCTGGCGTCGACTGATGTTTTGAGCATTCATTGGTAGCAAGGCGTTCTGGTCTGGTCTTTTTGGACAGCGGATATTACGATCCAGAGTAGGAGGACTGTTTGATTAGTGTGTTTACATAGAAAGGAGACGTTGGCTTGGTCCTTGACGAGCCTCGAATGAAGTTGGGCCACTAGTCCGAAGACATTTCGTTCTTCTGTGTTTGTTCATTTCTCATTGCTTGATGAAGGGGCCATATTCCTCAGCGTGAAATTCGCGTCGCGAAGCAAAGAAGATCACCCATTCTCACCTTTTTTCCCAGCCCGAAATGACCACTATTGTACACGAAAAGAGCCCAATGCATGTGTATCATCGCTCCGAATATGATCCATAACTCCCCCAAGTCTCAAATGCGCCAATTCCATACCATTACAGGTCCCAGATACTGACCACTAGGTTCGATTGACTGCCGTGAATCCACCACTCTCACCAGCAACGCTTGGAGTTCCAGCATCAGTGGCATCATCACCCATCTCAACATCCTCATCTGCGTGTCCGGGGGCTGCATCGAATACAGTTTGTCTTGGACCAGTGGAGCCAGCTTCCTTCTCAACCTCGAGCTGTTTCTTGAGTGCGTCAAATCGTTGCAAGAACGAACTCTTGGTAGGCTCATCTAGACCACTCCAGCCTGCAGCCAAGAAGTTCTCGACGTTGAATGTGCCTTCCGCGATCTCCTTCTTATGTTCACTGGCCAAGAGGGGTCGGGTTTCGTTGCAATAGAGGTCGAATCCGCTCTTGATACGGCGCGGTTGAGATGGCGTGGATGCGGAAATAGTCGGAGTTGCATGAGTGCCGTTGCTGGGGAGTTGGCGCTTTGAAGGTTGGACTTGTGCTTGTGGTGTGGAGTTGCGGAGGACATCTGGGTGAGTATGCGAGAATGCGTCAGAGGAGGGAGACAGAGTGACCGGGCCTTGTTGAATAAATGCGGTGCCTGTGCGGCCATCACCAATGTCAGAAGTAAGAAAGTCAGGCTTGCGGTGGCCACGCTTGGTTCGGAGAGGCTTTTCCTTGGGCTATGAAGGCAATGGCGTTAGCTTGTCTGTCATCATCAATATATGTGCTGAGGAGGGATGGGGGGCGCGTACAGTTGGAGGCGGACTTGGGCTTCCCTCGGAATCCTCGACATTCGTGCTTGTGCGCTTTGCCAGTTGTTCAAGGAGAAAGGCACGCTCAAGGCGGAGCTTTTGAACGGATCGATTGAGGCGCGCAAGGCGTTGGCGTGCGGCATCGTTGGCTTCCTCGACCTCATTCATTCGTTGCTTGAGTTGAATGCATTTCTTGCGATAGGCTGCTTCGACGGAGGGAGGGAGTTCTGGCGGGATGGCACCTGGAGATTTTGTTAGAGGTTTGGAAGGCTTTGTTTTGCTTGCAGAAGATGATCTCATAGTAGAAGAGGCTGCATTGCTGGGAGAAACGCCAGCCAGTTGGTGGACAGAAGGAGATGAAGAGGGTGGAGTCTTCCTTGGGCTTGTCTCCAGATCTGCTGAAATGGGCCCAGGGAGTTCGGCGCTTCCACTAGAGACAGGCAAGCCAGTGCCGACTTCGTCGTGAGCAGTCTCGTCAAGCTCTTCGACATCAATTAATGGCGGATATAGAGAGACATGTGTAGGAGCATCGGCGTCCTGTTTGTTCAGTGCCTCGGTGCCAACGGTGTCGCAAGCAGTCTTGCCGGGCTCTTGCTTATTGCTCAACACTGGATATGGAGAGACATACGCAGGGGCATTGGCGCATTGATTGACAATCGCATTGATGTCCATGGCCACTATCTTGAGGCAGTTTGGATGCCAGTCTCCTCGATCAGAGAGACAAGCAGGCTTGAGTGCTAGATGAAGACACAATTGAACAGGAAATGGGGCTTTTGCTGAAAAGAAATTGGTGATTCACTTACCAGAAGGAGGAGCCATTTTTGCGACCGGTACAGGGTGAGGACGGAACGGAATATGTCGGAACGCCGACGGTGTTGTTGGAGGTTTGAAGGCTTGGGGCTTTCGCGTGCTGATGAGGCTATTCACGAACCTTGTTCACTAGCTCCGGAGAAAGGTTGTTCCTTAGGTGCCTGAGGCATAGAGAAAGGCACCGTTCGCGTTCACCTTCATTTTTCTTCAGCCTGGGACGCGTGAACACAAAATTTCCACAGCACAACTCCTGATAAAAGCTGACCCTCTACAAAAGCGCAAAGATGTCTCTTAATATCCCAAATGCGCCAAATGCTCAATTATTCAAGCAAGGATACCAAAAGTAAAGCTTCCTCATTGTCTGCCTTGTAACACCTGCTAACATCTCATAGCTACGACTCAGAAGATGGAGCTGTCCTACGAAACATCGATGCTTGCAGAACGATATCCTCAACAGTCCAAACCTCCCTTGGTCCCTATGGCCGAAATAAGATTGTCATCAACCACCTTCAGAAGATGATCTTGACCTCTGATGCTGCCACTATCCTGCGAGAACTCGACGTCGTCCACCCAGCAGCAAAACTTGTCGTCATGGCAAGTCAGCAACAAGAAGCGGAGATGGGAGATGCTACCAACTTGGTTATTGTGTTGGCAGGAGAGCTTCTGAGGAAGGCTGAGGATCTGCTACGCATGGGCTTGAAGACGAGCGATGTCATTCGAGGTTACGAACTGGCTCAAAAGTTTGCCCTGAATGAGCTCGAGAACCTTGTCGTAGATAAGGTTGAGGATATTCGGTCGCAGTCAGAACTCAGCAAAGCTATTAGAACTGTTATTGCGAGCAAGCAAAGTGGCAACGAGGATTTCTTGGCAGATATGGTGGCAGAGGCTGTGCTTGCTGTGCTTCCCAAGAACCCCGTCAACTTCAACGTCGATAATATCCGCGTCGTGAAAATTATGGGTGGTAGCTTGGAGCAGAGCAGAGTGGTCAAGGGCATGGTGTTTGGACGGGAACCCGACGGATCGGTCAAGAAGGCAACCAGAGCGAAAGTCGGGGTGTTCTCGTGCCCCATCGATATCAGCCAGACCGAAACTAAAGGCACGGTTCTATTACATAATGCGAAGGAAATGCTTGACTTCACGAAAGGAGAGGAGAACCAGTTGGAAACTCATATCAAGGAGCTTTTCGACTCTGGCTTGCGAGTTGTAGTTGCTGGTTCGACAGTCGGTGAGCTTGCCATGCACTATCTCAACCGCTTCGGTATTCTGGTTATCCGAATTCTGAGCAAATTTGAACTCCGAAGATTATGCAGAGTTGTGGGCGCAACGCCGTTGGCAAGATTAGGAGCGCCAATGCCTGATGAGATGGGAAGCGTGGATGTTGTCGAGACTCTGGAGATCGGTGGAGATCGTGTCACAGTATTCAGACAGGAGAATGAGACTACGAGAACAGCAACACTCGTGATTCGAGGTGCTACACAGAACCACCTAGACGATATCGAGCGGGCTGTTGATGACGGTGTAAATGTTGTCAAGGCAATCACTAGGGACCCCAGATTGGTGCCAGGTGCTGGTGCTACCGAAATGCAACTGGTCGAGCGAATACAGGCATTCGCTGACAGGACTCCTGGATTGGCTCAATATTCCATCAGAAAATATGGTGAAGCCTTCGAAGTCATTCCAAGAACATTGGCCGAGAGTGCAGGACTTGACGCCACGGAGGTATTGAGTAGGCTGTATACTGCACACCACAAGAAAGACTCGTGGACCACCGGTGTTGATATCGAGGTAAGCTCGAATTCTCGGTGCTTCGTCGAAAGAGGCAACTGACATTTATAGAACGAGGACGACACTGGTACTCTAGATGCTAAGAAGGAAGGTATCCTTGATCTGATGATCTCGAAGAGTTGGGCGATCAAACTTGCTACTGAGGCTGCAAGAACTGTGCTCTCTGTGGACCAAATCATTGTTGCGCGACAAGCCGGTGGCCCAAAGCCTCCTGGACCGAACCCTGTAAGTCATTGCTTTCTTCCTGAGCTTCAACCCTTGCTAACAAAACATAGAACTGGGATGAAGACTAGATAATGCTGTGCAAAGTACCAAATTATGATACATGTACTGTACAATATCAGGCATGAACCAAATAAAGGAATATCCCCAACTTCTCGTTTGGCTTAGATTTCGTTCCAGATTCAGACTTTGATGGTGGCATGACCGAATGAAATTTCGTGGATCTCATAACACTTGGTACAAGCATCTTTTTCGATGATTTATGACTCTCTGATAGGACCCAACTTGGTCCCAATAATTGTGCAAGTGCATGCCTCTTTCTGGCGAGGCAAAAGGAGAGGGCCCAAGGCAAGATCGAACTTCAAAGGATGTCAAAGAAGGGGTAATTTGCTTTGCGAAGCAGAGTCTTTTCTTCAGGTAAGAGCTTGTTGCGATGATGGAGGAGCCCAAGTAACAATATTTTCTTTCGTCAGAACACAGCGTTGTTAAGCTCCTAAGCTATCAAGCGGACACAATTCAGGGGCTCAGTAGCTGACCAAAAAGTGCAACGCATCCTTCCTACAGCTGATGGGAAATATTTTGTATTTGCATTCTACCATCTGTGATTGGTTTCATCTGTTCTGTGGGATGATGTAATTGCGCACACTTCGCTCATCGCTTCCGCTTCCGCTTTTGGTTCTCAGGACATTCAGGAAAGCGCGGTCTATGACAGCTTAAGAGATTTTTAGCATCAACGCCTATTATGAATTGAGAGATCGATCAGGGGATGCCTTCCCTTTTCAATCAAAGTGTTTCTGCCTTAATCATCCGTCGAAACCGGTACCCGAATCGCGCTCAGCATCCGCGAAACCCACATATGCTCATTTTACTATATCAGCAAACTTTTCTCCATGCTTTGTCAAATCGAGCCGACGGAAGAGTTGCCAGATATTTATTCGCACCATGGCGATCGTGCGAAAAATTGTACTGGGTGTGATCCTTACAGTCACTGCGCTCCTCTTCCGGCGAACGCCTGGTGATAAAGCTGATTTCATCCGCTCCATCAATGCAAAGTTCTTAGCACAGCAAGCCGAAAACCAACCTCTCGCATCACCCGCCAGCACCCCTCCACCTAAAATAAAGGCGTCTTATCTCAACTCAACAGCAAACAAAGTGGCGGTACCAACGCTCGTTGGCGGTCCAGTCTCTATATATCCACCTCCAGGGAAGCAAACGTACCCCCGCGCTATCAAGTTACGATCCGGTGTTCTACTTTCAGCTTCAACAATATTCAGTCCACAGCACTCCATCTCTCTTTCCGTCTCCCTAGACTCCGGCGCCTCGTGGAATCCATACGGCACAGTGGTGACCACCCCCACTCCTGACATCCAGCTTAACAATGCCTTCCTCCTTGAACTTCCATCCGGCCGCCTCCTCTGCGCATTCCGAGCTCACACCCAAGCCCTCTCAGCTGTCGGCGTTGAAGAAAAACCCGGTGGCCAGAATGAAGGCTACATATATTACCGTCTTATGATCTTCTACAGTGACGATGCCGGTGAGACATGGCAGCATCTTAGCACGCCAGTTCAAGAACCTGGACCCTCCAACGGCAATTGGGAACCTTTCTTGCGTCTCTCAAACTCGGGGGTTTTGCAGTTCTACTATTCGAGGGAACTTGGTGGGCGAGATCAAGATAACCTCATGCGAGTCTCCCATGACGAAGGTCTCTCATGGAGCGATCCTCAGATCATTTCGGGGCTTGAAATGGAGACACGAGATGGCATGATGGGCATCCAGGAAATTTCGCTAGGAAGTGGGAATTTGATGGCGGTTTTTGAGAGCGTCGAGGAGAAGGGAGACGGAATCGTTTTTGAGGGTAGATTTGGAATCTGGAGTGTGATGTCAAGAGATGATGGTATCACTTGGGACAACAGGAGGCTGATCTACGAGCCACATACATGGGACGCCCAATCTGGTGGGTTTATCAGTGAGTTGTACCACGCTCCCTTTCACTGACCTTGTGTTCCATTCCATACCCTTGGTCAGTTCAATCTTGTGGTCAACAACAGTTTGTTGACTTCTATGTAACAGAGCGAAACGCCGGAGCACCGCAGATTGCTTTGGTGGGGGAAATGCTAGTGATCAGCTTCATGACTGATGAGGAGAAGTTAGAGGGAATGTGGCATCAGAATGCCTACGTGAAAATCATCACCAGTTCAGATAAGGGTGTGACTTGGGGCAATAGGCTTCTGGTTGCGGAACAACCTGCCGCTTGGGCGGGACTGCTGGCGCTTAATGAGACCAATTTCTTGGTCCTTTGTGATCATGAAGATCGCAGTGAGGCACAGCATGTAGCTCTCGTCTAGAGCATCTGCGTAGACACGGACTTAGAATCTACTACGTAGCAACGTTTCACAAGGTCAATTTTGGCAATAGTCTGCATTATTTATCGAGTACTGTCGTCCATTATCATGACGATATTCCAGAAAATCAACATCAAAATGAAATGCTGTCAGTGCTCTGCCCCTCTTCTCGTTGGATGATAAAACGGTGCACCCCGGCGATGAAAAATAGTTTCATCAACCAGGGTTGGATATAATAGTGCTACAAAAATGTCTCAAAATTATCAGATGTTTTTGAGAGTCAAAAAGAAGGAGAACGAGGTAACTTATTCATGAGTCATAAATATGAATCTTCCATCAACATTTTTTAGGATGCCATGGTGTCGAAACCCTCTTGCCAGCTCTTGACGTCTGGGAATCGACGAGAGATTGACTTCTGTGTAGCTCAGATTACTTTACTGTCCTTTAGAGCAGATTTGAGTTGAAATTATCTGATTCATCTTTTGTCAGGACGGACCTGTATTAATGCCAAGCGGATGAAGAGGCGATTGTTTAGATTACTAACTCCAATGTTCACCCTTCACCTAGATCATTAGAGCTGAGAGCTCACTGAATTGCTCGAATTTGATTTAGGGGAAACCATGAAATCTTACTGGCGTTGTTGGTGGAGACTAGATGGGGCTTTTTACCCCGGTGGTAAATCCTGTGGTCAACATAGAAAGAAGCCCACCGTTGGACTTACATGGTCAATAATTTCATGCCAGGGCGGCATTGTCTCCATTTGCAACTTCCTCCTCTGTTCTCGCTTCATCCACTCAGTGTCGAGCATTTCGATTTTCCGCTAGAGATTTTGCTCTTCTTGGAACTTGAGCCGTCGTTGTTCTACCCTCGGCCGTACGATATTCTCGTGCTATGGGCTTCTTGAGGGCTCGTTGTTGTTTAGATCGGCGCGTTTCAGCTCTTGGCAGTACTTCACCCGTTCTTCCTCCGTAGCTTCTCTGTGTCGAGTTCTTTCATTTTCTGTTGAACATTTTGCTCTGCCTTGGTTCGACGGATTTGCAAATTTCTATGCCTTTGCTCTTGTTGTTTCTTGATCCGCAATGCAACCAGATCTTCTTAAAGTTTGAGTCGCCGTTGCTCGATCCTTGGCTATACGATCTTCTCATCTTCCGGATCTTGTGCTGTGGTGTTTTGTCTGAAAGGGGCCATGTATGGCTATCGCGTGCTTGCGTGATGATAGAAGTGTGGAGAGAAAAGACTGTTGTAAAGAAGTAGTGATAAAAGGCGGGCGGGGTAGATGAGAAAGGAGAATTTATAGACGGACCCGAGATCGCCAAAGTTCCCAGAGCTGTGGCAAATTGATTCAATCACCGAAACCAGGTCATCATAAGATGAATACATCAGTTGATATGGAACATTAGGGTTCAATGAAGTACGGCCAGCTTGGCCATCGAAATGAGCCCCTCACAAGCCGTGAATGTGTTAGTCGGTGCTGAAGAGTGGACGTTTAGAAGGAACAAAAATTTTTTTCGTGCTTATTGAGTCAGGCCTGTTCACCCATTGGATATACAAATTGCTTGAGGCGGGGGCATCAGACCCAAATGACAGCTTGAACGCAAAACTTATCTATAAGAACACGATTTTCTCTTGCCCATCTCTTCCTACTGCCAAAACACTTTATCACCAAACTTCCAACAACACTGAACAAATACTTCAATACCATCAACCAAAACATCGATCAGGTCGAAAAGCTAGCAACTCAACATGGTTTCAAATTCTCAACAAGATGCATCGAAAGGAGAACAACCAGCACTCGCAAATTCAGCAGCGGATGATAGCCCAGGAGCCCAAGCGCTGCAGATGCTGCTTGCTGAACTGGGAAAGGCAGTAGAGAAAGAGCAGGAGGCTCTCGAACTTTTCTAGCTTTGAAAAAGAACGTCGAGCGTAAATAAGAAGTTTTGGAGGTGTTTTTCAAAAAGAGTGGGGCCACAGCGGCAATGAAAAGCAATAAGTATCCGATTTGGCAAAACACTCTCTTGGAGGTACCACCCTCTTTTGTCCAAAGAAGACGCAGTGCGCGTCACTTGCCCGCTTGGTCTCAGGTATGTTTTTGCCAGTGGGCCTCTGTATTCCGAAGGCGTTTCCAACCAGACGCTTTGTTGGAAACCCAAACTCCCATACAGCTGAGTTCCGATGAAACCCACTTTGCAGGAGGCAGGCCCGGCGGCAGTGATTGTGAACAGCGAACTCCCGTACACATCAATCCTCCGGCCAGCCTTGAATTATGCAGAAGCAATCTACCTAAAGATGCTGTATCTTAAGTCTGCAACAGACTTTTATAGCATCAGAGCGAGTTTGATTCCTCGATAATGCGATTGGATATTTGCTTCCGTAGTGTTGAGGATACTAGATACCGTTTCGCATGCGATCCCATCTTTGGAATATCTCACCCGAAAAGATTAAATGATCGCGATAGCAACGATAATTGAAATCCTTTGGAAGGATCCTCTGCCAAGGTGGCGAATCCAGGGCGCTTGCCACTCAACCCAATTCCACGACCGGAACCATCCAAAATAGCAAAATCCAACCCCAACTCACATCTGAAACAACATACAACTCAAGATACGGAGGTTTATCAATCCTCCTGCATAAGAAGGTCGAAGGGTCGCATACGGAAGTAGGGTTAATTCCAGGCTTAAGTCAGCAAACACAGGTCCGCAGCCTACCAACCCCACAAAACTGCAAGGCTGTGCCTGTGCCTGTGCCTGTCAACGCCACAATCAGGGATAGAGCTGCATCTCTGCCTCGCCGCAGCAGTCATCGTCGGTCTGAGCTTCTATTTTCGTATCGCTCCTTTTGACCCGAGACGAGACTTACTGTACTGTACTGTACTGTAAGCTGAGTACTCTGCTCTCGTAAGGCGGATGGGATGCATATAAGGACACCATGTTCCAATCGTCCGCTTTCATAGATTCCCGTGCTGCTGTATGTACGCTTTCAATTTATCTATGACTCCCAGTACATTGAAACTCTCCATCGATACCATCGAAACAATTAATTCATAAATCAGTAAACATGAACAACGTCTACACCTACGATGAAAAGGCGGCCTACGACGAACGGTACCGCTTTCGCCACACCAAAACCACCTCCTACTCATCCAATTCCTCCACCTCCTCCTCAAACTCCTGCAACGACGAGAAATGCGACGATTGCAATACCAATAATAGCCGTCCACATTCCTACCCCGCGGTGCCACGTCTACATGGAGAGAGGAGAGTGCGGTTCATGGTCGAGAAGCCGTTGCCCCCTGGGTGGGTGACTAATTGGAATTGGGAAGTTGCGCAGAAGCGGGGGAAGAGTGGAGCTGGGTTTGGTGGAAGGGAGGCAAAAGATAAGAAGAGGGCGAGGAGGGAGAGGGAGGATGCCTGGTGGGCGAATGGGGGGCAAGGACTTGTGCCTTATGACAGTGATGACGAGGAGGATGGTTATGATGAGGCTGCGGAGAAAGAGAAGGAGGAGTCATGAGCAATGAGACGATCAATGGGTAACTTGGTAAATGGATACATAGCTTTATGACTGGCGTTTAAGGTGGGAAAATATGGTTGGGAAAGTTAGAAGGGGTTCCGGAGTTGTGGTATACCCAACAGTTACGAAGTAATCAGCCATTAAAACGTAGAGGAACACTGGGGGCTTCATGAATCATTGCCACAGGCACTTGCCAAACACTCTCAAGAGAAAGCCAACGCCCTGATCCCTTTACTTCCTTTCTGCGGAATCGGCAAGAAAGCATCGCTCTCAATCTCCACGTCCCTCACACCAGTCTCAAACAATTCGAAGATACCAATGTCATCCACTCCCCTGACCTCTCTACTTCCCCACTGTCTCCAGATCGCACTCAGCCCCAAATACAGCTCCGCATGCGCCAGATTAATCCCCAAACACTGTCTGCTTCCCGCGTTGAAACCGACCAGGTATTTACCGATTGCCTTGTCCTTGCCATCCAGCCATCTTTCTGGTGAGAATTTCTTGGAGTCCGGGAAGATGCTTTCGTTATGGTGGATTTGAACGCTTGTCATGCCCACTGGTGTTCCTGCCGGGATTGTATATTGCTTCTTCTCGGTAGTGAAAATGATAGGATTATCGGGATCAATGCGAGCCAAGCGGCTGCTTACGCCGTAGGTAAGTCGAAACCCTTCTTTCATCACAGCGTTCAGATATGGCAAATTTTCAAGAACCGGTAAAGGGATGGTGCCGATCATATCTAGGCTTGGAATTGCAGCTGTGAGTTCGTCTTTGAGCTTACGAAGAGTTTCGGGTTGCCGGAGAAGCCAGAACATAGTGAGCTCTAGGACCCAGGATGTAGTTATTGTACCAGCCATTGTGAGAACGTGAGCATCGTCAGAGAGACGGATGTCCCGTTTTTCGTGCTCTGGAAGCTTGCTGTCGAGGATTGAGACGAAGATTGTGGGGTGGTTATGGTCCTTGTATGCTTCGTTGCGTCCCGCTCGAATAAGTTTTATTTGTTCGAAGACATCCTACGTTTGTGTTAGCAATGGCTGCAGTTTGAGAAGCAGGAGGGGCACTTGCTCTTTTCTGGGCAACAAAGGTGGCCATTGCGGGGTGGATCAATTCAGTAATCCACATCGGGAGAGCTTGCAGAAGGTTATTCGCCCAAGGCGCATGCCTCATGAAATTTCCTGCGGTTGATCCAAAAAATGAGGCATCTCGGTAGGAGGGGTCGAAGTCTTCTGCTTCTAGGAAAGAATCAGGGTTTTGCATATAGAGAGGTGATTCTGACTTACCAAGGCGCTTGTCGCATCGTCCAAAGCAATACATCATCACAATGTCTGTTTCGTAAGTCTTCAAGGTCATTCTCAACCATTCTGAGATCTCACGCACTATTGGTGTAAGCAGCAAAGGCCCAACTCGCCATGAAAACCTTACCGTTATCCCTGAACTCCCTGATTCTTTTCAACAGTAAATCAAGCTGTTCCTGGATCCCAGGCTGCAGCCTCCTCGCACTTGCCATGCTAAAGAAAGTACTCAAAGCCGCTCTCCTCATCTTGTGCAAGTCATGTTGCGGAGTTGCAAACACACTTTTATCTAAGCCAAACGACTTTGTAAAATAATCGTATTTGTCTCGCCTATGCCCTGATGCAGAAGAAGCATAAAGCGTATCGTGAAAATCGGGGTCTGAGATGTGCAACTCCCAGGGCGAGATGCGAATTATGGGTCCATATTCCTTGTGTAATTCAATGATCTTGAAGGTGTATTGTCCGCCGAGATAGAGGTCATAATATGCTTCATATCTGGAAGGATCAGGTGGGATTCTGGGAGGGAAGAGAGGACGCACAGTCTTGTCAGAGCTGCTAGCTTTGGGCCAGGAATATGAGCAATTGGGCTCATGTATAGACGATAAATAGCACCGAAAATCGTATACGCAAATATAGCAAAGAAGGCTAGGAGAATCAACCCCATCCTGAATATCCAACGCTGGAGGTTGAATGTTCTTGGGATGGGCTGAACAGCGAGATATGAGAAAGGGAAACCTCCGGAGGAGATAAGAAGCGGGATGCAAAGAAGGGTGAGGTGAGGGTGTGGCCTTCTGCAGGACTGACAGGCGGCGGGACGGCTCCCCATTGGCCCCCACATTGTTGGTGTCACCTCAATGGGGCGTCCCGTAGCTTTGCGGAATTTCTATTGGCGGCGTCCCGTGTGCCCTTTCCCGTTGCCAGTTGTTCGTGCTCATAAGAAGGGAAACCTAGAGGTCTTATGATTGATACTGGTCAGACGAATTCGGCTGCAGGGAAACGTAAGGCCTCCCCTGCAGATCAATCCTGTCCAATAACTGTCTCCCAGGGCCCGGCTCTCTGCCTCTACCTTTGGTCTTCTCGGTATCCCACGTTCCCTTCCCACTCGTGTTGACAGTATCGTCTTTGCACTCAGCGAACCCATTCTTCGTGCTACCGTCATGGGTGATCACTGCGCAGAAGACTGCGGAGCTGTAGTCGGTTGAGATGGAGTCGATTACGACGCGATCTGCTCCTGGCGACTCGTTGTCATTGTACACACCGAATTCGAGGATCGGGAACTCGAGGTACGGCTTCTTGGCGTATTGGAACGAGAACTTTTCGTAGTCTGGGAAGGAGTTAGACTGTACGAGATTGGTTTTAGACCAGACGGGAGCAAATACCGCTGTAGACATGCGGATACTTATCACGACCCAGAGTCTGTCCTTGAGATGCGAGGCTCAATGCTTGTGTGCACGCAGCATTGATAGCGGCACGGTCGTACTCGGTTTTGTTGTCGCAGTTGCAGCCTTCTGGCTCGTAGTCTTAAAAGTTGTTCAGGGCCTACTATTGAGTAATTTTCTCCCTTAAAGGAACTTACAAATTGTAGCCATGTTCCCCTTTGGAGTCTATAAGCTGATGTCTGGAGCTTCGATCACTTGAATTGTTGTAGAGGAAGTGAAAATGAGGATAGTGAAGTGCTCTTTGTAGGAACCTTCATCTTGAACAAGCAAGCTGAGGACCGGCAGCTGACGTAGGCAGATCACCGCAATGCATTGGATCCCCCACAACTGCACGAAGAGGTTGCTGTGGTTGGTTGTGTGTCTGGGAGGTGGAAATAAGCTTCTGACGACGGGTGCGCTATCCAGCCCGAGGTGGAAATGTTGGTCAGTGAGAACGAATGACTACGAGCTTCTGAGACACGGTTCAGCTGAGAGCATCCTTAGCAAAGCAAAGCGGGAGAGAAAAAGAACAATTCTAACTTGCAGCTACTTTCTGAAGCTGAAGGCTTGAAAATATACTCCGAGAGTCTTGGCAGGTAGGGAACCTAAAGGCACGTGACCGGGCTTGCTCGGTCCCGCAATCCCTGTTAATCCCGGAATCCCCGGCTTTCTTGGCTTCTCTTTATTTCAACTTCACTTGATCAAAGAAGTACCTTAAACACACAATCGCGTCCTCTACTTGAATTATCGGTGCTTTCCTCGTTATCGGGTATCCATTGGCCCTTTCTTCTCACCCAGGCTCCTTGAGGACCTTGTCCAAAAAATTTTACCCTTGCTACCATATGCGGCTTCCTTTGCAACATAGGGCCTGCGATGACGGTTTTGACAGGAGAGGAAGTCATTTTCTTTGTCACTGACACTAATTGCAAGCGGAACCTTGCCCAAATTAGTTAATTTGAGGTGGCGGAGACCAAGCTTCTGGTGCTGAGCTGCTCACATTTGCTGTGATATATTTTATGATCAGCGATCACTTTCATGGATTGTGTTTATGCATACCACAATGAAAGATTATCCAACAGACATGGGATTGATGGGTCTTGACAGAGCTTTCATGTTAGTGAACGCATATAATACTGAGTGTTCGAGTTCTTATCGTTAATCTTTCAACCTGAAACATCCTTCGAGTTGATGTATGGGGCTCTCATTGAGATTTAAGTAATTTCCTTCGCCTCTTCACCTAAATATGAAATCCGCTTGCGTCATCAACACACCATCGCGCGCATTCACAACTAATTTAGTAAATTTTCATGTCAGGGAAATTTAGGCTCGAGGATCCAGGAATAAAACAACCGTTCGTCTCAATGGAGACCGGGAATTTGCCCCCATCCTCTCTTTCCAACACCGCCAGACCAAATAACCATCATCATGGTTTCCCGAATCATTTGCGCCTTACTTGTCCTGTTCTTGTGTGTACATGGATACAAGCTGGTCCACAACTATGACCACACGAACTGGTACGAGAGCTTTATCTTTGAGACAGTAAGGGTTCCATCCTATCCGGGCTCTCCGCCTCTAACAATGTATAGCTGCCAGACCCAACCCATGGCTTCGTTGAGTATGTCTCTCTGGCTGACGCACAGGCACTTGGTATGACGAAGATTATTGGAAATCAAGTCTACATGAGCGTTGATACGACTTACAATGTCCAACCTCCTACAGCTGCTTTCGGAGGCGGCCGCAAGAGCATCTGGCTCGAGTCTAAGGATGAATTCTTGCATGGTCTTCTGATCGGAGACTTTGCACATGTGCCAGGAAGTGACTGTGGCACATGGCCCGGCTTGTAAGTTGGCCCAATCACTAAATGACTATTGAATATACTAACAACGCTTTACTTCAGTTGGACAATTCGCAATAACCCTGGCCCGTATGGTGAGATCGATATCTACGAGGGCTTCAACGACATCGAGCAAGTCTATATGACCTTGCATACGGACGGAGATTGCACCTTCAACCCACCAGCCAACGCTCAGTCGGGTGTATCCAATAATGATAACTTTGATTGCCAACTTAATAATCCCGTCGGCTGCAGTGTGAAAGGATCCGTTGGGAGCTACGGTTCGTCTTTCAACGCTCAGGGTGGAGGCGTGTTTGCTATGGCATGGACCAGCACCTTTATCAGAATTTACTTCTTTTCGAGAAATGCCATTCCAGCAGATATCATCGCTGGCAAGCCGGATCCGAGTAAATGGGGAATCCCTGCTGCGGATTTCGATAGTCAGTACGGCGGCTGTGACATTGATGCGAACTTCCCTCCACAGACAATCGTGAGTATAGATCCTGTGTGGCATCCGCTCAATTGAGTAAGGGAGCTGGCGAAAGACTCGGGCTAATTTTTCAACAGTATTTTGATACTACGTTCTGCGGAGCAAACGCAGGCGGAAAGTCCTGGACTGACTGGTCCGATTGCTCAGCCAAGACTGGCTACTCAACTTGTGAAGACTATGTTGCGAATGTTCCGCATGCGTTCGATGACGCATACGTAAGTCTACTTTCACACACTCTCCATTTCACCGCTGACTTTACCTCCATCCATGCATTTCAAGCGCGTGCGAAAAGGGCCTCGTCATTTTATTTTTGCGTAGAACGTATTTGACGGACGTAAGTGCTGACTTGGCTTGGTGTAGTGGCTTGTCAACTCGGTGAAGGTCTATCAGTGATGGAGATAGATCTTCGTTTTAGTTACTCATCGGACTTATTAGCGCCCCCATTTCGTCTCGATGGGCTATCGTTCAGCCGTGGCGTCAACCATCTGACATATATTTTGATTGCAGCTTTTCTCGGCTGCAGAAGGCTTTCTTTTGGATGCTGGCCCTCCTCTGGTGCATGGCGTGTGGACAGGGTGGACACAACGTAACGTGGATTCTCACACGCAAGAGCTGACGTCTTCAGACGGATTTTAGAAAACGATTTGTTTTTCGCGAGATTCACCTCCCATTCTACTGTTTGTGCTTTTGTGTGATGCTAATCTATTCTATCCATCATATCGAGCTTCCTGGATTTTTGTTCATTTGACGTTGGAATTGACTATTTCGGCACCGCAGAGTGAGACCCAAAAGTTTAATTAACATAAAGTTTCAGCCGCTTCAGCTTGCCAAAATTGCCCAGGATTTCGCATGGGAGGGATTCCCTTGAGTTGGCCTTTGCAGCTATTGACGCGTGGTCAGGTTACACCGCATCGTATTTTTCTAATCGCCCACCAAACCCCTGGATGTTCAGTTGGTGTGTGCGCCTCGGTTTCGACCAAACGGGGAAGTGCCATCAGTCAATAAATCCTTCGAGATCCAAGAAATATAAAACAACATGGAATGCTCTGAGACTTGGCAGAATGAATACGATCAGACGAAGAGCAAGAAAGCCAAAGGTCAAAACGGGCTGTGTCACTTTCAAGCAGGTCCCCCTTTCCTTCCTTTCTGCCTAAACATGCTTGATATACGCCCTATGCCATGCCATATGATTAACACTCTCTTGGAAATAAACTGCGAAGAGTGAAATGCGATGAGGGAAAGCCCTTTTGTCTCCAATGCTCAACCACAGGAAGAAAGTGCGATGGCTATACTCACGATTCAAGTCGGGCTTGTCAAATACCACTCCCAATCCCTGAGTCGATCGGCTCACATACCATCATCTTCGACATTCAAGGAGACGGGCAAGAGCGACGAAGCTTCAGTTTTCCGCGCTTCAAAACTGCTCTTGAGATAGCCGGATACTTTCCCTCCTATTTCTGGGAGACACTGATCCTCCAAGCAAGCCATGCAAATCCTGTCATCTTACATGTTGTCATCGCGTTGGGGTCTCTTCATGAGGTCTACCAGGCAACGAACCCGGGATTACCAGAGAGCACGGAACTAACCAAAAAGCGCGAATTTGCCATTGAGCAAAGCAATAAAGCCATGAGCCTCCTTCGATCACACTTCCCTACTGGAGCACCCTGTTCAAGAGAGATAGTGCTAATTGCCTGTCTACTATTCATATGCCTCGAGACATTTCAAGGAAACCACAAGTCGGCATTGACACATCTAGACAGCGGGTTGAAAGTCTTGCAATCGTGGCTACGAGATGAAGAGCCAAATTTCTACAAGGAGATGACGGTAATGAGGTCGAGCCGGACCTTCGTCGAGAGAAGCTTGATTCCTTCTTTGCTCGACTCGATATCCAAGCGTCAACTCATATTGTGAGCAGATCACTTCACTGCGATTTGGTGTTGAAGAATCTTGACGTCTCGGAAGCCCAAGAAATACCAGAGTCATTCTCTACCGTGTATGAAGCAAGGGATAGCTTTCTAGGACTGGCTACTACATGTCCAATCTCCAACAAGTGGCTCACGGCTGCTACGACCCCGCGCGGGAAGGCAGCCCATACAAATGTCCAGAGGGTCTCTTCATGATGTTCCTGACAGCACGAGAGCAAAATCGAGAACAGTTAGATGTGTGGCTTGAGAAACTCAACAATCTTCTGAAGTTGTCCAGCTCAAACACCAGTATGCGAGAACTACGGGCTAGCATACTCCTCAAAGTGCATTATTTGTTCGTAGCGATAATGCTCGGAGCTTCTGGAGCCAACGACGAGATGAAGTTCGATAACTTCACTGCTGAATTTGGACAGATGCTCAAGCTTGCAGAAAGTATTTTTGTCCCCCAACTCCAACGGAATAATCGGGTCAGAAGCCATCCTATGTGTTTGATGCGAATGTGATCCCACCTCTGTACATGAACGCTACTCGCTGCCGTGATCCTCACCTCTGGAGAAAAGAACTCGATCTTCTATGGAGCTTGAAGAGAAGGGAAGGAATATGGGATTCAAACGTTGCGGCTGCGATTGGGAAATGGGTTATGGAGAAGGAAGCAGAGGGACTGGGGAATATTGATGGCCCTCAGTCGGTACCTATTGAGAAGCGGATAACTCTATTTGGAAAAGGGACTGTGTGTGGAGAGCGGAAGGTGTTAGTGAAATATCGCCAGGGACCTGCGATTCCAGGAGATGTGGATACTGAGGAGGAGTATCTGACGTGGTCAAATGAGAATGGGCTCCAGCAAGGGCTTCGAGAGTAAGAGATGGATTTCTCAGTATGTCTCAACCGAAATACGTCTTAAAAAAAACCTTCGATATCTTCTCCTTTGAATACTGGTAAAGAGATTTCAACTGATAGGAAGGCTAGGACGAACTGTTGAGAAGGATATCAATGGCAACGCGCAGTAGCGAAATTTTTGCTTACAACGACAACATATCAATCTCAAGCGAGGACGGAGGGTGAGACCGCTCATGTGTCAACTATTAATCGAATAATGGCCATCACTCAAGTGCCCGGGCGGTTAGGCTACAGGGAGGCCTCTAGTATGAGCAAATGCAAATGGCAAATTCACCAAACAGAAGATGCCAATCCCAACTCCCAACTGAGGAGCGTTATCATACAGTAGAAACAAGCCTTGTCATCGTTCTAGAACCAGAAGACGCGAGAAGCACTGTTCCGATAAGAAAACTCTCTCCGATATTGAGTGTTGGATTGGAGATTTATTGACAATAGCAGCTGGCCCTTCAAGTCAAGGACTTGAGGACATATATATACATAGTAGCGTGGAACTAATAAACTCTAGCTTGAGTGACGGGTAGGAATTGAGAAATTGGTATAGTGACGAATAGTAACGTCACTTCAATATTGAGCAATGAGCATTCGAAGCCAGGAGGTGGCTCGAAAACAGGAAGTACTGCAGCTTCCCTTTCACATGCTGTCATGGAGTATGATCCATTTCTTTGGCCAATGAAAATTGATTTCGGCCCTCCCACTCTCAAATGCTCGATCTGATCTTGACCTCTTGAAAGCAGAGATCTTGGAGCATCAAGCTCTGGTCGTGGCTAAGGTTGTTCGTCAATGGCAAGAATTGGATTGAGGGATTGAGTTGGAGGATTGAGACTTCTTCCTGTTGTTGTTGCAGACCCAAGTGCGCGCCTGCTAGTCTTTCTTTCATTGACATGAATCGGCAACCATTTCCTGAGGGATTGGCATGCTTTTCGTCAGTTGTTTGGATGGAAGGGGTTCGATACTCCTTGATCTAGACCTAAGAGTCTCATTAGTTGCAATCTAATAGTAATACTTGAAATCGAGGTAACCTTCGAAGCCTACTTCTCCTCTCTCAAGCAAGGGATGGGAACCCAATAACTTGTGAATGTGATATGTGAAGTTGTAAACACGTGAACGAAACTGAAGTTTGTTGACCCGCGAAAATCCGAAGCCAATGTAATACAAAAGCACTTCCACCACCTGGAGCTCCGTTCCACAGCCACCTCACCCCGTAGCACAACCTCGAAATCCCCCATTTCTCCGTTCATTCCACGACAGCTTGACAGCACTGCTGAAACACCCCATCTCCACCTTTACATGTTTACTTGCGTATATGCAAGAGTAACATCGCACAAGGATGGCCACATGACACATCACCTCATCTGATCTCACGCATGCGCGCCCCTGTACAGGATGTCGTGCTCCCCCGTCATCTCTTCTATTTCCAAAAACAGGTTCTTGCATTCTTTGGATGACGATAGGGGTGCGGAAGCGAAGCTCCCCTTTTTGCAACCGAGCCGAATGTACATTAACCGCGGTACCAAGATGCGAAATCGCGGGGTGCAGAGAGGAGGCTGTACAACCTTTCTTAATTGACGAAAGGATGTATAGGGGATGTAGTTTGCAGCATACCTCCCTCCTCCTCCTGTAGGCTGTGTTCCTAACCTTACGCTGGCGATGAGAATAGGGGTGGAACCACTTCTCAACCTACAAACGCAATCAATCGGACGCTTCCTCGCGGGGTAAGCCCCCCCCCCCCCCCCCGTCTTTCCCTCGAACCCCCTAAACGATCCCTTCCATCAAGCCAACCAACCCCCCTTTACGCGTACGTACGGTCCGTCCAGACGGCTGTCTCGCATGGCGCAATCATCCTTCCATTCCACCACCCACTCCCCTTCAGTCCTCCCTTAACGTTCTGCAACCGCACTTTCTCGTTCACTCTGCCTCTCCCCTCCCCTCCTCCCTCCACATCGTCCGCATCCACAACTGTCATCCCAAGCCCCGCCAACCTCCACAATGTGTCCCTGTGAGACGACTTCCCCGCAAATACCTTTCGATGGCGGAGCGCGGAGTCGATGCTCTGCATCCCTTTCTGCTCCACCTTCTTGGCGAGCACCTCACATTGGCTTCAATGACAGAGGAAGCTCCACTCTGGAAGAAGAGTCAGCCCTCTGCTGAATAATTATCAAATCTGGAGTGCTGTTGCGCTGGATGCGCGGATCGCCAAAATGTTGGGGAAGGCGATGTCTCGGATTCTCGACAGGGGGGTTGCTTTGGCATGTGAAAATCTCCCCAGGGGTTCACCCACCCCTCCCCGCCAACCCCCTCCCCTCATATCTCCGTAGGAATGTTACCCGATCAACAACTCCCAGAATGGAAGGACTAAAGGGGCAATAATAGATTGAAAGGTATAGGGTACGGAGGCTGTACAACACACCTCACATTTTGACACTTCCCAAGAACAGGGGGAGAGATATGGTAACTCCCTTTTGGTACAAGGGAAGCAAAAGAGGCCGGTCAACGGCCCGACGCAAAGCGCCATCGGTATCAGTTCGTGTAACCTCACCGTCAGTGGTATCTGTCTGCCCGCCGGCCAAGCAATCATCCAATAGCCACTTTTATTTCGTGGTTAATATATCCTCTAGATTGAGTGACATGCTGGCCAAGTACTCGACCCCTCGGCACAGCTGCACAGCACAGCTAGAATAGCTCCACCTACCTACATCTAGGAGCTTGGCATGCATGCAGGCTTGCAGCCTCAGCTCGGAAGCGTACTGTACTGTAGCACCCAGGGTTGCATCCATCAAAAAGAGGCAATCCGGGGATCTGCAGCTTGACATCGCCTTTAGCAGAGGGCGCTTCGAGAAGCTCTGCAGTTTGCGGCCGACCTGCCCTACCTGAAGACTCCACTCGTCGGAATTCTGGGCCGTAAGGTAAATATGAATACGGGGAGAAATTGGGTGGAATGGAGGCAAATGTAACGTCGAAGAGGAAAATTTGTGGAGCTTTCTCATGCAAGCAATATCTTAAAGAGCAAAGGTGGACATGTGGCAAGGCAGATCCACCTGTGGCGCTCAACAAACTTCAGCTTTGCCTTTTCCCTCCCCTTCACTTCGGAGGATTATTCTCGCGAGTTTAAGGTAGGGTATGATTCAGTGGGAGGAAGGGGTCCCGCAGGCGGGCACTATTTTAGCACTCCCTTCGCGGAGCGGGTAAGGGACTTACTTAGTCCTGAAGCAGAATCCTTTTCCGACCGTGGTGTGTTTTGGGGTCTAGATCTTCGGGGAGGTCGCTTGTTAGGTTGTATGTGGGTGAAAAATCTAAATTCTTTAAATTCTTCGAGGTTTAATGCACGGAAGGTGTTGTGAACTGTGGGTCTTTGTTGTACCGTAGTGGAGTGAAGTGGAGATGGTTTGAGAGAGCGGAGCACTGGAGATATTGCGGGAGTGGAGAAATTTTTATTTGGTGGCAACTGTGTGTGGCGAAGATTTCAGCGAAGTCGGAAGAGAACGAGGGAGCGGTGAGGAGATAGGGAGCATGTATTTCAAAGTTGGTTATCTAAGTGAGTGAGGAAGCTGAGGGAGAGATAAGGATTTGAAGTTTGTAGATAGGTGCAGGAGAAGAGAAAATGAAGGTATTGATAGTGGACTGATTTCTAGATTGGGAAATTTCCTTCGTGCATGTTGTCGGGGCAATCCTCGTGATGTCGGTACATGCCGCCGGTCAAAGATCTTGGATTGAATCTCGGAGGATTCGAACTATGTGGCTGAGGCCTTGAAGAGAAGGATTGAAAAGGAGGTGTGGCGTAATAATGAGAGCAGCCTTTCTCCTCGGAGTCTCCCTCTGACTCGAGAAACTTCAATCTCACTGCATACACTCTGCACGGCGTCTGCACTCCTTCTTCTGACAAAGCTACTGTACGTGCATGTCGTGTAATGCTGCACCCCTCATTTATGATTTAAGTGTGCGTAGCACGCAGCGGATTAGGGAATAACGTGTTTGTGGTGCGCCATGATAGAGGGGCAAAAGAGGGGCAAGCTCGAAGGTATCGTGACTTTGTCTGACTTGACGTAGAACGATATCTGGAAAAGTTTATTTGTACTGCCAAGGCTGTGCGAGGCTTTCACGAACCTGCGATTAATCTCTTCGCTTTGTCCCTCCAACACTTAGTGATCGTCCTTCTCTGAAATTGATCGTTCCACATGAAATCGAGGGAAAAGATTGAGAGAAATCGATGCTGTAATTTTGCCTCCATCGTACGCTGCTTGTCCGCTATCTGAGGAAAGAGATGGCGAGGAAATCGCGAGGCAACAACAGTCGAGCCTTCTCCGCAATGCCAAGTCCTTACCAACCATCTGCGCACGTCCTCGTATGCTGCACTGGCATTAACACGAACAGTACCTGGGAACGAGTATCTCACGCAATTGAAGTCTGCCTTCGCATCCTTCTTGCAGACATCCTCCGACATGATGCCGGTTTCCGAGACGCCGAGCGCGGTTGCTGAATTAATTAACCTGTAGTCCTGTACAGTAAGAGAGGCTGTGACTGTCTGCAGGGACTTCCCTAACCAGTCAGCCTCGCCGTCTGTCTCATCCGCTGCCATCCACCAGATCCAAACAGATAGATTAAAGCCAAGGCCGATGCTGCTTCGCAATCAAGCCGAACCTTGAGAGAGGCATGTGCAGCCATTGTGCATCTGCAGGGTCCTCTCTTATCTCGACCACCCCTTGTTCTAACTTCCCAAAGAGGCAATCACCAGATCATGGTCTGACATGTCATCTTTATTGCGACTTCTGCCATCATTGAGTTTTAATGCTGGATGTCGCTGGCGCCATGCTAGCTTGTGCGTCTGGTGACTTGTGAACTCAAAAGCGCGCATTGCGAGCCGTTATGGAGTGGTTGAGGAGCTTGAGTGTGAGTGGCTCCACTGACGCCACCCAGTGCTTCTGGACCGTGCTGATGAACCTTGTCGGAGCTGGGCGAAACTTTCGCTCAAGGCTCAAGCACCACGACGGGACGTCAATTTGGGTTGAAACTCGGGATGGGATGTTTATTAATAATGAGAACTGCAAGAACGGCAGTGAGCGGAAGGAAGAGCGATAGGAGAAAACGAGGAGGAAAATTTCGACAGGAGAAAATTATGAGCCGCGCGCCTGGCTTGATAGTGGCGTTGAAGAGTTTTGTCAGACGGGGAGTGATTTGTAGCTTTGCCGCAATTCTATTTCGGGGTTGGCCGGTTGACGTGAGAATTGAGTTTGTTGATCCGCTCAGCACAAGTAGGTACGGAGTACGAAGGTACAGTCCGTAGGTAAACTCTCCCCTCTAAATAAAACGTAGCGTGACAAGGCTTGCACGGCCGTTCTGACGTATACCGTATCCCGGTGGCGCTACGTTTTATTTGAGGGGAGGGAGGAGGAGGGGTGTGCGGAGGTAGTGGACTTGTCAACAATCCACTCCCGTCGGCTTCTGCTGCGAGCTGCGATTTAATAGCCGTGCAGCTCTCCAAATTTGCCTTTCTTCGGAAAACCGACGCGGAGGGGTACCGGTACATGCTCGTTGTACAAGTACCTCCGTACGGCATCTTCAGGTGCTCTCGAGCCGAGAACGGCGCCGACGTGGCCGCGGCGCCGTGGGCCAACCGCTTGCCCCGCAACCAAAAGATCCAAGCATCTGCACCTAAAATAGTGAGCCACTCTCAGCAGCACGCTGAAGGCCCAGACGCCTGGAGATGCAGCAGAGCGATGCAACGCGCGCACCCATCCCGCTTTCCGTGTCGTCCACTTCGAGTGAAGGATCTGTGCTTAGTCGGGTGCTTAGTTGAGTGCTTACTTGAGCGCATGTGCGAAGAAGGTTAGAAAAGGGGTTGCTCGCGAGGGTTCGGACCCTGATTGACATCTCTGGACATGGTTCCGGTGATCGCTCCATATTGTTTCTCAACTCTCGGCGGAACAGGACCTGTTGAAGCTATTGATGCAAAGGCGTTCTGCGGATGGGATTTGGAAGAATCGCATGGCTGTGTTTCGTGCGGCAGCGATGAGTACGATGTCGTCATAAAATTCTCGTCGTTCGGTTGGGTGACCAGTGGGGACTGGATGCTTCGTGGGGAGCAGTGCAGCTGGTGTGTACGACTGGAGGTGCAGCTCAGCAGCTGTGACCGGCCGTCTTGCGAAGATGGGGAAATTCCAGATGGAGGGATGGGCTTTGGGGCATCGGTGGAGACACCCCCGGAGACTTTGCTCCAGCTTCATCCTATCCCACGGAGTTGGTGGTGTAAAAGGTCAAGAGCCTTAGAGCCCCTTTGGGAAAGTTTCAAACTTGGTCTTGAAAATCTATGTTAGTCATGGCTGCTGTGGCTGGAGGGCCAAATCGTCCCTGCAAAACTCGGCGCCTGTGGCGCTACTCAGCGTGGTGGGATGTCGTGGGCCAAAATGTCAGACATGTTGATCTTGATCAGTCTCAGATATCGCCAAGCGCAGACCACCTGCTCCTCCGTACTACTGAAGCGCAAAGCGTTCGTAAGAAAAATACTACTGTACAGTAGTAGCATCTGGACATGGGAGCGGCCAGAAGTCTCAGACATCCCTGCATGCTCAACCGTCTCTGAGTCTCTGTCCTGCACGATGAGGCGCTCCAGATCCTTCGATTTCCCAGGCGCTGCATGCTGCAAATTTGGTGATTGGGTGGAGCGAGCATGGCCGCGTCGAAATGCGATGGGTGATGATTAGGATGCCTTGCTTTCGCACATGTTGGCGTCAAGCAAGCGAGCGACAGGGGAGAACTGGGCCCCCTCCCCTCCCAGGGGCCCATGAAGAAAGGAGCACGGATAGCGAGTTGGATGGAGCTGAGAAGTGGGCACCTTCACCAGCTTGGTCCTTCACCAGCTTGGGGCTTTTTGCTGAGTCAAGCTTGGGATGCTTGGTGTGCTTTGGGAAAGCGTGATGAGCGTGAGCGTGAGCATCATGCGAGATGAAACGGGAGGCGCTGGTTGGGTGGAGCTTGTTGCTGAAGACGTCGTGAAGTTGAGGCACACACCTTCACCGCCATCTTGATATGTTTCCGGGAGAGAACTCTCTCAGCAGGAGTTTGGAGTTTGATGATCGTCTTACGGCAGGACAAGTACGACTCCTCCGAGGAGAAGTCGGTGCCGTCAATTGATCTATTGATGCAGAAACGAGACTGCGGGGTACAGAAAGCATTCGCTGCACCATTCCCACTGAGAAGTGTGCAGCCACACAGCAGATCGAGGCTGAAGTCGATTTTTCAATGTAACTTGGATTGACGAAACAAAAGTCCCTGTGCATTCCCTGTCGCACGCGCAAGATATCACGAGGTTTCATGACGGCTGTTCCAAGTCGGGTTATTCTGCCTTGGAAGAGGAAATGGCCAGTTGCAGCGATGAGGTCATCGACAGATTTCTGCTTCCAACGCACGAAAAAGCAACGAATGTGATTTCATACCATCTTCTGAAATGAGTTGATGGAGTGTTGTAGCTGGCGGTCGCGGTCAGAGGGCCAGGCTGATTCCGTTCCGGTCCGCGCAGGTGGATCAGGAACGAGTTCCTGGAACCGGAAGATACTCGTCGATCACCAAGCTTTGGCCAGATGCAAATGTCACTTTTCGCCCATCGTGGTTGTATGTGATCTGTCATTTCACGATGTTTTTAAAGTGGAGAGGCGGGATGGCTGGGCGCCGCCGCCGCTGCCCAGTCCTGGAGCTTTGCCGAGACCCACGAGCTTCTCCCCTGTCGTTGTTTGGCTGGATGCTACCTGCCTGCACCTGAGGCTCCCGAGTCCCGACACAGCTCCGGAGTTTTCGGATTGTTTGGAGAGGGGGTGTGTGGATGATCACAAAAGCGTTAACCATGACGACTGCGGTATATTGAAGTGGTGATAAGAAAGTGATCCCATGATCATGAGTTTGAATCGACGTGGGGAGCTGCAACTGGGAGGAGGAAGAGGGGCAGTGCGGGACGGGAGACTCTCCCTGCCCCTCTATCAAAAGATGGGTGAGTTGTCGAAGCCATCGAGGGCATCGTACTGCGGTGTAGCTTGACATTGCCATGATAGCCGCTCATCAGAAAAAGGCGGTGGATGCCGAGAGCTTGATAGCCGGATCCCATTGTGTGCCACCATCCAACTCGCCTTGAGATGTGACTGGGAGAGGCCTCCAGGTAATACCAATGCCTGCCCCCACCGACCGTTCATCCAACCGATATCCGGTTTCTGCACCTCTTAATGGTGTTTGGCCAAGCACGGGGCAGCGACGCGAATTCAAATGACCGTCTTACGACTGCACTGAGAAGTCGACATGCACAATGGGGGGCATAAGTTGGGGAAGGTGTCGGCTGCGTTACTCTGATTTGATATCGAGATCGAGTCCTTCGGCTTCGAGAAGCAGGCGAGGCAGCAGGCACGCCATCGGTAAAGCAATAGAAATAGAAAGCTGGAAGAATAAACGAATGTTACACTCCCCGCAGCCCTGCCCTGCAACCACAACAGTTTTGCCTTCAGACAGGCCACTCAGCGACGATCCCCCTCCCTCGTTGGCCAATGGAAAGATGCAGCCCAGAAGAGGCGGCTTAGGATTTCCGATCAGACCATGGCATGTCCCGAAGGTACCGAAAGTTCATGCCGACTTTCCTCGACACGTCCGTGGGATAGATAGGGAAGGAGAGGCAAAGATGGGGGCCATCAAAAGCTTCAAGTTGATCTGGACTGATGATTGTCAAGGAGGGTCTCTTATCCAGTGATTAATGTTGTGTTAAGCTGCGGTACCGCTATGACTGATCACGAGAAGACAGCCACACCTTGACAGGGTGCCACAACCTTATCAATTGGTGACAGGAAGAGATATCGACGACTCCAAGGAACGTATTAATAATGAACTCCATGAGCTGGCAGAAGCACGAAGTACCGGTGCGTTCTTCGGACCTTGTTGTGCCTGCCTATCATCCTCAACAACTGCTGATCGGCCCCAACGGCGACTGGTTTGTACTCTATACTTCCAAAAATGGATGTACCCGGACTTTGGGAATGAAGTGCAGAAGTTCGTATGCGGTCTGCAGCATTCAAACATCTGCCCGACGCGGTGCTTCATGTTTATCAGCCGCCGTACCATAACCACCATGGCGTTTCCATGAACTGATCGACACCTCCCTTTAGGAGACGCACGAGTACTTGCTGGCTAAGTACTGTACGAACGGGAGCACTGAAGAAGCTGGCTGCAGATGACCCTGCAGGAGGATATACAACGTATTTCGTGTCTGCTCCTCCTTATCAAGCTGTGTGTGCGTGGTTGGCCGCCGCGGGTTCAGCAGTCAGTAGTCACTCAATGCGATGCCGACCGATCCATGGGGCCAGGCTGCCAGCCCTTGCCCTTGCCTTTCTTTGCCGTTGACTTTGGCCCCCGGCGCATTGCAGGCACTCGAGACATCCCAGCCGCTGCCCATGCAACGTCCAGCATCCATGCATCCATGCATGGCCGATAGCTCAAGTGCGTGGTGGCGTTGCTTGGCGTCAGACCCCGGGCCGGGACACTGGCCACTCGCGCCAACTTTTCTTGCGGCGGGAAGCGAATCAAAACAACCCAGCCCTGCTTCCCACCAAGAAAAATCCAAATCCGCTGAGGCCGATTTCAACGCCCCAAAACATCGTGATATCGCCCATCGCTCCAGCCCCAGCCCCAGCCCGCTGCAACGCAGAGGATGGCAGGACGGAGGGGACCCTGGAGACATCGTCTGTAGATCTGTGAATAGCTGCAGACTGTAAATTGGACTTGGGCCCTAGCCGCAGCCCGTGTGGAGAGTTCAGAGCTCAACGGCGGCAGACGGCACTCGTCCGTCCCGCAACAACTCGCCAGATCTCCGCGCGATCACCAGAGTTTGGCTGGACCAGCAGAGAGAAAGGTTGAACAACCGGAGACCAGGGCCCGCAGCTCGCAGCCAGACGGACTGCAAGCTGGACCCGCAAGACGTTGGCAGTGGCAGATCGAGCAGTGCATCGAACGAAAGACTCGTACCACCGCTCACGCCAAATCCGCGCTATCATCCAACATCCTGGACCCGCACTATCCCCCATCCTACCCTCTTGCCGTCCTTAATTCCTCTCCTCCTTCATCCTCTTCCTCCACACATCTAGGCCTGAGCCAGCCTTCACGACTTTTATTTATTTTGAGGCTTCAATTGTGTATTGTTCGACGCCGCGCAGTGAATCTCCTCACTGGCTATCGGCTCGCATAATCACTTACCGGCAGGCAAGAAAGACGTCATTGACTCCCGGCCTCGCTCACCCCCTCGGAGGCGATTCGCACCACCGCAACGCCCGGGACCAGAAGGAACAGGTAGAAGAGTCACAATTCAGTTGGCTCTGTCCTGGCACCATCTCGTCCATTCAATCAGCCTCTTCCTTCGACTTCTCCCCTCGAAACGTCGAACGATCGCGCCTTCCGAAGCAAAACGCACAAGTACGATAGCTGGAATACGCCGTACTTTGACTTTTCTTCAGCCGCTTTCCCCGATTCACCAACTCTTTGTAAGTTTAATCACACGCCCTCTGATGTAGCTCCTACTCCCGCCCTCCGCCGCACCTACAATTGCCTCGACAAATTCTCTCTTTTCTTCGTACCGAAACCTGAGGCTAACCTCAGCCTTCAACATCTAGTGCAGTAGCATACTCAACGAGTTTTTGCCGGAGAAACCAAATGCTTTCATAATAAGTAGGAATTAGACGGCTCCTCGACAACTCACCCGAGCAGAAGCGTTATTCCCACAGACCACATTCCTCATATCGAAGGCGTCGACCGTACGGATGCCTTACACTCCTCCCTCCCAGCGATCCCCAGCTGCGTCCGCCCCTCACTCTCCAAACCTCAGTCGTCGCTCGTCATATCAACCCGGCCATTCGTCGGGTCCCGCTACCTCCAGTAGGCCTGAACTACCACGGTCAACCTCCTACCTGACGAGGACCCATCGACGGACAACGTCGGTGAAGACTGCTTCCTTCCAACCTTCTCTCGAGCCAACACCCCCCGGAACCGCAGAAGACGAGTACAATGATACGAGCAGCTTAGCTGCTTTGAGCAGTCTCAGACAATCCCCACCCCCAGTTACCGGCGACGCACAAATACCTGTCGGTGCTGTTATTTCACCACCGGACTCAGCATCAAACTCGAGCGACGATGAAGAGACAAAGGACGAGAGGGGTCGGCAATTAGAAAACTTGGCAGAGCTACAAGCTGCCATCAGGGTGATTGAACAACATCGGGAGAGCTCACCAAACCGGACGGCAGTGGAAGTCTCGAAAGCCAACCGAGCTTTGGCCTTGATCATGCCAACCGAGCCCAAGACTGACAACAAGCCAACGGCTGTCCACGTCGAGAAGTCAACAGTCGACACCCTTCGCAAGATTGCCCACAACAGATCAAATACTGACTCCTCCATCTACGTCAATATACAGCACACTCCCGAGACGTCACTCAGCCCATCCGATGAGGAGTCTGTTTCCGACGAAGATGAACCAGAAAGGTCAAGGAGGAAACCGCAGATGCTCAGGAAAAAGTCAGGCGAGCTGGTCAGACCAGCACTTCGACCTTCATCAGCACGGCGGCGGCCTTCGAGTATGCCTGGCACGCCGACGTTCTCTAAAGCTGTTCACTTTGATTCCCACCTCGAACATGTCCGGCATTTCCTCCAAGTTGATAGGCCATTAGCAGTCAGCGCCGGCTCGTCGCCAGTCGAGGCTTATGAGAGTGACAACGAGTTTCCCTTTGGTGAGGATAACTCACGTGGTCCTCCTTTTGAGTGGGAGATCGTGGTCTCCAACTTCCCTGCCGAGTCGCCTATCCGACTCGCAATGCCCGTGAGAGTCGAGAGGGTCTTCCTTTCTTCAGACAACAAGACTCTAGTTGGATCAGTCGCTGTTGCTAACCTGGCATTCCACAAGCATGTCGTCGCTCGCTTCACATTGGATTACTGGAAGACCACGTCAGAGGTCATTGCCGAATTCAATCACGACATTCGCCAACCGAAGCGAGAGGGATATGACCGCTTTAACTTCAACATCAAGCTTGCAGACCAAGCCAACCTTGAGGCGAAGACAATGTTCTTCTGCGTGAAGTATGCTGTTAACGGCAAAGAGTACTGGGACAACAACAATTCCACCAACTACCAGGTTGACTTTAAGAAGAAGGCGAAGCCACAAAACGGCAAGAAGGGTATGCAAGGTGCCGCTTCAAGACCAGTCAATTCTCTACCCAGAAGCAACAAGAAGTCGCCGACTGAACGACCCAAGTCTATGCCCGTTGCCTTTGATGACTTTGCTGATGGATTCGATGGCAAGTTCAAGATGGATGACTTCAAGCAACCTGTGCACGACTACCTCGGCGAGTCGGGCTCGCTTAGATTGAAAGGAGTGAAGTCGGCCATCAGCCTTGGATCGGACAATCTTACCCGACGCCTCGCACCACCCCACGGACAGGCCTTTGGTAATCGATATGACTTTGGTGCTTCCTTGTCTGCAGCAATCAGTGCTGCAAACACAGCGCTGGGTGATAAGAGTGGCTTGGTGATGAAGGCACCCCCCAAGAAGCAATCAAAGAAGATCATCCCCGATGCCGAGGAGACCTCCTCTCCACTTGCAATGTCAAGCAACCAATCAATGAGCAAGACTGCTCCACTCCCGAAGAACCTTCCGGCCATGGCTTCCTCCAGTGGTACGGACTCGCCTCGTCCAGCTGGTACTGAGAAGCCTATATTGGCTTCCCAATCGTACAATGAGTTGCTGGACAAGTATTGTTTCGTACGTACAAACGAACACCACTGGAAAGCCCAGGATGGTTGAGCTAATTGATACTACAGTTTGGATCCGCGAAGCCTTCCCCACAGCTTAAGGACGGTACATTACGATCCGGTCAATATGATGGTACCAACGAGGACGGGTATATTCTAGGCTCTGTTGACTCTTCGGCAAACAACTCGCCAGTTATGATGGAAAAGCGATCACCACCACGAACAAAAGTTAGTACGCAGGCGTCTCGCTCTACTTCGCCAGCCCCCATGACGGGCTTCGTTTCGGGTACGTCTCCGATGTACCACAACTTGCATGCTGGTTTTCTTCACGACACTCATGCGGCCACAGCAATTCGAGGTTAAATTGGACGCTTCCCATATTGCACCAGTCACGAGATGAACAATGATCAAGCTTTACGTTCACACGAACGATTCTTTCCGACACGATGATACGGCCTTGCCTAGTCTGTTCAGAGTGGAGATCCAGGATTGGATTAGGAGGGAAGTGTTCTTACTGGCTACCTCTTCATTGAGCGTAGTCAATTAATTTGAGTTCCCGAGGCGGATGAACCGAGTGTTAATGGGGCAATTTACGACCAATGCTCTCAACCGGAGCAGTACTTTTGACGGCAATTCTTCCATCCGGACTGGTATTGAGCATTTCTGCGCGGTGGGATCATGATTGCTTTTGCTTTGAGCTTTCCTCCTTGTACTTTTGAGCGTCTTTCTTTCTTGCATGTTATTTGTTTCAAGGGACAGTTGCATGCTGCTGCGGTACTCTTCAGCGCGCCTACTCTCCTCTATCCGCACATAGACTGGGGATTTTTAATTTTTGGAACTCTTTTTCGGGGACTCGGGATCAGGGTTCTATGATGAGGCTTTTCCTGCCTCTTCCAGTTCGAGTTTGTCTTGCCGTTTTTGGATTTCGGGGAAAAAGTTGTGGATTCTATCCCAGGCTGGCTGGTATGTGGAGAAAAGGGCTTTCTCATGGGTACATACGAGAAAATGGGAAAAGGGAGGAATTGAATGGACGGGATATCGGTGGATGAATGCAATCGAGGGTGCTACGATATGAAATTTGCGAATGCAAGCAAGCAAAGGCTGTCTTCCGGTTTCGGCGGATAGGGACTCGGGATCAGATGTCATACCGTCTTTCTGTTCGGGCTCGCTGATGGGCTGAGCTGAACAGAGATGGGATGCGCATACCATGCCACCGGCAAGCAAGCAAGCATGACACGAAGGGGAATTCAATGAATGAATCAAGGAATTGAGATTGGTTGTATTCTCAAATGGAGTGCCACCGATTGGTTGTGAGCTCTGTGATTGTGACTTGTGAATCGGATCGTGCAGCTGAATACCAACCATGTCCTGACCGCAGGCGGGTGAGTTGAGGTGATTATTCGGCTCAGTCCCGACGTCTTGCAGTTTGCATTTCGTATCGCATTCACCGCTTTGGCCCCGGGTTTTCTTTTGCTTTTTCCCACTGGCCGCAAAAAGTTCCCTAAATGGTCGCCTCGGGCTTTTCTACCATAGTTTGAATGGTCTAAGCTTCTTTATCTGATCTGTGTCGATGTTGAAATGAGACGAGATGAGATGACATGGCGGTGACTGAATCATGGCACTTTGGATTGAGTTTTTGGATGCAGGATGACGATCTTGTGGGATGGATTCTTGTTTGTGGGTATTCAGAGTGGATTGCATTTGCATTTGAGGTGAGTGGGGAGGTGGGGTTGAGAGCCGAGAGCACGTGGGGGGCATGATGAAGTTTGGGTTTGTGGCTTATGTGGGTCGTGAGACATGTGAGATGCTTGGGTTCGAGACGGTCATGTGATTTGAGAGCTTGACAGGGGCGAAGACGGTCTCGCTTGACGCGAGGGGTGAATGACTAAGCTGGTGGGGCCGGTTATGTAAGTGTCGGCCGAGGGATTGAGATTGGATGAGAGCTTGACCTGAGTTTAGACGAAAACATTCAACGACACACTGCAAATGTGGAAAGGGTGCAATTGCATTGCGTTCACTATAAATATATAAGTGGCTTGCTTGGATTCCCTCCCATCACTACCATTCCATACTCGAAGGGAACAGGCAGACGCATCGAGTCGAGTGAGTCGAGATCAAAGACGACACCACCTTCCCACACATCACCTCACCTCACCTGCGAACGCAAAGCATAAGACCGAGATGGAAAAAGCAGCATCAGCAGGCTTACGGCGCTGTCTAAAACTCAACGGCACACGAGCGCTGCGCTGCCGCGTCCCCTCATCCTCGGCGTCGAAATGCGTCGCTACGGCTATCTGTCCTGCGAGAGGGAAGGGTGGCATCAGCACATCGTCCAAGTCCCAAACAACGCCATCCACACCTCTGCCTAGATTTCCAAAAGACAAGAGGATAGAAAAGCGCGTGTATACTACGTCAGAATCAAGCTCAGTCGCCGGAACCATCGGTGCGGGCGAGGCCGGCATTCCAGAGGAGGCGGCGAGAACAAAGGAATTGTTGGAAGCACCGGAACACCTGAACGCCAAAGAGAAGGAAATCTTCGAGTTGTTGAACAAGGAGTTTAGGGCGGAGAAGCTGGAGGTGCAGGATATAAGTGGCGGGTGTGGCAGTATGTATGGGATTGAGGTTGTGAGTGAGAGGTTTCGCGGACTGAGTATGTTGAGGCAACAGAGGTTGGTTAATGAGGTGCTGGGGGAGGAGATTAAGGGGTGGCATGGAGTGCAGTTGAGGACAAGGGCGCCGTGAGTGGGAAGAGATGAGGAGATGAGGTGGGGAGAGGGGAGGGGCTAGAGTAGGCCGTGTTGAAGGGCGGTTGGCTCCGGTCTGGGGTACCTTGGTCGGGATAAGATGGCCAGAAGGAGAGCTGTCTCATGGTTGGGGAGACCCCTTCGGTCTTGGAGCGTTGCTGAAGACGGTGAATTGGCCAAAAAAGGAGCTGTCTCAAGGATAAGATGAATGCTCTCTTGAAAGAACGAGTGATGCCGAAGCAGTTTCAATATATATGCTTGGAACAAGGCATTGTATATTATATTATGATTTGTTAATGAAAATACGCAGCTTTCTACGCAGAAGTTCAACCTAAAAACTGATTTCACACCTTCAGCGATCCTTCTGAAAGAATTATATTAAATATTGATAATAAGCAAGCGTTATATGAAGACTCTAACTTCCATCGTCACAATCTCTAAGAGCGCAATCTGTTCTCTACACTTAGCATGTCACTCTTTTCAGCTCAATTGTTGATTGATTTCGTTGAGGGCATCATGTTGATGACCTTCCTTGAACTCGGGCAGAAATGTGCCGAGCTCGGCGTTGATGTCGCGACGATGACCTCCTCTTCTCGGGAAACTTGCACCTTTCAAGTTAACTTCATTTCATATATACCACCACTCCTCCTTCAACATCTTCTTTTCGTTCCATTTCCCCTTGCAGTATTTCCCCAAGGGTAATTCATTTTAAATCTTGTTCACAATGCCCAACGTCTTAATAACAGGAGGAGCAGGCTTCATTGGCCAGCTCCTCGCCGAACGCCTGCTCTCAGAACCCCAATACAACCTCATTCTAACAGATATAATCCTTCCTCCGATCCCGCCAAAAGCAAAACATTCCAAGAATGTGAAATCCATCCAAGCGGATCTCTGCGATCCCGCCTCTCTCTCCAACCTAATCGACACCTCCCTCCCTCTGGACGCAATCTACATCTTCCACGGAATCATGTCCTCGGGCTCGGAAGCCAACTTTGAGCTCGGAATGAAGGTCAACCTGACCGCAACTGCATCTCTTCTCGAGGCTCTGCGGAAAGCGCAAAAACCGGAAACGTCACCACTGCGAGTCATCTATGCGAGTTCGCAAGCCGTCTACGGCCAACCTCTGCCAGAAATCATCGACGAGACCGTCATGCCGACACCAGAAGGCAGCTACGGCGCACAGAAACTGATCTGCGAGACGTTGATCAATGATTACACTCGAAAGGGCTATCTAAATGGTTTCTGCTTGCGATTCCCCACAATCTCAATCCGGCCCGGAAATCCCACACAGGCCGCATCGAGCTTCTTGTCAGGCATGATCCGAGAACCGCTGAATGGCGTGGAATGCGTGATTCCGCTGAAAGATCGGAGTTTCAAGTCTTGGCTTTGCAGCCCTAAGACGTTGGCCGAGAATCTGGAATACGCGTTGCGGGTTGATGGCAAGAAGTTGCCGAGTCATAGGAGGGTGGTCAATATGCCGGGGATTGGGGTCACGGTGCAGGAGATGATGGATGCGTTGGCTGCAGTCGCCGGGAAGGACAAGTTGGCACTGTTGAAGGAGGAGACGGATGTGGAGATGGAGAGGATTTTGAGGAGTTGGGGGACGACGTTTGATAATGAGTTGGCGTATGGGTTGGGGTTCAGGAAGGATGTTAGTTTTGAGCAGGCGGTTAGGGATTATAAGGAGAGTTTAGAAGGCCGATAGTAGAACATATACTAAGAACTATGGTATTTCATATATTTCTGTCCCGATAGTTGGTTTTCGAGTTGTACTTGTCTTGTTGGGCAAGGCAGCAAGAGTGGAGGAGTCCCCGGGATACCTTCCCCACTGAGCTCTGGCATAGTGGGGTAAATCCGCTGACATCTTCAACCCCACACACGTCTCCGTTCTCGGGTCAATAGTAACGGTCTTCATCACTTTACCCTTCAGGCTATTGCTACTCTTTATATGTAAGAATATTTATTCCGCTCACTTCCTCTCCTTCTTTCCTTCAATTCGTACCAAAGCCATACCAAATTCGTGAATATGCCGAAATCAATGAAGGATAACAGAGCGGTAAAGATGCTCAGGGCGGCGGAAGAGGGTGGATATGGAGTTGTTGGCGTTGTGTCTGTAGGTTATTCCCCAAAGTTATTCCTTGGGCAATTTCTGATTTCAGAGCAGTATAACCTCGAAACCATAACCGCCGTCGTCCGCGCCGCGGAAAAGAAGCGTTCCCCAGCACAAATCCTCCTCTTCCCCTGGGCCCTCCACTACTCACCCCTCCTCATCCACCTTGCCGTCGCAGCCTGTAAGACAGTCACCGTTCCCATAGTCCTACACATGGACCACGCCCAATCCGAAGAAGAAATCATTGCTGCGTCCGACTACGACTTCGATTCCATCATGGTGGACATGTCGCATTACGAGAAGGAGGAGAATCTCGAGAAGACGGAAAGGATCACCAAGTTCTTGCATGAGAAGGGGATTGCTACGGAGGCGGAGCCCGGGAGGATTAATGGTGGTGAGGATGGGGTTAAGGATACGGGGGATCTCGAGGGGCTGTTGACGACCGCGGAAGAGGCGATGCTGTTTGTGGATACCGGGATTGACTTTCTGGCGCCGGCTTTTGGAAATATTCATGGCAATTATTGGGGGATTGAGAATATCAAGTTGGAATATGATAGGTGAGTGGTGGTTTCTATCGTTGGGTTCTGAGCTATCAGAGATTGGGAAATCACCTTGATATTTGGTCCGTTGGAGGGAGCAACTGCTTCACTAGTTGGTCATATGGGGTCAAGAGCTTTATTTCGGAGGAGTTCTCGAGTGCTGTGACTCGGTCTGCAGGTTCGCACGAATTCGAATGAAGCTGACCCCTTCCTCAGACTCGAGAAAATCCGAGCAGCAACGAAAGGGCGAGCACAACTCGTACTTCATGGAACAAACACCTTCCCAGATGCAACAATGCAAAATTGTATCAAAGGAGGAATGACTCGATGCAATGTAAACGATCTCGTCTTGCACACATATAGCAAATACGTAGCAGAAAATACTGGCAAGGTTCCGCTGACGGAACTTATGGGCAAAGGGACGGATCTGATTCAGGAGTTGATTGAATACCAGATGGACGTTATGGGATCGACGGGGAAGGGTGATGTATTGTATTGAAAATTACTTTGACTAGTTAGGGTTCTGGGAAAATGTATAAAGAAATGAGAGGTTTTGAGGAAGTGTTCATTTGGAAGAGGGGGTGGTTTTGGGAAGAATTCACTTGAAAATAAACCAAGTTTTCTTAACAAGCGTTAGGCACAAGCAGCGGTGAGCATCGCTTAATAAATCCATACCTCTGCCCCTGGACTTCTCTCTCCATCTATTACACTTCCCCCCTCTCCCGACAGGAGTGGTACGACATTTAGGACCTAGAGTTTAGCCAACGGGCTCAAGGGACATATATCTCACACTGAGAAAATTTCGTCTAATAGAAGCCGTCAATAGTTGGAGGAAACTATTGGATTCGTCCTCTCTCCAATGGTCTAATAGCGGCCCAGTAAAGAAGGGATTTGACCTATGGAGTGCCGCAAAGGAGCTGCTGACTTTGGAGGTCTAACACAGTCATTGGTCCTCGCACCACTTGTTCTAAACCATAGTCAAAGAAATTGAGCATCCCATTGCAAGAAATCTTATTCGTTTTGTTCCTAAGCACATGGTTTATCAAATTCTTCATGTGTTGTTTACCATTTCTTATTTGTGTCATCTAGGCACGGGGTTCTGGAACTCAACTTAATCATAGATGAAGAGAGAGTGAATACAAATTCAGAAGCTTGTTGCATATCGCACCTCTCAAACGGATTGCTCTCACCTTTGAGATTGCCCGTAGCAAACTGGCGAGTGAGAAGTCGGATGGGCCTCCATCCGGAAATCCCATGAAACAAACGCGAGAGTTCCCTGGCCCCGAACATATTCCGAGTTTTTACTTGATCCAATTGCCAATATTGGATATGCAACAAAATGTCGAGGATGATATTTTGAACGTGAGGTGATTGGAGTGCGGTAACTGACCTTTCCGATACATTACAAAAAGACTTGAAAATCTCAATGTCTAAGGGTGGCTTCTTACAATGGGGAAATGTGCAACAACAATTTGACCGTCCAGATTCACCTCAAAATTCTGGGGTAATTCCAATGTACGAGAACTTTTGGAACATTGAGGCGATGTGCGACATGTGGATATCAGAAACCAATGTCGTCGCTCTCGTGGCTCGTGCTGGGGATTATTTTTATTTCAAGCATACTAGCAGTAGTTCTAGGAGGTAGAATTCTGTGGAGAAGGCTGGGTTCAAGCTTTCCAAAGAGAAACTCGCCTGGCAACCCATGCCATCACTCTCCTCTCAGTCTCAGAGACCCAAATGAGTGCATGAATAGCAAACACAGGTTCATTGAAACCATCTCCTAACCAGACTCGCAATGGCTAGGAAACAATTTAAGGGGCTGTAGACCAGATTAATCTCAGGGGACAACGTCAACTATGTTTCTCCCATGATTATGAGAAACTCTTCTCGGCCTTCGAATGGGCAATGAAAAATTCTTCTCTATCGGAGGTATGGTAGAAAGGATGAGCAATTGGATGTAGAAGTTTAGAACAAATGGCCTAAACTTCAGTAGAATGGGAGGGGATGCTCATTAATCGGACGTTGTGATTCCGACATATAACCGACAGCCAGTCCGTGGTATATAGACCTAGGAGAAGAAGTGCAGAAAATGATATTATGATCAAAATTGGAAGCCAATAGCTCCCATGGCTTTGACTTAAATAGGGGCCAGCAGCGTCAAAAGTAAGCAAACCCCTCTTCTCCTGCCTAAAGGGTGCATGTAGATGCACATAAAGAGTAGAAAGAGACAACATGTTGCGCCTTCTATTGAAGCACAGTAATACTATCCCCCCCCTTGAATAATTACGAGTGGGTCCTTTGGTAACGCCACACTGAAACTTCGTCAGTATCCCCGAATTAGGAAATATCAGGTGCTTTCGAGAGCCGCTATTCGCTATAGACCCTCGATTGCGCGCCTTTAGTGGTGTGAATCGTGGCATGAGAGTGCGGCGAATATTGGACCCACTCGAAATTGTTCATGGGGGGGATAGTAGCACCCCCGCCCGCCCGTGAGGGGAGCAGTCTTATCGCCATGATATCAGCCCACTTGGCTCAGATTTGAATGACGAATGCAACTCACATGCATCGAAGCAAGCCGGTCTCCGTTCTGGAAGATGATGAGAAGGTGGCGTGGTGTCTCAGAGTGATATCATGTAGCCAGTCGGGACTCGGGACATTGACAGCGCCAATTTGCGACCCCGGAGCAGGCCGGCCAATTAGGGATCCCGAGACTGGAAGATTTACAGGGCCCAGACGCCCCAATCGTCAGCGATTGGTGTGGCCCTGAGATGAGACTGGCGTGATTCTGGGTCTCCAGAAAGAACATCTGATGATCCTCTGAAGATACAGGAATCACACCATAAACTCAGAAAACACCATATCTGACAGCAAATTCACGAATATTCGCGGGAGGAGATCGACGATGGGGCACAATAAAATTTCTCGTACCCGAAGTCTAGAACGCACTCTCGTTATAAGGACTGGGCGTAGGCCAGGGCGCCCAGTCTGTCACCATCGCGACTATCAATAAGTCAAATAGACAACATCTTAGAGTACCGAATCCATACTACCGGAAACACTCAATCCTCACTTGATTCTCAAATACGGTCTTGTCCACAATACCAAGACTCTGCATCCCACAATCAGAACCAGTCAACCACCGAGTCCGTCACCAAGCCCTGAGATAGAACATTCGACATCAATGAGAGGATACTTTGGAATTATGGCCGAGAACTCCTGCGAGCTGAACGGCAACGGGGAGAAAGTCAAGCTCGAAAATGCGGCCAAACACCTGCTGTGGCAACCACGAAACGATGGCACTCCCAAGCAAGAGCCATTGTGGCATTTGCAGGTCAGCGTTTTGAAAGACCAGGAAGGGAGGGGCGACGCCCCGAGTCGCAGATTTGTGGGTTTCTTCATCGTCCCACAGCATCAGGTTGAATCATTTCTAACGGAATAAATAGGCATTCAAATCAATGCATCATCTCACACACGCGGCAAACCAACTAGAGTCTGCGTTCAGCGACACATTTGAATTGCGCAAGTGTGGTGTGGAAACCCCTGATGCTCAAGGGGGACGAGTCAACGACGGAAGAAGTGAAAATATCACCATTGAGTTCGATACCAAGACCGCCAAGAAGGGCTGGTCAGAGTTCCTGACGAGTCTGAGAGACCTAGAGGATGAGTGGGAGCGTGAGGCGCAGCATGAAGGCCTCAGCGTGCTTTGAGGGGTACGCGGGGTAGTAGGTCACACACCACTGAGTATGGAAAGCCTTCTGGCGTTGATAAAGGCGACACTCGTCTTGCTTGAGTGGGTTCTATAATTGGTAGGAGAAAACGGAAAGAACCCAGCTTGGAAACAGTTTGTGTGCTGGACCACAGTTGGATAAAATATGGTGTTGGAAGACATTGCTTCAGGTTAGAAGGGGAAGTTTCGGGAGCATTTGAAGGTGTTCTGGGACCAGATTTTATAAACAGACTTGCTCAAATAAGAAATTAGAGATATAGATCAATACTTCCAGCAGCCTGGCCCCTGGAAAGACCTTCCAGGAACCGTCGCGGGATTCCCCATTCGTGCACCCAGCCCAAAACCTTGCCGTCTTGGGGCAGCCCACCCACGTAGGGAAGTATAGAAAACAAGTCTTTAGGCGGCCTCTGTCGAACCAAGGACAAGTTTTCTCGCCTAGTGCAAAGTGAAACATGAGCTGAATAACTCCAAGAACGCATTTGTCATTATGCTGGCGTTGACTTGCCTCGGTATATTGGTAAAGTGTTTGCCAATATAACAATGTTCAGAAACACTTGGGGAGCACAAGTGCTGGTGTTTAGCGAGGGAGGCGAGGGCCACTGCAAAATTTCCATTCCCTCTTCTTCAACAACAACTCATCATTAGCATCGCTGACTGCACCGCGACAATCACGATTTTCTCGCGACCGCTCAGGCGATGGAGCTTTTCCATCTAAAGAAGCCGTCGAGAAGCGCAACCCCACAATGGCCCGTGGTTCCGATGACAGATGACGTCCTGATACGAAACACAGAGGTGCATGAACTCGTGGACTGTGAAACTCTCGACACCGCCAAACCTTGTCGCCAGTGGCCCATCTCGGCCAAATATGGCCCAAAAAGTTCTAATAATGATTCGAAAATGCATATGCGCAAGTGCCCATCCGTATGATCGCCCACTATGCCTCTACGAGATGCATCAGATGTCTGCAATAGCAATGCCATAGTCAACCTCGCGATTATGGATTCGAAGCCGAATCAATGGTAACGTCCACACAAGGAGGAGCTTTAACGGCGATGGCGTGCTGCAGGTGGTTCCGTCTGGAGTCTGATCTCATCTCAAACTTCTTTCTTTCTTCTCTTAATTGTTTCCGTTCTCCACATTGCTCTCCACATGTCCCAGCATCATCCCTTCTTGCTCTGCAGGCCATGATGCCTCTTTGCTGCCTTTGCAAACTTACATAATAGTTGAACTTACTTTCTCGAAGTCTATCGCCAGCTGACATTATGCATTTCGATCCCTCGCTGGAAGAGGCTTTTTCCTTGGTTAATAACTTCATCGAAAACTACGCCAGCCCACTCTTCGAGTCAAGCACCCCAGAAGATGTTCAGCAAGCAGCACCGGTAGCAACTAGAGCTCAGGATTTCAAGTCGTTGATCACAGCTGCTCCCGAACTTCGTCTTCGTAATGCAATCCCGGAACCTCAAGCGGATTGCCAACAGGCTTCGCAACAAATCCAGCAAGCTTCACAGCAAGCATCTCAACAGATACAACAAGCATCTCAACAAGCTTCCCAATCGATACAACAAGCTTCCCAGCAAGCATCACAAGCTTCTCGGCAGGCATCACAGTCAGCTTCCCAAGCCATACAACAGTTTTCAAATCAAGCCTCCCAGTCTATCGCCGCGGCCTCAAGAAGTGTATCTAGTGCAGTATCATCTGCTAGTTCTGCGATTGCGAGTGCGCAGTCTTCAGCTGAGCAAGCCATACAAAGAGCCAATCAGTCAATGATGAGCGCTCAAGCCAGTGCCTCATCAGCTCAAGTACGTCTTTCCCTTGAAATAGTATGAATAGAGAACTGTGCATGCCATAATCTATTTGACATCAAGATTCTAATACCTCCAATCACAGTTAGGTGCCAGTTCAGCAATACTTCAAGCAGGAGCTGCAGTGGCAGCGGCAACAGGTAAGTGGCCACGCTTCTTCAAGTCCATATGTTCATCTTAATAAATCATGTTTTAGGTTCTGCAGCAGCAGCAGGGTCATCCTTCCTCTCCGCAGCAGCAAAAGCAACTCAAAGTGCGCAGAATTCTGTAGCAGCAATAAGCGTAAGCTCAAGATCTAGGTTGAGAACCTCAACTCTAACATGCGTACAGGCCGCTGCCGCTTCTCAAGTCTCTCAGGCAAGCCAGCAAGTGAATGCTTCGCAAACAGCTGCCGTCACCGCAACTCAGGCAGCTCTTGCCATCGTTGGAAGTATCATCGCTTCTACCTTGATCACCATTCTCATCTACTTCCTTGTCATACGGCACAAGAGGATAGCCAGAAGGCTATCACGAGAACAGCAATCGTCAGCAAAAACAAATAATTTTGCAGACCCAAAGTTTCCACCATCGGCCCAGAATGCCCCAACAGTTGCAGCTTCTCAGTCTAACTATCCCGCAACAAGGACTGGCCCTATGAGCGGGTCTCCTAACCCATTCTCACTATTTCCAACCGCGAGTGGAGCGAAGTCCTCAGAAAAGCGCGACTCACTTGTTAAAACGACAACAGTGCCGTGGAATCCATCAAAACCTCCAAAGGTACCTACGCTGAAAACATGGCTGAAGGTCCAAGATGGCGTCTCACCTTTCGGACCAATTAACCTTCCTACCGAAACGAAAGACCCTGGTCCACTGGGGGGTCAACTCAGATCACCTTTACGAAGCATCGATACACGTGCCCCAAAGAATCCTCTGATGCCACCCAAACTCCCAGTGGCAACTCAAAGTCCCAGTTTCCCCTCATACATCGGCAATAAAGCAACAATCATCACCGTACCAAGGAGTCCACTGACGTTGCCGACCAGCCCCAAGCACTCTACACCAGGTCCACACTACAGAGAAAGCAAAGCCTCGGTATGGACGGACGACATACCCTACCAATCTCCCTCACCCCTTCTTCAATCGCCACCCAAACAGAAGAAAAGTGGAGGAACACCAGCGTCTCCCTCAGTAGACAAAAACTACGGGATGACGATCCCGTCCCCGAGGGCGCCTGTCCGCACCACAGCTGAATGGTTCGCAGCCCGTGAAGATGCCAAAGCCCAAGACTTCCCCAGTCCATCCTCAGCATACATCTCAACCGCCAACATCGGTATCGGGATGAAAGCGAAGCCGTGGAGGCCCTCAATAGGCTTACCGAAGGGTCCGAGATCGGGATCAGGACTACCGAGACCGGAACAGAGGAGTGTGAGGAGTGTAGAAGGGGATATGCAGGGACTGAATAGGTTTTTAGCGCCCGGGGATAGGGCGAGTCAGTATTCGAGGTTTGGGAGTGATAGGAGTGAGAGAAGTCAGCCGACGCCTGGGGTGGGGAAGGCGATGTGAATTATTGTAGAGGGTTATCGTAGATATTGGATCTAAAGCGTGGGATATGGGGCGTTGAGAAAGGTGTGGTAAGATGAGAATTGTAATAAATAGCATAGTATTTGCATATGAATCATTCATAACTACCGCACGACTCAGTCTCTCCCGTTCCCTAATCTCAACTTCTTGAGCTACCCAAAATTCGCATCGTCGCTCATCCCCACCCGCTTAATATTCACATGCCACCCTATTCCTGCCCCTATCACCCACCCGGCCCCTCATTTTCCGTCCCCTCTTCGCACAACCCAGCCTCCACGCCACAGCCCAGTCCCAAGCTCCCGATTAAAGCTCATGAGACAGCGGCATCCTCCCCACCCTACCAGAGAAACAGAGGCTTTGTCCCTTCTAATTTCCAACTTCGGCTCGCCAACTGGACTTGGCACCCCGCCCTTGTGCAGATCTAACGCAACCCTAATTCTGGAGGCGAGAGGGGCGGCTGTCACACCACGAGCGAGCGAGAATCAAACCCGTTGCCGCGGCACGGATTCCGAAAAGAGGGCCAGAGAAGTGGAAGTTTGGTAAGGAAGGAGAGGGTAGAACGGAAGAGCTTTCACCGGAAAGGTTGGCGGTTCGGTTTGGTGACGAAGGATTGACAGGATATTGCAGAAAAGATCTCCGTCTGGAGTTGGGAAAGTGGATGTTGCAGTAATTTTGATCGTTTTAACTTCAGGGTTGTGATATTCTCAACACTTGACCCCTTCCAGCGTGTATTCTAGATTCAATACTTTCGAGTGCGCTTCGATGTTCGATTTTTTGTTAGACGAAATTGGATGTGACGGTTTCAAGGAAGACTCGGCGAGAACCATTTCGTTCGGGGGACAAGTTCAACGAACTCCGTATCCAAACTGACTCAAAAATCTTTCTAGTGAAGACGAGATTTTGTTCGCAGATTGTGCTGGCGAGCGAGTATGCGCATGGCTGCGAAGACGTTAATTTTTGCTAAATCTCCAGACAATTCGGTCGGTTTCTCTGCGGGAACTGTGATATTGATCGACTTAACCTTAAAGGAGGAGCATCGCAGAAGACCAGTAATTTGATGCGCCTATGGAGTTTCCTTAGTATAAAAGAGATGACCTTGCGATAATTTCTCGCAAAAGTGAAGAGAGGGTCGTGAATTCAGGGGTTCGCTTAACCCGCCCCTCTAGAATGGTTGAGAAAGGCCCCGCAATACAAAAGAGAGGCAAAAGAGGTCCCGTGCAGAGCCCAAAACGACGGGAAGTATCTCGCGCACGCTGTGGCGCGAGAGAATACTTCCATTTCGAAAGGAAAAATGGCAGAAGTCTTGGTTCCAACATCCGCAATCGATCTGAGACGGTGCGAAAGCGACGATTCGGCGTCTCAGGCTTGAGAGGGAGAGGTTTTGTCCAGTCATAACCCCAATAACCCAACCAACTCATCGGGGAAGAACTCGTGCACCATTTCATCCTTCTGCCATTTCAAAAACATGCTGACGACCTCGATCTAGGGGCATCCCACTGATCTCTTTTTTTCCAGATTTTGATTCGGTTGCATTTTCCCACGACGGCGCGACGGAGCCTGCGGAGATGCCTCCCCTCAATCCACAATGCTCGGCAACACCAGGTCGAATGAACTCGACCCCCCGTCATTATCGTACGACCATTATTCTGGGACTTGCTTCATGGTTGGGGACGAGGTTGGGCGAGAACGATCTGGCTCATATACCTCGCATTTCGATCGACAATCTCCCATGCAATAGGTTCCGGTCATACTGTAAATCTGTGCCCACGGCGGGGACGGGATACTGCAGGATCGATCTTCGATATCTTTTGCAGCCAGCGACAATCTTTGATCTGATCCCATGCAGAATAACCCGTGCCGCTCTTCTTGCATATTGATCTTCAATATCCCTTGCAAACACAAGCTGTACGGCATCACTCTCAAACTTGAATTAACTCTTCTGGTACAGACAGGGCAAACCGTCCTACCCATCCCGCAGCGTGGTTTCCAACATCCTCACATCCCTCCCCATCTATCCTGGCCCCGTCCACCTCGAGCAAGCAATGCAAACTGTCCATGCATCTCTCAGCTCGATCCCAAAACCCATTGCGCCTCCCGTACATCATGGAAGCTATTGACGGAGAGACATAAACAAGATATTTTGAGCAAGTGCTGCAAGAGTTATCACATCAACAACCGTGGCTGCACTCACCGCACACGTTTATTTCTTCATCTCCCCAAGATTCCTGCAAGACCACGAGCACATTGGCGATGTCATCATAGATTCAGAGAAAAGATCAAAATTTGATCTCGAAATATCGAAATGATCCCTTGCCGCCATCCGGCACTCATCCGATAAAGTGATGTGCACGGCCCGGGCATGTCCTCCAAACCTCAGTGCAACCCGTCGATCGAAAGTTCCAGACGCGCGCGCTTCGGGCGCCTTCGTTCTAGAACTTGGACCCCTCAAGCATGCCCCCCACCAGTGCGGCGGAGTTGCGTTACACAAGAGTGAAAACCTGTTGACGCGGTGGCTTGTGTCACCCTACTGAGGGTCATTGCTGAACAGACACATGAGGTTGCATACCGGAAAAGGCCCAGGAGGGAGGGGGGCACCGCATTGGGCCCCGAACATTGAAACGGGACCTCCAAATTCTGGGAACGCGGCTTGCATGAGGCTCACCTTTCAAGAGCTCTTCCAGCCCTTTTGGGAGCACCAGACGTCATTGTGCACCTACCCAACGGCCATGTTGCATCCTTTGGTTTTTGCAGAAAGGTGGGCCGCACGCAGTGGCGCCTTCACCAGCATTCGTGGCTATTCTTCACGTGTGCTTGGCAGCGGGTCGAAGATGAGGATCTGCTGGGTATCTCAGTTCCCGGTTCCTGGGAAAAAAGCAAATATAGCGTAGAGAAGAGAGGGTCAGCGGCTGGAGCTTCGGATAGGGGCAATTTATATTTGAGGGGTAATGAAAGAGTAATTGATGACCTTGTACGGGATGATTGTAAGTGCTCCAATGCTTTTTGTTGTCGATTAATGAATCATGAATTCGGATGAGAAAGATCAGGATTTTGCAAGTGTATCTTGGAATTGCAGAGTGAGGTTGCTCCCATGGTCTGTCTCTGCTTCGCCGTCCCAAGGCAGGAAGAATCGAGTCCTGTCTTAGCCATGACTGTGAATGCTAAGGAGGGTTGTGATCGACAAAACAGTTCGCAGCGTGGGTAGATGGGAAGTGTCGAGCAAATTGGGACTCCACAGAAGGAGGGGCTGACACATGGAAATCACTGTACGGGTCATTTTGAATATCTAAAGTGTCTTATTGAATCTTGTTTTCTCCTGACATGCAGCGAAAAGTCTCCAGAGAAGTCCTGCTTGGTCCATTTTGCCCTGTCCAAGCACTTAAAAGTTCTGACTTAACTCGGGCAGTTGTCCCTTTCTCTGAACCATGATCAAAGCTTGTATGAAGCTCGGGTGTGTTTTTCACAGGAGACTAAGCTTCTCTCTCTTTTAAGATAGGATTGGTAGCCCCGGGACTTGTCCATTCAAAATACCTATACTTGCTGCCAGAAATCATGCCTGACCTCATCCGCAACGTGACGATTCTCATCCTTTGATGGCCCTGGGAGCAGTGGAATTGTGATACGCAGGCTGCAAGTTCTGAGATGGCTAAAAGGAGGGATGCTTAAGAGATTCAGTGCATTTTGGCAGATGTCTGTGTTGTCTGCACCGAGATCCTCGCCTTACTGAATATATTTTCATCTCTCCAAAATACAGTCAGACTAAAGATTGACCAGACAAGCCTGATATCCCCTTTAGTGTTTGATGTAAGTTGTGGTGAAAATGTGCCCTTCGTCTGAGTTTTGTGTTGTGTCGACTGTTGAGGTGGAATCGGAAAAGGGGTTTCGGTCGCTAGAGTCGGCAGCTGGAAATCGTGGATTTTCGAGATCTAGAAGGAACAACGCCTAGACGACGCGTGAACCGCTCTGTGAGATGCTATGGAGGATCTCGAAGGTGAGAGAATGGAGAAGAGATGTCGATGTTCTCGTTTGGTCACTGTTGGAAATGTACACCCTGCGGCGAGATTAGAATCCTGCGACAAGGGGAAGCGTTAGGCTAAACTGACCACTTAACTCCTGGCAAATTATTCTACAAATCCTTAATTACTTGTGAGAAAGAAGAGACTTCGAAGAAGGGGTTTTTGCTGCATCATCGTTTTCGGGAACTTGTTCATGAATTTAGCAGGCGTGTTTGTGGGTGATTTCACCTGAGAAAATGGAGGAGGCTTGGGCAGGGGGACGCTCAGAGACCCGGAAAACACAGAGCTGAGAAGAAACAGCCTATTCCCCACATAGCCATTCCTCCTTTCGGGAGGGGCTAATCCTGCGGTGAACTCTGTTCGGGCTTGATTTGCCTCACTGCCTTGTCACATTGTGCAAACCTGTGCAAACATTCTGTTGTTTTACAACGTGAAACTTGCTCTGGAGCGGTCCATTAAACTCATTAAATAGCACAGACTATCAGATCTGCCGATGCAGCGCCTGGAAAACGCGGGAACCTTTCACGCCATGTTTGCCACAATCTCTGCGCGTCCGCCAAGCAGACCGTCCACGAGGAGCCTTGTTTCCTAGCCTACCAAATGAATGTTGTATCTGCCAATTACCAGACACCACCACGCTCCATCATCTGTTACATTCCTTAATCCCTGGCAAGAAAAGGCCACGTCAGGCGTGGAGAGAAGCGAATAGACCGGGGGACTGTTCGTTGATGCCGCACCACTCAAACGTCTCTCGAGATATTAGCAAGTGACCTCCTTCATCAAAAGCAACGCCCGCTCGCCCTTGAAGCCCTATTATTGACGATATCTCGTCATTGATTGCACAGAGAGGCATAGAACAGTCTCGTGCCTCGTGAGTGGATTCGAAATGGTCTGATGCGGCAGAGGTCGCCGGTGCGAGTTGTCCCGAATCACCTTTAACGTTCTCGAACTCGATGGAATACTACGCCTCGTACTCAGGGAAGACGTCGCGAACGTGGGTTCTCCAGGCGTCCGGATGAGTGGATCGTCTCTTCTCGTCTGAAATTATATGCTTGTTCCGGCGCCGCTGGTACATCAAGAATGCCATGTATATCAAGATCGTCAGTGAACAGAGACCCATTCCAGAGAAGATGAATAACAGGAGAACAGGATGGCTGACGATCTCCATATTGTACTGATAAGGTCAAAGAAGAATTCATGAACTAGGCTGGATGGGGAGACTGAATGGACCGCAGCTAGTTCGTTAGGGCTGCGTAACTTTCCATCTGCATGAAATGACACACCCGCGGCATAGATCTCCACTGCGGCAATCGCGACGCAGATGGGCGCACGGGAAGAATCGGTATTAGGGATGTTGGTTAAGGTCTTCGTAGAGGATTTACTGCAGGAGATGGAACAATGATGAGTTGGCTCCGATCGATAGCGAATTGAATAGGATGCGAAACGAGAAGGAGTGCGTAGAGGTAGGAAGTGTGGTGGGGATGCTTGCAAAGAGGACAAGAGGATGTGGTGAGGCTTTGGAGATGATTTTCTTTACATCGTTCAACGATTCCATTTTGGAAAGTGCCGACGAAGTCTCATGTCGAGGCAGCAGCAAGCAGCATACAGAGCGAACCGGAGTTGGCAGCCCCGTACCTCAATCTACCAATTCGAGAACATAAACATTTCACGTCTATTCATGCTAAGTTTTGTTTCTATTTTTCGGTCGACTGCGGATGTTGAATATTTATCTGTTAGATGAGGGGGGAGCTCGCTCGTAGGGCACGTGACCGTTAACTCGACCAATTCCCCATTTCGTGGGATCGTCGTTAGTCGTCAACGCTGGGAACTGGACATAGATTCGATTAAGAGGCCTGTGTGATTGGGCCCTGATATTTTGATCTGGCTGACAGTTACGGGAATTGAGTGGTTACTACACTTCCACCCCCTCGCGGGCTTGCTCGATGAGGATTACTAAACCCAACACCTTTCTCAAAATCTGACTAAAAGATTGGACAATATGCAATCGTCTTCCCAAAATAATTCCTTTTTCGGTTCCAAAGAGCATGGGGCGTTGGAACATGTCGAGGGTTGCACCTTCCCGAGTACCCAGTTGATGTCGAGTTACTCGGGCCGCAGGGATCATCGGATACGCGGTGCAGCAACAACTCACCGACTGGCCGGAACAGATCTTCGGATAGAACACAACAGCAATGTCAGCTCCTCAGGGTTCAACCACACCCTTAACGAAATGTCTCTAACTTGAAGTAGATGAAATAGGAGTTCGCAGGTGTCAGCGGATTCAGAAATAGTTCGCGCTGGAATGAAACTGGCCGCAACAACCCCCAGAAGAGGCAGTACGTCACCTTCTTCAGACCCTGCTTTCCACCGCTGTTTCCCATACGTCTGATGAGACAAGGGACCAAAGGCCAGAAGAATCCATTTGACTTTAGAAGTGAGCGGCTTTATAATCTTCTCAGTGTTGAATTTTTCATGCCGCCATAGTGCTGCGATACTGGATTGTAATGCAGTCTAGTTCGCGGTGCGTGCTTCTAAAATGGTCCAAATTGTAGACCGTTTCTATGAGCGCAATCAAATAGCCTTTTAGGAAATTGAAGCTCTTAGAATTGTTATACAGTGTTGCAGTGTCAGGAATCTTTTTTGGTGGCTTCGGGAAGCTGGGGGCATGCAAGATGCTCTCCGGGAGAGGGCAATTGTCGCCGTGTTTTCTTTTGTTAGTGGATCAAATGATACCCCAGCACAGTGCATCATTTCCATCACATGCGGTGGAGCCTTTCCCTTGAATGATTTGCAGCCGTGTCTATGAGAGCAACCTGAAGGTATCCTGAACTATGAATGATCAAGGCCTGATATGTCTCAGCTCCAGAACGGCCGAGATCAGCACATTCGTATTATCCACATGGCTGAGACTGTCCTTACTCTCATGCCGCTTGTGCCTTCCACTCGGAATGGTTTCCACCCATTGAATAAGACCCGGAAATTCAAACCGAAGCTTGTCTTTTTGACCGCCTTGACAAAGTGAGCCTCAACTTCAGCTTGCCTGGACCTGATCGTCTGGGTCTTATGAACGAATAAACAAGGAACCAAGCTTGTCCTTGTGTTAAGCTTTGATGTTGGATGAAGTTGAAGTATCAGGGGACGTGCCGACTGATGAAAGGTATAAGATACATGACTCCAGTTATTTCAGCGTCCAAGAAGCAGTCGATCATCCTTGGAAGATCCCAATCCTTAACATAATCCAGGGCACGGCAACACCTTGCTAGTAGCTGCTTAGCAACAAGGAACTCACACCACAATCGGTCCGCTTCGGAGCTTGGTACGCAGTTTGTCTTATTAAAACCCCTCCGTAAGTTCCTTAGAAGCTTGCTTCAAGACCGGGGTGTATCTGCTGAAGACAAGGGTTGACTTCGGCGAGTAGAGCGACGGCCATTGTTGAAGGTCCAGATATTGTAAGTCTCTCCTCCACTTCCAGGGATCGTGTACTAAAGTCCCTTAAGAATTGCTTTTAGGCAATCAAAATATCGACCTTTGATCGAAATGCTTAGAATCGCAGTTCAGCCGCCGCCGCATGCGAACCCCAATGTCCCGCTATATCCTCCTCTCGTTGCTCACTTGAGCAGCGACACAAGCATTTTCGCAGAACTTTCCCAGACATGGGCTGTGGCAACACTTATTCACTATTCGGGTGAAGTTCTTCACGACCAGCTCGGTGGGAAGGTTGCTGATTCCGCACATCCACTCCCTGAAGGTGGACCTGGACCGAGCAACGCTGGCCCCGAAAGGGAGAGAGCGTACTTCTACTTCCCAGGTCTGGCGATCCATGAACCAGGTCGGTACCGCATTCGAGTGAGCCTGATGCAGATGGATTATCCGCCGGATGGGTTGACGGAGGGCGTCGTGAGGGTCCTTGAAACAGTTGATAGTCGTTCTATTACTGTCGATGACGGCGCCATCAACCATTCTAGACCAAGTAAGTGGCTGCAGCATAATGTTATTCAAGTGCTGAAAATATCAGACTCACGTGAGCGTGCCTTCTTGCGAGTCTTGAGGGAGGACGGCCAGGATATTCCTTCTCCTCATTGAGATTCAGTCTCGAGAGTCGAGACAAAGTCAGGCTGTTTGTGCAAGCTGAACTTGAGCACCGGTAAAACGGCCGTTCTTTCCTTTACAATGAAGTTAGCTGGAGTATCTTTAGAGCTGGGAGTAAGGGCGGGTTTGGAAAGAAGATTTGGGCAAATTTCGCGGCGAACTGAGTGTGAAAAGGGGCAACAAAGTTGCGGACATGAAGGATAACAGAACTCCACAATCATTTGATAGGAATAACAGCACTTTATGGTTGAGGACCGTACCCTGTGTTTCGAGCAGGCAACCAAAGGTGCGAGAAGGTGAAAAGACCTCGAATATGTAGAGTGATCAAGAATTGTGCCCGACGTTCGGCGGATGTGGGGCGGAAAGGGGTGATCACGTGATGGCCTTAATGATGGCGAGGCTGAAACTGAAATGTAAATTTCGCGGTCTAGACTTGACTCACACCCAGGTAAACAACAACCTTTGGGCTGTGACTCCTCCTTCTTCCGACCCTACGTCTCCGCACACCAAGTATTTGATGAATACTTCCTTCTCCCGATTGTCACGACAGCCACTGCATTACCTCAGACTCTGGCCAGTCCATCCCAGAAGTAACAAGCAAACAAGGCGTCTCAATTCTCAGGGCGCCTTTCCTCCTCGGACATACAGAATGGCGGCGGCAGAGTCTACCCTGGCCGAGACGCTCCGTGGCTTAAGCCTTACCACACCTTTGCCAAAATATCCCAATTGCTACCCAGAGGTCAACCCTGTAGATGTCTATCGGTCGCATCTCACCTCAATTCTCACGGAGGTAACTGGTGTCGACGCTGCAATCATATACCCCGCTCTGCAGTGGACCCAAACCTTGGAAAAGGGTGACTTGGTCTTGCCCATTCCAGCTTTGCGAGTCAAAGGGAAAAAGCCAGCTGAACTCGCAGCAGAATGGGTTGCGAAGGTATTCAACCCCCCACAAATTGATAGGGCAAAATTGACCAATTGACCTTACCCTCCAGTTCCCCGAATCGCCTCTTGTGCATAAGCCAACGGTTGCTGCCACATTCCTGCAATTCTTCTTCAAAGTCGACAAGCTTTCAGAAATACTCATTCCTTCAATTCTCAAACAACAAACCTTCTTCGGGCAAAACCCGTATCTTGGCTTGAAAGATCCCGGAGATTCGTCGAAGGGAAAAAAGAGAATAATCATCGAGTTCTCGTCCCCAAATATTGCGAAGCCTTTCCATGCTGGACATCTTCGAAGTACAATCATTGGAGGCTTTCTGTCGAATCTCTACGAGGGTGCTGGTTGGGATGTTATCCGGGTAAATTATCTTGGAGACTGGGGGAAACAATATGGACTGTTGGCTTTGGGATTTGAGAAATATGGGAATGAGGAAGCCTTACAAGTCGACCCCATCAACCACCTGTACGAAATTTACGTCAAGATCAACAAAGACCTAACCGCGGAAAAGGAAGAAATTGGAAAGCTGGAAGCTGAAGGAAAAGATGCTTCACATATCAAGAATGAGGGGCTTGATGAGCAAGCTCGTCGATACTTCAAGGCGATGACGGATAATGATGAGAAGGCAATTGCCCAATGGGCTCGATTCAGGGATCTGAGTATCAAGAGATACAAGGAGACATACGCTCGATTAAATATTCACTTCGATGACTACTCCGGTGAGAGTCAAGTGAAACAAGAGCGAATGGACTTTGCAGCCGATAAGATGGCTAAGATGAGCGTCTCAGAGGTATCAGAAGGAGCCGTTATTGTCGATTTTAGCAAACATTTCCCAGGAAAAGCCGGCAAGAGTCTCGAGCGCCCAATCATTAAGAAGAAAGACGGAACAGCCCTATATCTTACCCGAGACATCAGCGAAATGATGCAGCGAGACGATAAGTATCACTTTGATAAGATGATGTACGTGGTAGCCTCAGCACAGGATCTTCACTTGAAGCAATTATTCGCAATTATCGGATTGATGGGCTATCCTGAGCTGGCAGCCAAGTGTCAACATATCAACTTCGGTCTAGTTCTTGGAATGAGCACCCGAAAAGGAACCGTCAAGTTCTTGGACGATATCTTGCGGGATGTCGGCGAGAAGATGCACGAAGTGATGCAGAAAAACCAGGCCAAGTACGAACAAGTCGAGAATCCTCTCGCGACTGCAGATATCCTTGGTATCAGCAGTGTAATGGTCCAAGATATGAGCGGAAAGCGGTAAGTCCATTCTTCCGTGGACAATGATTAAAACTAAGATGACTAAGAATCAACAACTACGAATTCAACATGGAGGCTATGACCTCCTTCGAAGGCGACACAGGTCCCTACCTGCAATACGCCCACGCCCGTCTCTGCTCCATCACTCGCCGGGCAGGCCTCACACCCGCCGAAATCGCCACGGCGAACCTCTCTCTTCTTACCGAATCACATGCCCAAAATCTTATCCGTGTGATCTCCCAATACCCAGACGTGGTTCAAAATACGCTGAAGACGCTGGAGCCGACAACGATATTGACGTATCTGTTCAAGATGACCCATACTCTAAGCAGCAGTTACGACCATTTGCGGATTGTGGGCAGTGAGAGGGAGCTCATGTTGGCCCGGATGGCGCTGTATGATGCGGCTAGAGTAGTGCTGAATAACGGGATGCGGTTACTGGGTTTGACGCCCGTTGATAGGTGAGCTCACTTTCCCCTTCCAATATCCTCTTTAGAATGGCTAACAAAATCCAGAATGTGATATCTCAATCTTTCCAGGTAGAGCTCTTGGGGGGCAGGGATACATGCATTGATGGAGGGAATAAGGCTTTTAAGGCGTTGCAAAAGCAGACTAGAGTTATGCACACCTAGCAGCTAGATACCGAGAAAAGCATCAACATTGTCGATTATGTTTGCAGCATATGCTATGATATCCTAGAACTCAACATGTCAGCCTTTGGAGGCAAAAATCAAAAGCGTTATTTCGTTTTCGAACGCACCTTTCGTGTGCAGTTCAAGCATTATTTTGAACAGCGGGGTGTTAGGTGTGGTCAATATCTCTTCTTTGTTCCCACTTGGCCCATCCTTTTCCAAGACAAGGATAAGCAAACGAACGCGATGGTTAAGGCTGCGTGTGTGTCGGAAGTGAATTCGGCCTCGTGCTTCTCTAATCCGTTTGGGATGGTCATGGAGAATCCGCCACCGGATGCTCTCGAACAGACTTCAGTTGTTCACGGAAAGTCTTAATCTTTCACATTCTCCCTCTGTATCTGTGGATGGTGGACTAACAAACACGGAAAGCCAGTCCTGGAAGGAGGCATAGGTTGACGGTTGAGTGCTCATTGATTCGGGGTTCCTGGATACCTGGCTCGTTGTGCGATTTTCCAAGGGCACGTTCGGTGGTGATTGTAGGATATTGTTCAATTGCAGTCATTGTAGATGGATTGTTTACGGCCATCCTACTGTCGTGTTTGAGAGCGAGCCCCAGGCTCTGGATGTCTTCTCGAAGCACATCAAGGGTCCCTGGATTGGAAGCTTTTGTGAGCGATTTCTGCCTGGGACAAGATATCAGTGATGAGGATACTAATGCGTTGAAAGACTGTCATGCACCCTTGATTCCTGGTGCGAGATCACTGGCACCAGGTTGTCCTTCATTGCTTCCTAGGCTATTAGAAGATGCGGCTTCCACTTTCCCAGCACCCGCCCCGCAGTTGTAATGTTCACTTAGAAAGAATGCTTTTCTGGTCAGCTAGCTTGATTTAAGTCTGGGTGGGAAGTTTGAGCCTCGTTATGCCACGACGGCAAATGAGAAAAGAGTGAAAGACTTCGGCGTGGCTTGCTATGAAGCCCGCTGGCCTTCCTCAAGAATTTCCTAAGTATATTCATAAGCGATTGGTAAAGAATCGGGATGATTTGAGATGTAGTGGATTTAATATGCAAACATGTACAGTGTATAACAACAAAGGAGACGCTCGAAGCGTCAAAAATGGTATTTCCCTCAAACGCCATTCTGTGCTCCCCCAGTTTGATCCCCACCCAATTCATATACGTTCGTTCGTCCAGCAGCCCCATCATCACGTCTCAATTCGTCGCATATTCGGGACAGCAACACCATTCGACCCTGTCTTCCGATCCCCAAAATTATGTAGTCGTTCTCCAATCAAATAAACCTCATCCCTAATCTTCATCCTCCAGTCCTTCACCCAGCCTAATAGGATGTACAACGCGAAGCCGATGCAACAAAGGGCGAGGCACATGGGATAGGCGTATCGGTATGTCAAGAGATGTTTCTCCGGCTTGTCTCTCAAGACCGTCATCGTTACTATCCTAGCCAGGCACCAAGGGTACGCGAGTGCCGAGCAAAGAAGCAAGCCAACAGGAAGAATGAAGCTACGTGTTGCCAGGCGTGCGTCCGGGTTGAGGTAGCCATCACGAGTGATAGCACGTAGGGATTGGGCTGGCCGAGACTCTTCGTGCCAGAGGATAATACGTGTTGTGAGTTTCACGTAGAGAAGACCTAAAGTCCAGCTTTGTACGAAGTGAATAACGTGGCGCTCTTCGAATGCAAAATATGTGTGAAGTGGGACGATGAAATAAAATTCGATGAGGAAGGCGAAGAGAGTCGGGAGGATGAAAAGGAACGCTGTGTAGGTCCAGGCTATTCGTGCGACCAGAGAAGTGGCTGCTGCGACTTGACGCATAACATTTTTGGGAGTCTCCGCATTGATTGCCAAAGCCGAGCGCAGGTACGAGACGAACTTCCCTACGTGTACAATAGCATAGAGAGCCGAGCCAAGTATGTATGTCCCTATCGAAAAGGCGTAAACGTCGTTCTTGCGGACATGGGCAGGGATCAGCTTTGCGAAAACCTGACGGCCGAATACCAGAGGCACGATCGTGATAGAAACACCTGTCAATGCGGCAAATAGCCAGATGAAGACTATGAAGAGGCATATCCGGAGGCGAAACCATGGTGGGATGTATACTTGCTTGTACAGCTCCGAGTTCTTTCCGTGGACACCATCTGGCCTATCCCATTTGCCGTCCATTCGGTTGTTCGTCTCGTCAACCTCGAGGAATATGCGGGTTCCTTTTGGAATTCTGACCTGGTCTGATGCTGGTGCTCGGACATATCTTCCATCTTGCCGGAAGTAGGCATTGAGAGCGGGATCCTCAACGAAAGGCTGCGAGGGATCCTCCGTCTTGATATTCCTTTCCCCCTTCATTCCTCGGAAGATGTCCATCCAACTTCGTCGGACAGTATAGCCTTCCTCGTCCTCCTTTCTCTCGTCAAACATGAACCATGTAAGTCGCAGCATTCTCGCGCATTGCCGGAACCACCAGCTGTACATGGTGTAGAGCCCATCCGAGGGCTTGAAAAACTTGACTGCCAGCGGCATCAAGAAATTATAGAAGAGGAGGTCGATAGGAAACTCCAGGACCGGTTCATTCGATGACCAGTGTATTGGTAGAACGCCTTTGAATGCAAATGATAGTCCCCATACAACGCCTCCCAAGCAAATGACTACCAAGCCTCCGTAAACTAGGGCCGAGAAGAGAATCTTTCGTAGTTGCGTTGCTACATTTCTTTCTAGAACATCCCGAACGGGATGGAATGTAGGATCGTCTGGATCGCGGATGAAGTCTACTTGATTAGTCAAATTCGACTGGAGGTACTGAAGAACTTACATAAAACTCCTTTCCGCATTATCTTCCGACACATGGAAACGAAAAGCGCAAAATGGAACATATAGCAAGTCCCAACGAACCAATGCACAAAGATGGATGTAAGTGGGGATTTGAAAGTAAATAGAATCCGGGATACGATCGTAGTGTTGTCGAAGAGCGGTAGCAGAGCTGCATCAAGAAGAAGCCCACAGTACAAGGGGAAGACCAACATTTCAATGCTAATGATCAAGATGACTTTCATCACACCTCCAGCTTGATTAAGAAGGTCGATGATAGTCGCTTCCCATTCTCGTCCAACTGGACCGGTTGAGAATGGTGAGCCTTTCTTGACGTACAGTGCACCAAGGAGGCTGAGTGCCGTGTAGCCTGCTACTGTCGCCCAGAAGCGATCCATCCCATCCCAGACGCTAAGTTCGAGGTCTAGCGGGCTACCTCGCTTGCCCACTTCCAGACTGATAACCCAGGAATCAGATCTGGCCAGGAAACCGGGCATAGCGGATACGAAATGCCATCCATGATTAAATGCACGAGCCAAGATCGCCCAAATGCTTGCTCTAGTTACACCGTAATCTCCGACGAAGATATAGGAGACCGTTTCGCCGATCGTGATGAGTGTATCGATCACGAGATTTTTGAGGTATATTAGAGACTCGTGTGAGGCTGCGGAGAAGGCAAAAATCTCCGAGTCCCCAATGTGGACCAAGCTATTCATGGTGCTATCTATGACCCGTTCAAGAGCGGATTGGGAGACATTCAACGCTGTGGAGCGAATACCCAGGCCAGGAGTACTATCCGAGGCGGAATACCAGATTGACAACGGGACAGAGAATATCCTAATCAAGCACCACGACACAACGCCCATCAACGACAATGCTAAATCTTGCATGAGGGCCGCAAGCCCGAAGATGAGTCTCATAGGAAGCTTGAAAGCAGGTCCGGGATTGGCCAAGAGTAACAACGAGACTCTTCCGATATTGTAGGGGATCCATATACCAAAGGCGACAGTAAGTGCTAACAGGAAGGCGCTGAACAAGGCGTTTTGAACGAGGCTAAAAATAGGACCACGCATTCCGACAAGCTCCATAATGCCTTCAAAGTCCTCTGCATCGTCGATTGCATCCTGATCGTTTGGATCTATGCCAGCGGCAATTGCAGCTTCGACAACCTCGCGATCTTGTTCGGCGAATTCACCTCCTTGGTCGAAAGGGTCTTGATGGACAACGGGAACAAAAGGGGCTTCGGCAGCAAGATCTTGCACAATGTGTTCGTCATTTGCGCCTTGCTCCTCTTGAGGCCTATCGTCACCAACGCCTCCCCATAAAAAGTCTGCAATGTTTGCCAAGAGGCCTTGAGGTTCTGCCGGGCGAGCCAGGACCGGCTCTCTGGTTTCCGGAGGTGAAACATCATTTGGGAGCACAATTGGTGGTGCGGCTTCATCTGGTTCGGCTTCGTTGTCCGAATCGGAGAGTTCGACGGCCTCGTCCAATATTATGGGTCGATATACGAACTCATCGGGTGTCTCAACAGAATGTTCTTTCTCATTTGTGGCAGCTTCTGCGTCGTTCTTTTCCATGTGGAGTGAGCTGGCAGATTCATGACCCGCCAACGCTGTTTTATGGACTTCTCTACCTCTTGCGATGGCTTGTTGGACCCGCAAATCTTGCGCAGCCTTCCATGCCTGACTGTCGTGAATGTGGTTTTCTGGTTCAGTGATTTGAGCTGAGGAGGCTGGACCAGGTGCTGCTCTGGAGATCTCGGCAGGTGTGTCATTCCCTTTATTCCACGAAAACTTATAGTCGACGTTGTCATCGTCTGGCAGGTTTGAGAAATTCCAGTTATTGGTTAATATGCTTTCTTTCGTCTGCGGTCCATCGGAGATAGCTCGGGGCCGAGAAGTACTTGACGAAAAAGAAACACCGGATGCCGAGGAGGTCCAAAGGTTACTTGCCGATTCGGGTATAAAAGGATTCAGTGCTGGTCTGGTGTTCTCCTTATCAGAGGAATCATTCTGAGGAAGTGAGGGTTCTGGGCCTTCAATCGCCCGATTTTTGCCTTTGTCCAGAGGGCGATATTCAAACGCCTGGGTGATTTCTGCGTTTGGCTCGACGGAAGTACTGTTGTGATGTAGGAGTGCGGGAGGCTTCGGAATCTCGACCCAACTTTCAGAGCTAGCACTGCTTCCGTCACTGGCTGACTGCTTCCCCAAATCATCGGTGCTACTATTCTCAGAGCTGGTAAAGCTAATAGCGGGAACTTCGGGGGTTCTAGTGCTTGTACCTGCAACGGTACCTGCAGGAGGATCTGGAGACGAGGCGGGCAGGGCTGGCGATGCTGGCGATGCTGGAGAAGGAGTTTGGAGGAGTTTCATAGCATTAACCCAATAACGTAGTTGGTCCCCTTTATTTTCTGTCTCGATAATACGCAAGACCTCCTTGGGGTCACTGTCTGCACGTCTCCAAATGGCGAGGAACTCTTCTGTCATCCTTGGCTCCTCCGTGAGTGCTCTTTGAATCTCTGCCGCTGGTGACAATGCGTCCCTTACAGGAGTCGGGCGGTTCGCGAATGGCCCAACTTCTGCTTCATGATCTGGCCCATTTTCCGGGTCCAAATTCTGTCGAGCGGGCCGCGCATCATCGCCGTCTCCTAAGTGAGGATTTCGTCGGCGTGGTCGTGCCATTGGTCGTTGTCCAATGTCCCTAGGCTCTTGGATATCCACTCCATTAGGCAATGGGCGCGGCTCAGGTACTACTTGCTGTTCCCTTGGTCTCTCAGGTGCAGCAAATTCTGCGTTGAATCCAGCCCCCATGTTAATCCCTGGCTGTTGCTGGACGACCCATTCCCGAATCAAGAAGACGAGTATAAAACAAACTACAACTAGGATTGTGATAATATAACCCTCCGCAATCGTGATGATTAGCTGGTTGAAATAGGAGTTCCTGGTCAAATTCCTCAAAACCGGGATTTCACTCAATAGTGAGGGATTTCGAGATGTGGGAGAGTGGCTAGTGAGGAGCTGCGAGACGTTTGCGTTCGTCCCAGAGTCTTCCGGAATCACAACCTTCGACATTCCAAAACCATAGTAGAGAGACTTGAAGAGACCGGCGGCGAGAGGATCGGCGCTGCTAACATTCAAGGTTTGAGAAACTGGCTTGAGGAATCGGACGAGCTTATTCATAACACCGCCAACACTGGCTGAAGTTGTCTGACTTGCAAGAAACGGGGTCACTGGGGATGTTCCGTTTCCAGTTAGTGTGGCCAACTGCAGTTCTCGGGCCATCTCAAGTGCTCTCATCGCCGTGGAATTTCGGGTTGAATCTATCGAAAGGTAATGGGGCGGCCAGCCTCCATCGCTGAACCAGAATAGTAACCTCCAGACTTGTCGAATAATGTATGGGAGGAAGCCTAGCCACACTGTGACCACGAGGCAGAACCGTAGCCAAGTAGTGATATTCTTAACAGTGTGGATGATGACGTGCCGAAAGAGGACGTAGATTGGTAGCGTCTGCGGCATATTCGGAGAGTAGAGTTTCGTGAATCTGAAAGCGGTTTTACACAGCTCGCAGTGCTTCTTCTGCGAGTGTGACAACCACTCCATTAAGCAATCCTGGTGGACATACTTGATACTCCCACTACATTTGCACGGATGGAATAGAGGCTCTGTATCGCTGCCTTCTCCTCTGCATATCCGGCAAGTGTCTGCATCCCCCATCCCATCTTCACCATTCGCAGTATTTGTCGCATATTGCGGGTCGTTCATGAGGTCAGGAGGAGGATCGTGCATCGCAGGGCTTGGGGTCAACAGGTCGTCCATGGTAGCCACTATCGTAACGGCGGAGCAAGCGTCGTCTAGAGACAAAGAAATGTTGAACTGGGGAGCGTATCAACAAAAGGCAAGGCCTTACTTTGAATGATGTTGAAGAACCATCGGGAGATGTACGTTAATCTTCAGCCCTACGGGGGTTTGCCGCCCAGTGGCAACGTGGAATGGCGGGCAGATTGAGGGTTGGAGGAGTACCACTGCTTGTGCGTCGAGGGCAGATGGAGGTAGTGAGTATAGGCCGCGTGGGGTGGTTATTCTAAATTACCAGCTTCGTTTTGAGGCCGTCTAGATGTTCATGGGGAGTCTGGCGCCAAACGTTCCCTTAGCCTCGGGCCGGCGAAACTATTCAACCGAAGCATCACGTGCGCAATGTTTCAATTACATCCTTTGAATCTGATCATAAAATTTATCATGAGTCAGTGCGTAATATCTGACATTTCTCCTGAGGTGAAACTGCTACAAGTCATTTTAGCCAGGAGGGTTGGGGTTGGATATCCCTGAAGCAGCAAATGGGATGATTGTGAAACATCTCGTTGCATCAGAGCTCTGCAGGAGGTAAAGATGAAAGCTGGCAACACAGACACGGCTTTACATGCTAAATAGTCACTACAACCCTCCGTGGCTACGGATAACTTCATTTTTTTTATTAAAAAAAGTTGTTATCATAGAAATAGTATTCCACAGTCATCGCCCACATTCCATCACTAATGTCTTGTTGTTGAGTACAAAATATCAGGTATTAAAGCCCCTAGCTGCCCCATGACGTCTGTAGGAGATCCGCACATGCACTAGTTCCTGAGTGGTTGCAGCCATCAGCTTGTGATAACTAACAAGATCAAGACTCAGACAGACTCAGACACCTCCTGATAATATCGCACACTTCATTGTCGCGTGCATCTTTAATTAACCTCCGCATCTCCAGCAGCCCTCTCTTGTCCGACTGCGAGACACCAGGGTCCATTGACTTCAGATTCGGTCGGCGTTGACGTTTGAGCCAAAGCTTCTCTCGGCAAAGCTCCCCCAGAACTTCACCACATTCTCTCCTCTTCTAGGGCAGATCCAACGCGACTCTCGAAGCTGGTATCACCTCCTCCGAAGGCTGCATGCTGTAGAAGATGACAGCAGAAAGTAATGGACGGCCAGTTGAGCCAAGCCAGAAGGGGATGAATGGCTCTGCCAATGCTCCGCGGTCGAAGCCCGTCAAGACAGCAAAGGGATTCAATCTCTTCAGCGCTATTTCTAGGTAAGGCTCCATACGCAGGGCTGTCTTGCAAGAACCTAACCGTTCTATAGACTTCTCACCTGGTACTCGATTATTACGATATTAATCCGATGTCCTGCCACGAGCGATCTCCTCACAGATACTTCTCCGAAAATCTGCAAACCATATTTCCAGCTACGCTCTGTTGTAGCTCCCCACCTCGAGCCGTACTACCATACATACGCCGCCCCGTACGTCGATGCCGCTCAACCATACTATGATACCCTTGATCAGAGAATAATTACACCCGCGAAGGCGCTGGGCTTGAAATATGGCGCTCCTCGGGTGGCGCAAGCACAAGCTTTTGGTCAAGCTCAATGGGAGAAGACCTTACAGCCCCAGGTTCTGAAATACCAAGGCATCGCGAAGGAGAAATATGACCAAACACTGGGCCCGCATGTCGAGAAAGCTTTTGCAGCAGCCGGCCCATATTATGACCTTGCGAAGACCAACGCGCTCCAGACATATTACGAGTTTGTTCTTCCAACATACACCACTATCGAACCTTACGCCGTTCAGGGCTATGGTGTGGCAAATGGCTTTGCCCTTAACACTGCAATCCCTTACTCGCAATGGGCTTGGACAACCGCCACCGTTTTCCTGGATCGAACCGTTTGGCCGAAGCTGCGTATACTGTACGGCGAGAACGTCGAGCCTCAACTAGTTCGCATTGGTGAGCGTCTGGGGAGATATCGTGACGGCAGGAAATTGAAGGCTTTGATTGATGAAGTGGACAGGTTAGTGTCGTAGTGCAAGCTTGAAGGAAAGCTCGACTAATGTTTCTCAGCTCTTCATCGGCTTCTGCTGCTACGGAGTCATTCTCTTCGGTATTGTCCTCCGTTGCCTCGGCGCATTCGACGGCTCCTCCGGTTCCTGGTGTCACCCACGAGCCTCAAATCAGTGAGCAAGAAGCCAAAGCCAAAGACGTAATGGCAAACGCACAAAAAGTCGTTGCTAAAGATCTCAAAACTTGGCAAGAGAAGTTCGCAAAGGCTGCTGATGAAGGTTCAGATGAGTTAGAGGAACGTATCACTGAGATAACCGACAGGCTTATTCAAAATCAAGCTCAGGGTGTAGGAAAGGCTCTCGTTATTCAGTTGGAAGAGACTGTTAAATCTAGCCTCCAAACTCTGAAAAAGAGCATTATTTCTATTGTCAAAGATGACAAGGACATTGAAACATCGGAAGACGCCCTAAATGCTGCCGTTCGCAAGGCTGGTGTCGCAATCAAGGAAAAGGCGCAGGCCGTTCGGACGTGGAGACAGAGTTATGACCGAGAGGCGAACTCTCTTGTGAGCCAATCCGCGGAAACCACATTCGAAATCCTTGATAATATTCGGGACCTCGGTTTACAGGAAATTGGTATGAGGTGGGCCTGGACTGATGGTATTACGCACAAAGATTGGAAAAAATACCATCAATTGAAGAACAAGTTTGACGAGTGGCGAACTGATGTGGAGAAAGTTTTGACTGAGCACCCAGGACTGGAAAAGGCTCGAGCGGCGTCAGAAGAGGTGGAGAGTCAGGCAATGGCCATCGCCGAGGATGCTGCGAAAGAGCTGGCACGTCTTAAAGAGACTGGCCGCTGGAAGATCTCAGCTGGAGATTCGTCCGATGACTTCAGCACGAAAATCATGCCCACGGCTGCTGCAGTAGTAGCCAAGAAAGTGGCGGAGAAGGTCAGCGAGCTCAGCGAGGCTGTGGCCCCAACATCGCAAGGAATTGTGGAATCTGTGGTTTCTATCGCCTCATCAATTGCCGCATCGCAAATCGAAAACGTCCAAAGTGCAGTTTCGTCAGCATCTGCGAGCATTGTGGGAACTCCTCAAGGAAGCGCCGAAAGCGTTATCTCAGTCGGAAGTTCAAGCGCAAGCAGCCTTAGTTCAATCATTGGAACTTCGCAAGGGACTGTGGAGAGCGCGGTATCTGTTGCCAAAGCTTCTGGAAGCAGCATCATGGACCAAGCATCAAGCTCCGTCCTTGGCTCTCCGGAAGGGAGCACCAAGAGTAGGAACAGTTTGTCCGAAAATGCTTCATCTTCCATTGTTGGGAAAGAGCCAGAATCAGCGTCCAGCCTATCTAGCGCAGCAAGTTCCTCAGTCTCGTCCGGACACAGCAAACTCTCGGAAGGTGCCTTGAAAGCATCTGCTTCGCTCAGCTCTACCACATCTTCAATCACAAGCTCGTTATCGAAAAGTTCCACTTCTGCCTCGAGTTCAATCAGCTCCGCAGCGTCCGCATCAGGCACTGGATCGAAGAAAGTATGGGGAGGCGCCATGGCAGCAGAAGTACCAGCCAGACAGATCGTTTCTGAGGATATTGTAGATGACTCTGATGATAAGCGAATCACGGACTCAATTGCTGCGAAAGCTACAGAAGCTTACAGTGCTGCTCTATCAAGGGCTAGTGACAATTTTGCACACGCCCGGTCTATTATTTCGGCACAGATTTCAGGAGAACCAAAACCTTACCATCAAGAGATCCTCGGTTCTTTGGAAACAGCCTACACTGATTCCGTAGCAGCAGCTCGCGCAAGATTACAAGACGCGGTTTCAGCTGCCTCAACCGTCGTCTATGGAACTCCTACCCCTGCATACCAATCTGTTTGGGAGTCACTGTCATCGACGGCTCAGTCGAGACTGTCAGATGACCTCAGTGTGGCATCTGCCCAATATGAAGAGGCAAAAAGCTACATTGCTTCTCTCAATGCTCCGACCCCCACCCAACAAAAGCTTCTGGACCAAATTCAAGAGCAATACTATGCTGGCGTTGGCATGGCACACGCTCGCTACTCTGACTTTATCAACGCTGCCTCTTCGGCCGTCATGCCAACGAAAACACCTTGGGCCGAGTCAGCTGCATCAGCCGCAAGTGAAAACTGGGAGGCACTCATTACGAAAGCTAGCAGCCAGATCTACGGTGCACCTACGCCATATTTTATCACCCAAAGACCGTTCTCCGAGGCTATGGAATACGCAGCACAGGCAACTGATGGCGTTGCATCTCAGTATTCCGCAATTCAATCTCTCATTAGTGAGGTGGTGTCTGGCAAAGAACCGGATTTCATAGAGAGCGTTTACAACCTCTTCAGTTCAGTTTTTACCCCACCCCCAACCGTCGAAGCCATCCTTGATTCTGCATCCTCTCGTGTTAATGAGGCCGTCGAGGCTGCAAGCATCCAATTCTACGGTACAACCACAGGATACGCCGAAGCAGCTCAAAGCTCCATCACAGACGCAGCTTCCTCGGCCCAAAAGGCAATCTCAGAAGCCATCTGGGGCACGCAAACCGGAACTTACGAAAGCGCCACGAGCGCTGCTGCCGAAAGATATGCCTCTGCCACAGCAGTAATCAGCAGGGCCATATACGGGCAGGAACAGGGTGTGGTAGAGAGCGCACAATCAAGGCTTAGCGCCGCGGTGGAATCTGCCCGCGTCAAGCTCGCCGACTTCGCAGCATCTGCAGGAGAGGGAGCTAACGAGTATATCAAGCAAGCCAGTGAGGGAATGGAGGACTTCGCAAGCGGCGTGAGCAGTGTGATGGCCTCTGCCAAACCGAGTGCTAAGGATGAGCTATGATTGCCATGCTACCACGTAATCCTATCATGATGGAAATAATGCAAGTAAAATGGGGAAGGAAAAAGGGAAAGGAAAGAAACAAGAAATGGAACTCTATGATGTACATTCTCATCTGCGTTGGTCGTTTATGAAAGCGAATACTCATCAATGCCTTTGAGTGATTTTCCTTTTTGTTTTTGTTTTTGTTGCTTAGCTTTGTTTGCAGCGAATCGTTTAAGTTGGGTCGTTTTGCTCAATCAGTTTGCATGCTGGTTATGCCGGGTTGCTTTTGGCGATATCCCTGATGTATGTATGTATATAACTGTATGCTTGACGAATGGATCATTTGAAACCCTGCCGATTCTCAAGGGCGGTCATTGAGAACCCGGGGACGCTCTTTGAGACGTTGGTGGACCGTGAAAGGGGGCGGGAGATGGTGAATGGGGGAAAGGCGAAGTGCATGACACCGTGGGCGCTCGCGGAACATTCGAACGAGCTTATCAAGAGAGGGCCGCTTAAGTGAGGCGAGGTAGAGAATCCAGGATTTGTGACGCGTGGGTCTGAAGAACAGGATTGATTTTACTTTGGAGCACAATATCATCCAGTGTAGAATGAGAAGAGAGAAACCGATTGAGTTCCCCTTTTGAGCGTCTCCTCATTCCCGACGTCATGTTGTCCGCCACCTCATTTGAAAGAGAGGAAGATTATAGAGGAAAGAATATCCCATGATATTCGAAACGAATCTTGAGAGTGAGATGTGTCAAAGTGACCGAGCAAATTGCCCGGGGGGTCCGATCGTTTTCTTCGAGCACCAATCGGTACACAATCGTCGGGTAAGGTAAAAAGCACATCACCTCCCTAGATTTGGGAGTCTACAGCGTAGCTGGTGAACCCGTGTGCTCCACCGGGTGAGATTACAGGGGTTCAAAGTAACCATTTTCAAAGTAGCCAGTTACGATTTTCGTCAGGTATCAACTTCCCGTCTATATAGCACAGCGAACAGGATACAGCTTTACTGTGTCCTGTTTGCTATACATTAACTATATCTTTATAGTAAGTAACCCAAATACTGTTTTCCAATCATTTTCTAATTGTATTACAACCATTTCTAAAGTGTTTCCAAGCGGGGGGCTCCTACCGCCCCCCGGACCCCCGGCAAACTCTAACTAACCCGTACCCTAACCCCCTAACTTAAGCGTTTCCAAACTGTATATGAACTGTTATAAAAGCGTTATAGAACCGATTCTATCTTGAGCTTGAAAAGTAGATTTTCTTTAAGTCAAAAATCAGGGAGAAATAACCCGGTGGGTCCTCATTCGCAACCCTGTAACTCACCCGGTGGAGCACACAGGTTAACCCAGTGCGCCGCTTACCGCCAAATCGATCGATGCCAGCCATTTAGCTACATTCACTTTCGCGGATAAGCTCGGGTAAGGTAGTCATCATGGTTTCACAATCTACGCGTAGCACACCGTCGCGTCTCACCAAAAAACGCAAAGGCCATCTGCTGACCTCGCCGCCGCCGCCGTCCCGTCTCACCTACCTGCTCAAAGCTAAGTTAAATGGTTGCTCGACAACATTTCTCATCCTGATCTCTACCACAAGTAATTACAAACGGGGATTAAGGCGATATGCCTACGATTGCAGCGTGGACGATCTATGCGTTTGGAGCCACGGCGTTAGCGGCTGGGTGTTTGCATTTGGCTTCCCCGGAGAGAGCGGCGCAGGCTCTTGGGCTGGAGGAGGGCTGTGTGGGTGCAGTTAATGGTGAGTCGTTGCCCGTTTCCTCGTCTTTCTTTCTCCTAAATCAATGCAATGTGGCTTCGGCTTCTTCACTGTCTAGTCCGATAGTTGGGGAGAGAGGAGAACGCTGATGGGTGGATTGAAGGGAATTCACTGGCCGCAATCGCTATGGGGATTTATTATACTCTTGCAGCGCACCAGGAAAACAGGGCGTTCTTCTACCTCACGGTGCCGATGCGGGTGTTGACGTCGACGGTGTTTTGGACGCAAGGTGGTCAGTGGAAGATGGCTGGGTTGTGGGAGGGTGGAGGGGCGGTGCTTACTGCTGTTGCGTTGATGGTTGGGTGATTGTGATGGCGGCGTTGAGAAGGTAGCAGTGTTGGCTTTGCGGGCTGGTTGAGGGTTGGAATTTGGGTGGTAGTGACAAGAGCTTGCTGCCAAGAAGGCTAGCATGTTTCTGTTTTGAGGGAGCCTCTCACGTCTCCTACTTTTCGTCGAATGTGAAGTCCGTTTTTCTACTACACTGCACGTTGCTTGGTTTCTATGCTTCTGTCACTACTGTGAGCCTAACTTCACATATGACTCTCGGAGTCGATGAGTTATGCAAATTAAATCAGGCGCCCCACGGACCTTGAATCTTTTTGCTGAGACTATGGCGAGGAGCATTCGTGCCTCCAACTGCTTGACCAGATATCCCTCGCCGAGGATACGCCCTGGATAGATTCCCAAGATTCTGTCTAAATGGCAGGGTTCTCCTCATTGGGTAGCTGCTCCTGACCAATTAGAAGGGTAGATATACGACGTTTTCCGGGGTTTGCGTCGCCGGGCCCTCGAATGTTGCGAATGAAAGGAGGAGAGCATGAAGACTACGTCGTATTTCAGAATATATTTTAATTGTCTTATGGGACAAAGGTTGCTACTCTGTGATGAATAATACGCAAATCTAGTGTTCGGTCCCTGAGCACGCCCCTTTTCTCCATTCGCTTAGCCTTTTAACCACTCAAAACAGGTGTGAGTACAGGTTAAGCTCCTTTGAAAGGTCAACATCCCAGCCGTTTCCTTACACCTCCTTCTTCTCCGCTACCTCGTTACCGTCATCATTAGACTGATGTCCAGGCAAATTTATCCTCTGTCCCAGAACATCATGCTCCCTATCCCACACCTCCAGCTCCTCAAGCGGGATCTTGACCAAACGATGCGCTTTCGACGTCTCGTCGCTTAGAAGCAGCACTTCTTGCCTGATACGATATTTACCAAGATGAGGCAGGATGAAGATCCAGAAGGCGTAGTAGATGCCGCAAGTTGCCAATCTGAGGGTTCCTCTGTCAGCTACGATTCGAAATTTCAAGACTGCATAAATCAATATTGGAGGAGAAGGAGGAAGAAAGAGGAAACCAAAATAGCAAGCCCGACAACACAATATGTCGCATACCAAAAGCTCATATCGCCACCAAATCTCCCCCCGGGCGGCGGATACCACGGCATCACTAGAATGAAGACGTTAACCGCGAGCGAGAAGGCAATCGCCACATTCCAGACCCGGAACTCCGTCCCCTCGATGCCAAGCCTACTTCGCCTTTTCCTGATCAGCAGCAGTCCGAATGTCGTGGCGAAGAAGAACACATTTGAGGGGTAGGACTGTAGGTCCACGATGAAGTTGAAAGCGTCACCTGCAGGCGGCGCAAGTATCATGAGCACGGTGAGACCCCATTTTAGGACGTACGGCGCGAGCGGCGTGCCGAATGGCTTCGTGGATGCCCAGACTCGCGGGTAGGGGAGGACGCCTTGCCGTCCACATTCGCGGATGACGCGCGAGGATCTGATGATGACGGAGATGATGTTCCCGAATGCGGAGAGGGCGATGAGGAAGTTGAGGGCGCGGGACGAGTTCTTGGAGCCAAAGACGGAGGCGAAGAAGAGGGAGGCGGCGAGCTGCTTGGAGGTTTTGAGGGAGGACTTGGGGACGGCGGCGAAGTAAGCGATGTTGCAGAGGAGGTAGAGGGTTGCGGCGACGAGGAGGGAGGCGGGTGCTGTTCTCTTGAGTGTGTGGATGGGGTTCTGTGATGGCGTTAGAATATAATGTTGATCATTGGGGAGAGAATCCGGACCTTGACTTCGTTTACGACGTTGAATGCGTTGGTATATCCGGCGTATGCAAAGTTGACTTTCACCAGAGCATTTGATAAACCGTACCGTTGCCTGTTGTGCCAGAAACGAGTCTTTGAAATTGGCGTGAGGATTCTTGACTCGTGTGTGTCCGCCAAGGACGACGAGACCGGTGATGCTGATACTGAAGGTTGATAAGCTTAGAGGAAGACTTCACTGTTCAGAGACACTGACAAGAGCAGAGTTACGATTTTGATGATTACGACTCCATTTGAGATTCGCAGAGACCACCTGGTGCTAAAGATTACCACTATGTAGTTTCATCAATAGTCGCTCCTGCAGTAATTACCTAGATAGAGATGGCTTACATAAAATGATGAAGGTCATGCACCCAACAGCCAGGCCCTTGAGCTGCCACGCTGTCGGGGTATGGCCTCCTATAGCATGAAGATATTGCGCCATTACTACGAGTATATCAGTATTTCACAATTTGAGAGAGAAATAGGGCGTAAGTACCGATAGCATTGGATGAGCTGAAGGAAAGAAGGACAGATTGAACCACCAAGGCGGTCGGAAGTAGATATTTAGGCCGAGGGTAGGCTTGCTCGAGGTATACAACCTCTGCTCCTGAGCGATTGGGGAAATAGCTTGCTAGCTCGACGTAAACCGCAAGTTGCGAGCCAGCGATTACAAAGCCGAGTGTCCAGAATACGAGAGAGAGGCCCACAGAGCCAACCCCTTTGAGGATTGTGGCAGCTGTTGAGAGCCATTGTAAGCAAGTGCCAAGTACATTAAAACGAAAGAATCGCGTTGGGAGCATGAAAAAGACTTGCGTGTTGAGAAGACACCGGTTCCAATCATCTGCCCAATGTTCAAGAATATGGTTGTGAACCACGTGACCTGCAGGCCAAGAGGAGAGATATTCTCTACTGGAGCACCAGAAGCTTCCTGGTAGGAAGGCTTCGAATCGTTGCCACCATATTCATGTACGAATTCAAGCGATCCATCAAACTTGACCTCATCCGAGCTCGTCTCTCTCAAGTCCGATTGGTCGACCTGTGCTTCTTTAGAAGAGGCCATGTTGGAGAAATCTTGGCTAGTTCTTACAATGGAGTTTCTCCGACGACTCGCAGCTGAATATATAAAGGTCTAATCCTGGCATAGGAACCTGGACGGCTTCAACACGTTGTGGCCGAACTTGAGAGCGCAAGTTCGAAGCGATATTGCACAATAAGCTCCAGTAGATGCGGCACGCATGCACCATGGCTACTGATGTGAAAGGAGCCCATAAGGACGCGGGGGTTCTCTGCAAGTTGATCTTATAATTAGTACGCAGTGACAAGGGATTTGCGGCGGATTGCCAAAAGGGTGTTGGATTTGCAGGCCCTATCGTCTGTACAGGATTCCGTCATCCTGGCCCGAGTTTCGTTATTCGATCTCGTGGGTCGGGGAACATCAATCTTCTTCTTCAGGAACTTCTTTCCAGCATCCGTGTGGATTACTTCGGAGATTAAAGTCTTGAATAGAGAAAGAAGTTTTACTTTAGAGAGACCGCGTGTTTACTTTGCCCGGTTTTGGGTTTAAGCTGTCAAAGGGGTAAGCTTAAGCGAGCCTGGCTCCCCACGGTTAAATATATATGTAAAGACGCGGGGGTTCTCTGCAAGTTGATCTTGTAGTTACAGACCAGTGCCCTTCATCCTAAACAAGCCATTTGTGGACGAGGTTGGATACTGTTTCTGGATGAGGCTGAATACAACAGTCCAGAATTGGAGGGCGCCTGGATTGATTTTTTTTTAAATAAAAAAGAGAGGCTCGAAAGACCGCTACAGTCACTTGCAAAATCGGCTTCGTCTGAATCATCAATATCACTCCAAAATCGGATATACGCCACTAGTGACAAAAAATTATTACTGTTTGTCGCGCATAAACGTCGAATATTCTAGACAGCAGCCATGACCTCCTACAGTAAATGGCCAGCGATTGGCTGGTTTTGTGCGCACGGCAAAAATGTGCCTTGAGCGTCAGCCTCACGGGGCTGAGTTCTGCGCCTCTCAGGCAGATTTCCGGCGAGTAGTTTGGGGCTGAGTGAAACTACTAATCACCCCAAAGTTGCAGCTGGCTCCAGCAAATTTCGGTCAATCCTCTCAATTTCATGAGTGTTATCAACCAACATGTGTTTGACAAAATCTCGTCCGCACCGCAATGGAACAAGCTTTTCTTACTAAGACGGTTGACAGATGTGCTCACGTCTTTGAAGAAACTTCGTTCTTAGAAATTCATCGATACACCGTACGACTCGCGCCCTATTTACAGCCCTAAATGCTTTGGCTAACAATCTGCGTTATAGAACAGCCAGAATGATTTAGTAAGAGAAGGAAAATTGAAACGCGATGATTTTGATGCATTTGTGGGTGGAACGGTCTGTCTCTCATTCTGTTCATAACATACAAATATTAATAAGCAAGCTATCCAGGACCAATTCCATACTCCGTGCTTCCCAGAGGGAGCAGAAGGAGTTCGGAAGATTGCCTCGTTGCGATTAATGTAAGAAGCGAGCCTAAATATGAGTGACAGAGTTAGTGCTGAGTGGCAAAGTATCCAGGCGGATGTGAAGCATCCTGAAGCATTTGCACCAGATACGCTTACTTTGCTGCCGGAGCAGTACCTCAGCATGGTAGCAAATTTTCATCTGCCATCACGCGCTGTTGAGACAACATCAGCTGTGGGTCCTGTATTCTGGACAGATTCAACTCACTGCGATGGTAAATGCTTTCGTAAGTTACATTTATAAACTCTACAGGGGTATTCTTCAGGTCTAAGCTATTGTAGAGATAGTGTATCGAAAGGTCCTAAAGCATCCCAAAGGCACAAAAGGATTCGAAATGATATTGTGCCACGATATCAAGACCCATGAAACAAGGGGCTTTTTGAAAGGTGGCCTGAAAATTCTAGAAGCCTTGGCCTATCTCAGAAGGAGTGACCGGGACATCATACACCCAATGCTGCTTCCAGTCATTGTCCTTTCTTTGAAAATTGAAAGCAGAAGCGAGACATCGCAACAAGAGGCACAGAATCAAATTCGGCTTATCGAAGTGCGACTGAGGAATACCCGTCCTGTTCAACAAGCGTTCATCAGCGAGAACGAAGGCATAGCACTAGAAGCGGTCAACGCAGATCTATCCGCGTGTCATAAGAGGGTTTGGAAACGACCAGAAACATATCTCGAACTCATTGACGAGTTTCATAACTCGCTACAGGCCATCGCCAGCTTTTTTCCCGATTATTATCAGGAATCAGAACTGTTCAGCATCCATTTGAACCTGCGATCGAGAGTTGAATTGCTGCGCCAGCGGATGCGAGGGATTCAGAGCTCGGCCCACACCACCCTTTATAGAATTGATATGCAGCGCTCTGTTCTACACAACATCCTTTTGAATCAGCAAAATCAAATAGCGCTCCAAATTGAAAAGCGGAAGCAGAAACAAGAGACAGTGAAAGAGCTTGCTATTAGTGGGTGGAATAGAACTCAACTCTTATTGAGCTTGTTGGGTAGCATTTTCCTCCCTATGACTGTTGTTGCAGTAAGTTTTCCAGAGAATTAAAGTCTTCAGCACTAATAGCAATCACAGGCAGTGTTCAGCACATCTTTTTTCAATTTCCATCCTGGTCCCGGGGAGAATAAAGTGTCACCAGATTTCTGGGTTTTTTGGGTCGTCACAGCTCCTATAACCATCATGTTTGTAGCTTGTTGGGCCATCGCTGCCATGCGGCGGGGTAAATAGCTTAGAATACAATATTATTCATCGATCTTTGTTAAGGAGGAAGTCGCGAAATGAAGGGCGGTGTAGGCGGAGCAAACAGCAACATCCTTTGGAACATCTAGGATAGCTTGTAGTCTCTCGAGCGTCTGCATAACCTATGTCCCAGATATTACTTCGGAGAAAGTCTTGAATAGAGAAAGAATTTTTGCTTTGGAGAGGCCGCGTGTTTACTTTGCCCGGTTTTGGGTTTAAGCTCTCAAAGGGGTAAGCTCAAGCGAGCTTGGCTGCCCACGATTAAATATAAATGTATGAGAATAACACTCTCAATACTCCTCCTCGTCACTTACCTACTTTATTGTGTCAATCGTGTCTCACTTCTCTTCCACAGTTCGTGGTAGTTGGCTATCTGGAGTGGCTTGACAATGGAGTTGTGCATCCAGCTGATAGCCAAACTGCTGTTGTGAAAACGTAACAACAATGTTCAAAGAAATTCTCGATCGCCATATCGCCACTTCGCTGCTTCATTATTATCATTTCAACTTCCTGCCCATCTTTCAAGTCGGCTGGTGTCATTCTGATTGACTGGAAGAGCGATGAATTGATACTTATGACACGCCCGCTCGGTGAACGAGATAGACGTCGGGACGAGAGTCAAAACAGCCATAACGGTGGTCTTGGGAGCGGAGGAGGAAATGGCAATGGATAACCGGGAGGAAACCCAAGCTTCGGCAATGGCCCGAATATCGTCAATGCGAATGGTGTCTCCCAACGATGGAGCCTCGAAGATATCGGACTCTTCGAACCAGATAATGATAATGACGCTGCGGACTACGAATACCAAGGAAAAGCGACAGTCTGGAAGAACATTTACCTCTTCGTCGACGCATTTCGATTCAATTCACTCCAAGGACGTGAGATTACCGTCCGATCGAACCTGTATTCCTGCTTACGGGGCATCGCTCAACGATGGTATACGGATGAACTTGAAAATATTACCCGACTTGCGTTCAGGTTCGCCCCAGAAGGAATCGGATTATGGACAAAGCACTTGATCGAATGCTTCAAGAACTCGGTACCCAGCGCGCTAAAGAAACTCTGGGACGAGGTCTATACAAAAGACGATGCGCTGAACGGACGAGACGTCCGCGGCTATGCAGCAATGGTAATGAGGCACGCCAAAGCGGCCGATATGGACAAGACCCACCAGTAATTGCCATACGTATATAATAACCTCGACGCTGAGTTCCGCATGCAGGTCAACGCCCCTGACGAGAAGACGATTGCATCAGAATGGCTGAAGGGTTTGGCATCAAAGCAAGAGGCGTAGAAGGATGCGCTAGTGGAGAGACAACGTCCCCGCTACCAACCACGATTCCCTCATTTCGAGAGTCTGAACGAAATATCAAGCCAGCGCAACTTCAAGAAATAGTTGGGAGCTTGGATGGGGAGGTGAATATGATGCGGAAAGTTAAGTTAAGAATAGAAACAATCTGCGTACTAGTCATGTGACCTATCCATGTTGGAGCACGTCACGTGCATAGGGAGAGGTTCTCAAACACCCAGTGAGAGCATGCACCACTTGATAAACAGCGCGAAAGAAGATTTAATATCATAAGGTTTCCTGGTCTCCTTTGTAAGCGAGGGTTGTGGTTTTAAGACTGATTGTGAATAAACTAGTCATCTCACGTGACTATCAGAAGTTCGCGCTACCTTCATCCAAATTTCTTGCTCATAGATTGTGACATTGGTGACAAAAATGAAGAGTGCAACACGGCTGCGATTTGCGGTGACGTGGCACTACTTCTATGTACTATATCGGGATTCTTATTTCCATGTGAAGTTGACGGAGAATCTGCTTTCTGATTGAACTCCCACTTATGAGGGATTATGGGGCACTTTCGGGTTCTCGCCTTTCAGTTCCCTGAAGAGCAGAATGGAATTTGCTAGAGATGCAAGGCTGCTTAAATAACATTTGAGATGGAACTTAAATAGAGTAATGAACGGGAAATAAAAATAAAATACTGCATTTGTTGACGACGGTAGGGAACTGAGACTGTCTTCCTCCATGACCCTCTTCAAAGTGGGAGGAAGATCCCCCTCCACACAGCAAAATCGATGCACCACGACGAAAGGATGGGTTCCAGCCCCTCGGGACGCACTTGGACGCCCGACTTGAGGGTAAAATGGGGACGACTGCTCCCAAGTGTGCTTGTCCAATGATCGAATTCACCAAGCGGCGCTGACACTCGAGCCATTCCCCCCATTCTTGCGACGAGGGCTGGACATATAAAGAAGCGACTCTTCCCCGGACAACCTTGCCTTCCCCGGACGTCTCAAGGAGATTTCCCGCCCACATAGCGCAAGTTGAAGCCTCCAGCTTTGGGCTGTTGTTGCATCTCTGAAAGTTCAGATGCGCCCTTCGTGCGCAGGCGTCGTGTCTGTTTTTCTTTATCTGCACACGTGACCGCTCATAGCGGAACTGCGGCCCGAGATGTAACGTCTCACAGCCTGGTGCGTTCGCGCGCTCATATTGATTTATCATCCTCTCATCGATTTCATTGCGTTGTCGGAGGTGCCTGACTCGACGGGCTTCCGCCTCCGTTATCCCTTTCCTGACGCAGGTTTCCGACGCGGGTCCAGCTTCCTAATGAGGCTTCCCGTTGGAGGACCGCTAGCACCGTCCTCCTCCATCAGCATTGGATCAGCGTCGAGGGCCAACTTGTCAAGCACGCCTTTCACAGGCAGGCAGTTCGAGAATCCCGATGCTATCCTGTCCAGGGGTAAAGAAAGGTAACAAATGAGGCATTCGCCTAGATAATGAATGGCAAGACCGCACGGGTTTTTCTTTCGATTGCTGATACACAGTGCCGTCCGAGCCGTTTATCTCGGTATAATACAGGATGGGTATCTTGCGCTCCCATAATTGTCATCGGGTTGACCATCTTCCTTCCTCCTGCCTGCCTGCTCCAAGCTGGAGTCTCGACACCGGCGTTGTGCGATTGCCGGCCGGCCAAAGCCTATCGAATCTCCTATCGGCTCCGATACCCCGCTGTCGGCCTTTTCTTCCCCTGCCTCGCAACACCGCCCATTGGCTCTGAGAAAGGCAGCTCGCCGACGGGCCCGCGCCCAAATTCCCAATGCAAGAAGTCACTGACGACATGGAGTCTCGAGGGAGCCCTGCCTCACGGCATCGGATTGCCAGACCCTGCCTGTGTCTTCCTCCATGGGAATAATTGGATTTAAGGTTGTTGAGCCATTTGGCTGAATAGGCGGGTGAGATCCGGCCGAGTTGCTGTCGGAGGTGTGGCAGCGATAAGCCAATTCCAGCACGATAAGGCCGCCGTTAAAACCTCGGGGTTGCGCTCGGGCAAGGGTGCAGCGAGCGGGGGCACTGAGTGGCGCCTTGCAGCTCGTTTGGCGTTTTTGGTGGGGCGCGAGGGGCGCGAGGGGCTCCGAGGGGTAACGGCTGGGAGCCAGGCCAGTGCCCATGGTGCCATCCTGGCCGCTGGAGACGCGCCTTTACGTGAAGTGTGGGGAGTGCGCGTGGGAACCCGGCCTGTGGGCGACTCCTCTGACTCGACCTCCCCCGCCCTGCCCAATGGCAGGCTTAGGGCAGGACGTCGAGGCTAGGAAAGTTGCCCCGATAGGAAGTTGAGTTCGCGCAAGTTGCCTCGCGGGTGGCCAAGAGGTAGGGCAATAATGACGGAGTGTTGAACGCCGTACGCCATCGCCAGCACCTGCGCCAGCAGCGTGCTCCTTGTTCGAGGGGAAGCCCAGTCACCCAGTGGTGCCCATGAACGACGCAAACCCGCATGACAGCTGTCCGGGCCAATTTAAGGAATCCGATGGGACAGCAAGGATACGCCGCCCGATCATCGGTGGCTGCCATGCCAGGGAGCTCGAGCTCCAAGCTAAGTAAGTATGTGGGAATTGTTCCGCGCTGGAGATAGATAGATATACTTAGTGCCCCTCAGATATTTCTTTGGACCCCTCTTTCCCCATTCTTCCCTCTTCACTCACCTCTTGCCTCCAGCTTCAAAACTCACCCAGGTTGAAAGAATCTCACAATGGCTCCAACAAGCACTCGCTCCTCCTCAATCTCGTCTGTCTCTTCCTCCAGCTCCAAATCCTCCTCCGATGGCATCAAGAAAAAGTTTGGCTGCAGCCATCCAGGCTGCGGAAAGTCCTTTTCCCGCTCCGAGCACCTTCACCGTCACGCATTGAACCACAAGGACGGCAACAACACCTGTCTGCGCTGCAGTGCCCATTTCCGCCGCCGTGACCTGCTCGGTAAGTCTCGCTACAATGATCTCCCCTTCTCGGTCTAACATACCCCAAAGACCGACACATGGCCCGCCACAAGGAAAAGGACGACGAAGCAGGAGGAGAAGGGCTCGGGATACTAGCTACTAGAAAAAGACTCTGGAGAGACGCGGACGGAAACATCGTGAATGCCAGAAGACCCTCATACGTCCAGGACGGCACCAAGCGACGCGCGCTCTCCCGCCCTGAACGCAAATCCTCTTCCTCCGCAGACTCCTCCCCCCAGATTCCAATGTCGCGAACCGGATCCACAGCCTCATCAACAATCATCGTCGACACCTCCTCGCTCTCATCAGTCGACTCACCCAGCTACGCCTCCCCCCTTCCCCACTCCAAGCTCTCAAAACCAGACCTGTCCTCTCTCTCACTTAAGGACAACCCGAACCAAGACTCCCAATCCTGGCTCACGCTCGCGGCGCTGCCCTCCCCACCCATCTCCAGCTCCTCGGCGTCCACCTCGGAACACCCGGACGACGCCTCAGAACTCGACGCCCTGTACGAAGACACCTGGCCCCTCTCCCACAACGGCCTGCCCGAAATCGTCAACGATTCTCCCGTTCTGGGGCGAGCGTCCGAGTACCCCGCGAGTCCGAGTTGGGGCCCGCAGCCGTTCCAGACGTTCATGGGCGCGATGGCTGAGCCGCAGGGCCTCTTTGATGATGTGTTTAAGAGCGAGACTGGGTACGAGTGGTTGAGTGGCGGGCAGTGGAGTGGTAGCGGGATGCAGGCGATGAGCAGGTGTCGAGAGGAGAAGTACGACCCGCTGTTGTTTAACAATGAGGGGGAGAGGAAGAGGGAGTGGAGTTCGGCTTTCAATGAGAGCGGGCTGGGGTTTAGGAGGGGGTTCGGACTGGGTACTGCGTAAATGTGCTTTGCAATGAATCACTTGTCAATTTTGATGTGAAATATGAGGGCATTGGGTGGCGTTGGGGATTGTATATAGAATCGCGCTCCAACCCGATACCAGAATCACGGTTGGATCCTGACCTGCCTTTGTCCCATTGTCCTTCCTATTCCCACTCCCATTCCAGTTCCCAATCTCAACGCTCACCTCTCCATCTCCATCAGGTTCATCATCGAGCTCTCAGAATCGTAGCCTAGGCAGTGAGAGACTTGCGGTGAATCCTGAGCTAACCTCCCCTCGCTGACTCCCCTCCCCCAGCCCCCCTCGCCGAATCGCCGAATCGCCGAATCGCCTACCTACCTATCCATCGACGCCGTCGTCTAAAAGCCCCAACTAATCTCGTCGTGCCATCGGTTCGGTGCCGACCCAGTAGCGGGGCCCCGCCCCAATTATTCCCAAATCCCAAGTTTCGCTCGCTCAGCCCAGAGCTCTCCGTCTACTCTACCTTAACCAAAGGTTCTTGGCATTCTTGCCAGTGCTTACATATAACCGTGCGCCTGCGAGGAAGAACGTAGCCGTTGCCCTGTGGAGCGAATAGCGACGCGGTTCGCGAGCGTAGCAGATGCGCGGGTTCTGATTCGACGCCCGCGACGCCACGGGGCGGAAAGGGTGGAAAGGGTGGAAAGGTGGGTGGAACGCTGTATCCGATGGAAGCGCGACGTTGTGTGTGCCGCTACGACATCGGCGTTCTCCCCCGCGGGGACTGCAAGCAAGAAGGGGGGGGCCTTTGCTTAGATAAGAATCAGAATGAGATGCGAAGTCGGTGGGGAGTCATTATTGGGGAGAAGATAGGTGGGGGGAGGGGAGAGGCAGAGTGAGAGAGAGAGGGTGGGGTTGGGGTGAGTTTTTGGAACTTGGGACGCGGACTTGGCATTCATGCTGATTTGACTTAACCTTATCTGTTGGTGAGATGGGATGTCGATACACATCGTGAATCATTGTCGTCAAGACGGAGACTGAAGCATGAGAAAGGCAAGCTTCTGCTGCTGATAAATCGGAGATTGGGTTTGGCACTCTGGAAAATTGCGCGGAAGCTCCAATTTCAATGTTGATATTGGGTGGTTGGGTTCAGGGTCAGGAGCTTGAGATGGATTGAGGCGTGGTGAGGCGGAGGTGGTGGGTTGTTCCTTGGAGGAGAGGGGCTCCGCATTTCATGTCAGGAGTTGGGGAGTTGGGGAGGTGTCCCTTGTCTTGCTTATCATGATGTCGTTCGAGTATTTATGAAAAGAATGCATTCTTTACTTTTCTTATCAGGAGGTTGGGGTCGGGCTGGAAGGGACTATGAAGCTTGTTTACTTGTTTGCTTGCTTGATTACTTGAGGTACAGTACGGAGGACGCGGCCATAAGTCTTGCAACTACTAGGGTCAGCGCCACTTTTCGCTTAAGTGGTAGGGGCGCTGTAATTACAGGGCTCTATAGGCTTTCGAGAACCAAAAGATAGCGCACAGGCCCTATAAATATCGCTAAACTTGCTATTTCTCCAGGCTATCAAGCCCCCAGTGTCATTGCTAGGTCAGCGGCTTGTGGCGTCCTAAGGCTTGGCGCTCACCCTTGCCGGTTGCAAGACTTATGGCCGCGTCCTCCATACTAGGCAACTTATTAGGTTACTTTTTAAACCCCACCAAAATTCGCCATTTTGCCTTCCCCCGTACTATATACCGCAATGCCTATAATATATAACTTTCTCTACGAATTGTAGCCTTTTATAATTAATATATAATCTAACTTTTATGCGATTTCATTTAAGCTGGGAATTAAATATATATCGTTTTATTAAGTCGTGCTAGCGATGGTCCAATTTTCGCCAAGATAATAAGCGAATTTGGGTGGAGGGGGGCATTTCCTATTTACATTGAGAATTACCCCTATATAATTTTACGACAACGTAATCCTAGAATTACAAGAATTGGCAAAATTGAGGGGAATGATCTAATAAACGATTGCATCGGGAGTATTCAACTATAAAAACCTCGTATTGTGGACAGTTTGGAAAGTGTTGGAATCCGAGCTTTGGTGTAAAACCTCGCTTGACCTAGCATCAGTTGGCGGTGACTGTAAGATGACGGGCTGGCTTGAAGTTGAGCACCAAGTCTGAAATGACGCTCTCGGTGATCGTTCAGCCACCAAAATTACCTTTTCTTCTGGGGATGGAAGCACATTCTTGCCGAAAGTGCTGTTGTGCTGGCACTGCTCAATTCTTGGAAGTATTGTCTTCCGAGGAGAGCTCCCATTTCTCGAGTATTCTCATCCTAGAGTTGCCCTTGTGTTTGAAACTCGCGGACGTCGACGAGCTCAGGTTGCCTATTATTAAAACCTCCAATGCTTTGTTGGTTCGAATTCCCGTGGCGTCCCCGATGCAGTTGTATCCAAGATACGGCAAGAGTGTCAATCAAACCATGCCACAGATTCCCTTTAGTTCAAGATAACTCGATGTTGACCCACTTCCAGGTTCATCACCGTCGACCTCTCCAGGTAATTCCGTCAAGCATCGCGCTGTCCGACTGAAATCCCTCCCAAAGCCCTAAGCCCATGACGCCACTTCAACTTTGCCCTCCCCGAGTTCTCGAAGACAACCCAATATGGCCCGGCTCCTGTTCCGTCCCATGCTTCACATAATACATAATCGGCAGTCTATTCTTCAACGCTTCTGTGAGTTCACTCTCCGAGTACGCTCAGATGTTCGGTCCCAATTCCTCTCGCATTGCTTCAGAAATATCTGGAACCGCTCGCCAAAGCCCAAGTCTTCGGCCTTTCTTACAAAGCTCGTTGTTGGTGCCGCAGTCCAGCCAGAGGATCCAGAGGCCGAGAAGCCAGCGTGAGTTGATAATTGCGGCTACGAAGAGCCATTCGTATGAGAAGACACACTGTATTGCTGTCAATCTCAAGTATGGAATTATTGAACAGGCGAAGTTTGGGTACCTGATATACGCCACTCTGGGCGACACAGCGGAAGTGGTCAGCATCTGTTGGATAGAATCCCCATCTCCACTAGTCACTGTACTGACTTGTCGTTGGATCGCTCTGAAAATGAGCTTACTAACTTGAGTTGAGCTCAAGATCTTGCCAGTAACAAAGAGCCATCACTTCAGATTCGACGTGTATGTTGTCCCCGACTAAGTTGGTGCATTGCGCCTTGTGCAAGAACAAGATTTACTAGACAAATCATGAACCTGGGCAGTCCGTCTGGAGTTCGATGGAGATAGATGCAATGGTAACTTTAGAAGCAAGACTGAGCCGAGAAATAGAAAGGGGTTTAGTTTCGGGTGCACCGCCACTGAATTTTAGCCGGGATTCAGAAAGCAGAGCCTTGGAATGCGTGTGTCGTCACGTGATATAGACTGACTGCTGACTCCTTCTTCACATACAACTAATCTTTAATGTAGATATGAGTTTGGTGAGTACATATAATTGCGCAGATCTCCAAGCCTTGTAGAAGGAAGTATCATGCTAAATTGAAATGCATTGGTGAAGATGATGATTTGCATCTTCACGTGACAAACACGTGATACGAGCATTTGTGATGAACATGCTCCAGGGTTGCTCAGATGAGATGATTAAGCTGACGGAGGTTGACTGCACACGTCGGTCTTCCGCTCTGCAGCCTCACTTCGCACGAATGCACGTCAGACATTGTGAACAGCAAAGCGCTTTATCATGTGCACGATACACTTGCATTTGCTCTCCAAACCATCCACTAAATGATATCAATAATATATTGTAATTCAAAACTCGAATGCGTCCGCTAAACATGCTGATTTGGACGACGAGCCTCGAGGCGGAATAAAGCAAATTGGCAACTGTAACAAGGCCGCAAATTTTGATCTCCGACTATTTGGATGCTTGCCACGAAATGAACCCTGTGCGGCGCAATGAAATGGGAACAAGAAGGTTTCGTTGAAGCATAACTATTCGCCTCGAATTATTCAGCCCTACGTGTGCGTTGTTGTCGAAACAGAATCGGTCACGAATAGAGATTTCGGTGAGCAGAAACCTCCCTGCAGAGATCTTCTCGTTGGGCACTTCCCGCCTGACCGAATCTTCCAGTCGTAACTTGGCGACAGCACGTCAGATTGGCTTTTAAACAAAAGGTTTCTTGCGGCTGAGAAAATGTCCGAAGTACAATAACTATTTGGAGCCAGCCCCATCGATCGTCGGCAGTCTCTTCGAGCGCTTTGTTGTCACGTGCAGACCTTGCTTTTCTCTGAATAGCTGACTAATGTTGCGTTACTTGCATGTTTCACAAAATGCTTGCACCTCACTCCACCGCTAAACGGAAAACCTGTGCAGATGGCGCTCTGGACACCTTCGACTTCAACGTCGGCGTATTCGACTACCCCATCCCACCCCACAAGCGCGCTCGAGTTGTTGACCAGCACCACTATTCGGCTAAAGAGTGGAGCTGGAGCTCCGCCAACCCCTCTTTTCCCTGCTTGCCTCCGACCTCCTTTCCAGACTATCTGAACACCGTCGAAGGGCATGTAGATGACGAGCGGACCCGCGGTTTCTTTCCAACTGCGATTGCTGGCACTGCTTTTGGAGTCATGCCAGCAAAACGCCGACGCCCACGCCAGTCGTCAGATGAGGAAAATTGCAGAATGTCGGACCTCGAAGGTCCCCATTCCGCTCAAGTTAGCTCTTCAAGGTCCAATAAGAATAACCATGGGACCTCATCTCGTCGTCTGCCCTTTCCAGGAGAGAATCCCCCTCGCTTGGCGGCCACTTGGCGCAAGACAACCTCCTCCAGAGGAGCGGAGAATACTTTCATGGTAGGAATGCAAGGACCACCAAACTATGCTACTGCTTCCCCGCCCAACTTCTCGTCTGGTATCATGACAGATGGCGTAGAGTCTCGCAACGGGCTCAATATCACGGATAATGGGTCGACCTCAGTTCTTGAGTTCAACGTTTTCGAGGAGCAGCAAAACGTAGATTCATTTCTAAACGATTGGGTCAATTTGGACGATTTCCTAAACTTTGAACCGGATTCTGGCAATTCTGGCAATTGTAACGTTTTCGAAAGTCACCCGCAGTTTGATTCCTGGCCCGAAGGAGCGGTGGATGGATTCGGGTGCATCAGTGACAACACTCAGAACCCGTTCTCCTTCCAAATTCCAGCGAACGACTTTGGTGAAGATCCACTATTAGGTGACCTGTTTTCCCCCAGCATTCTTCTCGACCCAGTTCGTGCAGCAGGAGATATCCAAGGATCAAGAACTCCTGGTTCTGAAGTTGGCGGGAGTGTGGAACGAGAACGCATTGATATTGAGACTGAGGAAACACAATGTAAGCGTGTTAGTGTATCGAGTAACAGTTCAATGCGCTACGAAGCAGCGAAATTTTCGCGCCCCGAGATCAACCACTATTCAAACATGGGACCTCCGCTCCAAACTCTCCCCTATGCGGATGATCCAGATGTACTTGAGAGTTCACTGTTGGTAGTTCCACCTGAGGTCATGGATGGTTCACCGCTGACATGTGAACCTCAACGATCACAAAACCGTGTTTCAACTCCATCAATTTCTTGGCCGGAAAGCTATGTCGATAAACGTGGAAAGAAGACACATGACAACACTTCAGTTGAAAGCAAGCTCGATCTCAGAAAGCCTGCTTATGCTTCGCGGGCTCTTCAGTCTGTCGAAGCGATGGAAGCGGGCCCGAACTCTTGGACCCTGCCAACAGAGCCAGTAGAGCAAGGTAGTGAAATTAGCTCGGGTTCTTGTTCGAACGGACTTCGGATTGATGGTCCGGATTGGACAAAAGGAATACCAGGTCTTAAGAGATTGAACGAAGACAGATTTAATCAACATCTGAGTCTTCGAATGCACGATCGACCAGAAATCTCTGCCGAAAGGAAGCCACACGCTGTCCCGCACTTTAGTACAAAGGTTTCGAATCTTAACAATGGTAGAACAGCGTTTGTTGTCGTTGAAGACACCAATGAGACACAGCCAGAGGTCCAGGAATTTTTGGCAAGAGCAAATCAACCTTCCAAACCTCGGAAGGGCAGAAGATCAAGTGACTCACCCTCACGGAAGGTTGAGACGACTTGGGAACACACCATTCTCCCCAAAACACACTTCATAGAGGCTGGAAAGGAAACACTCCCACGAGACACTTCACAAAAGCTTGGCCGAAGGACACGCCCTTTAAAAACAGATACCAGGGCAAAGGCGAAAGAAATGCGGAAGATTCGGTCGTGTTTGCGGTGCAAGGTAGCAAAAATTGCGGTGAGTTGAAACGGTTGACTGTGAATGTTTTGCTCATGCCCACAGTGTACCCCAGGTGAAATTTGCAATCCATGTTTGAAAGTGCAATCGTCAATGCTGCCCGGCAAGATCTGCGTCAGGGCTCATTTGAAAGATTATTTGAACCTCTTTCTGCCCGGTCCGTATTATGCGCTTTCGACCTGACGGAAACTAACATAATACAGAACGGGCAGTACGCCCATTCCAACAGGCGTCAATTGATCAGGTGATGGAGAACCATATTTCCGGATTTGGCAGCAACGAGTACGAAGTCTGCTTGTCATCCGGTCCCTCCTATCCACCCATTCCAGTTACTGTTCAAGCTTTTCGCACCAAAGATCCAAGATTTTCAATGCTCAAGAGATTTGTGCCTGATGGCCGGGGTAGAGCGCCAGTTTTGGTCGAATTCTACTCTCCTCCATTGGGCATCACCGATTTTACCCAAGATCTGGAAGGCAAACTCGGGAACCATATACAACTTATCGTTGAAGGTGAAAGAAACGAGGGCGAAGTTTTATACGACAACACATCGAGACTGATATGGGAGGTTCATGAAGCGGTGAGGTTGTACCAGCACGCTAATCAATCTGTACGTTTCTCGTCTCGTCCTGTCCACCAGCTGATGTTTAACTAGAATCAACTCCTTCGAAAAGCGCTAAAGCTCTACGCCATGCAGTTTTTCATGACGAAAACCATTGTGCTGTTACCAGGCGAGTCCGACGCTGTCCTTGAACATCTCCGCTCCCCCAGTGAGTTAAACTTGCAGAGACCCAACATGCGTATAATCAGCATTCAAATCAAGCATGTAATGTACTCTTTGATTCGCAATACCTATTCCGAAGTTCTCGAAGAGCTAGAGGAGAATCTACGCCCGAAAGATTTCGCCTCATGGGCGCCTTCATTCTGCTGCATCTTGATCCTGTGCATGTGCGCCGAGATGGTGCAAATCACTACTGATTACCGCGTCGTGTGCGCACTGGATGATATGTCTAAGTCCCAGGACGGGCGAGATAAGAATGGAAATACAGCTTCTCGGGACGATAGCTTTGATGTTTGCCACAAGCTTGATGATCTGTTTATTGCGAGCGCCGAGAGCAGTTTCCACGTGATGTACAAGTCGGCCAGGCTTAAGGATAGCACAAAACGAGAACACGGGTTTAATCCCATACGCGATGGACTAAGTTCCGTGAGAAAGGCTAAGCTGGGCTTAGATGTGGAAGAGTTTGTGGGTCGGATTCTTGACGTTGTGACTAAATATAGTGAGTGTATCTTCCAAAAGGTTCTGATTCTGCAATGACTGATATCATCAAGAGAACGAACTGAAACAAGAAGCTACGATCCCATCTCTCAACAGATCCCCAGATATCCTCGAAGTTCTCAAAAATCATAGTATCTTCCGAAAGCACAACTCGGGACGACTTGTTTCCCGATTTTTGCAATCAATGCTGTGAGGACTTTCCAGCACATCAGCCGACGACTGCAGAGAGATTCAAGCCGGTTTGATCCTTCATTGGGACTCGTCTCAGGGGAGTCGGGCACCTCCAACATATGGCCCCCAGACTGCAAGGAAGGACAATGGTTGACGATCTTCGGGCGTGAAGTTATGAGCTAGAGGAGGGAAATTCTATCAGCCGTCCATGTGCATTTCCAAAGAATTCACAGTGTGCTGTACCGTACAATACACCTACATGTTAAAGGATATCCAGGCACTTAAAAATGAATCCTTGGCATAATGATTACAAGGCGGCGCCAACATTCCTCGCCATTCTTCCCAGATAAATTCCACAGCCAAGGATTAGCTAAGTAATACATGTCGTGAACTTTGCTTTTAATAAATGGCAATTCAGTTTCTATCGATGAAATATGTTTGAGCCGCAAAGATATTCTTGCAGCCTGACTTAGAGTTCAGATTATTCGAGGATTAAAGCCGTCGATGTTAGCCAATCGCTTTTATTGGCTGGAAAATTGTTTCTCCCGCATCCTCATTGGAACTACGATGATAGGCTGCTTAATGACAAGAGAGCGGATCGGTGAACATGGCGACCAATGCTAGCCCAGACGCTAGTCCCAACAAGGCAATCGACACCACACCGAAGCAACCAAAATGGGCTCACCGAAATGGCCCAGCTTATATTGAACGCCACCAAGGTCGCCACGACTTCAATGGGCTGGAACCTTTCGTTCGGGATTTCCTTCCTCGTGTCTTCTTGCCTATGATGCACCGCCCCGCGTGTTCCGGTCACACCGGCAAGGTGAGCCCTATTTCCTTCTTATTGCTCAGCCATTGACTGCTCTCTCAATTTCTTAGTTTGCCATTACTATACAAAGCGGAACATTCTTTTCAACTCCTTCTTTTCTAACTTTCTACAGTTTTGTCTCCACTTTCTCCCTAAAATGTCGCCTGGGAATGCGAAATTACAGCCAGGAATTATGTCGCCAGCCTCCTTCACACGTGGTCCCTACCAGTATCCACATCAATTCAAAGTACTCGAACACTATATATAGTCAGCCCTATGGCCGAAGAGAAGGACGAGATGCATCTCAAACCATGTCAAAGAAAGAAAGTTCAGTCGATAAACGTTGACTATATATGCAAACGGACGAGACACGAAATTCAAAGAAGGCCACCTTCAACCCCACATCGCATTCAATAACAGAACGCCTGCCATCTGTCGATACTAGGAATAAAGCTCTCGTCGACTTTGAGGATACCATAATGGAATGAAGGGAAGCCAGGCACAATATACACAACGACGTATCAAGAGAATTGGTTTTGGCAGAAGTTGTACAGTGTAATAAAAGTGGCGACTCGCAAGTAAGTCCTCTCCAATTCTCCAAACTTGGCCTGGACATTTTAGTATTCCTGGATCCCGTCAGAATTTGTCCCTTGGCCCGACACCGTTTACTTGGAAATATCTACGCACCGGATCATCATCGTTACCAGGCTGACTGCCTTGGCTGCCTTCACCGCCTGCACCGTTCATTCGCAAAATCTGCAATCTCAAGTCAGCGTTGTTGAACTTCAAAGTTGACGCGACATCAACTATCTAGCCCTGTTTTGGCCCCCACCGCTTCTCGCTTACTACCCCCCCTTTTTTTAGCGAGGCTCAGAATCAAATCTTAAACTCGCGTCTCCACCATCTGCAGCCCAAAAACTAAGGCCAACAACTTCCACTGCAAGGCCAGACAAATGTAAAGTGCCCTGGTGGCCGGAGAAGCGCTCTGTCTCGAGACACAAGCTCACAACGGCCGATCAGGAGCATCCACGCAGAGTATTGAGCTCCTCAATACGTACCATGGTACGTTTGATCTTCGCAGCCATACCTTCTGGTTTGCCTTTCGGGTTTCCTTCTCTCTGCAATGTCCTCAGCGGGTCGGATTCACGGTCTTGGATGTGAACGAGACGACAAGTTTCATTGCAATCGACCCGAGTTACGTGGTTTCTGGAACTAATCAGTATAGTCTTGGACGACAATTGCGACGGAAAGGAGGCTAGCTTACCGCCGTATTCGGAGCAGAAGTTCGAGGAAGTTGGAGGACTCGAAGGCTCGTTCAAGCGATCTTTGCGAGGATGGGTTTGGCGGTTCTGTCTGCGCTTTGCGTCTCTCGAGGATCGTTGTGTGAACTTTTCGAAGGTCAAGGCGAGTCCGCTGTTTTGACTAGCGTTGTTGCAATGGAAACTCGGTGGGCCTTCAGGGTGTCGTCTTGATTTTTGGAATGGCGTATGTCGGCTGACGAAGAAAAAGGTAAGGAAATTGCACGGTTCGTATTTTCCGTACCACGTACACTTTTACAGTCGAGGGCTAGATTACATGCGCTACCATTCAGTCGGCAGTGCATGCCTTTTCCATACTAGACTCCCTCTATCATCTTCTAGTCATTGGATCGCTCTAACACCTGAATATCCCGCGCGGAACCGATGTTCGTCTTTAATTACCAACGCCAGCTCCCAGCTTCACAAACTCGCTATCCCCATCGTCAATGGCTAGACATGTTTTTAACATGCCTTCGATTGCCCCGCAATTGACTTTTCTCAGTGATGAATGCCCTACAAGATAGCGATACCAGAGTTAAAGTAACTCATTGCACTTCCATTGGGACTATGGCGTAACTAAATCAGCCTCCGTTCCTCTCGAGAAGCAATTGGAACCGATCAGAGAACCAAAATGGCCCAGTCTCGTACGGGCGCTTGCAGAATAGACGGCCACGATTTTGTACCTGGGCTCCGCAAAAGCGACACGACGTTGGAGCAAGAGCCGCAGTCAGAAGGGCCAAAAGGGAAGGTGCATGTCCAGTCCACTGCGAGGAATGCGGAAGCGCGAAGACCTATCACTGCTCCCCCAATTTGATCACGCCCTTCGGGTTTGGTGCCAATCCATTATCCCTTCTAGAAGTCTGCCTCTCCCCGCTCATAATGATCATGAGGTCGGCCCTTCTAGTTAGTCTGCACTGCACTCCTCATTTCCGTTTTCTCCCCAAGTCTGCAGGCGTTCGCAAGAGGATTTTGGAGTAGAGGGCACGAGCGTGAGACGTCATTGATGGCTCGTAGAAGAACGTAGAGACAAATTTTAAAAGAGGTGTTCATGAAGTGCAAATAAGGGGTGGCCAAAGAACTCTCCCCCTTGCGGCCCTGCTCTGATACCTTTCGCCACGCTGACAACCATCTGGAGGTGCGACCGCAGGGAGTTCCCTACCTCAAACTGCTGCAGCCTGACTCGTCCCAGCCTTGTCCCTGACCGCCCGTCCAATGCTTGGCGAGAAAACCCCCACACACCAATACAGTAATTCCCACATTCCCTCTGGGGAGCTGGATACGGGGGTAATTTTGACTTTACTCCCTTTGAATCACCTCGCCCCGATTCGTGTCATTCATCACCTCAATCCGTCGACTCATCTCTTTTATCCCCTAAATTCGTCTCGACTCTTCCTCTTCACCGGTAAGCAGCGCGCCGGGTTAACCTGTATGCTCTACCGGGTGAGTTACAGGGGTGCGAATGAGGACCCACCAGGTTATTTCTGCCTGATTTTTGACTTAAAGAAAATCGACTTTTCAACCTCAAGGTAGAACTAGTTCTATAACGCTTTTATAATAGTTCATATACAGTTTAGAAATGCTTTAGTTAGGGGTTAGGGTTAGGGGGTTAGGGTTCGCCGGGGGTCCGGGGGGGCAGTGGTTGGGAACACTTAAGAAATGGTTTTAATATAGTTAGAAAATAGTATTTGGGTTACTTACTATAGAGATATAGTGAATGCACAATGAATAGGATATAGTTTGCCATTAGGGATGCACGATTTACAATTATTACAATTATATAATAATCAAATCGCCAATATTATAATGCATAAAATACTGCATAAAATAGCGTATAAATCGTGCATAATTCGGCACGTGGAAAAGAGTAAATTAGTGGATTTGATTATTGGGGAGGAGCACGAAACCGCGCTAGTCAAATGGAGGCTTCTGATTGGCTATGACTCATATGCAAGATAATATCACCATAATCAAGTCAGAGTGATTATTTTACGATATTACGTACTCAAGTCCTAAATTATACAATTTTAGCATCCCTACTTGCCATATCCTATTCGCTATGCTATATAGACGGGGAAGTTAATGCCTGATAAAAATTTCATCTGGTTCTTTTGAAAGTAGTTACTTTGAACCCCTGTAATCTCACCCGGTAGAGCACACGAGTTAACCAGCTACGCTGTACACTCCCATTTCACCTCGTCACGTCTCATCTCGTAAATGTTTCCTGTTTCCTGTTTACATAAAACGCGGGACGAGTGTTTCCCAATTTCTTTATTCGCCTTATATGCCACTACGACTCGGTGAAGTTGTGGAGTTATTTATAACCATGCATTGCCTACCTACACCCGCTTGACAGCGTCAATGAAAACATCATTCCCGCCGTTTTTGTTTAAGACCAGTTATCAGCATCCTCATTTGCCCCGTGAATGAAGGTCCATCCAATGCAGCCAATTACACGATGGCCTCCCAGGATGGAGGTGACCTCTCGACTGACCCCTTTCCTTCGCCCCTAGCCACCATGTCAAACTCTATTTCCCACTCGCAGCAGTTGGCGCCCCATTCAACGCCAGTAACGCAAAGTGGCCCCCAACAACCGGGCGTGCAATAAACTGCCCACCCGCAAAACTATTCACATCAGTCCAGTCCAGTCGAATCCGAATTCCAACCAAAAGAAAGAAAAGGAGAAAGGGAACTTACTCTCCCGTCTGTGTATTATAAAGATCCGTAAACGCACGATTAGTAGGTGTCTCGTTGATCCATTTCGCGAGCAAGGAGATGAAGATGGTTTTGGTGGAGTGGGAGGCGATGGCTGCGGTCCACATTTGCCAGTCGGCTGGAGGGGCTGTTAGCTTTGCGGTTTGGTTGCAAGGAAGGGAACTAATTTACATTTTGTGAACACATTCCTGGTATCGAGGGGAACGCCGTAGGTTTCTGCTACGGTTGGGTAGAAGGCGCTTTGCATGTCGTAGATAGCCTGTGGGACGAGGTTAAGACCCAGGAGACGGTCGGCGTAGAGATTGTAGAGAAGTCCTTTTCCCGTTCAGCTCACTCTTCACTTCAATATTTTGGAGGTCCTTACCATGTGAACTATCATCCTGATAATCCAAATTCGTATGCGGCGGATTCGCATCCGTCACGACCGCCATCTCATGCCACTTCCCAATATAATCATGTGCAATATTCGAGTAATTCGTCGCATCTGCACCATTCCCCGTCTTTGAAGCAATCTCTGACATAGCTTGAATGGCGATGATTCCTTTCAGAGCGAGGTTCGTTTGGTTTGCGAGCTGGCCTTGGAAATCATCGGTTGAGAGTTGGTTTTCTGGGACGAGCGCTTCTTGGACGAGGTAACTGGTCCATTGTTTCAGGATGCTGTAATGTTGGGACAGGTAGCCGGTGTCTTGGGCGCGTTGAGCATATGCCAAAGTGGTGATGATCATGTTACCGCATTCCTCGAGCGGCATATATTCTGCTGGATTGAGCTCGTGGTTACCTCTTGGGACTGGGACAACTCACCTCCGTCACCTGAGGGGTGCCCAATGGCACGTGGATAATTAGCCCCAAGGTCATGCATGGCATACGCCTGAGGGAACTTCCCAGCTTCCTGGTTCTCGAACAGTGGATCCAAGAGATACTTCACCAGAATTGGGTTCGAATACAAGAAGATCGGCATGGCGGGATACAAAACATCGACAGTCTGAATGTTTCCATCGGTACTGATTTCTTTGAGAAAAAGATATGGCTTGGCATCAGTTCGGCAAAGTTGGACAGCTGCAAAGGCTTGGCGAGCTGAGAGCGAGGTGATGGTGAGGTAATCTTGGCCTCCGGCAGCGATCGAGTCTCCCGCAAATTGGCTGTCAGTGGCTTCAGAGAGGCTAGCCATATTGCGGAAGTCATTGTAGAAGAAACCGACCTGTGAAAGATTAGCCCTTGACATTCACGAATGGAGAGCTTCAACCATACCATATCCAAATCAGAATTCCAGTAGCTAGTCCACAGCGAGGGGACACCAACGTCTCCGTTGGCGCTATCAAAATAGATAGCGTTCTGCTGAGCATGCACAATCGTATACAATGTCTCTACCGGAGAGCTTCCAACGTTCCCAAGAGCGTTTGCTGTGGAGTTATTAGTCATGTGATCCAGACACTTCATTCAGGTCCATACCAAAACCAAATACAGGCCAGTTATCACTGATTGGTCTATAATTCGTGTCTTGAGTATTTGGGAGAACTCCGTTGTTCAAGAAGTTTCCTCGAACGTTTACGTCAGATCCCGATTGGTAAGTCATTGACGAAGTTGCTGCAGTGGACCAGTACCAATAGCCCCAATGTGCTGCGTCATCTGGGTAATCGGCGTTGAATTCGCTCTGCGTTTGCCTCCAGTATTTGTGATTAGCAACTCCATTGTCGACTGAGTAGCTACAGGGGTGTAAGTAACTGAATTATATCAAATTTGTGTTTCACTGACCTCCACTGAGCGGTATCAGAGTTATGGATAGAGGTCCATTCTAGCTCATGCATCAGAATCTTGATCAAAGCCACGAATCGGCGGCAGCAAGAGCAAGAAGCATACCGGCGGAAGTGTCTACATACAGCCGCACAGAGTGTGATCCACCGTCAATGGCGGCTACCGTTACACTGAGATAGGACCCGGTGACAGATTGGCGTCGAATATCGTTTGGTGTAACAGGTGATAGAAACGTGACGTTCATGGATACTTTCCCTGCAACATTCATGATAAAAGTTGATCTGGTAGACGTGTACTCAAGGCTCGTCTGAGTGACACTAGGAGGAACGACCCCGTTCACATTCGCTGCTCCCATCCAGGTGGAACTGCTACCATCGACTGTGATGAAACCTGTCCACGCAGTGACAGCTCCATTTGACCCAGCGACCGGTCCTGGTTGAGGACCACTTTGCATGGTCAGCTGACTTTGCCCTGCTTTCTGGAGCAGAATTGGGTGTGGGAACTAACGCCCAGAAACGCCTGTTACATTCAATTAGTCTTGTAATTAAATGAGTTGGGGTAGCACTTACGGCCAGTAGCCAGGAAGCACGCCTCCGCTGCCCCCATCATTGCCAACCTCGAGCCAAGTATTCATGTAAGGAGACTTGACTGGAAATGGTCAGCAACGTCTCTATGGTGCCATAAGACGCATACCTGCAAGAGGAATGGCGGGAGGTCGTGCCGGGCTGAATGTCGAGCCTGACACGAGATTCCTGAGACCACAGAAGGTCAACACCAGCAAATGAATGTACATCGCTGTGGCTTCGCGCAACAAAAATAAATGTAAAAGGAGAGGCTATGCAGTAAGATGCTCGAATTGAAGCGGTCAAATATCGAGTAAACCAATAAATCCGAGACAAAATAAAAGATATTATATAGCTCGGTGGAAGCACCTGGTATCACACACCACTGCACCGAGAAGATTGGGGGTTGTTAAGGATGGAATGAAGAAAGGCCCGAAATTGACACCCCTAGGATGTAAGAAAGTGGAAAGAGGATTGTTCCACCCTCCATTATCACAAGGCCAATAGAGATTACCTAGAAAGTAGTCAGACTTGTCAGATGAAGCAACCAACTGCGAGCACGAGAGATGGGGACCTTGGAGAAATGGTGTTGCAAAGTAGTGGCGACGTGGCCAAGCGGCGAGGATGATCGGCAGTCATTCATATCCCAGGTGCTGGATGAGTAGGGGTCCCGGTAAAACTTCGTAAAGACATCGAGGTCTTGACATGAAAGTTGAACCCCTAGCCTCGAAATCCAGGTGTCACTGCGTTGGCAGCCAGCGACTACTGAGAAGCTGGTAGAGGTTCTAAACTGTCAGAGCACTTCTTCTCAAAATGCTGAATGACTCGCCCACTAGTGCACAGCATGCAGGAAGTCGGAACCACGTTCCTGACTACTTGGAAGATCTGCTGGGCAAGGCAAACGAACGCTCCCATTGCTCTCCAATCACGTCTGGAAACTGCCCTGATGCCCCTGGCTTTCTCCGGAAATGGCTCTGGGTGTAGAGCGAGGCAGCGCCACTGAAGGCCGGTCTTGCGCCATAATCCTTACCGGCCTGGTAACGTTAACTTTAAATGCTGTCAAGCCATCTCCGTAGTGTCCTTGATGGGGAAGTTCGGAAGATCGGGTCTCATCTGATCTCAACGATCACCCGTACCTTGTGGGTATCGTGCATGCATGACTTGTGGGATCGCGCGGGCAGATCAGAAGACCCGGGGCGTCTGCTGTCTACTAGATTCTAGAAGGCGCTTTCGGGTAATGATGATCCTGGATGCGGATGTATTGTTGCTGCTGTGGCTTGGGCTTGTCGAATTGCTGGTAGTACGAGAAAGATTCAGTGCGGTGAAGTTTGTGGGGGAGACGATGAGAGGTGGAACCAGATTTGGACCTTTTCATTCTAGCGTCTTCGGCAGAGCCCCGGGCGTTCCTTTTTACTGGACCCGAGGCGCAGAAAACCCCCTGATCGACACGCCAAGCGAGATTATTTAAGGGGGCTGAGGGGAGGGGGAAGGGAGTGGTAGATGGGGGCTAGATATTTGGACCTGAGACCCCAGTTTACTGAAGAATATTAAAGAGCTGGAAAGTCACTCTTCTGAGATTTTGCTATGAAAAGTGCCTATTTTGCAGCGCGAGTGCATTGCTTTAGCATCGGCCCTCGAAGACCCCACCCTACTTCCATGCCCCAATGTTGCCAGGTACAATGGGCAAGTTTGGAAGTCTATATTGCTATCTCGACTGAAGTGGTGTGCCCTTCGTCGTGTTTCCCATACATTCTTGGGTCGCAGCTAATAAGGTCAATGATGTGGGCTGCAACCAAAATTTGTTTCTCACAGAAGAAGTGGCAGTCCATTTCTGAATTTGAGGTATGCATATCCCCGACTCGCCCTTTCCTTCACTTTTTCTACAGCTTCAAATTCACAATTTCTTAATCTACGCTTCCATTTTTCTTTCCAACTTCTGTCTCTCCAAACCCTTCAAACCTTCCTCGGAACGTGGATACCGTGCAACAACTCCAGAAATCCGGACCGATGGAGACCGAATCAACATCTGGAATATCCGAATCTAACTGCTTCCTGCAGCTTACCGCGGCTATGGAAAGCCGTCCAAGAGTCTCAAATTCAGAACCCTCAAGCCCAGCAAGCCCAGCTTCGTCGAAAAAATCTTTCATAAAGCTCACAAGCGATATCCATCACCGCTCGGCAACCTTGAAAGTCATCTCTGATGCATGCATTCAAACTCTATCTTGACTCATCCAGGAGAAGTTATCGACAAAAGGTTCGCACTCACTCAGTCAACACTTGAGCATATCTGAACGGGCTGCCAGCGGGGTTTCCAGCGCTTCCACAGCCCAAACCTGCAACACCAGAACAGAAATCTAAATCTAAGCAGCTGGCTAAGAGCCGTGGAAAGGTCTCACGTGCAAGAGCTATTGAATTGGCAACGCCAAAACGAGTGAACAATAATTTGCTGTAACCGACCGCTTTGAGCGCGCCGTCATACGATCTCTCACCGATTAGGAAACTAGCAACTGGGCTCCAGTGCATGATCCTCCAGTCTTTGACTACCAACGGGATCAAGAACATCAGACTGGCCTCTCGTTCTTGGTCTGCGGCCGCCATTGAGTCCTTCTTGCGAGGCCGCTTCTCCGTTCGACTAAATGAAAAGAGTGTGTCTCGAATCGACTTTCTTGACTTGGCCAAACTCGAAAGATTGTGTCGACACCCACTATTTTCCAAGGATATTCGATATTTAAAACTTCATGGCTATGATATGTCTCGGGACATGTTTTTGCACCGTCTACGGATTCAAAAGAGGATATCGACACGGAAACAATGGGAGGCAGTGCTCTACCCAAGAATAAGCAAAAGTGGGGAGCAAGGGAAAGAAGAAAAAGTCGACTGACCCACTCAAGATGATTGCAACCGGTCAATACTCGAGATGATATTGCCAGAGCTCCCAAACTTCTTCGAAATCTGCATATCAGCAATGATATGTCGATCCAGGGATGGTGACCCTGTTTTGAATCCCTGTTGACATTTGGTCAGGCATAACGGGTGTAGGAAAGATCTCAGCGATCCTGCTTTTACCTTCGCACGGCAGAGATGTACCGCTGTTCTTCTCGCAGCAAGCAAACTCAAAAGCTCTTTTCGCTCGCTCTACATTGAGTGCCTACCTCTTGAGTGTTTCTGGACCACAGAAATCCTTGCTCTGGTGCGGGAAGGACTATCGGAGGCTTACGATATCCTCGAGGGAATTGAAACCACGAAGCAAACGATGTCAAAAGTAGAGTGGCTGAACTTGGGTCTAGGGACCAATCTCGGGACCAATCCTCACGATGCCCCTTGCCCATATCCGGACGACAACTGGATCTTCCTCACTAAGCAGCCGGGTAACTGGTTAGGGTGCTTCCAAAACCTCCGCTATCTAAAGCTATCTCTCCAGTGGCAAGAGACACACCTATATTTGGCCTTCATGGAAGATCTTCAAACAGTTCTGTCTACCGTTACGTTTCCTCAATTCATCCAACTGCGCTTAGAGTATTTGACATTTAGACAACCCGAGATCTTACCCTTTATTCTGAACCATTCCTCGACCCTAAGATACCTCAGAATCGGGCCACGTGATTGTCTGCCAGAGGGAGAAGGAGACAACGGCGCAAAGAGATCCCTTACAAAGACCAGTGGCCAAATGAAAAAGCTTGAAAAGTCCTCCACGAGACCATGGCTTACCGGGCATTCCAGGTCCACCAACAATACCGATACATGGCAATGATTCTCCTTGCCCGAACCCGAGACTAGATCAATCAGCACAGCCAAACTTCTCGAGTAGTATGCACTCGGCATCTGTCCTTGGCCATTTATTCCTGAAGAACCAGAACACATGTGGCGGCCGATGTTCATGAGCACACACAACCAATTCTGCAACGTGTCACTGCAAGAACGGAAGAGCTATTTGGAGAAGGGGTGGGAAGCAGTAGTTGGTGAAGGCATTGGCCGAAATGGGGATTCGGAGATCTACTCTGAACAAAAGATGAATAACGAAGGAGCAGACATTGGAGACGAGCACTTCGAAGTGGATCCAGACGCTCAAGATGTTGCTTCCCTTAACCACTTACTTGAGATGGAATCCCGGAGTTCTAACGAACATCTTAAAGGGCAATCAGGTCTGCTGAAGACAAATGATCTACCAGTATTTGCAAACTCTCGACCTCGGTATTCCCAGTCTTAGGAAGGATCGATCCTTCTTGCTCCCAGAGAGGGGCCTTGATTCTGACCAAACCTAGCCTCGCCTGGGGTTCAGGCAGGCTAGGTAGAGATATATTAAACACGGTGATGTACGTGATCATGAGTCCAGAACAGATCATTTTCCTACTCCAACCTCCGGAATCCTACTAATATTGAATAGTATTCGGAGAGATTGAATCATGATTAAATGAAGAGCAAGACTTTGCATGGGAAATATCTATTATTTTGGAAATGAGACAAAATTATTAAATCCGATTACCTTCATTCGAGGAATACTTCCTTCAGGAATCGTCTTTAATTCCTCTTCTAAAGTCTTTGTGCATCTATTCCGCCAAACTTTCCTTTCCTGTTGCACATAAAAACTTGAATACTATCAAAGATTGCAAACAAAGACTGAGAATACCTGGAACTATCCAATGGCGCCATAAACTCAAGAGAAAATACGAGACAACAAGCGACATTCATATCTCCTAACCTACAAAACACTTTTAGTCCCCGTCTTCCCCTTAAGCACAACATCTCTCAACCACTCCCCGACAAACTTATTAACCTCCTCCGGCTTCTCCCAAAGCGCCCAATGTCCCGCCTCAACCTCCTCCTTCCTCAAATCACTACAAAACCTCCCCATCTTCGCCCCCAAACTTGGCGGCAGCGCAATATCTTTCGTGCCCGCCACATACAGCACCGGGATCTCCAATTTCCCCCCTTCCTCCCAAAAACCCGCCAAGCTCTTCTCATCCTCGAAATTCAGCTTGTCAGTCCTGTACCAGTTCAGGGGGCCGTGAATTCCATTCCTACTATACTCCTTCACGTAAAAATCCATTTCGTCCTTCGACAAGAGAGGGGAGGGTCCAATGCCCTCTAGATTCTCAAAATGCACGCCCTCGGTAACGCTAAACATCGGCTTCTTGCTCACTGTCCTCCCGCCATACATCCCATTTAAGAACTCCCTGATTTTCGCCTCGCCTATAATGATGGTCTCGACTTCGCCGGAGGCGAGATGGATTTGGTATTTGAAGTTTGGGAGGGTGGAGACCGGGATGTACGTGGAGCGCGGGGGCGCGAAGGGCGAGCAGATTGTGAAGATTGCGGTTATCAGGGTGGGGTGGTGCAAGGCGACGCGGAAGACGACGGCTCCGCCCCAGTCGTGGCCGCCGAGGATGATGGTGGAGAGGGAAAGATGGGAGGCGAGAGCGGCGATGTCGTCGGCGGCGCGCTTGAAGGTGTAGTAAGTGGGGGAGTCAGGGGCGTCGGTCCCGGAGTAGCCCATCATGTTGGGGACTACGACGCGGAGGTTTAGGGAGAGGAGGAGGGGAATTTGGCTAGAAAGTGTTAGTACGTATTTCTTCATGTGAAAGATCTGTGCCAAGACAATTGAGGGGAAAGGTCTTTGAAAGATGGAAGAAACCGTGACTTTTTGTGTAGAAAAGGGGGAGTAAGTGAGGATATATATACTATCGCCATCCCAAAGCCAAATCCGGCCATCCATGGACGAGGAAGATAGTATCTACAGCTTTCTCTTGTGGTTCAGCGAGGATGTAGCCGTATGTGACGCCATTGAGGTTGGCGGTTTTGAATTGGATCCTAGGATCAGTGGGAGTGATCTTGTCAACCATCTTGAAGCAGCCGATGAGAAGAAGGGAATGAGATTGAGGGAAGAGAAACTTTATAAAGACAAGGCTGATGTTGGAAGTGGAGTTTGATGGGTTTGCCCCGGCCCTAAATAGGAACGTTTTATGTGACGCTGTGCCGCAGCGGCGCGTCCGAGCCGAGGTCTTCACCCCGTTGACCTGCTCGGATTCGGGACATTAAGTGCGCCAGCCGGAAACCATTTTGGTGTGATAGAGTTCACATCTTGACGACAGTCGAATATCTTACCAGCTGATAGACATGTGACTCTCCCCTAATGCATAAAAGACCCATTTTCGGGCAATATACAAATCTCAATTGGGCGACAAACGTTGGCCTGACCTCCTTTCTGCTGGGAATAGTCAGATGACTGACTACTGTATCGAGTTGTTTGAGTAACGGCTTTCGTCGCGTTCTGGATCCTGCGTCTCCTGCGCGACTTGCCACCGCTGAGGAATTGTAGAATCAATTTGTAAAATTTGCCGTGGCAGGCCAGAAGGAATGGGAAGAATGCTCCACGTTGATTCCAGTGGTGTACAGGCAGGTGATTATCACCGCAGCTGCCACCAAGCGCCTATTTCATACAAGAAAACCAGTCTCCTAGTGAGATCAATAGATGACAGTGTCCTCCTCATTCTCAAGCACAACCTCACCATTATGCTCTTCCTGAGCTTGTTTCTCAGCCTTGACTTTTTCGGACTGAGGTGCTTGTACAGGGGAAATATTAGTAGTATCAACATTAGAAACAGATGGAGACTCGAGTTGAGGCTCACCCACCGTCTCCTTAGACGCGCCGTTAGTTTTGCTTTCTGCAGAGGAATCCCGTACAGTCTCTTTTGGATGCCGTGTATAAAATTCGTCCACTTCTCGCTCGATGAGTGCTTCTGCGTCGACGATTTGCTTCTTGATGCGATCTTCGTCTCGGGGCAACAATTCCCATGGTTTGTAATACTGGAAAAGTTAGCATTCAATTATCCAGAGGGTAGTGAAACAACATACCAGCTTCGGTTCTGCTTTTGTCGAGAGGAATTGTGCCATTGCAAGCATATTGGAATGCCGTATCCGCATCTGTAAATTGTCAGAACAAAGTGCCTAATTTCCCAACCGTCGTCTACTAACCGACTCCTCATCGAATTTGATTTGCTCCTCCTCTCGTACAGCTTTCAGATTCGCTAGCTTCTCTGCTCTCCGCACCTCATCTGCAGCCTTCTGTTGTTTGGCCTTCTCCTGTTGTCGCTTCTCAATTTCCAAACGCCTTTTCTGTTGACCATTGGGAGTGCTTTGACTCAAGGTACTGAGAAGCCCACCGAATAACCGCTGACCACGTTTCCTCTCTTCTACAACACTGCTCTTCCTCCGTTCTCGGTTTGGATCTCTGGCTTGATCCTTCTCTGGGAGCGCATCTTCCTCGGCTTTGATTGCTTTTGGCGAGTCATGTATGGCAGTGGGGGAGTGAGAGCTTGGATCGAGGGAAAGTCGAGGACGTTTGGATGTTGAGTCCGACGCTGAGGATTGTCTTCGTTTCGTAGGTGGGGATTTAGGTGGCTCGACTTCGGGGGGAACGACTGCGGACGCGATTGGGCTGGAGAGATGTTAGCTTTTGATTCATCGGTTAAACTGATTGACATACCCAGCATTGTCCGCCATCTGGACTACTGCTTCCAAGGGATATTATTCCGTTGTTTCTTGCAGCCGCGGTCCTGAATATTGTAAGCAGGCTGAAGGTTCGAGTACTTTGACTGTCTCAACTTGGTTAGCGTGTGGTCCGTGCTTAGCAAGCGGGAGGCTGTAAATTTTGGTGGCGTTGATGTTTTAAAAATCAAAGATGTCCTTCTCAAGCTTCGGAAACAACAACGTCCTGCACAACGAAATTGAAGGTGACCTCTTGAAGCTTCACATTACTTAGAGAGTCAAATTAGCGGACTTCCCGTTCCAGAACAACCTCAAAACCTCGACCATGTCTCGCCATCATCCGTAAGTCCCCCGTCCCTACCCCTTCCGGCCCTACTTATCTACTACTTATCTACTAACTTCTCTACCAGCGATCTCGTTATGTGCCGCAAACAATCAGGCATTGCCATCGGACGTCTCTGCGACAAGTGTGACGGCAAATGCCCAGTCTGCGACTCCTACGTTCGCCCCACGACCCTCGTCCGAATCTGCGATGAATGCAGCTTTGGAAACTACCAAAACAAATGTGTTGTCTGCGGTGGAGAGGTACGTCTACTGAGATCTTAGAATTTGATAGGAAGTGTTAACCTATCAAACAGGGCATTTCGGACGCTTTCTACTGCTTCGAGTGCACGCGGTTGGAGAAAGACAGAGATGGATGCCCAAAGATCATAAACTTAGGCTCGAGCCGTACGGATCTGTTCTACCAGTGTGTCCAACTCCTCCCGCATGGGTTTTTGTTGCTAACAAGAGGATAGGAAAAAGAATTTTCGAAATCACTAGCAGGATCGGGCTTAGGTTTTTATCAGGGTTGAAAAGCGCTGGAGTTTGGGCCCGACGAGCTTTGGCACCATCGGCGCACTGGCTTTAACAAAAAGGAGCGCTAAGAATATGACAGGTGCACCGTCTTATGTTGAGCCCTATGGTTTAGCCGGCACTATGCTCCATGGGCTTTCGCGGGTTAGACTAGGTGGAAACATGTCGTTCATGAACGTCACTAACCCATCAATTCACAGAGGTATGTGAGCGCAGGAGTATTGTTGAAGTTTAGATTTAACAATTCAAGGCCTCACTTCTGCATGCCAAAATATCCATTCTTTCCATCAATGCCTGGCTTTTTCAACCCCTTCCGTTCTCCTTCCTCCCCCGATATGTTTCAACGACTCTTCAGCGCGAGACAGACACCGCCTCCAGAAAGGCCAGAACTCTCCAGTGGCCATACCGGCATTTTGGAAGATTGTATAACAACCACTCGCACGGATATATTCCAGCTCGAGCGGAGGATCAAAGCCCTTAACGCAAATGTCCTGGCCATTTGCTACTGTATAAAGAACAAACAGCCATCCTTCGTGCCCCCAACTGCCGTTCGCCTCCCTGAGGTATTCCAAACGGAAGCCATTCCATCTCCTTTCAAAGGCTCGCCGAAGAAGTCAGCCAGGAAATGGCCATCTATTCCACTGCTTCGTTCCAATAGTCCACCAAACGAGGCCAAGGTACTAAATCGTCCTTCTCAAATTGAACGCCCCGCCGATGTTCCTGAAGCCGAGAGAGAGATTCCTTCACCGACAAGAATCGATTGTGAAGATATGGTTTTGATGGCGAATGGGAAAGCGGAGCCTCAAGTTCAACTTAACTTCCTGGTCTTGAAGAAGGCAGAAATGGAGGTCGAGGTGGGGAGATTGGAAAGTGATCTTGTGTTTTGGGCTGGCGTCTACCACGATATCAAGATCGCACACCGAAAGAAAAGCGACAAGGAGGAAAAGAGGAAGCCGTCTTTTCAGACCAGGAATCCGCCACGGCCCTCTTTGCTACGGGAGCCTTCCTTCCATTCCAATCCGATCTCTAACAACCATGCCGAAAGTATGAGTATCCCGACTTCGGCGCCATTTATAATTTCACGAAAGGAGGTCCCATCAAAGAATTGACTGCGAGGGTTAAGGCTACCTCCTTGTTCTCATCAACGCTGGGCCGAAGCCACAAAAACTCGTGGTCCCAAGTCAATGACCTGTTTATGACGGAAGGTAGTGGCTCGAGGGCAAGAGGAACGGGGTCGACTACAAAGTTTGGGACAGGAAATCATGCGAAACATGACCATACGCGCGATGATTTAAGGGTCGATTTGAGGGTGCGAAGGAGGAGTTGGGGAGAGAATCACTGAATTGAGACACGGTAGAATGAATCATGGGAGCCTGTTGTGTTACGGAAAGAATCGTTTATGAATACTTCATAATTTACGCTTCCAGCCACCCCCATATTTCCCCGAGTCGCGTACTGGTTCCGCCCTGCTGGCCGAGGTAATTCTTCCACAATGTCTCTTCTCAGCGAACCCTCTTATCAGCGCCAAAGGCCACCACAATCGTGAAAGGGCTCCACATGAACTTCCACAAGGAGTAGCAGGGTCCTTCATGATGCTTGTGATTGCCCCAAGCCGTTTGAAGGGCCTTGATATATGCTTCACGTGCTTCCTTGGTGATTGGATCATCGCTGAGTGCCTCGCGCTCGTGTTCCTGAAAACATTCTACTCTCTTCTCCAGCATCTTGAGCCGTTCGTTCCGCCCATCTCCAACGGCAAGGAGATGGATGATATGGGATTGCCTCCAGAGAAGATCGCAGTGGGAATATATCACTCCCCGGGTTGCAGCAGTGGCTCAAAAATGGCTCTTCTAGTAGAAAATTTGACAGCTATCTTGGCTACCACCAAGCGTGGCAAGACATAGTGCAAGATTTCTCCTCGCGATTCCTTTCTAAGGACACAAACTCAACGCGATATCTGGACTGGCGCGGTCGATTCTTCAGTAGTTGCAACATTCGGATTTACCTTCATACGAAAAAACCGAATGGACGCTTACTAGAGATCATGAAGAATGTGTCGCAGGAATGTGGAAGAGATGCTTTAACTGTGGCCTAACATGGGCTGCAGAGACGAAGATAACCCGGAAGCTTACGCCGAGCACGAGCGGCCCTCTCAATACTGTGCGCCAACTTGGTCCTGGGCATCGATCAAGGGCCCGATCCTCTTCAAGTATTGGGATGAGGCGGGTCCGTGGAGCGCTAAATATAAAAGGATGGCCAGACATACTCGACTCGATTCGTGGGGTTCTGAGCCGATTTTGAAGTCTGATCCGACAGGTCCCATGAATAGCACATGTTATGATGACCGAGCTGTTGGTTCAAGTGGACCTAGCAGTCCTTGATGGCTCTGCAGGGCCTGGAACCTTGTTGAACCTACTGGATGAGGCTAAACCAACCAAAACTTGCCTTGTGCGCGCCGAGTTCTTGAAGATTTTTGGGGTAGTCTTGGATGTTATGACCCAAACAACTCTCTGGTCCAGGGACGCGCAACATGGCTGCTAGGTTCGAAGTGCATGCACCAAAGTAATGCTGCTCGTGGGGTGGAGATGGACGAAGCAACGATGTAAATTCTACTAGCAAGCGCTATTACTTCTACTTGCAGCTGTTCACTTGGGAGGATGGTTCCGGCATGTTCCCAGAATGGCATCGTATTTCTCCACATAGTTTTACCTTCTACTAGAAAAACTCCCTGGTAAAGAAGCTCTATACGAGAGGGCTGGCATTGGTTGGGAGGAGGGAAAGGGGAGGCATAATCCCAAATGTAAGCTGTTTCAATGCTCTAAAACTTGTATGGTTAAAATCATTTAGCGCCATTGTCGTCAATTACTCATAGCCTAATCAAGATGTTGTATTTTGGTGGCCAACTAGGAATTTGGCCTCACGAAATTGCTTGATGCGTGCAACTGACGTGCAGGCAGAGGTGTTTGGAGGCAGTTTGCATAGTTGAACTGGCGGCTGTGCTATCTCCCCTCCTCTATCCTCTCCCTTCACTTTCCTCTTGGCCCTTCGCTGGGGCTCGGGGTTAACTTTGCTGCTGTTCCCTCACCAGCTTTGTTCCCTGGCCCCCGTACCCATCTTCGCAGAAGGCCGAAAGCTGTAGATGTCGAGACAGAAGGTATTGAGGAAGGAGGAGGTGGGGTCGGAGGCGTTGTAGGGGGAGTAGAGCCTTTGTAAGTGTTGACGTGGGTGGGTGGTGGTGTTTGCTAGGAGTGTTCACTGGCCAACCGCCCAGACCACTCAACCCCCAAATTTTTATTTCACCACAACAGTAATATAGAAGCAAACTTTTGAGTAGATATTCGCAATCAGCGAGCTTGGAAGACTAATCTTACAAGTTTAGGGAACTTTCTAAGCACTTTGAAAGTTCTCAAATTTTTGTGTCCTGACAGGGGTAAAAGTGGGCGTTGAGTGGTCTGGGTGGTTCCGAGTTGAGGCGCTTGTCGGAGGGTTTTGGCGAACAGCGCCGATGGTATCGCCGCGACCACGAGACTTCTCCATGCCCTTTCACAAACTAATCAACTAATCTCTAGGTCTTTTGTGCGAAGCAAGAGCCTCGAGCAATTAAAGGATCTTTGATCGGTAGCATTGACGAATTTTGCATCATTTAACACCTTAACACGCTGGGGATGCTGAAACCAGGGACCAAACTTGCGAAAGCTTGACCAGCCTAAAGGTCGTCCCCGTTCCCGTATCAATCCACCAGACCGGCGGTCTTTATTGTAGCACGTTAAGTGAGCAATTTCAGATTATATTATTATCGTTGACCTAATCCTGCTTACTTTGCACGCTTGGAAGATGCGTTCCATCATATCCAGCTCGCGTCTTTCCCCGCTTCCCGAGTGTGCAACGCGGAGTATGATCCCAGAGCTTTTACACAATGGTACTTCCTACTTCCTTGTCTTGTCTCGATCAAGCTCTACTTTCCTAGGCCAAGAGTAAGGCTGAAAGGAACACCAATTAGCAATTCGGAATGTCACCACCATGGCAAAAGCCGTTGTCTCAAGCCACAGCTGATCTCAAAATTCAATAAATAATGAAGGCGAGAATCTTGGCAACATTCCGAGTGCTCTCAGTGGGGATGTTCGAGATCCCCACTGGCGGTATGTGGAGCGGACTGCTTTCAAGAGTCGAACCTAAATCTGCCTTCTTTCGCGCGCTGAAGAATCCATTCGTATCTATGAAACGATGATGCTTCTGGTTCTCCTCGCCGTCGCAGTCCTTCTCATATCACCCTCCTCTTGTAGTCCTGAGGCTTTTTTTCATCAGTATTACAAGCGACAAGCTCCTCCTGATCAGTTCACTGGAAAGCCTTCCGCTCCAACATTGCAATGGTTTCCATGCTATCCTGATACTTTCCCCCAACCTGAATGTGCCAGGTGCTTCATCCCATCCACGAAAATATCCGAAAAACATACTGACTATCTAGGCTCGAGGTTCCATATGACTACTCCAAGCCTGTTCCAGGCGATATCTTCAAGCTAGCAATTGTCAAGTTCCCGGCCGACCGAACTGTTCCTTACAAAGGCATCCAGTTCCTAAGTTTCCTCAACCCACCGTTCGTGGAAAACATTGCCAGCTTTCCCTTTCCCTTCACTCAAGGTCTCCTAGCTGGATACGATCTGATTTCCTGGGATCCACGTGCCGTTGGTCATACTGAGCCAGGATTGAAATGCTTTGCAGATGATACTGCTCAAGCAGCTTACGCAGACTTCCTCTTCAGTGATCAGTTCACGCCGTATGGAGGGTTCAATGGCACTTTTCCGGCCACGGACAAGAATATCAAGGCGAACATCAAGTCTGTGACAGACACGTTCAAGAAGTTGAGTGATGGTTGTGTGACGTACTCTTCGAACATTCTTCCGTACATGGGAACTGCAGACAATGCACGAGATCTCCATAAAATAGTCTCCCTTCTACCCGCTGGCCAGAAAATCATGACTTACTACGGTCCAGCATCCGTTATAGGTCTCACTTATGCAGCAATGTACCCGACCGGCTTTGACAGCATGACATTCGACGGCGCCGTCAACGTTGAAGAGCTTTACGCAACCGGATTGAATAGCCCTAGCGCAGTCCAAGACGGAGACAAGGCCCTTCAAATGTTCTTTGACAGCTGCGTAGCTGCCGGCCCCAATACCTGCGATCCCACTACAAACTTCCTCTTCTGTCCTTCCAACGGATGTTACTTCTGGAGGCCCACGGAAAAGGAAGTGAAGGTAAGAGCCCGCTGCCAGATATTCAAACAATGAGAAATGCTGAAGATGCTAGGCACGATACGAAGCTCTGAAGGCAAAATTCTACTATAAGCCGTTCAAATCAGTGCCTCCAAACCCCATTTGCGGAGACTGCACATTGACATACTCGGCAATATCTCACTACCTAGCGAGCGCGCTCGATTTACCGGCCTTATTCCAAGATCTCGTTGCCCGTGTCTCGAAAGCACTGCTGGAGATTGAAACCGGTTCAGCATTTCCTATTGGAGAAGTGGAATTCTTTTCTGATGCATTTCCACACGAAGTGGTTGCTTATGATAGGATCTTGCCCTGCCTGGACGCGAAGAGCGTGATTCGGAGTACGGACGGATTGGTGGATCATATGAAGCTGATGAACAAGACTAGCAGTCAGAATGGTTTGGCCGTTGCTGCACAAGAGGCAATGTGTAGCAGTATGTATTCCCCGCACGTTTCGGGCACAATAGAGTAGATTGATCACTCGTAACTGACTATGGCTGTAGCATTCCCAAGGAACGTCAACCTCAAGCACCGCTTCACGGGAGATTTCACCACAAAGAAGCATAACGCCATGGTTTTCATTTCCAATACCGCAGATCCAGAGGAGTCACGCGCAAAGTGCGTGCCCCAAACCCACCTCAGCTTTAGTATTAGCTCACTGACAACCACACAGCGCAAGAGCCATCGCCTCCCGCTTTGCCAACGCCCGCTTCATCACAGTCAATGAATTCGGGGTAGATTCCCCCCATTTCCCTCCCAGACACAAGATTCCAAAATTGGATGCTGACGAAATGAGTCAGATGACCTCCTTCTTCTCTGGATTTTCGGCTTGTAAGCAAACTCTTCTTGATAATTGGAGGACTACTGGTGTGTTACCGCCTCGGAATAGTGTTTGTAATGATGTCGTCGCTGGACCTTTCAATGGAGGGTATCCTTGATTCTTCATGGCCTCTTTGTTACTCGCGTCTGCGATGTGCCAGCTCAGTCATATGGAAGACCGTTATTCCCGATATCGCTCGGAAACCACGGAAGTCAAATGTTCTTTCTTCCCCTTCAATACAAGAGCAGTCGACCTTCCAAGGCTGTAAAGAAGTCATCGGATGCATCCTCCCTGGTAGTCACGTGATGACACAATCTCGACCCCTCGAGCCATTGACATCCATCTATCTAGACTCGAAGCCATCTCCATTGTTTCTTCCATTCCTTCCCACTGATTGGCCCACACGAAAATATCTCAACACACCATCCCAAACTCCGGGGCTCCACCATCCCCGGAAGTCTCTAGCGGGAGATCGTTCCCCTGATCCGAGACCCCACTCCTCACCGATTTTCTCAATCCCCACTGACTCGTCACCCAGTCGGCCTCCGGCCCTCCTGTAACCCCGAGTCTGGGTTTTCAACACTTGTGCCTCACCCCTCCCCATACCTCTATTTTCTAATCATCTCCCCTTCCCTTCTTCGCTTCTCCACGTACCCGTTTATTTGTTTACTCATCTCGATACTCTCCTTTTCGAATACATCAACACATTGCACTACAAGCGAGATGGGATCCTGCCTCACCCGCCTAAAAAAAGAGATGGCAGCGCCACCTCAGAATAACGGCAACTGGAATTCTCTTTCCCCGCAACGGCCAGATGCATATGCTCCCAAACCCAGGCAACAAGTGCAGAAGGTGCGGGTTCCAGGGACGATCGGTGCGCAGTTGGGCAGGATAGAGACACCGAGTGGGATCCCGGGGCTGACGTTTGATCATGCTGGACGGCCTGTGTGAGTTATTCTATTTTTGTTAAATTGACTGTAGTAGTGCGGGAATGCGAATGAGGCTGATGTTGAGATACAGGTGGCGGGAGGAGAATGCGGTCAAGGCGGAGACGGAGCATAGGGAGAATAGATGGTGAAATATTTCATGTTGGGGAGATGGGTGTGGTTGAGATGTTGACACGGGGATACAAATGGGAAAAAACGAAAACGCCGCACGGGAAGCCTCACCATCTCCGGCTTGGAGGATATCGCCACGCGGGGGTTGTGATGAAGCTTGAGGGGATAAATGAGGATATGAGGAATTGGGAGTACGGCTTTGCGAGAAAGGGAAATGGTTTGAATTGGAGCTTGGGATCGTAGAAGAATAAAATTTTGCTTTCGGACTGGCCCCAAGCGCGTACCAATATCCAATTGAACGGGGGAATATGAACAAGGTTCCGAAGCCTCTGAATCCATGAATTTGGCGATCCCAGTCTTCGATTTTCCCCTTTGATGTCAAACATCTGAACAGGTTTTGAACAAACGAGGCTATGCAGTAACAAATGATTGCTTCGGTACAATACAAACATCTCCAAGCACTGCTCGTTGATAGAATAGAAAGTCTCGCACACACACATCCGTCTCAGCAAAAGAAAGCTCTCCCTCCCTGCATGTGCTTCCCCAGTCATCCTCCTCCAATCCCAAAACCCCTTCCCAATGAATACAAAGTCTCCTCTGCTCCACCTTCCTCTCTTCAATTGACAAAAGAGAGGGAATCTATTATGTTGACACATGGCGCGGAGATATCTATGTACTGTATTGCCGTGACCCATGAAGTCCATTACTCATCGGACTAAACACGTAGTTTGTATGTATTGCAGGGTCTCCTACCCCATTCAATGTGCGGCTCAGCCTGATGAATAAATTCTTTTCTTTTTTCGCTCTTCTTTCTCCTCGAGAGAATTCTTTACCTTCGCGTGCTTCTCTTCCAGAGAGCATCGTTGTCGTCCCCAGCCCCAGTCTGGTGTCTTGGCCGGGGCCGGGTATCATATTTCGTTCATCTATCGTTCGCAAATCTGGATGTGGCGGGATATACCCATCTCGTTTTCGTCTCGGTTGCATGGGTGGTGTTCGGGCCGGCATCAGGGGTCGGGAATCTGTCGATCTAGGAGCCGGGAAACCCCTTCTTCATATAACCCAACGAAGAAGCACGCGAGGCAACTGATGAACGCCCTGAAACCCGCCCACACAACCAACTCCATCAACTCTCATCCTTTTCTTTCTCCTCGCCATTCCCTTTCCCCTTCTCACTGCCTCCATTCCCACCAGCGCTGCCATCACTTGGCCCCCCCACTGCCGCCGTTACCTCCATCGCCTCCATTCCCACCGCCAGCCAACATCTTCTCAAACTCCTCTTCATCCTCGCTATCATTCCTTGGGCCCTCTGGGAAGACCCCCGAAGTCGCCCGGGTAGAATGTAAAATCGGCGTCCTGCCCATCCCGCCCTCACCACTCCTCTCCCTCGATCCATCATTATCATCATACCCACTAATCTCACTACCCATAGTCTCGCCACTCTCCCTCTCCTCTGCCCCTCCCCTGCCTAACGGCCGGACAACAGGCAGGCCAAGTCGTCCTGCAGAAGCAGCCATCGCAGACAATCTTTGACTTTGCGCCTGCTCCTGCAACGCAGCATGGTACATCGGCACCCATTGCAACGTAGGTTGACTCCTCCTCAACGGCTGCTGCTGCACGCTCGGCGGCGGTGTAATTGGAGACGAACTCCTCGCATCCCCTCCATCCGTGAAGCTCGCTAGGACTGACATCCAAGTCTTGTTTTCCGGGAGACCCAGGTTCTCGCAGAGCAGCGTCGTCCATCCAGCGACAGTAACGTAAGCCGAATCGCAGATGGCATGTGGTAATCGTCCGCCGTTATTATAAATGAATATTGTGATCCGGCACCAAAAGAATGTAAGGTTCTCCCAAGCCTCCGATTAAATGAATGTGCTGCCCAGCATTGAAAGAATATAAGTGACTATCTAGTCCGTCGTATCGTCTGTCTGTCCTTCGATCGAGAAACCAAACGTAAGCTCATGATGGCATCAGGAACGAACTGAACACCGATGTTCAGTGAGGACAGTTTCAGATACACGGGTCCGTCGTGGCAGGAAACTAGAAAGAAAGAAAGGAACACCACTCGGCAAGTGCGGGATAATGGGAAGAAGTATGAATGAGCTTGCTTCTCAAAAATAGGTTAAGGAAGGAAAAAAGAACTGAATCTAAGCAGAAAGCAGAGGGCAATGATATCGCATTAGCCAGGCAATGAAAGGTCCGACGACATCGGAAGCTTCCTAGCCAGCCAGGCTGCACCGAGAACTTCTTCGAGCAAGGTACGGCAGCGAACCTTGCCTTTGCCGTTGCTGAAAAGAAGAAATTGATGCTCAGGTGCGAGCTGTCTGACAGAGCTCCCTGGCCCTTGCAATAGCTCCCCTGCAACACATCACCCGCCGATTAGCGGTCTCTTATTGACACTCGGTCCATAAATCTCCATGAGTGGCATTCCGGCATCTCGGACCCACCACTCGCACCTCAAAGTCGCGCGGCTCTGAAACCCGGCGAACCTCTGTCTGTGCATGGTCGTGAAATGGCGGGTACACGTGACCCCGTTTCTCAAGTTGGGGGATCGACGTCAGGGGTAACGCCCCCCTGAGACGAGATGCACGGTCAATTTTGATGTCGAGAGAAGTTGCGTGCCGGAAGATTGCGAGGAGATGGGATGGAAGCTTATCCGCTTCTCACCACGAGTGCATGGCAAGGAGCGCCAATTGAAATTGGTGGTGCCCGATCCAGCCAGCGTGACACCCATAACATGTGTCAAAAAGAATTTGTGGGTCCAGTATCTCAAGCATACCATCGACCTCGAGGCCGCTCATTCGATCGGTAGCCAGGAGAGATCGGATGGTATTGCGGTCAGACCTCGCTGTCGGTTCTTTTTTGTGTGGGAAGATGGGACGAACGTGGATCCGAAGCACTCACCTCAGCGTCTGATTAGAAGAACACCGAACCTTGCAGCACCTTGCAGCAATTCGAATATTCCATCTTCTACGCCATCATGCCGCATGGCGGCTTCCACTCAGATCGTTCGCACAGAGGTGCATTGCTTAAGACAGCGTACATATACCCTCACGTTAAGACGTTAACATGTTTCATATATTTATGTCAACCAGACACGCCATCTACAGGACAGATCAAAGATCAACAAATGTATTGCTCTGCTCGCCTAGGAACCCGCAATCTGTAAGTGAATGCAACGTGGACAGCTTGTCAGAGACTCGACGTAGTTCGAGCATAAGGGCACTTGTCCGGCTCCGCCGATTGACCCGCCCAAATCATCATGCCACATTTTTTCCGAAGATGAATCACGCCATCAGCACAAGGCTGATTAGTTCTCATGAGTTTACAGTACTTCTTAGAAACGACGATGTACCCCTCAATTTACAAGTGAATCCAATGTACACGCTTTAGAACAGGTAAGAAAAAGACAAGTCTATGTTTGGCGCAAGAACTTGAGGGCCTCTTCCCTCTCCGCAGCGGGCAACATGCTGAGAACCTGCTGCACACCCTTCAGTCCTCCCTTGTGGTTTCCTCTCAACAGACTAGCAACATCGAACGCAACTCCTTCAGTCTTCAATGCCTCAACCTTTTCATGTACAGTCTTTCTGTTCTCCTCATACCACATAGCAACATCATGATCTGCGTGACTGAAGTCCGGGATGCCGGTCCAAGCCGCAAGAGTCTCAATGTTGCGGGCTCGCGACGAAAGAGGGTTCTTGGACGTTGATGACATGCGTCTCAAGATGTATTCCTCGTTGACACGGCGGCGAACACGCCAGTAGAAGAATCGTCGTGCCTCTCTCCATTGTAGTGATTGTCTGATGACATCCTTGGCTTTCATTCGGCCGGCTCGGTCATGGAGATCCGCAAATTGTAGCGAGACTTGCATGTAAACTGGTAAGAGTAATTGCTCGCGAGCAGTTGCTTTCACCTTGACCTCACTCAGCTGCTCTGGGCTCAAGGACTTGTCTGCCAGCTGCTTGCGAAGAGCACCGTATTCTGGATCCAAGCGAGCCATAGTCTCCAGCTGCTTATCCCGGCGGTACCTGATGTTGACAATACCTTCCGGTTCCAGAATACCGCCACGTGAGTCTTCGTCAGCATACATCTCCATGTATTGCGGGTTGATCGTTGGATCGACAACAACCTGAGACCATTAGCAACTATCAGACGATACTTTTAGATAAGGACTTACCCATGAACCACCACGCAGCTCTCCAAATGGCGGGATGTAGACAAAGATCGGTTGCTCATACTTGACAAGCGCATCGACGATGTAAGATCCATACTTGAGCACCTCATTGTACATATCGCGCTGGCCACCTGAGAAACCTCTCCAGTTCGCCAAGATCATCAATGGCAACTGCTCGCCGTTGTTGAAGTCCCGGATGGCCTGTGCAGTCTTGAAAGCGGAGTTCGGGTACCAGACTCCGCCAGCTTCATTGGTGATCTGTTCCATCGAATCTGGATTAGCCGGATCAGCTGGCATGATATTCTCCACAGATCGAGTTTCAACAGCGATAACACCCATGGGGATGCCACCGAGGCGAGCGCGACCCACAACAACGGTCTTGGCCCATCCTCCAAGTGTCTCGACGAAAGAATCCTTATCGAAAAGTCCAGGCATGAATCCTTCCTCGTCCTCCTTGCCGCCAATCAACCATCTCACGTCGTATGGCTGCTTCGCAGGTGGAGTATAGACAATGTCTCGATCCCAAGAGTCCACAGCGGGTCCGATTGGAAGTGGACTATTTCTCTTGTCCGGGACGTAGGCCATCCACTCGACGATCTTGGAAACACCCTCGAAATCATCATTGGCGGTCATATGAGAGACACCGTTCTTGTACATGATTTGAGTACCACCAAGTTGTAAGTTGGAGGTGTAGACTTCACGACCGAGAAGCTTGTTGAGAGCGGGAGCACCAGTCAAGATAATTGGTTGGCCCTCGATCTGGATAGCACGCTGGCCAAGGCGGACCAGGTAGGCACCAATACCGACCGATCGACAAGTGACCAAAGTGATGGTAAAGATGTCCTCGTAAGCTCTGCTTGTTGCACCGGCAATTAAACCGGAGCCCTTCAAACACTCAACACCAAGACCGTCTTCAGCACCAACAATGGTTGTGATTCGGTGTCTTGTCTCCCCATCCTCGACAATTTCTTCGGTGATGACATCCTTGGTCTTACCATCCTCGAATCGCTTCTTGGCATCTTTGTTCAAGTAGAGATACTTGAAACCAGCCTCTGGCTTTGCGGGATCATTCCATGCGACATTGAAGTGAGGGATGAGCTCCTCAGCCATGCCAATACGGGCACCAGAGTTGGCAGAAAGGTAGATGCGAGGGATACCAAGCTTTCTCGCAAGCTCCGTGCACTTGTGGAAGAACTGATCTTCCTTGGGTCCGAAGCTACCAATTTGGAAAGTGATGTCGTTGGCGATGATCACGAACTTTCGGCCACGGGGATACTCGGGGGTTCGTGCAGTGACGATCCAGCCAACCATACCGTGAGTGTTGGTTCCTGGCTCACGGACGACTTCAGCAAGGTTGTCTTGATCATCCAAGACCAGTTCACTGTAGTCAATACACTCGCCAGTTGGCGGTTGCTTGTCACCCAGGGAGGAATGCTTCTTAACAGCCTTGACCCAGCTGTTTTGAATGGCCTGCCTGAATAGCTCTGGGAAATCGTAGACGTATTGCGTGCCCATAAGATGGGCCTTGTACCGCTTTGGCTGCAACCACTCTTTGGTGGGGTATGGTGTCGATACTGGTCGCAAGTGCATGGAGCCAATCTTGTTTGTGCCTCCAATGCTCTGGAAGACCCAGTCACCGCCCTTCTCAGACTTGCGCTCAGCATACATCTCAACTTGAATGACATATCCTGAAGTGTTCGTAATGACAACACGAAGAGGGTATGGCATGCCAGTTGTGGGCTCCGTGCAAATGATGCGAATTTCAGCACCAGTGACACGGAGACGCCAGAGACGGCGGCCGAAACGTTCCAAGAAACCACCAAGGGCATGCTCAACCTCAGGTGGCTGAAGAGGGAAGACTGGTGAGAAGTTGATGAAGATGTGGTTGAGATCAGAGTTGTTGTTGCCAATAATTTCAAGAGCATCCAGAATATCGTTCATTAACCTGTCGGATTCCGAAATCAGGTACTCCGCGGTTGGGATCTCATCTCGCAGTCTTCCAGGGCGAACGACAGCACGTGTGAAGTAGCGCTTGTCACCCTCGACGCCCTTGCCAACTGCCTCGTAGATGGAGATGTTCCGGTTTTCGGTGAAGACAGGTTTGATATTGAACTTAGAGAGTCTTCCAAGTTCAAGTTGGAAGGACAAAGCTGGTTCGCTGTGACGGATACTCTGGTCTTCTTCGTATTCGGGTCCTCGGAAGGTGTAGTAACCTGGATAAGATCCATCCTTGCGACCACAGATGAACGTCAATCGGCGAACGCGACGGGCAAGAAGCTCTTCCTTGTAGTCCTTCACAATGAGTTTGATTCTGTTAACAGTTTCGTTGTCACCCAGACTCTCAGCATCCCGGACTGCAACGTTGCAAACTGCTGTGAGTTCATCTTCGTTTGTCAGAGGGGGTGCTGGTGTCTTCCTCTTGCCACCCAAATCTGGCATCAAACCATTCAAAACATTGCGTTTCTTGGAACCAGCAGTAGGGAGCACCTCAAGAGCTCGCATGAGATATTCTTCGGCTTCGTCCAGATACTGAACTGGAACAATGACACCTTTTCGGTTTGGCTCATGGTCGGTCTTGTTTACCAGGTAGGACATGTCGCTGATGGAGCTGACTCGCTTGAACGGGTTGCCACCCTCGTATGATGGAGTAGCAGGTGTAGATGGGGCAGAACCTTGAATAGGCATACCAAGCTCCCCGGCGCCCATTTTTCGGAGAACGAAGTCCCATGAGACGATGAAAGGAGGCTCGGAGGAGTCATTGTGGTACTCAATCTTCTTCAGCGAGTATGCACGATAAGCTCTTCGAATGTAAACCTCCAGAGCAGCGAGTGATACCCAAGGATCTTGGTAGCCGAAGAAAATAGGCAAAACATCGAAGACAGTATACTTCGAGTCGACGACCTCCTTGAGCACGTCCAGATTGGGTTCTCGGTGCTCCCAGCCTGTTTCACCATATCTCGATTCAACGACTGAAGACCGGAGAATGTGCTCCATTTGAGCAGCACGCTCCTCCAATGAAGGCATGGCGCACTGGATGAGCAATTCTCGAGCCTTCAATGCCACCTTTGCGGTTTGTCGAGATTCCAACTCCGTGAGTTTTCGCAAAGCTGGTCGGAAGTATTTCGCGACGTTGCCAGCACTCGGCTTGTTGGGTTTATACTCATCAAGGATAGCCAGAATCAAGTTGTTCTTGGCTCCGACTCTGCTATGGGAAAGCACTGTCTGGACGACCTTTAGGATATCATCCTTGTTCTCTTCTCTGAGCTTTAGAATCACCTCCTCGTCACGAGAAGAGCGACCAGAGAAGAGCCGTTCGACAGAGGCATATTGTTCTAGGAGTCCAGAGAAGATGTCGAACTCGTGAACTTTTTGGCCTTCAGCATATCTATCAAGGACTTCGGTCAGAGGCAAGAGGGTAGTTTTCAGAAGGTCCACATCGCTAGGGGCAACGCTCTCATCGAGGAATTTGCTAAGCGCCTTGGAAAGGTTCTTTGCCGGGAATTCGCCGTTTCGTGTCTTGGCACGGTCCACAATCTGGGTGAAGGTAGCATCAAGGCGTTGGGGCATTCTGGCGTGGAGGGCAGAGAACTGAGCGTTCCACTCGCTGTAAGGCAGATCCGGGTCGCGGAGGACATCGATCAAATCCTTAAGGGTTCCGGCCATAATGACTTGATTATCGAAGCCATCAAGGATATTCTTCAGGATGCTGTGAAGAAGGATGAATCGTTGAGCGGGTTTCGTGCCAACAACTTGAGGTGGTCCAAGATCTGGAATATGACCAAGGAAGGGTTGCGCGGACTTAACCCTCGACGGATCATCAAGAGCAAGTATACCCAGAATATCACCGGCCTCGAGGGTGGCTCCTGGCTGCTTGATAAACTGCACAATACCATCTTCCTGCGCAACGAGAGGCATGTACATCTTCATGACCTCTACTTCAGCGAATGCTTCTCCGGCCTTGATATGTTGTCCATTGTCGACCGTGAACTTGACAAGCTTTCCTGGAGAGGGAGTTCGGAGTTGTGTTGGGTCGTTCTCTTGTTCGAGCAAGCAAGTTTTGCTATCAACACTCAGGCGAGTGGCGCCAACCTCTTCCTTCCAGTAAACGTTGTGACTTCGCCCGCTGATAAGAACAAGGAGACCTCCATCGCTGAGAGCTCGGACACCCACTGCGCACTTGGAGCCGTTGATGAATAAGTGGTAGCTGTCCAGGCTTGATCGAGTAGCCGTGAATTTGTATCTGTGACCGTCGTAGATGAAATCGATAGGGAAGACGGTCTTCAGAATATCTTTCGCAGGCACTTGTCCTTTTTCCAAGCTTGTTCGGTACTCCGCAATGCAGCTTTCGCTAGCAATGTGGGCTTTACAGACAGCGCCACAGACAACGGCCAGCATAGGATCTGGGCGCTCAGCAGTCAACTTATTCGAAATAAGCTCGTCGAGCCAGCCAGTGGTGATGGTATTGCCCTCGAAAGCTGGCGTCTCCAGAAGCTTGATCAAATACTCAACAGTGGTTCGGAAATCACCACGAATGCTCAATTCCTTCAAAGCCACAACCATATGCTTCCGCGATGCTTGTCGATTTTCACCATAGGCGAAAATGTGACCGAATTGACTGTCTGAGAAGCTGTGGATACCACCAGCTGTTCCAACAGAGAAGTAACCCCACACATTGGAGCTACTCCTGAAGTTCAGCTCGTGCATCGTACCGCTGGAAGGCTTGAACCCCTCCCCAGGATCTTCGGATGTGATACGGCAAGCAGTTGTGTGGCCCTTGGGCTGCGGTCTCCGTTGAGTCTGGGAGCTATTCTCCTTGGAGAAATCGAAGTCGATTTCGGTTGAGGTCGAAGGGTCAGCTCCATAAAGTAATCTGATGTCGCGGATTCGGTGCAGAGGGAGGCCCATCGCAATTTGGAGTTGCGCAGCAGGCAAATTTACACCACTGACCATCTCAGTCGTAGGATGCTCGACTTGCAGTCTAGGGTTGAGTTCTAAAAAGTAGAACTTGTCGTCCGCATGCGAATAGAGGTATTCGACAGTACCAGCAGAAACGTAACCCACGAGACGACCCAGACGAACAGCTGCCTTCTCCATAGCCTGGAAAGTCTCTTGTCTCGCAATGGTGACCGGAGCTTCTTCGATGATTTTTTGATGTCGTCGCTGAACGGAACAATCTCTGCCAAAGAGCGAAATATTGTTCCCGTACTCATCAGCAAGTAATTGAACCTCCAAATGTCTCGCATTTCCTGCAAGCTTCATAATGAAGATGGGAGATCCTGGAATTTCGCTGGCGGCAGCTTTATAAAGGGCCTCGAACCCATTCTCGGAATCAGCTTTTCGGATACCCTTTCCACCACCACCTTCTGAAGCCTTGATCATGACCGGGAAACCAATTTCCTTGGCCTTCTCGAGACCTTCTTGCCATGATTGAACACAGCCTTTCATATAGACCGAATCCTCGACTGTGACAATCCCTTCCTCGTTGACGTCCACCTGCTCCACGCCAGTTCCCGACCATGGTATACAAGGGACCTTGGCATGTTGTGCAACGATCGTCGAAGAAATTTTGTCACCGAGCGATCGCATCGCAGAGCCCGGCGGGCCAATAAAAACAATCTTCTTCGGCGACATGGCCAGCGATTCTGGCAGTTTCGGGTTTTCTGAAGCATGGCCCCTATTCAAGTCAACAAAAGTGCCCCAACGACAAAAGAATTATCAGAACACCAACCATCCAGCCCAGACAGCGTGTACGCCCATACGCTCAGCAATATCAACGATTAATTCCACATTTGCGTAATTGTTGTTGTTCGTTCCGCCCGGGACTTCGACGTATTGGTCTGCCATCCGGATATAATCTGCATTTGCCTGCAAATCTTCAGGAGTAGCCATGACGGTGAATTGTATAGCCCTCTCGTCGCCGAAAGTCTCGTAGGCCCATTTTCGCACCGATCGGATCTCCTTGACTGCCGCAATACCGTTATTGGCAATCAGGACCTAGATTTCTCGTAAGTGAAGCTCGTGGTGTTGATTTGCGCTGTGCTCACGTTTGTGATGACGGTGTGGCCATCGTGGGCGGCCACGAAGTCCTTGACTCGACTGGGAGGAGCATTCTCAAGCTTGTTGCCGCCGATAAAGTGGTCTGCCAGCTTGTGCTTTGCTGCGTAGGAGGTTGTGCCGTTCATGATGGGCACGGTGACATTGGCCTTGGTGCCGTTCCCATTGCCATTGATTTCGGCCATTGTGCAGGAAATTGCTGCTCGTTGCAGACGAGCGGGAGAAGAGTCGTCGCCAGTGGTGTATTAGAGAGGAGAACCGGCGAGAAAAGATGTGTTTCGTCGAGCAGTTCGGGAGATAGCGTTCCCTGCCGGACTCGACGAAATATATCGCAAAAGGTTAAATCTACAAGAAACAGACTCAGGCGGTTTCGGGAGGGTATTAAAGTAGAAGTGGATTGAGGGAAGGGAATAGAAAGAGTGAGTGTAAGAGGAGTGGGGCACAGGAGGCGAGGAGGCGAGGAGGTGAGGAGTGCAACCGTGTTCTAGTATTTGTGAGAGAAAACGACTTGTGATTTGGTTTGACAGAGCTCGCTCCGTTTCCTCAACACCAAAGGCCTCGCTCACCGAATTTCCGGCGAACGAGCTCAGCGGTTGGGCCTGCACCATGCCGTTTGCGGGCTAGCCCCGCGGATCACCCTAGCATCGAAACAACACTTTTGCAGACGTTGATTTCCACAACTCGCACTTTGCGATGCATCAAGTAGTGCATAATCCCTAAACTTGGCACGCGGATCATCTCGGATCGACGATGTTCACCTCTGCATCCAAGATTGCTGCAGATTGCGTCTGTTGAGAGGCTGCGAGGACGCAACAGCAAGGCCTCGGGGGAATAATGGCTGGAGAATTTCCACTGATTCACTGAACCATGACGCAGGGAGCGATGCACAATCCTGGTCATCCCGTCCGTGGCGGGCCTGGCGGGCCTGGCGGCGAAATGTTCCGCCTCAAAGGACTTCCCCAACATTGTCCAGGACGTCCCGGGTGGGAGGGACTCCAGGGACAACAGAGATCTAGTGACCACGTCCACTCTCTAGATCGGGCGGGAATGACTGGACATCTACAGCCTCAACATCTTCCATATATGGCCGGCCATCCCCCCAAAGATAACTCCGCCGGATCCGCGCAATCCACGCTCACGCCGCTGCGCACACAAACGACACCCGTGGACCGGAATTTGGTATTGCACACACCAACGACGCAAAGGAGAGGCGCATGGCCAACATCACCTGACCTGCACGTCCACCTCCTCGCTCCATCTGCCTCTCACATCTCCATCTTTGAAAACCTCATCTCTAGATCCCGAGCCTTCCAATGATCTGCCCCCACGATTCAACCACCGCCTCTGTACGACATATCGCAAATCACTCCCTTATATCAGCCTTCCATTAAGTTCAAATACCAACACTTTGAACCCTATTTTTAGGCCACTCGTCAGCAGCTACTCAGCCTTCACGGAGAGTACCAACGCAATGCACGGGCACCAATCCACGCAAATAGGGGAGAAATTCCCGAACAACTACATACCCCGGCCGGAGAAAATAATTTACCATTTGTTCTGCTAACCTGGGAATTACCATGCCGATGTGCAACAGAAAGTGAGAACAAGAGAGCCCAGTGCCCGAACCCCCACTCACTGTCTGTTTGCCTCACCTGCCCTCAGTCACTCGCATCCTGCAGCGCTCTTGAAACACACTCTTTCTCCCCAAAGCAACCACCCGAGCGCATGACTTGCCCTGCTGCAAGGTCGCGGCGGGACGACTCACGAGAATAGAACTTCTCGCATGGAAGGTGGAAGGGGGGATGGGAGCAAACACAGTCACGATCACGTGGGCCCCTAGTGTCTCGTCATCAAATTCATTGCTGCAAGAATTAGAATAATCTCTGTACCTCTCTCTTGATGCCTGGTCCCCAAAAATGCGTATCATCTTGCCAATGCTCAGAAAATAAGAACGCCCAAAGCACCATGCTCAAAGCAAAGCAAAGCCACTGAATGTCCCCGATTCCCTAGCTTGGTCATAACAATCGTCACAAGCCGTTACAAGTAAAGAACTCCCTCAATATGTCTCTCCCACTTCACTCAGCTTCCTTGGTCGCCCCGGTGGCTGCATGCTGCTTTCTCCCTTCTCGCCAGGCTTCTGCCCGCTGATTGATCTTCGGGGTAATGCAGACATGCTCAATCCGCCACTTTTCCTTCGAGGGATCCCTTTGGGAGCAGGAATAGCGCTGCCTTCTGTGTCCGCTTTGCTCATTGTATTTCTTCGACTGGGAGATCCAAAATCAAGCTCGCGGCTTTCGTCTAAGTCTATGTGTGAGACGCTCTGGGAGTGGCCGTGTCCGTGGGAGGCCGAGAAATTACCTCCGATGCTAGATCGGGGTCTTCGAGATTCGGCAATCTGTGATTGAGAATAATGTCCCAAGGGGGTGCGAGAACCAGTCAAGGAGGCTCGACTCACTGGTCGGGCAAGCTCTGTTCGGCTCAGAGGTCGGTCTGGGCGTACAAAGCTTGATGAAGTGCTGGCTCGGCTGCTCGGTCTGCTATCACTCCCATCCCGGTTTGGAACGGGCCCGAAAGATAGGCGGCTGATTCCTGACGTTGACAGCCTTGTAACATGCTTGGTTGAAGAGGGAGTGTCTTCTGCAGCAGCAGATGAATTGCTTGTCGTGCTCGCGCTCGTCCGTTTCTTACTTCTTATTGTGACGCTGGATGGCATGAAATTCTGGCCCAAAGCAGATAGGTTTCGTGGAGAGGCACGAGGAGGCGTGCTAACGGGTGCAGGGAGTTTCGATCTCGCGGATTGTACTCGCTGCTCGAGCCTTTGCATTTGTGCCGTTAGAGTTCGGATATGGGTGAGAGATGTAGAGTTGGGCAGGCCTCGAGTTGCTGGGGCCTTCGCTTTGGCATTTCGAATGACAGAGGGGGTAGCGTTCCTGGCACGAGAGGAACTGGTTGGAGCTGTCAGCCCCCTTGAGTTTCGTAAGGTCGATGACGATGGTTGATATCGTGCTGTCGGTTTGGGCGTTGTGCTAGAGTCCCCTGAAGGCATCTTAATCTTGCTCTTTGGTGGATTCATCGGAGTCTTGACAGCGGCTTTTGCGGAGCCAGAAGCTTCTGAAATTGGGGGGGAAGGTGGAGTGGGGGTTTCGGAGACGGTATCAGTTGTGGAAACCGATTTGGTATCTGGCGGAGTCGTGATCATAGGCGAAGAAGATGTAGATGCTGGAGAGCCAGGGAGAGAGGGAGAATTGGGTGCTGTAATGTCTGTTGTGAGGGAAGTAAGTTGTCGTTTCCGGAGCTTGTCTTGCAGAATCTCTGCTTCGATCTTGAGATCTGATAGTTCATCTCGAAGCCGCTGTGTCTCGATCCGGAGGTTCTCTCTTTCTTGTTCCCCGACCTTCATCTCCTCCTCCATCATCACCGCTCTTTCGATAGCAACATTATACTTTGATTCCAGATCCTCGTACGATGAGGACGTATTTCGTGCCTGTCTCTCAAAATCATCGTTCTGAACTTCAATATCTCGAAGTCGCAGCTGTAGTGTTCGGTTCGAATCTCGAAGTGTAGTGATCTCCTTCTGCAAGGTGTTCTGCGCAGCACCTGCCTCGGTCTTCGATTGCTTATATTTAGTCTGCCAAAATAAACAAGATTAGCTTCAGATCTGACAACTCACGGCCAGCAGGGGACCTCGGGGAAAACAAATAAATATTCAACATACCTTCCATTCGTCGACCTCAAACCCCAAGCTCTCAGCCTTCTCTTGCAGAGCTCGTTCCCTCTTCTCAGCCGCCTCAACATCCTTCTCCAACTCAGCTTCCAGCTCCTGACTGGAAGCTTGGAATTCCGCTAAGTCATGCTCTAGCTGTTCATATTGCGATTTGTAGTATGCGAGGGCACTCTCCGGCGACGACAGATCTGTCGGAGGTGATGACGGTGGCTCGGCCATGTACAGCGTAATTCGTGTTTACCGTGTCTCTTTCCTATGCGCAAGCCAGCATCCGCAATGTTCCTGGGGGCAATATGTCCTCTGCAGAGGTCGAGCTCTTTTCTTCGCTACCCCTGATTGCGCTCAGGCGGATGCGCTCGAATTCCTGCACTGCTGTAGCGGTGTAGTTGTGCAAATAAGCAAGGTCCGCGCGGCTTGGATTGAGGTCGTTCGTGATTCCTTCGATGGTTCGGTCCGGGGCGTTGGTGATGATCGTATCCGATGTAATGCTGTAGAATAGCTCTGTTCCGTAGATGTCGTTCGTGTGTCGTGCTTGGTGTTGGTCGGGGCTGGCGGTGGTCGAAGGGGCGTTGTTGTCGATGGGCGATGGTTGTTTCCTGATCTCCTATACTTTGCTTTCCTGATGCAGACCTACCGGAAGACCCCTGTCAACACGCTGATATGGCAACGGACAAATTAGACGCCAAGCATGCATGTGACTGCTTGTGACTGCTTGTGAGAACTTCAAATTTCTACCAACGATTCATCAGCTCAATTTATTGCTAAATATCCTATACATTATAGCCAAGAGATCATATTGTCGTGTTCATTTGGCTCTGTTCAATTTCAATGTTCAACGCGTCAAATTGGCTCCAGCGAGCTAAAATCGCGTCTCCTGAGTTTATCGGAAGCGCGAAATGCTTCATCAGTAAAATGCACCTGTTAGGCCTCGAGATGTTTAAGCTCCGCGTTTCGAGGCAATTTTAGGCATCTATCCAAGATATGCTTTTGTCAAAACTCATTCAAGTGATGATCAAAAGATTGTTGTTGTGATGTGCGCGCTTGGGGTTGGCCAGCTCCGCATGGCAAGGAGGTTTTCCGTGGGGGGACCATTTTGGAAATGAAGCTAAATTTCTCCACTACTTTCAGCAAACCTCCAATCTTCTGAACCACGCACTTACCAGGACTCATTCAAGTAATGCACAAAGGCATGTTCTTGTGGTGTGAGCCAGTGGGCTGCAATTCGATCACTCGGTTGGACACTAATAAGTGACCACCTTCAGCTGAACCACACCATATCACAAACTTTTTTCTCCTGTATCCGATATGCATGCGACAAGAGTGCAATACATACACAACCATGAATATACTTCCAAGCTTCAAGTATTCTCCGCTTAACTGCGAAACTAACGACATCCGACTAGTTCGCCTACTCGAAGAGAACTCGGGCCACGTCCTGTCCTGCCAGCTGCAGCATTTCCCTTCCGCCTCACGTCCACCTTACCTAGCGTTATCATACACATGGGGCGACCCGAAAGATACTGTGCCAATCTCACTGAACGATCACAGTCTCAATATCGCGAGAAACTTGTTGAGCTTCTTGCAGCATTCTCGACACCGCTCCAAATCGCCCATTACTTTCTCAGAGGCTCTCTGGTTTGATGATGAACCGTTGGAACCCGATGGGCAGTGGCTTTGGATTGATGCTATCTGCATTGACCAGTCCAACATACCTGAGCGTAACCTCCAGGTTCGCCGCATGAAGGAGATCTACGAGCGGGCAGAGGGTGTCATTACCTGGCTAGGTCCAGCTTCAGATGACAGCGACATTGCTTTCGCTGTCATACGCTCTCTTGGGAGGGCTACCATTCAAGCATACAAAGCCACGGGGAAATACGATCCCAATGCTATGGTTGCAGTTGGCAGAGCCTTTGGGCGAAAGGAATGGGACGCTGTCCAGAAAGTCTTCCACCGGCCATGGTGGAATCGAGCATGGATCTGCCAAGAAGTCACGACTCCGACCAAAGGAGAAAAGCGAGCAATGGCATGGTGTGGGCACAATCAGATCGATTGGGATTATTTTGGGATAGCGTCAGTGTATATCCTTGATGCAGAATTGGAACGAGCCTTGGAAAAGTCGGAAAACATTTCAAACATGAGGATTCGCACACTAGCATGTATGACAGCTGACCGAAAAACCCTGGGCAAGAATCGTGTCAACGACCTATTGCACTTGCTAGGCACAAATCGGGACTGCGAGACGTCTGATCCACGGGACAAGATATATGCCTTCCTCGCCATTTCGAACGATGGTCAGGAAATTCAAGCAGATTACGAAAAGCCCGTGGCAGCAGTTTACACAGAATTGGCCACAAAATCTATTAAAAGAGATAGAAGGCTCGATGTACTCGGTTACTCTTGCCTTGAACATATTGGTCTCGACCTCCCTTCATGGGTTCCGAATTGGTCTTTGAAATCTATAGCTAATAGGCTCTGTCTGGCTGGCTATCAATCGGATGGCACATTTCGGAGGACATATCATGCCAACAAGGGCTTGAAAGGAAGCATTGGATTCACGGGTGGGGGGCGTGTTCTGCGAGTGAAAGGCTTTGTGTTCGACTCAGCGATCCTTGTATCATGGTCTCGTACCTTCACGTCACTATCCGCCAGCGAAATCATGCTTCGCTGGAGGGCACAAGCGCTTCACAACGGCCCCAACTATGTCACAGGGGGAACGGTTATCGATGCTTTGCAGCATACCTTGTGCGCGGACATCGAAGAAGATGATGTAAAGTTGTCAGAACGCGGACGCAAAGTCAATCCGTTTCCCCAAGATGGCGGCGAAGAAGCTGCATGGTCCACGTCTATGCCGTTACTACGCGCCACGCAAAATCGGAAGCTTGTATCCACGCTGGGACATTATATGGGATTGGTACCTGAGCTAACTGAGCTTGAGGACAAGATTTGCATCTTATCGGGTGCTTCTGTCCCGTTTGTTCTGAGACAAGAAGGGAACCATTGGGTTTTGGTCGGGGAATCATATATCCATGGTATTATGGATGGGGAAGCAGTGTCTACGTTTAAGGCGAGCGGGAGAGAAATAGAAATTTTTGAGATCTGGTAGGCAGGGAATGTGGTAAAAGGTAGACTGCCGTAAGCAGCTCTGTAGCAATATTACTCCCCTGTTATATGGCCCCCAAGTTTAATAAACGTACTTTCGAAGGTCAACGTGCACGAGACGTTTACAGCCGGCACTTCTGAGCTTCAATGTGATTACTAAATCAGAGGCTGACCCTCGGGCCGTCCTGGAGCCTTGGTTTTGTTTGCAGTTACTGAACTCCTACGGTTCAATATCATTGGGTATGCGCATGATATTTGCAGGGCTGACAGCCTGATCTGCGGGGCTTACCCAACGCAAGACTTCATCGGTCTGCAGCCCTGAACTCCTGCAGCGGCACAGCCCCAAAGCAGGCTCGTGGTGGACAAAAAAGGCGGCCTGATTTTCCAATGTCCCAAATCAAAGTTGTACTGTACGTCTCAAGGCCCCTTCTCCCAATGTTCCTTCGACTAGTGGACATTCAAATTCTTCCTCATCGAATCTCTCTAAAACTCTCTAAGTTTTGAATGTCTTCCGCGAGAAAGGTCAAATAAATGTCCCACTTTGACCTGGGACCTTGAAAATGAGTGCCGCTTTTTCTCTCCACCGTGAGCCCGAAACAACGCCTTTCCATGACTTCGAATCTCTTGGCAGGGTACAACAATCTTCAAACTCAGATATTCGGCCCCCAAATGATCAGCCACGCTGGTGACATACCCTGCCAGCTCCTCCACTAATACCAGAGACTGACTGTGCCTTCAAACGCAGATAAGATAAATGACACCTTACCCCGCAGCGATGTCAAGTCTCTCGAACTGTGTTTCAATTCCAAAATCCCATTCCTCGACTTGTTCGATCTAGACATAACCCCGCCCCGTCCTACCATCTAAGCCACTTACATAGCGAGTCTCTCCTCAAGCTGCCTAATATGGCAACACAAGAATCACCAGAGGATGTCAACCAACTCTGGGAATCCGCGCTTGCAGAGTACGCCAAAGACACGACGGGCAAAGACAAAGATGCCATTAACCTCGACGCCCTTCTCGGCCCTGGCAAAAGCCTCACCTCCCCGGACGAACTACTCGCGCAGATCGAGGCATCAGGCCAATCACTCAAGGATTTCCGGAGCAAGCGGGGAAAGCTGTGGGACACGCTCAAGCTCTTCGTCTCGCCGCTGGCTGCGGTGCTGAAAATCGCCATCACGCCCAGCTCGGTGGGGGAGTTTGGGATTCCCGTTAGTGCTGTGCTGGGTGCTTGCTTGCATTTAGTTTTGGTACGTCGAAACTGTTTCCTTTCCTTGTGGTTTAATGCAATCTGTACTGTACATTGGTAGAAACCGAACGATTAACAATAGCAACCAGAGCTGCGAAAGAGTATCCGAGGCATTCGATTGGATTGAGCAAGTCTTCCATGACATGCGCGAGTTCTCCGAGCGCTTGGAAGTTTATGCTCGGAGAAAGATCGATCCTCTACTAAAGAAGCAAGTTATGGGCATCTTAGCTTTGTGAGTCCAAGTTATCACTGTCACGGTATATGCTGTTGTTAATGCAGATGCCAGTATTCTCAAACTTATCGGACGGTCAGAGTACTTGATTAGAAAAGGCTATTTTCGTGCGTGTTGACCTACAAACGCAACCGCAACCGCCCATGTTTGGCCTGCTAACAGAGTGCAGGCGAGTATCTTCGAGTTGCCTTCCTAGGCAAAGATGAGAAGACTAAGAAACTTGTTGAAGAAGTAAACAAGCTCTTTGGCAGTGAGCAGAGGTTGGTGGTGGCCATTACCGGTGACACTGCTTCCAGAATTGAGGAAAAAGTTGAGGGCAACACTCGCAAGATAGAGGAAATTGGGGAGTCCATGACCAAAGTTCTCGACACATTGAAAGGTAAGCCAGAGTCTTCTGATGTCGCAGTTGTACTTCTGAAATGGCAGAGATCTAACTATCAACACCGCCAGAGACTGAAGAGAAAGAGACTTCTGTGGAAATTGAAGGCAGGCTCCGGCGTATTTTCTGCAACACGTCTGCACCAGAAGATGTAGAAGATACATACGTTCGAAACAGGGGCACTTTACTCCATGGTACTGGAGTATGTATCCTGTTGGTGCATTGCAGATAGACCTAAAAACACTGATAACACTTCGCAGGCATGGCTCAAAGACGAGGACCTCTTCAGATCCTGGATCGAACACACGGCCACAATCCTCTGGATCTTTGGCGGTCCCGGAGCAGGAAAATCCTATCTCTCAACATGGATCATAAAACAACTACGCCAAGAAGACATCCCCAAAGAACAGCGCAAAGCCGCATATATAGCCTACTTCTTCGTGAAAGAAAACAACGAAGCCCTGCGCGATGCGAACAATATCCTCAAGACTCTTGCTTGGCAACTCATTTGGCAGGACCCGCACTTCAAACAACACGCTGGAGAAGTCTGCAAGCAGAGAGCGCTGACCATCACTGCCAAGGATACGTGGGAGAATCTGTTCCTCGGCTACTATTGCCGCGAAGATGGACGTACTGATGCCCCATTTACCTCCATCGTCATCGATGGTCTCGATGAAGCGACCGCTGCGACCCAGCTCGTGCTTCTGCAGTTCCTGGCGGGCCTCGCCTCTGTCTCGAAGTCTTTCCGACCCAGAATCCAGTTCGCGGTAGTGGGACGCACCACTCTCCAAGAAGATGCCCAGATCACACAGGAAAAGATCTACTATATCCAGGTAACGAAGTTGAAGAACCAGGACGACATCGATAGCTATATCCGCAAGCGGCTGGAAGATGTAAGTGTTGGGAGATTTCCTACTTTTGACTGTCTCATTATTTCTCCCCAGACAATATCCCAGTTCTCCTGGAACCATTTATAGGGGTTAATTGCTAACTCCTCCGTTAATCAGGTCGAGGTCCTGAAAGTGATGCGGGAAAAGGGGCCGACGGGTTTAGATGGAGCCAACAAGATGGGTGCAAGAATCAGAAAGAAAGTTCTCAACGGCGCAGATGGTGTTTTCCTCTGGGCAAAGCTGCTCCTAGACACCATCGTTCGGAAAGATGTACCACAGATAGAGCGGATCCTGAAGGAGCCGCCCGGAAACCTCGATGATATGATCGCGTCGGTTTTTGAACGCCTGGCCAAGGATGAGGAGATTGACCACGCAGTGCTGAGAAAAATGCTCGTGCTCATGGCCTACGCCCAGCGACCGTTGAGGTTTGGCGAGTTGAATCTCTTTCTGAGCCTGCCGAACAGAAAACCGCTCTTCTTGCTCTGGAAACAGACGAGGGGAAAGCTCTCGTCTGTATTTCAATTGAAATTTCCAAAGAACTTCGACCCAGACGAAAAGACGAGTCGTAGCGAAGGCGAAATAGGTGGTGAGGGTGCTGAACCAAACGATGAAGACAGCGCTCACGGTGCCAAAGAAGAAACAGACAGTGGCCATGAAGGACTCGGCGCGTTTGACTTCAGTGGCGACCGGGACGATGATGATACCGAAAATACCTCCGATGATGATGATATCTTCAGCACCATCGCTGATCACAACCTGCAAAGCCAAATAAATAACGGGGAAGACGGAGATGAATTTATACGTGAGCTTTCCGACGAACAGCTCCAAACAGAAAGCGTCAAGGACTATCTGAATGCAATTATGCATCACCTTTCCGACCCACAGCTCCAAACAGAAATAGCATTCTCCCACGCGCGCATCAAAGATTACCTTGTTGGTGCTGCTCGTCCGGGAACACGACAAATGCCTGGTTGTATCGCGGTTCCTCAGGAGCAAAGGGCACACGTTGAGATAGCCATGATCTGCCTCGATGTAATGCGACTGGAAATCTCGCTGCAAGATGAGCGTAAATACCTGGTAGACTACCCTGCACGGTATCTAATGCTGCACTTGGAGAAGATCGATAGCGAGTGTGTATTAGACGAGGACTTCGGTCGAATAGTCAACGGACTCTACTGGCTCTTCGGGACTGAGACAGGTGCGAAGTGCTTGATCAACGCCAACCAGGAGTATGACGATTTCCATTCCAGCAAAGATGCTTTCTTTCAGATGTGGACTGCAACGGATCAGTATCTGCGCATGGTACAGCGCTGGTTCGGTGAAGTCGAAAAGCGTGGTATGGGACACCTCGAAGACGTGGACTCAACAGCGAGTACATGGGCGAAGACTGCTGCTGGAAGCTTGAAAGACCTTCTCAAGCCTGCAATGATGGCGTCGAGCAGGATTTGGCTGACGAAGCCGGGGTTTTCTCGCTCAGACTATTCCGATAAAGACGAGTTTGCCCTCTGGATTTTGTACGGTTGGTCATGTTTGGTCAGTAATTTCAATGTCCCATGTCAACTTCGGGTATTTCAACTGCTCTGAGTCTGAGTGTTCCCTCGAGTTGTGGTACATTCAAAGACAGCTCCCTCGAAAAGTTGTCAAAGTTCGGCGCTTATGAGTTGCAGTTCCCATAACATCGCAAGCTGACATTTTTGTGGCAGGTCGAGACTGGCTCCGTAGCTAGCATACAGCCGTGGAACTTTTGGGCTCTTTCACCAGAAAGCCTGGAGAACTTGGCGAATTGGGCAGGACTCGAGCACGATGTACACTGGCATACGTGTCTCGGTTGGGCCATGATGGATGGAGGCTTCTATCTGGAAGCAATCTCACAATACAATGAAGCGCTTGCTCAGTATCCTCAAGCATGGGTCGCGCTTGAAGGTCTCGCACGGTGCCACGGTGGTCTGAACGAGTACCAACTGGCCATCGACGTGATGAAGAAGGCCGTTGAAGCGATTCCCGAGTCGTCCAAGTCCATTAGCAGCTACCTATACACACGCATCATGACCTGGGGATCCCAGATTGGTGACGATGAGTTGGCCTATGAAGCTGCGATGAAAGGAATCGATGCTGACTCGTCAAATCTTGACGCCCAGTTGAGGTTTTTCGAGGCTCTTCATGCGCGAGGCGAGTCGGAGAGGATTGTGAGGACTATTCAGTGGCTCAATGATTTGACAAGCGTTAATCAGGATTACACCTGGCTCGTCCGCTTTCTCATTTCGGGCAGAGATGCTTTTGTAGAGATGGGAAAAGCATGTCGAGAAGAAGGCCGACCGGCGGAGATAGTGGAGGCCATGGATGAGGCGCTGCGACAAATTGATCTGGTTGGTGATCGGTGGATGAAAGTCTGGCTGCCGCTGCAAGTGGCGGAATTCCGCTACAAATTCTACGGGCAAGAGGCAGAGTTCATCAAATCGGCAGAGAACTTTTTGGAGAGATTGCGACGAGAGACGCCCAAATTTCGAGCCGATTATAACGATTTTGAGATAAATAGGAAACGAATTACTAATAAGCTGGCACAGCTCTATTTCGACTTCGCAGTTGCTGCATGGGACGATGGGAAAGGGGTCGCCAAAGCAAGCGTCTTCGCTCATAAGCTCAAAATATTAGCAGTAAGTGTCCCAACGAGTTTTGCGGATTCTTACGAAGGATTCGACTTTTTCCGTCCAGACTACCCTGCACTGCTCTGGGGTCGTTGGCAAAGAGACTATAAGCACGCAGTGGAAAGAATATGGAGAAAAAGCTTCAGGGTAAGACTGCTCGAGGAGATGAACAGTCTGGATGATGACGATCCGACCAATGATGTGAGTGGGATGGGTAGTCTGGCTATCAGCTTGTTTCATGCTGGTGACCGAAGAGATGCCGCAGCGATTTTGGCCATTCTATACAAGCCCCTGGAACATTTGATAGCCAAGACGAAGGTCGGGGGAGAGGAGGGGCCGGAAGAAGGAAAGGTTCTGGAAAAGGGAAAGGGGGAGACGGGAGTCAACGACCCACAAGCGCAATTGGAGGCGCTATCAGTCAAACAAGCTGGACGTGGTCTGCCTCTCGAAATCAAGGACAGTTGGGGGTATTTGTGCGACAATTGCCGTCGCGATGCGAGCGAGGCTGCAGAAATGTATTTCTGTGAGGTATGTCACGACCTCAACTGGTGTGGCGAATGCCTAGTCAAGGTGAGAGATCCGAACATTACGCCGGGATTGAGAGAACACTGGTGTAATCCGAACCATGATTTCTATCGTGCGTGGCCGATTCCAGACGAGGCGAGGGACTTGGCAGCAGAGTATCTAGACGGGGCCATTGAGTTAAGGAGGGAGTGGTTAGAGAGACTGAGGGGCGAATGGTTGAGTGCTGGTGTATGAAGTGATATCGAGTCGATGAGTGATTTCGTTAATTCGATATCGAGAGAAGCACCATATGAATGAGATCCATTGTGAGCGACCTTATCTCGAGTATCACCATACTCAATCAAGCAGTCAGCGATCCGGTATCGTGTAACCTCCCCGTTTACTTTTTCTCTACTCTCATATCTCTCCGAGCTTCCTCCCGGCAGTGAGCAAGCCCCTAGCCGTCAATGGTTGCACGGCAGCACACATTTGCCATCGGCTTGGCGAAGCCAAACTGCATGTTCGCCAACAATAGAAGCAAACACCTTGCAGAGACAATAATCGCCATTACGCACCCTCGAACCGGCACGAAGAAAGTCGGCGGTCACTACCGACGGCATTTCGATTCTGAGTCTTCTTGTGACCGTCTCCCTGACTGAATAAAGCAGAGCAACCAGATGTAGCACGCAACCCCAGATTGCCGAAAGTTCGTGGAACGGTGGATGCAGTCCGAGATTTGACACAGGTGAGATCTGATGCATTCATGGCAGTATGCACCTTCCCATGGACCCGGTCTCCTTCCCTCACAATGCCGCAGATGGCAGATTGTTCATCGAGAGGTTGGCGTCGTCTGGCAAGGAGATTGGCGGAAGGCCTTGTCAACGCCTGCATGTGAAATGGCCCGTGGATCCGATATGTTGCGTCTCCGTCCAGGAACGGGATTTACCCCACTTGTGCGACCCTAGGCTTTTCCTGCAGGATCTCATTCATGGCTGTGGAGTTAGCTCGATCAAGTTACACAAACTTTGTGGTGCATCATCTTGTTTTTGGTCATTGTACCATATTGGCGGGAAGATTCAACGTTGTGACCCGTTGCTTGGCCAGTTGGGCCCGTCTTGCTCTTGTGACAAAACACTTAAATGGAGCGGTCAGCATTCTGGGAGGAATTCCCTTTGTTCTTCTCTCATCTTCTTGCTTTTCGTTGCTGCCCTCTCCTGGTCTCGACTTCCTCATTCTCGTTGTGTTTTTGTGGTGAGATCAAATGTCCAAGATGGGAGGTCCAACTGAAGCCCCGCCAAGTGCCGGCACTAAATTTAGCTCAAAGCTTGTTCAGTTCCCCGAATCCACCTGGAACAATGAAGAGAAGAAGCAAGCGAAACCGGCAACATCAACACGGAAACACCTCCTTCTCAATCTCCTAAACTGCTTCGGAACATTTTCTTCCAAGCCCAGAGAGAGGAAGGAACCTGGGCGGGCGCAGCGACTTCCCGAACGCAAGATATTACGAACTCCTACGCTCTCAACTCTCTCATTATCTAAGATGGACTCGAACATTGAGGCGAGTCCGTACAAATGGCCACACGATAGCTCTTTCAACACGAAGACCACTGCACTGGTGGTCATTGATATGCAGAAAGACTGTGAGTACTGTGAATTCACCTTCAGAGCAATTCTCATCCCACTTTCACCTTCATCACGTGTGCCAAAGCAGTTTCCAAGTCGTTCTAACTCCTCACCGTTCACGGCTTATCCTGTCCATTCCGTCGTTGTACCAGTTCAAACATGTACACTAACATATTGATAGTCTGCTCTCCAGGAGGCTACATGGAATACCAACAATACGATATTACCCCAGCACGCAAAATAATCCCTCGCATCCAAGATCTCCTAACTGCTTTCCGCTCCCACGGTTTCCCAATCTACCACACCCGCGAGGGACATCGGCCTGACCTCTCAACCCTTTCATCCCGCGAGCTCCACCGCAGCCGAAACAACGCCTCCGGCCTCGGAATTGGCGACAAAGGACCCATGGGACGCCTCCTGATCCGCGGAGAAAAAGGCCACGATATCGTCGACGAATTGTACCCTTTCGACGGGGAGAATGTGATTGACAAGCCAGGCCGCAGCGCTTTCCAGCACACGGAGCTCAGACTGATGTTGAGTATCAAGGGGATCAGGAACTTAGTTATTTGTGGCGTGACGACGGATGTGTGTGTGCATAGTACGTTGAGGGAGGCGAACGACAATGGATTTGACTGTGTGCTTGTTGAGGATTGTGCTGCCGCTAGTACGGGGCCGTTGCATGAGTTTGCGGTTGAGAGTATCAAGGAGGAAGGGGGGATCTTTGGCGCTGTTACTACGTCGGATAAGATCTTGGCAGCGCTGGGTGTAGGACCGGATGAAAAAGTAAATGGAGCACCAAAGGAGGTTGTAAAGAGTGAGGTTTGAGCTGCGACATTGTTCCATGTGTTCTCGTATGTTGGTGATTGGTGTCGATGTGTCGATGTTTCGGGGGATGATACCTATGCCGTTTGTTCTTTTATCGTTGTCCTACACAGTCTTAATAAATTCAAGTACCACATGGTAGTATCCATTCTTCGGCAACGTTCCCCTCACACTTGAAAAAAAAGGCCTCCAGACCCCAGCTAGTCCACAAAAATCTCCAAAAGACTTAACCCCTCCATCAGAAGATCCCCCAAGTCTCTCGCCTCAGCATCTCCTCTCTCTTTAGCATCATCAAGCGGGCTGAAAATCGTCCGCAAACACCAAGCGTAGAAGCGGAAGATCGACAATACACAGATGAGCGGAACAATGAGAAGCGTAAGCGAGAGTTTGACGGCACCAGCGAGATCTTTCATTTCGGTTGCGGTACGGGGAAAGCTTTGATGTTTCTGCAGTTGTGGGTTGGGTGTGAGGTGAGGATGGGAGGGAATGGATCTGACTTGCCGGGTACCGTTGTGAGTGCCGATTCAGAGGCTATTTTCGGTGTAATTCCTAGGGATAGGGAGATGTTTGTGTAGAATCAAAAGGACAATGAGCAAAAGCATATTTGAAATTGGGGGGATGTTAGGGCAAGACTGAATGAATATTGGTGACGGGCGGACCGTTGGGTCCCAGATTGGGATGAACAGATTAGGGGATAGCTCTGGACCAGGCCAAGGTTGAGCGTCTCTGGATAGGGTCTACACGTGGCCATAAATTCAGTAGACCAGGGTGAATCCCTCACACGAACTCGATTTTCTCTCCCGTGTAAAACTAGATAAGTCGAATATTCGAGAACAGGTTGAGCAACACTTGAACTTCTTCTGTCATTGCAGCAAACAAAAATCCACGGCCTCCAACTTACTTGGACTTATAGACAAAATGCCTACTGGGAGTTTTCCAGTGACGAAATATGGAAATCCTTGTTGATCTCCAACCTCCCTCCCATACCCCCTCCCTACCGCCGCCAAAGTACTCACAAAAGGGCACAGACTCGCCGATTACGGCCTTTCTTTCGCAGTCGCCGTGTTCTTCTTCGCGTTACTCGTCCTATACGTTGTGACGCACATAAATATTCAGCTGACTTCGGAGTTGAAATCCATGATTAAGAGTCAGCAAAAGGAGCTGAGGAAATTCAGGAGGCAGGAAGAGGCGAGGAGGAAGATGCAGCTGAAGGGTATGAAGGGGACAGTTGGGGTACAAGAACATGTGGAGGAGATGGGGTATGGTGGGACTCTTGTGATGGATAGGTCGAGTTGGTAGGGGGTTTTGATAGAAAGTTTTCTTTGCAGATGAATTGGGTTTGCTTGTGTACTTGGGCAAGAGAGTGAAATGGAGATTTGAAAGTGGAGCGGCTATGGAGACCGTGGGGAAAATAACGAAGACAGAGAAACTGGGAAGGCCTCTAAGCAGTCTTGAATCCTTCCTGGTGAGTCTGGGAATAAGGGCTTCGCTACGTTTCAGGCTTCGCTCGGACTTGGATGGAAAATGGAACATCAAGCTTTTGGCAGAAATATATAATGCAGGCTGAACATAAAAGACCCACTGATTCGGAACTTTCAATGCTCCAGCACGGGATGATCGCTGGGATCAAGGAACTTTCCATTTTGTCTGATACAACTTCAGACTACCCATCTGTATCTTGTTCGGATGATGTTAGAACCAAGATCTTGACACCCAATGCAATTTGTCAACATCTAGATTCCAATATCTAATAGCCCAATTCAAGATAAAACAACTTTACTTGTCATCCCATAATCTTTGCTCTCGGTAGCAATTAACTTCGGGATAACAATACCGTAGGATAAAGCTTGAGACGGAACGCCAGCAGGCTAAACTGCATTATAAAAGTGGAGATCTCCCCACAAATTTAGGATCTGCTTCCACTTCAAGAAAGGAATGATCTGCACGTCAAGAGAGGCTCGAAAAGCGAAGCTTTAACCACCAAAGTTAGGCCGTGTCAGAATGTCGGCCACGGCCAATCCCGCCGCAGCCAGAAGGGCACGTGATGCGTAGGAGACCGGCGATGTTTGAGACTTCAGACGTTGCTTTTGGCGTGGGACATCTGCGCTGTCTGATCTGCGGCAATTGCGTTCTCCTTATCCCTCATATTGTTTCGCTGGCTGGGGGAGAAATTCTCTGATGCTGCGTTAATTGGAGGTGCAAGGGCAACCCGAGAAATCCCGATCGCAGCGGCAGGTGTGAGACGATGCGCCTCGCGGGGCTGGTCGTCCGAAAAAACCGGACGGAAGCAGCCTAGACCTTTCCAACGATGCTGGTGTTTTTAAAGGGGGATGGTGTTTAAATTGCCAGATCTTGACTGTTGAGGGCCGGCTCACTTCTGAGGGCATTGCCATCATGCTATGTGATGGAGTCTTTGATGAGGACGTCAAGTGGGAATGTGAAGCGTGCGTCTTCTCCATCTCAAGTTCTCAACAAATCGCGGAGTCTGACGGGTGCAGCCCCTGTTCCTGCGGGAAGGGATCTGGTCTGGGTCCTTTTTGGCCCCCCGGCCCCCGAGGCACGGTTCGGAACGAGATGGGGGTCCCCCAAGCGACGAAGCGTCTTCCGGCGCTCTGGTAGGGCAGTCCGCCGACTCCCCCCCGACTCCCCCCCATCGGAGCCCACGGAATCTATTGAAACCTCAACGAAACAAGACATGGAATGTGTCACAGCTGTCTGTCCACGTCTCTCTTGCAAAAGTAATTAAAACATGTTTCCGCAAAAAACCGCTCAATGCGAGCTCATATCAAGGAGTTCGCTGCCCCAAGTACTGTACTTCCCCCAATCTTCCATTGCCCTCCTTTTTTTCTTATATTGTCTGCTGCAGCGTGAAATTGTTTCCCGTACCGTGCTCCAATGGCTTCTTACAATTACAGCAATTCCAATCCCGAGCTCTCGACTCCCAGATCCACCTCGCCGTCCTCAACACTCAGTAGGTCCTCAACGGCAACATCCATCAGTAAGCGGATGTCACTCTCGGGACGACGTATCTCGGGCTTTAATCCTATGGCCGCAGTCGACATCGACGCAATCGAAGCACAAATGAAGATGGCCGCTCTCGATACCCTGAAGGGGTACTCCGCCGATCACTACGGCACGATCAAGCAGTACCGCGAGACGGACTACATCGCGGAAAGAAATGCGGGAGGCTACCAAGTGCTCCGCGAACCGGCGTGGAATAAAGGTGCGACTTACTGTTCCCCGTTGCTCGCGTGCCCAATTCCCGCATCCAGCAAATCCAACAAATCCAGCAAATTGAATAAAAATGTTAATTCCTGGTGCAGGTACATCATTCAGTCCTGATGAGCGAGTTTCTAAAAACCTCACTGGCCTCATACCTCATGTCCTAGAGACTCTGGAAACGCAGTGCATGCGTGCGATGCGCATGATCAACTCGCGAGGCACCAACATCGACAAATATCTCTACCTCTCCACTCTCAAGCAAAACAACACCGATCTCTTCTACCGCCTCTTAATCGATAATGTCGGCACACTCATGCCACTTGTATATACCCCCACAATCGGAGATGTCTGCCTCCAATACTCGACGCTGTACACACATCCTGAAGCGCTGTACATTTCCATCAAGCAAAGGAAGTCGATTGCGACGATACTCCGGAATTGGCCGTACCCGGAACCCTCGATTTGTGTCGTGACTGATGGGTCGAGAATTCTTGGGTTGGGTGATCTCGGTGTAAATGGTGTTGGAATTTCTGTAAGTCGTGTGCTGATGAAACACCCATGTCGTGGGGGTCACTGACAGCCGCATCCAGATCGGCAAACTTGCCCTGTACACCGGTGCAGCTGGTATCCACCCTCAAAAAACTCTCCCCATTGTCTTAGATTGCGGTACGGCGAATGAGGATAATCTTCGTGATCCGTTGTACCTGGGTCTGAGACAGAAGAGAGTCTCGCCACAGGTTGCGCTGGGATTCATGGATGAGTTCATGGCTGCTGTGAAGGAAGTGTACCCCAACATGCTGGTGCAATTCGAGGATTTCGAGACCGAGAAAGCTTTCCAATATTTGGAGCGGTATAAGTTGGAGAAGTGCTTCAATGATGATATCCAGGGAACTGGCGCTGTCGTTCTTGCTGGGTAAGTCTTGCTCGATTTATATCCCGTGACCCGATATTAACGACGATTTAGATATATGGGAGCTGTGAACCTTTCAGGCGTACCAATAGAAGACCAGAAGCTCGTATTCATGGGTGCTGGTTCCGCTGGTGTCGGCGTCGCCAAGCAAGTAATGGAATTCTACACCCGCCGTGGGCTCTCAGAGCAAGCAGCAAGAGATAAATTCTACCTCGTCGACACGCGAGGTCTCGTAACAAAAGATCGAGGAGACAAGCTTGCAGAGCACAAGAAGATCTTCGCTCGCAGTGACAACAACGGCCACCAATTCGCTACTCTCGAAGAAGTGATCGAGTATGTGAAGCCAACCGCGCTCATCGGTCTCACCGCCACCTTCGGCGTCTTCACCGAGTCAGTCGTCCGCGCTCTGAAGGCATCAGTTGATGCCAGTGGACTTGGCCGCAGACCGATCTTGTTCCCCCTCAGCAACCCTTTGACGAAGGCGGAATGTACGTTCGAGCAAGCAATCACGTGGACGGAGGGAACTGTGATCTTCGCTTCCGGGTCGCCCTTTTCCCCATACACGACAAAGACTGGAGATCATATTACCACCTACTACCCAAACCAGGGTAACAATGTGTAAGTCCCCTTCCATCAATTCCTAATTTCTTGCTGACAGGTTCCAGATACGTCTTCCCTGGTCTCGGCCTCGGAGCAATCCTCGCCAAGGCATCCAGAGTAACAGACGCCATGGTCTACACCTCCGCCGCCTCGCTCTCCGGCTGCCTCAACAGCGAAGAAATCCGCATGGGGCTCATCTACCCCAAGATCGAGCGGGTCCGCGACGCCAGCGTCGTCGTCGCGCGTGAAGTGATGAAGTGTGCGCGCAGAGACGGCGTGAGTCTGTTGCCTGAAGAGACGTGGATCGAGTGGGAGGAGTGGGGAGATGTGGCGTTGACGGCCTGGATTAAGAAGCAGGTGTATGACCCTAAGTGGTAGTTCCCAATTTCTCCTTATTTTCCGTGCGTGTTTGAATTGGGATGGAATTGGGATGGGCAGGAGTTTGATTGGACCTCGGAAGCGAAATGCGTGTGATGAGAATGATACCTGGACACCGTATGTATATATTGTATATAGTTTTTACTTAGTGGCGATTGATTCGTCTTGGGATAGAAGCTGGAAATCTAAAAGCTTTGGATTTTTCTTCATTGGTTTTCAGCTGTGGCAAGAGCATGCGCGGTGAGAAGTCAAGAAGGGAGTGTGGCTGCCAACGGAGACATTACCGCTCCGAATGTCAAGGTACATTCAGCCATCGCCCTACTTCTGGCATAATCTTCTCTGCCTTCTGACTGTCTCGCTACCTGTGGCACACTCAATGGCCAATGAGCGAATGCTCAATCGAGAATGGTGGGGATTGCCCCCTCAAGGCCCCAAGCATTATCCTGGGGGATGATCAGGTAACATTTATCAAACTATACGTTCTCCCAAGAAAAATAGGGGCTGTGTCTCATTGTGTGCCAGCGACCGGACCAAACGTTGCCCCTTTGCAGGCTCCAGCTTTCGGGTTAAGCTCCTTGGATGCTTGGATGATGTGGAGGCGGAAGAGCTCTTGAAGAGTTTTCTCTAAGCTGAACTCCCGGATCAGCCGGTAACAGGCTGTCATCCCCGTCCTTCGGCCCTTTGGAAACGCAAAATAGGGATTTTGCAAAGGAACGCTGAAATCGTTCTCGAAGGTCGTTCGAATCTGTGTCACGTGATACGGATGCCCCGAAGCAGCATAGCCTTGCATCTCAACCAAATCCCAGCCAATAGGCTTCACTCTTTGCCCCTCAAACAAGCGTGCGCGTAATTCTCTGGACTCAAGGCAGCAACATAACATCCTATCAAGCGCTGCGATTGACCGCTGGCGCAGGCAACCATAATTGGACTGGCCTCAAGACCACGAGCCATCAGGGAAGCATCTCATTCATATGCTCTATGAGTTGCAACCTCTTTTTCTTCTTCTCTGCTCACGCTTTCCCACGTTTCAACGGCGATTGAACTGCGACAGCGAGGAACTATGGAGTCGCTATTCAGCTTGCCGCTGCCGTTCCAGCGCAGACTGACGAAGATGTACACCGACACCAAGAGCTCATATGATTTCGTCAAGGAGCCTGTGCAGAGCGCGGAAGACCCGGAACTCATCGCTCTGCACCGCAAGTTGAGGATCCAGAAGGACAGGCTGGTGAGCTGGGGCTTGGAGTGGTCGGATCCTTCGCAGTCACCTGATATCGACGAGTCCATCAACAAGGCTGGCCTAAGTGAGCTTGTCGGAAGTGTCATGTCGACGATCAAAGAGATCCTGGCTGAGGCCGAGCCGTTGTGGCAGTCGTCGAAGAGGGTGACGTTTGATGAGAAGAGTCCTTCCGGGGAGAAATCGAAGGCGGCGTTGATTGTGTGGGACAAGACGAGGTTCCAGGACTTGGTGCGGGATTTGACCATGTCTATCGATACCTTGTACGATCTTTCCAGGACTCGGCAGTCTGCACGGAAACCTCCACCGATCAAGGACTCGGAATCTTCTACCTCGACCCTGGCTAAGAATCGACAAGAGGAGAGACAGTTCGAGTCTACTCGGATGCAGGCCCCGCAACAAATTGATCCAAGCTCGCTTATCTGGCCAAGGGACCTCAAAACAATACAGCCCGGTACGTTACAACCTGCCAAATCTCCTAGACAGATCGTCTTTATGCGTCGACCGGCCTTTCCTTCTGATTCCCGGAAATATGGTGCCTCCGTTCCTGCTGTCCCCGTTCTTCTAGAGTACGCAAACTATGATCCCATCTATTCCGTTACTGGTATTACGCCATCCATGACCCGGTTTGAGAAGCTCTTTGCTGCTCTCTCCCAGGCTTACATCTCCACGGAAAGGGTCCTCTCTGGTCTGCTTCATCTGATTGGATACTTCGAAGAGGCTGAGCACTCCAGGTTCTGTCTCTTGTACGCGCTACCTACACACTTCGGACCGGTTGATATCGAAAGCCCAAGGATGCCTTCTATTACCATCTTGTCGGACCTGTTGTACAGTAACATGTACGAGCCTAGTCTGGAAGTTAAATACCGCTTAGCCTACAACGTGGCCAGTGCCGTCTTCGATTTACACTCCAAGGGTGTAGTACACGGGAATGTCATCGCTTCCAATGTCTTGTTCATTGAACATCAATCTCAGAATCGTCTGGACCTGAGCCAAGTTAACATGCGCCAATCTTTCCTGGCTTCCTGCGACCTCTTTTCTGATAACGCCACAGATAACTCTGCGCCGTTTCTATCACCGGCTTCACTCTACAGACATCCTTTGGATCCTCGGACTACCCGGTATACACGATTCACTTCCGAGAGCAAGTCTTTGGATCTTTACAGCTTGGCCATGATGCTTTTGGAAATCGGACTTTGGACTTCGCTTCACGATATCTTCCCATCTATTCAAACTATTCCAGACAACCCTGCTGCGGTTCTGAAACATCTTGCTGCCAGGTGTGGAAGTCTTTATGTGAAGGCAGTTCAAGCTTGTTGGCATGCGCCTGATGAGGAATTATCCTCGAAAACAAGACCGGATGTCATGCATCAGAAGGTCTTTTGGAAAGTCTCCAAGGCGTTAGATACTTGCTGTGCTATTGATGAGAGTTCAGAGGAGGACAGTGAGGAAAGTGATGACTCGCCGCCAGTGCCTTCAACACCTCTGAAGGCCTCGAGGTCGTCGACTCCTCAAAGGAGGATGATCAGCGACCAGAAACCACCGGTTCCGATAGAAGTAAGGTCAACCTGGAAGGAGATGTCGGCATATGAAAAGGCCTCTGCTTCCTTCAACACAGAAAACACATGGGTTGAGAAGCCCGCTGTCAAGCCAATTGGTGTGTATTCTCATCCAAGCTGTGAACCACATCTAACTTTTGTAGCACCTGTCAAAGTTGAAAAATCAAAACCGAAGTTACGTACCTATCCGTCGATCAGGATAGCCCCAGAGCATCTAGACTTCTGGCACACCGGCTTGATGCCCCATATCAACCATGTTCTCCGCAACTTCTATAAGAAGTACCCTGAATCTGTTGAGATCAGCCTTGAAAGTGTTGGCGAGACGCCAACCACTACCAAGCCTACCATTCTCGTTATCTGCACAAGCGTCACCAAAGTCCGAAGCATTCTTAAGAAGTCCTTAGTCTATGACAAGAATGTATTCGGGCTGAAAGTATGTCGTGGCAAAGTCGTCCGATCACGGAAACGGGGAGCTCGAAGATCAATGGCCAATGGTGAGCTTAAGGCCGCAAATCCAGATCACCAGGACCGGCCATCGAATGGTGCATCCATTGGTGCTTATATTGGCGAGCGTCACCTCCCTCCCGTCTCTTTTGGCGGCTTGATCATGGTCGACAACAAGCCCTATGGCATGACAGTTCACCACATGCTCGACGATCCCAGCGAAGACTCAGAAGACGAAGATGTCCATAGCTCCCAACCAATCCTCCGCTCCAGTGCCTACGCCGACATGCCCGACCTCACGCGATCCCAGTCCTCAATCTATAGCAGCGGCGACGAGGAGTACATGTATACCCTCTCCGACTACGAATCCGATTTCTCCACCACCTCCTCACCCGCCGCCTCAGAATACGGCTCCGACGACGAGTGGGCCGCTGAAGATGCGGTGGAGCACGAAATCCTCGAGCCCGGAGATATAAGAGGAATCCCCACCGGCTGCGGCGAATCCTATCTGATAACTCAACCCGCCATCGACGACGTATCCCCGGACTTCTTCCCCAGTGAAGAAACAAGAGATGAAGACCACCTCGACTCCTTCCAGCTTGGAGAGATCTACGCCTCCTCAGGTATTCGACGACGTACAGAGAATGACATCGTCCACGAGATTGACTGGGCTTTGTTCGAGTTCTCCGAGGATCGGTTACCGATAACAAACCACATCAAGAACGGTTCCCGCCATTGCAGCCAGAAAGAAGGCCGATACCCCCTCTCCGTTGCCTCTAGCACGGATCTCGCAAATCTCAACGTTCACTGCATGGCGCGGACCTCTGGTCTACAATCCGGGCGTATTCTACCCGGGATGGTAATCGTCAAGATCTACGGGCGTCAAACACCCTCTACCTCTTTCCAAGTAGCCGGAAAACTCGGTGTTCCAGGCGATTCCGGCGCCTGGGTCGTAGACAACGAGCAAGGACGAGCATGTGGCCACGTTCTAGCGTGGAGTTCCCGTAAACGGGTTGCATATATCTGTCCCATGGACGTCCTTGTCAAGGATATTGGGGAGACGGTTGGTGCTAGATCTATTTCCTTACCAGGTGGACAGGAAATATTCTCTTCCATTTCGGAGGAAAAGATCTCGGACGAGAGGATCGCCGCATCAGTACGGGAGGCGATGTCTGCAAGTCACCTTGACAGGCTGGCGAGTAAAACAGATCCTTCCGACGTCTCAGACGAACTTGCTTCTCTTCTGGCGGAACTCAAACTCCCTCCTACGCCTACACAAATTGATGGGCTCGATCCTGCGAGCCTTGAGAGCACGAGTTCGGGATCTCTTGTGCACCAGGGCAAGCAGAAGGAAGAGGTCAGGATTCGTCTTGTTCCGAGGGATGAAAATCAGCTCGGAAGAAGACAAGAGTTCGATGACTCGCGGTTTCTTAAAGCGGCAGGGATGCAGGGGTGGAGAGCGAAGGACGCGAGTGCGTTTGCGATGAGTGGGAAGGAGAAGGGTGGCGAGGAGGTTGTGGCTTCGTGACTCGCGGTTTGCCCTGTTGCTAATTTGGTAATGGGGTATGGCTGAACATGAATATGTGGAATGATGGGATGAATCTTTTAAGATCGAAAAGTGAAGGATGTTTCTTTTGTCATGATTTGATTGCATTTGGATAGTTGGAGAGGCGTTAGGATATCATACCCACCCATGAAATTGATACCACTCACCGATAATCGTAACTGCTTTTTCCAACCTTTAGAGAAGCAACGAGTGCCGAAGTACTCAAACAGGCAAGAAACCCTAATCTATCGGTCCCGACGAGAAGGCTGCCAGATCGTTGCCAGGACCGGACAAAGCAGCTCCCAAATGTGTCGAGGCTTCAGTGGATACAGATATGGAGATGTTCCCACAGATCAAGGAGGCCAAGATATCTCTTGATGATCTCATGCATCGTGTACAAGCTAATACCTCGCAGGAAGGCAGTGAGTGGTATAGCAGCAGCAGCAGTAGCAGCTACCACTGCCACCGGACGGAAGCGAACTGCAACCGGAGCTAACATAACTCACCTGCCGAGATTTCCTGGCGGTGGATGAGTGTCCCCGCAGTTGTTCTGGCATCATACCCAGAAGCACTGGGTACGCCTGCTGTCTCCGTAGTGTCCTTGACACCAGCAGTATGGCCGGCTTATCATGTCTTTGGGATGTGATACCATAACAACTGCAGACACTTGCAGCCTGTTGTATTGTCACGTGACCTCTTAGCGCGGCACTGAAGATACTCAGAAGAAATAGGCAGAAGTGAACCAAGTACCAGGTTAACGAATTACCGGGTCAAATTACACGTCACGTAATACGAGAGAGATTTCTAGAACTCTGATTAATTCTAGAAGAGAAGCGTGAAGCTCGTAGAAGCTTGGGAGCGAGGCTAAATACTCCTTAGCGTCATAATTAAGCGAAACGTGTACCTGAGGCTTAAGCGAATTTTGCCCCTCACAGCACCCTGTATCTTAGTTCTCGAGCTCCCCGCTCCTTCTTCTCTCTTTAGACGTATACCACACACCCAATGTAGCTGTTTTCCACTGAGAACACTAGCTCTATGGTCGTGATACAGCCCTCTGGGATTTCTCGCAGTCTCTGTATCGCTCTGTTTTTTCCCCACCGTTTGCAGCTTTACGAAACTCGTTTTGGAACTTGCTAACCGTTGTGTAGCGATACGAAGAACAGATCCGTCGATATTGCCAACTCGCTAGAAATTCCAATAAATATCGTACAAAGTGGGGTATCATACAAAGTCTTCAAATCATTCGTGAAAGGAGAGAGAGGGGGGGGGGGGGGGGGGTGGAGCCTCAGAGGCCGACTTCCAATAGAATCCTTTCCTCTTCAGCCTTTTCCTCAGTTTCCTTGCGTTCCTTCTCACTCTCCTTTTTCTTCTCTTCCTCTTCTTTCTCCTTTTCTTCTTTAGCCTTCTTCTGCTTCTCAGACTTCGTCTTCTCAACCCAACTAGCCGCTTCCTTAACTGCCATCTCGGGCTGCCTCTTCCACTTCAGGAGGAAGCCCTGGATCTCCGCAGGACTGAACGTCATGGTAGGAATCAGAACCGCGAATTCTTCTCCAAGTCTGGCTACCTTCTCTTCCTCCATCTTCTTCCGAGCTCGGAAGGTGGCGAGCTCGTCTGCCTTGCGCTTCTCATCCTCGATTGCGAGCAGGGCAGTCTCAGTTTTGGATAGGGAGGAGGGGACTCGGATGGCGGGGAGAGGCTTGGCGGAAGGAGGGATGTCGCCTTCCAGCGTGGCAAAGATGGAGCGGAAGATGGTAGTTATCATCTGTGTGTTTGCAAGGTCGAATTTGATGGTCATGTCGACTCTGCCTGGGCGGATTAAGGCCTCGTCCAGCTTCTCAAGATGGTTGGTCGTCATTATGAGGACTCGGCCTTCTTGGGAGGCGACGCCGTCGAGAATGTTGAGGAGTGCGGAGAGGGAGATTCGCCCGCCTGGTGGTGGGGTCGTGGGTGGGCTGGCGGGGTTGGTGGTTGTTGAGCCTCCGGGGACGACGGTCACGAGGGGCTTGGCTTCCTCCTCGGCCTCAGCGGGGATCTTTCGGGTGTGTGTGAGGCCGGCGGTGTCGATGTCTTCGAGTAGGACGACGCACTGCTTAGGCAGCTCGGAGAATAGTTGACCAAGGTTCTCTTCATTCATGGCCAGGGAATTGAGGGATACGATGTATATTTTGAGCTTGAAATAACCTGCGATGGCGAAACTTAAGGAGGACTTGCCCGTTCCAGGTGGTCCGTAGAGGAGGTAGCCCCTTCTATACGGTATCCCGCGATTCGAGTACCACCTTCTGGTATAGGGATGAAGATAATCTCGCATGTCATCAAGTAGACTTTGCTTGACTGTTTCATCTAGGACCACTGTTGAGAATGGTCGGGAGACGCGGGAGACGCAGCGGGTCCATGCGACTTCACTTGTACCAGATTTGAGGCCTCCCCTGTAGATTACCGTTCGATTGACATCATTCTTCAGGAAATCTTGACGACAATCCTCCAGGAGATCCTTGAGAATGGTGGGGTTTCGACCAAAGCAAGAGACTGAGATCTCCTCTCGCTCGCTGACAGGTCCCCAGCTCGTTTGTCTGGTATCCTGCTGCCGACGAAAGATGAGAAGTCTCTTCTTATACCAGAAGTAGTGGGTTCCGAAGCTGGGTGTGAACTGGACTTTCTTCTCCTTCTTGTGGCCCCCACCGGTAGAAACGGCATTTCCGGTCTCGTCAAAGTCGATCATCGCCTCATCCTCCGTGCTATCCTCATCATACTCTCGCCATAAGAACCACATACGGCTGTTGAGGTTTGTATTTGCCACGAATCGGCGGGACCTCTTCGCGAATTGCTGGTTTGCAATCCAGGCCATGAGCATGTTATACATTTCATCGTCGATTCGAATATCGGCAGTCGACATGAGATACCCATCCATCATCTCCCATAGCCAGGTGTTGATGTATTGAGAAGCGAAGATGAGAACCCCAATAAATAAGAGAACGGGGAAGTAGATATTCAGATCGATTTTCGAGTATTTGTAGATTGCTGTCGAGAGAACGGAGAACCCGGGGAAGAAGACATCCAAAAGAGCGAGTTGGGGATTTTCTTGAGTGGCTTCCGGCATGTTTGCAGCGGTGGTCGAAGGACCGGTGTAGGTTCCACACGTTTGATTTATCATGGCGGCGGTGAGCAAAACAAATCGATCAAATCGTAAACTGGCAGAAGAGTAACGAAGTGGTTGGAAGGCGAGAGTGGGATGGAAAGCCACTTTCGGCTTTTTTATGTGAAGGCGTGCTGGAGAGGAAATGTACTTGAGAAAGGTGACGCACTTATCTTATATATGAACCCACCAGGCAGCCTTGATCTAATGTTCATAACTCTAGGCCCACTTGAGTCATCTGGCAAGGCAAACCGTCTTCACTCAGCTTCCCATGGGCCCAGATCTCACTGCATGACTGTTCGCCGTGGGGGCGCTGGAGTAGCGAATGAGCTTCGGCGACTCACTTGAGCAAGGCTGTGAGGCTACGGGCTCGCCGAGGAGATTAATAACATTTCTAACAGTATGCGCCGTTGGTGGGGGAGAGTTGTTGGAGCGTTTTCGTTTAAGACTCCAGCCTCAAATGGGGGGGAGGGGGTTGGTTCGGCAGCAGCGAGGCTGTGTAAAACGCTCTCCCGGGCTGCTCACAGCCACGTCACAACGGGTGCAACTGGCTCAAATCTCAAGTGATGACACGGTGCAGGACTCGATTGAGAATTCAATGCAGTACACCAGTGGAGGGGGAGGCGCACGCCGGTCTGTTGGGAAGTGTGGGGTTGCGTATCCGCACCTTTGAGCAATCGCTGAGATTTCATTCAGGACGCACACAGCCCTTCGTCGGTGACCGCGTGTGGCTGGGCAAGCTCAATTCCTACCTTCCCCAGGAATTGGCCGGTATGACTGGTTGGTATCAATCCCAGACAATCGGTTGAAGAGGTTGCAAGCTTGCATGGAAATGAAGCGTGTGTGAGTGGTGGGTTGAAGATAGAGCCTGATCGCGAACCAGGGAGCGAACTTTGTCCGCCTCGCGCATTGGCACCACAGGCATTCGCGTCGGCCGCTCTTATTCTGAAATCTACGCAAGCCACCTGCAGGACTCAGTATTTCTCAGAACCTGCTGTATTTTGGCTTCCACATGGTTCCCATATCTCTTCTTCCTCACTTCGGTGCTGACCATCACCCACCAAAAGTCCACCAGCAAGGGACCTTTGCCATCGAATTCCCCAGTCAAACTGAACGAGAGACGGGAACCCCCAAGCCTCAATCTCACCCGCCGCCACTTCCATGTACAAATAGCTTTGTTTACTTCATGTTAGGCACATCATAGCTCCACGCTGGAACCACAAAGTCTTGCATTTGAATTAACTTGAAAGGTTCTTAAGAGAAGTACTTGACCAAGAAGAACCAAACACGCATACTTGATTAATCATCCAATATCAAGGGATCTTCTCAACAACCATCGCCCTCACATTTTCGGGTCTGCCTTTGGCTGAGGAATGGCCCAGTCACGCTCCAAATCAACGTCTTCATCATCGGTCTCAAATGGTACTTATTTCATACCTTGCCGCAATCATGGCGATTGCGAGATACAGCATTGAGATTTCAAAATTAGAATCCAGGCAATTTCGACTCCCTCTACCAAATGCTGCAAGGTACAGCACTCCTTCAATTGAGAGGGAAAGGGATACTTTACAGGGAGCCTTGTCTCCCCAAACGGGCAGGGAACGGTAGATTTCTAAATCTCTAGTGTCATCTGGCATCGAGAAACGCTACGTGTGGCTGACTTATTTGAAGCTTGCAATTGAGGTGAAGAGTGGTGGGGGTTGACAATGGAGAGAAGGGAACTCTGTTGGCCGCTTGTTTTGAAATATACTCAAGTGCGTTCCTCTGATCTGCATATTTTTTCAGAACAAGTCACCTCCTGCAATTGGACAGCGAGACTCTCCTATGCTTCTCCAGGAAAGGAAGTTCGTGACAGCGAATCAACAACGATGAAACAACGAACACCCTTTTCAAGCGAGGATCCACTGTGCTTCAGCCACCACTTCTCATTTCAGCATTTCACTCACGGCCATCCAAATCCATATACTCTCCAGCAAGTGCAGAGCCTCTACCACCTTCAATCTAGCAGTAGTTTCAAAATGACACCCTAAAACCTGTGGAGGCACTCCACGCAAGGGGTCCGGGGCCACTTTTCTTAATTCCATCTAAAGAGATGCACCTGTTAGGAGGGTGACCACCACCAGAGTTTCTGCTACCCAACTACTCTAATGAGTTTTGAATCCTTCCCAAAGGTTCACAAGAGGAAAATGCCAATGGCCCTCATCCTGGCCGTTCCAGGGTCTTGGGCTGCAGCTCTCATCCAACGCAAGACTTGATGTAACGTTGGAAGTCCAGTAGGAGGGGGAAAGCCTTCTCCGTCTTCCATGTTAAGCTGTACTGGATTGGGTAAGTCCACGTAGGTCCTGACGCCTCAAAATTCCTCCTCTTCTACTAGCAACGAGGAGAAGAAATACATGTGCAAATATGATGACGGTACCACAGCTTTTCTCGCCGTCTTAAGTTGGGAATACTTGCTATATAGATCATCACTTACAGCTTGGCCAAGACAATTTACCACATTTATTTCCACCCACTGAGCTCTTTCCCAAAGCCCCCTGTCGTATCCATCACCAATTGGAACAAATTCTACTATACCTGGTATCTCGGCCGAACCCATTCTCTCAAGATCAAGCAACGGCACGCTCAATACGAACCGATCATTCGCATCGCCCCCAATAAGTTTCACTTCGGCGATACATCTGCATACAACGCCATCTACACCCATTCTGATCTGGGAAAAGAGCCCACGTTTTATAGATTCCTTGGGCCTGCCTTTGTTGGACAGCTCGACGCCAGTAAAGCGAAGAGAAATCACCAAATCTTCGCAACTTACTTCACAGTCAACTCTATTCGGACGCATAGCCAGGCCAGGGGCATCTTGTGGAGAAAACAATCATCTTCACAAGACAGTCACAATTGTAAGCCAAGGAAACGGAGGCGAGGCAGTCGTGAATAGCATCCGATGTAGCTCGCTGCTTCAGCTACGACATTTCCAAGGAACTGGCTCTGGGTCCTTCAAATGCACTGAGCACTTGCTTTTCAGATCTCAAAGCCCCGTTCGTGTTAGTAAACGCCAAAGTCATAAAGATTCTCTATCTCGTACAGCAGTTTCGGTTCCTTCGTAAAATTATCCGGCAATTCCAGATATCATCATGGCATGAATATCTGCAGATCTGCTAGCTATGAAGCGGGGACGAGCCATTCGCGCCTCCTTCAAATTTTCCAATTCAACGCGCGCTACTCACTCTCAGGACAGAACACCTGTATTCAGATCCTCGACTGCTCATCCTTTTCGCCTGTCCCGCTGAGCCAAGAGGAAAACTCCAAACTAACAACCCTCCCCCAGTCCTCGCTCTCCAACAGCTGGAGAAACTCTCCTACCTCACAGCAGTAATCAAAGAACCACTCCTTCCCTGCCTCTGCGTACCGGGTCGTCTGCCGCGCATGGTCCCACCTGAAGGTCTCACTTTATCTGGTCTCGTGTTTCAGGCTGGACGGTGGTGAGTTCGAATGCTCTGATACTGCATATAAACCCGATGCTTCTCTGTGAGCCGGAGAAGTTCGTGCCTGAGATATGGATGGCTGATGGGAGTTGGTGGGAATGGGGAGGAGGTAGTGAGGTGGGATGGGAAGCAGGAGATTGAAGATTTGGTACCGTTTTCGGTAGGGAGGAGGGATTGCATTAGACGGCATCTTGCAGTTGCTGAGATGAAGACTTTTATTGCTCGATTGGTAGGTGGGGGATTTGAGGTTGAGATTGAGGGAGAAGAGAGAATTAGGTGGGGGGACAATGTGGTGAGTTATTATGAGAGCGACATCCCGCTTAGGATTTCGAAGAGAGTGGAAAGAACAAGGGACATGTGAGGTCTTGCTGAGACGGGATCTCATGAGGACTTGAAGAAGAATAGTTGCTTGTTGGTGGATTAAACGACGACGCTAAGATGGATATTCAAGACTGTTCACACCAATTGCCCGTTCACATCTTGACCCTCTTGTAACTTTAGCCGTGTTGACAACGGGAGCATCCACTCATCCTGGTCTGTCGGCTCTTCCTTCGCCCCGGCATCAATCAAGGTAATTCTGCAGCTCCAGATCATAGCCCAGAGCTTCTCATCTCCAGCGGCAAGATGCATGCTACGTTCAGTTTGACTCAATATTCCCACCCCTAGGTAGTCTCGACTGTGAACATTCGCCCCCTCCTCAAGGAGTAGTGTGACTACAGAGTGAATTCCAAGCCTGGCAGCGATGGCAAGTGCTGTGTCGCCGTTTCTGTCTCGGATATGGATCTCGGCGCCGAATTTGAGCATGCACTTGACATACTTCCGAAGAGAATCAGCTGGAATTGTGGCTGCTAGCGGAGACTTAAGCAAAGCTGTGAGAGGTGTGTCACCAAAAGCATCGATCCATGTTAGACGCCGTTCAAGACAGATATCTTCAAGCATCCTCTCTGTAGCTTCTTTTTCGGTCATCCCTGGAACAAGGTTAAGGTCTCCAAGCCACCCGTAGAAATCCTCGTTCGTCATCTGCCCAGGAATAGTCACCCTTCCAACAAGGTCGGACTGATAATGAACGATACTTGGAGGCGGTGTGATATTCTTCATAATGGTGGCCATCAATTTCGTCGCGTCCTTAGTAAACGATATCATGCCAACTCTGCTGCCAACTCTGCTGCCAACTCTGCTGCTAACTCTGCTGCAGGAATCTTGCAAAATACCCAAAACTTTGTTTCCCGCATTGTCTTGTGTGTTGATATATTGCTTCCAGAGCGCGGGTTTAATGACTTCGAATATTTCAGACATGAGCCGCACACTAGACGTTGACTTGTCTATACCGAATAGAGAGTAGTCCACATGTCTGAATATAAAGTGTTCTAGACCTTGGAATAGATAATGCAAGATTGTGCAGCCGTGGTAATCGGAGATCGAGAAGAGTGGGCTGTTCTGCACAAGCTTCAATATTGATACAAGATCCAAGGCATCCTGATTGTTTTTTAGTGAATGTCGACAAAGAATATGTAGAAATGTTTCCCCGGATGTATTTCTGATGTTGACATTTGCTCCTTTTGCAACCATTTCCCTGACCCTCCAGAATTCGTTCCACTTAACAGCCGCAGCTGCACAGTGAAGAAGTGTGTTTCCATAGAAGTCAGTCACAGGGGAGAGGCGGATTCCGCTTACGTCAGTGAATAACATAACGCGCCGATATTGTGCACTAAAGCCGCACGTCTCACAAATACTAGATACTGTGTCTAAAGACATTCCGAAGAGCGGTGGCATACAACACTTTCGATTCAGCGGCGAGATAGTTGTGTACAATGGCCGAGGGATGTCCGTTTTCGAGTCATCGACCAGCTCATTCCAGATTTTCAGCTCCTCTTTCGTAAGTTCAGCAGTTGTTGCCCTCGAGTTGCGAGAAGAGAGTTTCGATAACAAGGAACTGGCAAGACTTGACAGAGAGGTTAGATTGGACCTCAACGAGCTGCCTGAAGAAAGTCGCAAAGCTCTGTAAACATGCTTGACACAAGTGCCTGAGTGCTTAGCTCCTAGCATTTCCTCGATAATACCAATGTCATGAGAGGATGTGCTTAGTTCCGCATGAGCGATTGAGGTGGAACTTGACGCCTCCTGAATTGCCCTGTTATTGTTATTGTTACTGATCTGCGGTGTGGGACGTCGAGCTTCGGACAATCCATTAGTGGAAGCGTCTATACTCGGGTAGAATGAGGAGACACTTGGGTGCGACGATACTTCGGAGCCATCCAGGAGCAAGAGTGAGGAAGTGACTGGCTGGGCATCAGACAAGTCTCGGGGGAGAGGCAGAGAAGTTTTGGTAGCATAATTCCGAAAAGCCTGAGAGCCCCCATCGAATGATTCCCACAGAGCCGTCGAAATAGTACGAGACTGGTCAAGTTTGGTTTGTACTATGCACTTCTGCCGGCGAGCTGCTCTTTCTTTGGATATTCGGCCCGCCTTGCATCGCCGCAGACAGTCAAGCCGCACTTTGACTTTCGCATCGTTGGAGGGGTGGAATTTTGTGTGAGATTTCCCGTAGCCGGAGGGAAGCAGCGCGTGCAATTGCGTTTGTATGTCTCTCGGGCTGCCACTGTCAGGAAATGGGCTTCGAGTTGCGTCGTAACGGATATTACTCACCAGGGATTAAACCCAGGAGCAGCAAGCACCTTCTGGATCTCCTCTTTGCTGAGCTTTGTCAAAGTGTATAGCCGCACCAGCTTTCTTCTTCGTGATGGGTTCCATGCGTTAGGTGGGCGTCCTCCAGTGCTTGGGGCCATGGTTGAAGTCGGGATCTATATAGGGTGGAAGGTGGAGGCCTCAGAGAGATTGTCAAAAAGGAAGGTTTATAGTCATTGCAAGTCTGGAATCCAAGGTAGAGAGGACAACTAGAATATATGTTCGAGGAATTTTTGGAGGAGGCAAGCGCAAGGCTGCGACGCAGATTCCTCTTAGGATTCGCCCAACTCTTTGAGGCACCCCTGTTCTTGCTCGCTCCAGCAGGATCTCACATTGGTTTGGCGTTCTGCAATCAAGAGGGGATGAAACACGGGAGCGAAATCCTCGTGGCGCAGATTCACGTGATTCTGACTAGGCTGAGACTTCAAGTTTGGTGAGGCTACTTCAGCACTTGGTATTGGGATTAGTTTTGCGAAGAGAATACATCACTTGAAGAGAGATAGGGGCTTGAGCTACCTGCAAACGCGGATCATCCCTTAATGAGGCCGGAAACTCCGGAAGAGCGAATGGAATGAAATGCCTATACAAATCACGTGATCAAACAGCGCAGGTAGGTATTTTCGGAGGGACTTTGTGTCAATTTAGGTGAACACACGCTGACCGAAGCATTGGAATAGCGTATGGAGATAGAGGAGATAGTCGGCTTTAAACACTTGTGGCCGTCAATCTAAGTTCTGAGAAATCTCTATAAGACCCGAATCTTTCGGCTTCATACCGATTTCCAGCACGGAAAGGACCATCTTGGGCCTGCAGGAGAAAGCAAGATGGCATAACTCACAAAAGCCTCGGTCTGGATTGGGCATGCGTGCCCACTTCTCGCCACCTAGCACCCCAGCAGAGCGAGAGGAGAAATGGCATTCCATGCGGGAAGCACACTTTCTCGCCCCATCGCCATATGTGTGGAAAGCCGAGGAGACGCTCTCATACATGGACCGTCAAGGCATCGCCATGAAATTCCTGTCAAACGTCCCTGTAACTCTCCCCGCTCTGCAGCCTTCTAACGACTATGGTGCTGGGACCATGACGGGGTATCCCGCATGGTTTGGACTCCTGGCAGCGTCGCCGACGGATGATGCGAAGAAGGCGATTGGGGAGGTTGAGAGAATGAGCGGGGTGACTGATGGCCGGGCGGTAACAAGCTATTTTAATGGTGTGTACCTGGGTGATGAGATGCTTGGTGGGCTTGATGGGCTTGGTTGATAAGATGAAGGGTGTGGAGTTCGTGCATCCGAACGCACATAATCCGCCCCCGTAGAAGCAAGCGGCACCGTTGGTGGAAGTGGGGTTCAATATGTGTAGGGTGGTGGTTGATATGTTGTGTAAAGGGTCTTTCAACGGTATAGGACGATTAGATGGGTGCTGGCTTACTGTGATGGAGCGTTACCGGTGTTGCGTGGGAGGGTATTGGCGTTGGGGGGTGAGGACTGGGTGGTTAGTCCGATGGTGGTTGGGAGGGAGGAAATGAGGGAGCGTTTGGGGAGACCGTATGTTGATACTGCGGGGGCAGGGGTGCCGAGTCTGTTGTTGCCGGCGTTGGAGATGACGGGGAACAGAGGGGAGAGGGTTGTTTATGGTAGTGATCGTGGGGTGCCGTGTAGTTGTGAGGGAACGTTGGATGCGATTCATGCGAATGTTAATAATTTGTTGGCTTTTGAGGGGCTGACGAGGGAGGAGGAGGAGAAGGAGGCGATTGGGCATCACCTGGAGGAGCTGTTTCCTGGTGCTGCTGAAAGGTGAACAAAGGCGATGGAGCGTGGAGCCTGCCACCTCAGTATGGGAGGACAAACACCTTTTTGGAAAGGAGTCTTGGAGGCCCACTGGGCAAGTTTCAGCTTTGAAAGCATCTGCATTGTTTGAGAAGAGTTCACCCGGGCTTCAAAGGGGAGAAAGATGTCCGGAGGCGGTCCATACTAGCTTCAGCTTTGGAAACTCCGTCTAGGAAAGTTTTCTGCCTAGCAGATGAGAAGCCAAATCCGGACAAACTCGATCCGCAAGTTTTGCCCAAGCTCTTTGAACTGTGGAGAAGGGAAATGCTGTCGAACACGAACAATTCACCCTTTGATTCAACAGCATGAAGCCAGCTTCACCTCCGTTGGACCCCTCATCAGCAAGTCTGAGGTTCCTAAGATTCATTGACCTCCCTGTCTGTGTGCGACTATATAACTTGAGGTCCCAAAACTAGCCACGTGAAGCATTTGCCTGAAAGTAACTGCAATAAAACGCTTATTTCTTCAATACATCTCTATTTTCGACATCTGGCGGAAACAGCTCTGCACTTGTGGGCCTGCGGCCATTTCTGTTAGACTCTTGTGAGAGACATGAGGAGGTCGAAGGTGAACGCTAAATGAATCATTGAGATAAGTGAACACCTTGAAATCGATCAAAATAGCAGCTTGTATCTCCACTGTTGCCTCCACACCGTCCAGATCCAGCTTGATCAGCACTGGATTTGAAAATCTGCACCTGCCTTTCACGACTCACACCAGAACCTCCCAGTGTCTTGCAAGAAACGCGTCCATATTCTCAATCAAACAACGAGCCTCACAAGAGCTCGTTTCAATCCCTTGACAGAAAGGCTCTTGGAGTCTTAGGCAGAAGCCCTGTCAGCCCGCCGCTGCGCGTGACTGTAAGGCTGTGTGAACGTGAAGTCAACCTGCATGCACAAGGATAGGAGGAGCCCCCATCAGAACCAAAACCAAAATCAATTGCCCCGTCGATCGCAATCACTTGTCCTCCTCATCCACAGCTCCTTCTGGCTTCTCGACACAGTATCGCGATTTTTCAACGATTTCTTATTATCGCCACGCTGCTAGCGCTGACGTCGACAAATATTTGAGGGTATTCACCAGCCAGGCTGCGACTGCCCCACGCCAGCCCCGACAGGCGCGCTAACCAAACCCAACACGACACGAATAGAAACATCTTCCCGACTCTTCAAAATCCATACAACTCCCCGTTCACCCACCTGTCACGCCCAATTCGACCTCGATGTCCCTTCTCGTGGCCTCCCGTCACAACTAAATGCCGTCTGTCAGTTCCTGCAGATTTGCAATCGCCTATGCCAAGGAAACTTCCAGTCCTTTCTCGCAACCTTCTTCCCACCGTCGCCCTCAGAGCTGCAAAGGCAGCTCGCAGTCACGACGTCTTCCACAAAGAAAAGAAAACTTTCGCCCCAGCATATTCCAGGCCAGAACTCCGAGAACAACCCTGATATTCCCCTGAACTCCGTTGAAGATCGTGAATCACAGTCACCCAACGACCTTCCCCGGTTCGACATCCCTACCACCCAGGAATCAGGCCTTCCTCTTCCTCCACACATACCTTCGCATCTACAGACTGAGACCTCTTTTGGAAGTTTCGACCATAACATCTCTTCTACGGCCAGCTCTCCGAGCGCAGCCTACGCAGGCCTCTCGCTGGAAGGCGAGAGAAGTGGGGACCCTTCAGCCTCAGAAAATTCAAGACGTTCGCTCGCACCTCTCGATCAAGACACAAGAGCCCAGTCACCGGTGCGTCTGTTCTCACACAGGGCTATTATGGGCGGTGCCGCAGATCTCCCACAGAGGTCGTCGTCGCCACTAAAGAGACGAGCCTCGGATCTGGACGGCGAGGCCCAGTCAAGCCAGAAGGATGATGTCGATATGATCACTGTTCCTCCATCCGACCCTCCCGAATCTGCAGATGCGTCGACAACTGCAACTAGCAGCAAGAGAGCACAGTCAGTTGATATGCTAAGGAGCGAGGACGAAGACGCCGTGGCTGATGTTTCAACGGAGGAATCCCCGGATGCTACTCCTGCAAAGACAGCCGAAACAGGTATGGCAATGAATGCGCACACATACTTAAGATGTTCTTTCCTGACGTGACTGATGCAGAAACCCCTTCTATCGATGCCCAAATCAAGACCGTTACGACGATTTGCGAGGCAGCCGCAGAATGCCAACCCAGCGATGGAGAGAAAATGTACCTGGTATCGAAGAGATGGCTCAGCCGTGTGCAGATTCGAAGCACAGAGGCTAGGAAGAATAGCAAGGTCGAACCCGAAGGCGAGATAGGACCCATCGACAACTCGGATATCATTCAGCAGATTATCAAGGATTTCGATGGAGAAGAGCACGTCCAGCTGAAGCCAGGAACAGGTCAGGCCGACTTTACACTATTCCCGGAGGAGGCATGGACCATGGTGTTTGATTGGTATGGGTTGATGGCAGGTTCAGTTCCCATTGTTCGATTTGCCCACAACACGAATCCGGACAAGACTGGGATACCCAATGTGATATTCGAATTCCATCCCCCGATTTTCACCGTTCACCGGTTATACGGAGAAAACAACCCGATAAACCTGCCCCAAAAGCTGAAGGCCACGAACCCCCCAGCACCGATCCTCGTCTTCAGCAGATCTACTAAGTATCATGACTTTTTGAAGAGAGTTAAGACGGTGGCTGGAATGACAGATATGTCGAAGAAAGTGCGCCTCTGGAGAGTCCCAAGAATCCAACCTGCCGCCGAACCAGTTCCGGCCGTGGCGAATACTGCGACACCCCCTTCTTCGAGGCCAAGCTCACCTGCAGCCGGTAATGCCGCTGGACCAGTTCAAAGGCAGCCGCAAGACTCATGGACCCAGCTTCTCCTTGATGTTCCCGAATTTGTGAAGCTGGAGCGGGGTAATGGAAGAGAATTGGTCGATCTTCCTGACCAAACCGGAAATGCAAAATATAATGGTAGCTCGGATTTGTCCATTGCCGGCTTGGGAGACGATCAAACGATTGTGTTGGATGAACTGATCAGTCCAGGTGGCGACAACTACGTCTCAAATTACACAGCCAAGGGGAACAAGTCAACTTCGACAGCTCTTACACGATCTGGCGCAGGCCAGTCGAATAGTCAGTCAAATAGTGGTCGGAACAGTCCAGCACCTTCAGGCCCAATGACACGAGGTCGAACACAAAAAACCGGTAGACCAGTTGGAACGGTTGGTCTGAGCAATCTTGGCAACACCTGTTACATGAACTCGGCACTGCAATGTGTTCGGAGCGTAGAGGAGTTGACTAAGTACTTTCTCACTGGAGCTGCAAAGAACGAGATTAACCAGGAGAATCCCCTGGGCAACAACGGAGACGTTGCTTTGGCCTATGAGAGACTTTTGGAAGAGATCTACAAGGATCCCCCACCTACGTCTGTTGCTCCGCGATTTTTCAAGACTACCATCGGCCGATACGCACCATCGTTCTCCGGCTATGGACAACAAGATTCCCAAGAATTCCTTGGATTCCTTTTAGATGGATTGCAAGAGGATTTGAGCCGTGTAAAGAAGAAGCCATACATCGAAAAGCCCGATTCTACAGACGAGATGGTGAACAACCCCGAAGCCATTCGAGAAATGGCCGCCAAAGTCTGGGATATTAGCAAGAAGCGTGACGACTCTGTTATCTCGGATCTCTTCACTGGCATGTACAAATCGACACTTGTCTGCCCCATCTGTGCTAAAGTCAGCATCACATTCGACCCGTTCAACAACTTAACCTTGCAACTACCAATTGAGAACACCTGGTCTCACCAAGTTTTCTACTTCCCGTTGAATCACAGACCAATCCTGTTTGATGTTGATATGGATAAGCAAGGTAGTATTCTAGCTTTGAAGCAATTCATTAGCAAACGAGTAGGTGTTCCAACAGAGAGATTGTTCGCTGCCGAGGAATTCAAATCAAAATTCTACAAGACGTATGATAACTTCGCAGTCGCATCAGAGGAGATTGGAGGCAATGACAATGTTGCAATCTATGAGCTTGAATGCAAACCTACCAATTGGCCCTCGCCCCGGAAGCCGAAGCAGAAGAAAAAGTCGATGCTATCTTTCAATTACGGCAACCACAACGATTCCGATGAGGATGATATTCCTAATTGGGACGACCCTCTGGCTGACCGGATGCTCGTTCCCGTCTTCCACCGCCAGCCGAATTCTGAACGCACCTCAAGATACAATAGCAGGAAGCCTTGGGCCATCATGGGTGCACCCCATTTCATCATTCTTACCCCAGAGGAGGCAAGAAACGAGGAGGCTATCAAGCGCAAGATCCTTGAAAAAGTGGCCACATTTTCAACATCCCAGGAACTCGCTGAAGACGAGGATGATGTCGATGAAGCCGAGGCCAGTGCTGCTGACAGCGTTGACCCGGATATCGTTCTTACCACTGGTTCAGATGCCGATTCTTCTGGAGGCAGCAAGGTTGTGGCCACTTCCATCGACGGAGAAGATGAGCTCGTAGATGTCACTATGAAAGACTCAAACGGCGCTCAGGAGCCATCGGAAACCACTGCCGAACCTTCGAAATCGTCTGAACCAGTGAAGACTATGTAAGCACCCCAATCCCACTATTTTACGTTGCTGTTCTAACCGGTCTGAATTTGTAGTGAACCTCCACCATTCAAGCGACGACGTCCGAAGTTTGTCAATCCAAGATCTTATCTGAATCCATCGCTTCAGAATATGTTCGAGATTGGCTTTTTCGCCGGCTCCAAGGAAATGATTCCGTCAGGTTGGAATGTTGTTGATGAAGACAAGATCTACCCCTCAATTTCATCACGGAATCCACAAGTTTACCAACCCATTGATGAAGACTCTGGAAATGGATTTGAAGACGGTCGAACTGGATCCGAAAGCAGCGAGGAAGGTGTTTACACCAGCAATAGCACCAGTAACGGCTTCTCAAGCGCGACTCGTATGGTTGATGAGACTAGCGATGAAGACGAAGACGTCATACCAGCAATAGCCCCTCAAGTAAGTTAATATTCTCCTTGAAATTCTCTCCGACGGCAATATCTCCATTTACCACCCCCATCCCATGAACCTCCTAAAATTTCCTCGGGTTCTCTGACCGAAGACTAGGTTCTTCCTGTCCGACCGGCCGGACCAAGATCCGGGGTTAAAGTAGGTCAAAGACGACGCAAGCCTAATCTCAAAACTTACTCAAAAAAGGGCAACCAGGCAAATCGAAAACACCAAGTCATGGACGAGTTAGAGCCAGACGCGCCCGACGAAGGTCCTCTTGTACGGTTAGGCGAAGGCCTCGTGGTCGACTGGAACCCGCAAGCTTGGGAGACCTTGTTCTGCGGTCAGCCAGGCGACGAGATGCGGGGTGAGTCTACATGGGACAAGATGCCTAGGTTCGATGATCCTGAGCTCGAGGCCAAGCGGAACGCACTCAGACAACGACGAAAGAATGGCATCACCTTGGATGACTGTCTGAATGAATTTGGCAAGGAAGAAATTCTATCAGAAATGGATACCTGGTATTGCCCCAAGTGCAAAGAGCACCGGAGAGCCACCAAGAAATTCGAGCTCTGGAAGACACCTGACATTCTGGTCATGCATTTGAAGCGTTTCAGCTCTAGCGCAATGAGACGTGACAAGCTCGACGTTTTTGTTGATTTCCCAATCGAGGGATTGGATCTCACATCGAGAGTTATTGAGTCGGAAGAGGGCAAGCAAGAGATTTATGACTTGTTTGCCGTTGATGATCATTGGGGTGGACTTGGTGGGGGGCACTATACTGCGTTTGCCAAGAACTTTGTCGATAACGAGTGGTATGAATATAATGGTGAGTGACTTGTTGCATCACTGCGAAGGGTTTAACTAACAGAATTGCAGATTCCTCGGTCTCAAAGCAGAAAGACCCATCACGAGTTGTCTCTCAGAGTGCTTACTTGCTCTTCTATCGACGACGATCCGACGTCCCACTTGGTGGACCAAGATTTCAGCAAATTCTTCAAGACTTTGACAATCCTCCTGACGCCCCAGCCGACGACATCTCGGAGTCGGGGGAAGACCAGGGCCTCGTCGCAAACTCCTCCCTTCGTGGGTCGTCGAGCGCTTTGACAGGAGTAGGAGCAGCTCACCATCCTCCAAATGGTTCGGATGGCGCGGCGACGATGACAATAAATCCATCGGCCCTTGATTTGCCTCCCTACGAAGCCCACGACAGCAATGATGACGGCGTTCCGCTGATAGACAAGGAGGGTACCATGGCATGGGAGTCGGTGCACCGCAGCATCGAGCCTGCTGATGAAGCTATTGAAATGGAAGACAATACGTACAATCCCCTCGGTCACATGTTCACAAATTCTAACTGGAATTTCGCAAACTTGGGAGCAAACTCACGGGGAGACCAAATGATATCGGGAACCGGTTCAGATGCCGACGAGGATGGTGCAAGTGACGTTGTACAGCACAATTCTTCAGCAGGTGCAAGTGATGTTGCTGAGCGTATGCAAGACTTAGCAGACACAGATGCCGTAGATGAGGATGGCAACTCCATTAACCAAAGCCCCGTGCCAGACCTGGACGAAGAAGGCCAGGCAGCCAATATTGCTTTAACAGCCGACTTGCTGGAGAACATGCAACGAGCTGGCAACATGCCGATCTTCCAAGCTACCCCTCAATTCGAAGTCGACGACCGTCTGGAGGTAGAGGAACCAGAGGCGACTGAGATCCATCTTGACAATGATTCCGAGGACCTCAAGATGGATTGAGAGTTTGACTTGCATCGTTGTTTTGTATGGGAGTTGGGATCGAGTTGTTGTGCGGAGTGGGTGGGGATGATGGTGGTAATTGCATGCTGGTTGGCGTTTTCTCTTGTTGGCCTTGGCACACACTTGAGAGAAGAAAAGACATTGATGATCTTACGGATTTGGGAGGCGCACTGCTACTGCATACGCGGAGAGATGCAGTGCGATCGATCATGCATCACAGTGAGAGATACTGTATGACGCAAATAGAAACGGGCTTTGTTCTTAATAACTTGGTTGGGGTACATGTTCGCTGTGGCTACTTGATGACGATGCCTTTTGATATTGAAATTGAAGTTTGGCAAGTGCCTACATATTTCTTTGCGTGTCTTTGCTTGCTCTTCACGCCATTCAAGTCATTCTTCCAACCTTGCTCAGTCTGTATTACCCCTTCTCATACTCGACCATCGACGCAAGCGCATCTCCTCCAACACCATGTCTTGTGGGTGGGCGACGACAGAGTCGATGTATTGGGGCTCGCATTGAACTAAAATTGTATCAGCATTCGTTCACACTAGTGTATGAAGAGCGAGTTGGGAGGGAGACGAACCTCGAGCAGGGTGTTGATTCGAGTGACTACTACCGTGAGGATTGCTAGGAGGGTTGAAATGAGGCCGAAGGACAAGGCTAGGGTGTCACCCGTTGTGACTAGAGGGCTCCAGTTAGAGTTGGCTTTCCGGAGGTGGACAGTGACTTACGCATTTTGCTTGATGATCGATGTCGATCAAATTTGAAATTAAGTCAGTGAGGAATTTAACTTGTTTCTTGGGGAATAATGTGAGCTTCTGGGAGCAGTTGAAACTTTTGTTTGCTGCAAGGTCGAAGTCGTTGTCACGCCCGATGGTGGTATGGATCAAAGTTTGCGTTGGGGGTGCAGTATGCGGGTCATTTGCATGCCTCATGCTCGGTTGACCTCTTTACTCATAGCTGCAGATACATTTCCGTGCTAGCCAATCACGATGGGTACAGAACGCCAAAGGCAGACGCTGAGGTGTGCACCCTAATGTGTACGAGTTGTTCACGCTCTGCCCCATGTACTTCTAGCCACCTCGTGCTTACTCGCTTGTCGTCTTCCACAACTGGTAGGTGCCTAGCTGTGCCGTTCCCAGATTGCACACCTCTCGCCTGCGCCTGCTGTCGTCGTGGTCGGCCAATCTTGCTTCCAGCAGAGCGGCCTTGGGGCAGATTCACATTTCAACCCGGCCTAACGAGTCAATGGCTCGCATGGCGCCTCAATTCGACAGCAGCTCCGCCAATACAACTCACGAAATGCCCGCAAACATTTCCAGCAAATTGGAGACGAGATGTGCAGCGCGTTCATGGTTCATGGTTCATGGTTCATGGTGCATGGTGCACGGTGCACGGTGCACGGTTCACGGTTCACGGTTCACGGTTTATGGTTTATGGTTTAGGTTTTGGTTTATGGTTTATGGTTCAGGTTTTGGTTTATGGTTTAGGTGTTGGTTTATGGTTTTCGTGCTGGCACCGAGGGTTGTGACGCCCTGCTCGGAGTCCGGGGCTTGCATCGTAAAAGAATGAGATATACTCATCGTAAGCCATGGCAAGTTGCAGCTAGCGGTGTAACGAGCCTGCAGACATAAGTCCATGTTTTTAGTGCATTTCGCTGAGAAACGAGCCCCATAACTATTTTGGACGCTTTCATTTTATATTCATTTTTGGGTTTAAAGGCATTTTAAACTCAATCTATCCTTTTTCGTTGTGTGCGCTTGAACTATACGGGGTTTCAATCTGTAGTTGTGAAGTGAAGTGGGCGACTTTGGTTTTGTGATGCCTGAAAACATCGCTAAAAACAAGGACTTGTGTCCGCAGGCTGTAACCTCTGTCGCCCAACAGCAAGCCCGAATTTAATCACTCTTTCCCGTTGTCAAACCTGTCCCGTTATGGATGCAAGACGCGTAAAGTATCCCCATTTCATTCGTTCCCACTTCAGAGAGCATGGGGGAATACTTTTACATGAATTGCTAGGATACGAAGCAGCATTACGTCAAATGAGTCTACCATACATTCAAACCCCAAGGTCTCATCTCAGCTCTGAACCGGGCCTTTCGGCCACACACTTTCGCGCTCTATCGAGCAACTCTTGAAGGCTTCCATCTTACATGTAACCTGCTACCACCCCAAACGGCCGGGGAGGTGGGCAGTCACAAGCCTCACGGCACGTTCGCTCATACTAGAAATGCTTTCTACGGTTGCACTTTTGTACAATAAATCCATAGCTTAGCACGTCCCCATACCCCATGGGAGGTCACAGGAGGTAGCCAGTTTCAATAATACCCCGCCGGACGTAAATCATCATCATCATCATCATCATCAAACCCCAAGGTCACCCCTCACGCAGCATACAATTCACTACACAAGTTGTGCGTGCCCGTTCTCCCATCGATTCCCAATTGTTGATCTCCATTTTCGCAGATGCATCTCCTCTACCACCACAACCTGCGGATGCTGAGCACACGCGGAGTTATTGTGCTGGACCCGTTGACCGTTATCTATAGACAAAGGCGTCAGTCTAATTCCTCTTAGGCTCTTATCCAGTGCACTTTGTTGCACTTACTTCGAGCAGCTTGATTTCTGCGGGTTACGACGATTGTGACGATCCCAAGCACGGTAGCAGTCAGGCCAAAGGACAAGGCTAACCAATCACTGGTTGACACTGTGGAATAAACGTCAGATTATGAAGAACGATGAGCGAATAATTAAAGTAAAACTCACGCATTGGAGTTGGCTAATTGAATATTTTTCTATGGTGAAATGTGGTGCACGCAGGGAATTGTTGCTTGGGCAGATTGATGTTTCTCGTGCAGCAAGGCTGTGAGTGACCACGATTTGAATTCGAGTTGTAGGGGCCTGTGGGGTTTGAGCGTGATTTGAAAAATAAACGAAGCCCAAAGAACCTCAAGAATAGACGGAAGAATGGAAAAGGGCTGGTTAGAATTTATATCTGAAATAATTCTAAGAATCTTGGTTGGGGCTCGGGTTGTCTTATATCGCATGCCAAACCAGGGAGTAGATCAGAAAACTTTGGACGATTATTGCAGGCGTCGCTTCAGGTGGGCGTGAGCGTGGGAGGAAGAGAATCAATGAAGGTTGAAGGTATGCAAGTAAAAAGAGGCAAGGCCATGGAGAAGATGGAGGTGTGCATGAAAACTCCGGTTGTAATGGAAGTTGTGACGGCTGATGCAGATGATAGGCGGTGCCACTCTTTCCCACTCCAGATCCTTGCCAGCGACTTTGAAATGTGGCATGCCAGGCGAATGAGAGTACTCGAGACAATGAGAGAAGATGGAGAAAGCCCGCGCGAGGGCAGGGGTGCAGGGAAGGTACTACTTCTTCTAATGGGGAGGGAGAATGCGAAGGCCGAGGGCAGGCGCACCGTTTGCTTGCTTGCTTGCATCCCTGGCTACGCGGGACTGAGGGAACACGGGAGGGAGGAAGCGAATCAAAATCCTTCAGCGCCGACGATGCCGACTCAGTCACCCTGATGAGACATCCCACCTACTGCCACGTTGGCTCGAGGCATTAAGCGGACGAGTGACAAGAAGTCGCTCTCGGGCGCCGTGATATTGAGTGACCCGGCAAATTGGGGATGCGCATGCTGCGCTGCAGAGCAACCCTTGCAGCCCTCTTTGGGCCTTTTGCTATGCTCCACTATCGACGGCCCCATCTCCAAGGTTGTTTCTATTTAATAGCTATAGAGATGGTGTACCGCACTGCAGGTGCAATGGTGTGGTTTCAGCACGGCGGGAGGGAAGACTTTATCAAATTCGCCTGAATTCGACGCTTCGAGGAACAGTGCCCTTTCCCTCACTCACTTCATCTGAACCAGGCGTTGCTGTCCCTCAGAGTGTCAAGGCCACAACACTACAAGGAGGACAAGGCAGATGCATCCAATTTTCCAGAGAACGCCACAAGGACGTCAAGCAGGTGGTAAGCTATCGATCAATTTCTGATCAAGAGAGCAAGATTACACTCTAATCTTTGGTGGCGCAGGCAAGGCTAAGACTCGGACTTGCTGGCGGGCCTGGTTACCTGCCTGATATTACCTCACCTACTCCACGTCAACTCCAGCCCTACAGATACCTAGAGAAATTGGTACACTTACTTAGCACTCTATCTTTATAATTTCCTCCAAGTAATTAAGCCATATCTGACACATGTCGACGTTGAAGGCTTAGAATAACTCGTGTGAAGTAATTGGCAAAGCTCTCCTGCAAGGTAGGATGGACTCTTTCCATTCCCCATTGACTGGTATACACTGTCCATCCATCTCAGTTCATGCTTCTCCCTTGGTTCAAGAATCCTTTCTCGGAACGCTCTTCAATCGGTCTGATTCACATCTCGCCAATTTGAAATGGCTAGTAATGGTATGCGAAGCTGAACGTAATGACTTAGTTCGTGGTGGTAGTCGAATCGGGGTTTCCAGAAGTCGTTAAAAGTGAGGGTAGCCAATGACGCAACCTTAGGAGAACCGAGTAATTTATGAGGCAGCTTTAGAGAAGTCGATTAATTTATAAGGCAACATCAGAGGAATCAAGTAATTTTACTAGTAAGGCGACCTCGGAGGAACCAATTAAACCATGAGGCAATTTCACGGGAAGCGACCAACTTCACCGATGAGGCAGCTTCAAGGAATCAGTTAACTTCGTACCACCCTGCAGGTACTAAACACAAATCCCTCACATTGCCACTCTGGGAAGTCACCGCTGAGGCTTAAACCATGATGCACCTAATGCTGAAGCTTATCTATTTGCCGGGCGATTGGTATTCCGCCACAGTCGTGTCCCAGAAGCCCTAAACTTCTTTTTGGTGAGTAACATCCCGCACATACTGTCTCTGACTGCCTTGAGGCTCGAGCTCCTGGGCCAACTGAGCCAGCTGACCGGTTCAGGAGCCACACGTGCTTCCTCGAAAGCCTCACAGCGCGGCAACTTCGGAGGAACACATCCGAATGTCAAAAGAAATAGAATCTGTGGGGCTGCGGCTTCAAAGCGTTGTCTCGCCAAGGTTCGCCACAAGGCTGGATTAGATGCTTGGGTAAAGGAGGGCTGAGGCTGGGGGTAAATTTCTTCATATTTTCTTTGCATCCGGCCATGGTAGGAGGAGGAGAGTTGGTCGACAGACACGGCCGATGAAGCGTAGTGAGAGAACCCAAATCATGAGGCATCGGCTGGCGTGGGCGTTTCTTTGCCCTTCTCTGGTTGGACTTTTAAAATCCATAGAACCCTCTGCATTCGAACTGAAGCCCCATCCACCAAGTGCCGGCTGCCTCTCGTCCTCCGCTTCCTCCATGCCCAGCACGAGGTGGTGGGTTGCCTTAGCCGCAGCTCGCCGAAGTCAAACAGAAATAGGACTCGGCCGCGACCCCAGCCTAACGACTAACGTGCGCCTGTCGAGGAGAAGCCTGTTCCATAGGTCGACCGCCGTTTGTAGATAGAAATTTGGAATGGCTTTGGAGGATACAATCTCTGGTCATGGTAGCTGGGTCTGAATATGCTTGACCGAGGCAACTGAGATTTAACAAGTGAGGTGATAAGTCGATCATCAGGGGTTAAATTTTTGCTCGACTATTAGTCAATGAACAGGGTGGTGTATCTCTGAGATCGAGCCTCCCACCCTTGATAAGTTAAACCAATTGAGCCTGAGGTGACCGAAGCAAAAAGTCTAGACGGTGACATAGTTAAACGAGGCAATGCGGCTTTTATGAAAGAGCAGCGTTCGTAGATGCATCCAGTGGGGTTGAACTTCACCCTAATACGATGAGATTCTCCAGTACAAAGAATTTAGAACTACACCAAATAATGAATATTGCGTTTGATATGAAGGTTTAGAGCCTACGTAGCTCGATTTCAGCTCCCGACGTCAGACCTCTTCAATGTGGACCACCTCCTTAATCCCATCTCCTCCATCACCATTTCTTCGTACACTTGTATTCCATCTCCTTGCTGGGTATTTGGGCGCCGTTCGAGATCTGTTGTCGCTGAGTGCTAGTTAGCCTTGGTGTACAGACTGAGGACTTCCAGACCTGAGCGAAATTGACAAACAAAAAAGAGATTATTGGGAAACAAACTCGCAATCTGGTAAGCCCTTCGGGTAACAAACACAGTGACAATTGCAATGAAGGTTGAGGCGAAGCCGAAGGACAAAGCTATCGTGTCGTTGGTAGAAACTAAAATAGTAAGTCGCTTGACGAGGCTCAGGCGTTCAGGGAACGAACGCATTTGTAGATTCGCCGATTGGACAAAAGATTATGATCGAATATTCGTTAAAGGGGGATGAGAGAATTTATAAGAGGAGGAGGAGTGTTTACAGCAGAAGGAGAAAGCAAGAAGCATTGCTCTAAATGTTCCCTTTTTCTGGTGGTCGGGAGTGGAGATATTTATGAGTTGGTGCGAAATTTCCCATGGCGTGGAGAGCGGAGTAGAGAGCGGAGTGATCGGTGATGGACAGGGGCTGTTTACTGCGTACGGTCAGGGTTAGCCTCTCGAGTACGCCCGGCCACAGTGTGCTGGGCAGAAAGCGCGATCGAGAAGTGGCTGTTGGAATTCATGACTGCGATGGTAGTGTTGTCGGGCAGTTACATCACTAGAAGGTGTCACTCACCAATCGCCCACACCCCCTTCCCGCTCAACTTGGATTTTGGAGACCTTAACGCTACAAATTCAAAGAATTAACACGATATTCACAATATTTCGAGTATTCTCTATAATCTGGAAAGTTTTTAGAATTTTCCAAAGACTTTGAAAAATCGAAAAAAATTTGGTGGGGTAGGCGTGACGCTGGAAGGGGGTTTGGTGACTCTTGTGGCGTCGGAAAGCTATGCTGACGAGATCTGACGAGCTCATGCAACTGGGGTTTCTGGATTTCCCCCGGTATCACTCTCCGGGGACTGAAGCCGCCAAGTGCCAAAACGAACTTCATAGGCCATCGATTTGGGAGAACCCTCCACTCAGGAACCAACTCGGCTTTTTGGAACACCACTGCATCGCAGCACCAAGCTAAGCAAGGGGCAAGTACCAGTGGCGTAGGAAGGGTGCGGAGGTGTTTGCCTCAAGTACCGCATGCAGGCGGATAGCAGATTGCTACTGCTGCATTGATAGCATCAACTCGGGTCTTTAAAACTTCACCAGTAAAGGTAATATGATTTGTTCTTAGACGTTATGACAATAATGCCCGAGTCAAAAATATAAGGACAATTGGAAGAGGCAGCAATGCAGGCTGGCTGCAAGACCTACTCTACGGATAGAGGTCTGGCGCAATCGATATGCTGGGCGTTGATGGTATCTAGATACATGCTCGCGTGTTTTGCCCGCAGTCCTTGCAAACAACGTTAGGGAGGACCGCGTTTTGCCTCACTTCTACTTGTAGAATCCCCGCGGACGTGCGCTTGCACTGCTATTGGCTAATTTGGCAGCCCAACATCCGATGACAGAACGAAGATTGAGCTGAGCGTCTCGATCGGGACTCGCCCTCCCAGAAGCTTATTCTTGGAAATGACACTATTCAGTGGTCCACGGTCCACGGTCCACGGTCCACGCTGCTTTTCCCTGTCTATCAGCTGCAAGCGGGAACGCAAGGCTGGGATCCAATCAGCGTGCAAAGCCACTGAAGATCTCAATTGCCCATAGGCGCATGGCAAGAGAGCCAATAGAGTCGATAGCCCTGCCAACTTTGGCCATTTCGATTTCTTGGTGGCCTAAACTAAGCAATATGCCGCTGCATTGTCAGGTGCCTAGGTTCCGAAGAGAAGGAATTCTCCGTTTGCACAAGGGTCGCTTCACCCGTGCAAGCATCCCAAACGATCCAAAGGACTGCAATAAACAGCATCCATTGCTCGTCTCTATCTATCTACTCCCACTCCTTAATTTCTCCTCACACTTTTCACTCAGACCTATCATACACAATATCCACACATTACCCTCTCTGCTACACCGCACCTCTTCCCTTCTCTTCCCACGCCTCCTCTCCCAAAAACACGAAAGAATGGATAGACGCTCGCTGAACAGCAAACCCACCCCGGCACCATTGCAAAGAAGAACGCCGCCCATCCCATCAGGTATCATAATACCCTCTTTCCCAAACCCAAATCGTTGCTGATCGATCACTGTATTTAACACCACTCCCTACCTTATCACCCTAAGGAACCCTCTGAAAAATCGGTTTGAATATATATCTCTGGTCTCCAATCCAATACCTCAAAACAGGTTCGGTTATTGTCATAACGGGCTCTGAATCCCGCCTCCAGAGTCGGAGGTAAATACTTCCTCGGGTGTATCTTCTTCCCGGAATTTGATTCCGCCTTCAATATTGATACCTCCGCTAACCCATTCCTGCTCTGCGACTTTCTCGAGAGCCCATCGGCTCCGTGCTCGCTTGAGAAGTCCTTCGGTAACGAGCATTGCGCCTTCCAGGCCTCGTTCGCTGAACTTCTCAGGATCGCCTTCGTGATCCCCTTCTTCGCCAGCATATTCGATCCACCGCCATTCCACTCTCGCTATTCGGTGAGAAGTGCGACTTCGTTGTTTATGTCCTTCTGACATTCCCGGATTAGGATCGAACGGTAATCTGCTTTCTAGTAATGCGTAAAGAAGAACTCCGAGTGACCAGGCGTCTGTTGCTCTGCCGTCGTACGGTTGCCCCATAATTACTTCCGGCGCAGCGTAATCGTCGGATCCACAGCGCGTCGTCAGTTTTTCGTCATCTGCAACACGTCGGGAAAGACCCAGATCAGTGAGAGTGACGATTGAATATGGATATGTAATCCAGTCCTGCTGACGGGACAGTTCGTGCTGTGGGAGGTTGACAAGGACGTCTAGCATTCAAGTGATCAGCAGTAAACATTCAAACAACCATAATACATACTCTCAAGTTTGATGTCTCGGTGCACGATATGACGATCGTGCAGATATTGAACGGCCGCTACTAACTCAGAGAACATCCTCCTCAGCAGTGAGGGAACAAGCAGATTCCGGTGCTCGCTTGCCACTTGAAAAAGATCTCCGCCAGGACAATAACTCAGTACCAAAATAGCACGTGTTTCCTCGATATTCCATGCCTTGAGATGGACCAGTGAAGGATGGTGTATCGTTTTCATGATCTCCAGTTCTCGCTTCAGTGACATCTCAACTCGTTCTTCCGAAGCTCCTCCCTTTGGTCCATGCTCACAGATCTTGACTGCCACTAGTTTCTTTCTGTCGATTCTGCTCTCTTGAACAGGCGTAAGAATCCCATCCATCCGTTCCCTGAAAACATCATTCTCGTCGATCCGGTTATCTTCTTCAGGCACTTGACTTGTTGCCAGCATGACTTTGCTGAAAGTGCCTTGCCCTAACAGTTTCAAGGCTCGCCATCTCCTCTTCTTGGAGTCTCCTGGAGTATACGCCTCGAAGTACTCATGTCGAGACTTTTTGTGTAGTCGGGGTAAGTTTGCAGTAGATAAAGATGAGTCACTGTCACTACTTTCTGCTCCGGTCCTACTCGATGGCGGAGTTGGTGGTGTTGGAATCGGAGCCAGTCCCCTTTGTACAGCCAAATGTGGTTCCCTCCGCATATGCATATCCGTAGCTGAGTCCGGAGTTGCATCAATCGGCGCATGGGAGCCTGAGACAGTGATCTGCCGCGGTTTTGGCACCTGGATAGCTTCAGGTATATACTCACTGATGCTGCGGTTCCTCCCATGTTCTTCTGCGTTCTTCTCCTTGTTTATCTGTAGCCCGGACTCGTTTGGAGTCGCCATTAGCCCATGGTATGCCCTCCGTTTCGACTGGTTCGCAATGGCGGCAGATATGGACTCGCCATTCGCCGTAACGAGGGCCGAGTCTGCGGTTATGGGGATCATGAGTTCGCGTGAGGCTGGTCGAGAAGTGAGTTGCTTCCAAGGGCCGGGGGAATCTCCGGTCATAAGCGGTGAGGGGAGCGGAGTCACATCTGCCATAGCATTCAGCATTGGCGAAGATAAGGCAGAGTTGGGGGCCGAGCCAAAGTTCGAACTGCTGCCTACACTGGTCGCGAAGACGTTCTTTATGCTTGGTGTTCGATCCAAACCGAACGATGTAGACTTCGAAGGTATCCTGGTTGACTCACTCGGGCTTCGTCCTGTGGTATTTGCGCTCGCTTCCGTGACAGTATATCCAGGGATAATATCGGTCTGTATCCGCAACCCCGCGCTCAGAGGGCTCGAGTATTGAATCGGGGAATCGAAAGGAGGAAGGCGGGATGCGGTATGGAGAGGAGTAAGGAGAGAGGAGTTGGCAGAAGGATTTGGGGGGGGCGACGGTGCTGTCGTGTTCGATATGAATATCGAGGTGGAGTCTGGCGCCTGCGCGAGTGGAAATGACACTGGAATAGTTGAATCCCCCCTCCGATTCTGCTCATTCATCGCAGCAGCAGCAGCAGCAACCCTCCCGTCAACTGACGAAGACTCTGGCGGCGGCACATTGTTGCTTTCGTGAGTTCGCGATGTGGGTGTTTTGGGATCGAAGTCGGACATGACGCGGGGGCACAGCAACCATTTATTGGCGCACCTAGCCCGACGGTGTTTCTATTCGGGGAGATATACATGCACGGAGTGCCAATCTGCCCGCTGTACCACCTATCTCGACATGGTCCAGCGAGACTGATTGTTACTGGCGGGCAGCCACATGGAGAAGGATGTGGGAGTGATGTCGAGCTCTAGAGGGGGACACGGAAGAGAGGAGGGCAAGACGGAACGTTACCAGACGGCGTCGACACCAATGAGGGACGCATTTTAGCGAGGGTTAATTTCGACCGCCAAGCACTGGGACCCGAGAAATAAAGGCTGCCGTCAATAAGCGCACATCCTATCCGTCAAATGTTATTATTTATTTTAGACCATCATGCCTTTTGTCCTTTATCTCTCGGACATTCTACCATAGTACTAAAAGCTCAACTTGACTTCCTCTTCAATTAAATCGCTCTGGGCTTCCCGCAGCTGGATGCCGCTTACGAGGCTACGCTCCAGCCAGCCTGAAATAGCCTCGGAGCACTAAACAGCCCAAGCTTGGGTACCCAACACCTCACTATCTGACGCGGCGTGAAGTCTCGGCCTTTTCAGCCCATTAATAGTGGTTCATTATATCCAGATTGGGAAGCACCCCTTCGAATCTGATCATCATGACAGCACTTGACATATTTGCGCTGTTGGATGAATCATGAATCATGATTCATGATGTATCTCGTATCATCGTCCACGACCGAACACGGCACGAGGGAAGACACGTAGCTGTGAATGGCTGACAGTGTGAGCCAATCTCAGGTACCCGGAGCCGGAACCTTACTAGGCTGCATGCGGGATAATCTTGCCGAGGCCGGTCACGTGGATCTCACGAGCCGCTACTCCTCGAGAGAGTGCGAGTTCATGATCAAGCAAAGCCTCACACTGCTTCCGATGTTTCAACTTTACTTATATCCCAACCACCCACTTTGTCGGCCATTCTTAGGGTATATTTAGTCGGCAGTCTTTCTTCGCAAGCCCTTTCTGCTCAAACTCAAGTCACATGTTCAGTCCCAGGGTTTCCTGGGAACCCCTCTTCTAAAAATAGATATGTTGCACATCTCACAAATCTAAGCAATGTCAGATGTGCAACAAAACAAACCTCTCGAGAGCCACTCGTCACCTGAGGGGGAAAGATTTATTCCGTACCAGTTGTTTTTTTGGGACCAGTCTTGAAGTGACATAGATTAGCTGACGTCCCCCAAAGCTGTTTGTATTGCACACCACCGCCATGAGGTTTCAAAATACTCCTTCCTTTGGGAGTTTAAAACCTTGAGAGGGATTTCATTCGCTCTGAAGAACCCCCTTGCGTCGAAAAGATCCGCCCAACGTGCAACACAACTCAAGGTGGGAAGTCATCCTTCAACGAATTGGGGCCGGGGGTGGGGATTTCTCACTTGAATTCACGGGAGACCATATTTCCCAATCACAGTTGTCTGGATAATTGATAACATCTGTATGATTATTTGAGGGAGTTCTGCTTTCGGCTTTCTGCTTTTTCAAGAACGCGGCTGTGTTGCATATCGGATCGCGTTTTAATAATCACGTCAACTCCTTGGCTCTTAAGCTTTGTTGCAAATCGCGTCTGACCTCATCTTAAAATGGCACCCTAACAGCAGACCATTGAGAAAATGGCTGCAATCAAGAGGGGTTGAAAGGGTGGGGAATGGTGAGAGAAACTAGCAAAGCAGACTCTGAAGCCTGACAAGGCAACCACGCATCACTAAGACTACTTCCAATTTCGCTCCTTCCACCCATTGCGTCAGGAAGCTTTGCCTCGCATGGGTTCGGAGTAGGAAGAGGTAAAGGGGGTCGACTAAATTTACGCGAGCCCCTTTTCGTTGGCTTCAAAGCCCGACTCCCCTACTTTTCTGGCACATCGATCCTGGGCACATCTTAGAGCCTTTTCACTATAAAATTCAAATGCCTCTTACAAATCGCAAGTCTTTTGCGGAAAGGGGAGCAAATGACCTTGATTAAGTAAAAGGGATCATCTTCGCTTAAATTGAACGAGTCGTGATCCTCTTCTTAGGCGCTAAAATTGCAGTGCGCTCTCATGTAGCCAAATGGGTCCAATCACTGATGAATCGATCTTCTTCAAGGACACTAAAATTGCAGTGCGCCCGTGGATCACCGCGACATTCCTTCAAGCAGCACCGGACATGTTCTCCAAAAAGCAAATCTCGCATGCACGAGACCAGCCTTGCGCGAGTGAGAACCTTAAGGTGGCCCCGCTAGGCGGATTAAACGTGGTTTTAGTGGTAAAGCGGAGGCCATATCTTTCGAATCACTTAGGGAATCATCATACAACTTTCATCCACCAGTGATCGGTTTCAATAGCACACTTCCTAAACTCGTCTATCCTACTCCTAACCCCACACCTTTTTCATCCTCTCCCCATCTCAAACAGTTGTCCCTGCCCCCACAAACACCACCAAAACAGCCGCATACGCCGCCGTAGCCGCAATCATATCCTTACTCTCCGCTTCATTCATCCAAATCGCCAAGGTCAACCCAACAGCTAGCGTAAAAACGCTCGTCGTAACTACGGACACCAGCTTCCTGGGGTCCAGCACCATAATCAACATTGGCACAATCAGCGTAAGGCCCCCAAACGTCGACATCGCCATACGATTCAGCAACCCTCGTTTTCGGCATTTGGCGTTGAGACGGTCGGCGCGCTGGAGGTGGGCGGGAGCTTGGGTTCGAGAGAAGTCTGCGAGGTCTTTGAACAGGGTGTTGGAAATGGACTTTATCGTGGCCAAGGCGGAAGGGTCCCATTCATGATGGGATGCGCATTCGAGCATGGCGAGGGTGCGGCCGTAGGTATCGTAATTCGGAGGCGTGACGAGGTCGACGGTTTGCATCATGCTCGTTTTCCAGTACTCGAAGGATTTCACTGCTTGCGCTGGCGCTTGATCAGCCTTCCCCTCCCCTACACCCAGATATTTGAAGAACTTACTGTACCGCAGCAAATCCTCGTGAAGTCTATCCCGTCTCTCAGCCGTCCATACTGGCAAGATCAGCTTCCCTCCCTCTTTGCGTTTGAAGGGGGGATGAGCTACGGTCTTTATACACCTCCTCTTCACTCGCCGCCACCCACACATGTCTTTGTAATCTAGCGGTCGCCCATAACAAATTATCCAGGTAAAACGTCCGCACCATCCGACGATGCAGATTCATATCGCTGATCTGCGGGACGGGAATCACCATCTCGCCTGGATCGTACTTGTTCAACAACGCCTGTTTCTTCTCATCAACCTTTTCACCCTCTTCTGGTAAGATTGATGTTTCCTTCTTTTCTGAAGCAGTCTGGCGCGCCCTGGTAAGTGGACTTGTGGGAGCAGTTTTGAAACCTTCCGTTGCGAGGAGAGGATTGTCGTATAGAATTGCTGGTTTCGAGAAGACGGGGGTCGGAGGTATTGGAGTCTCGATTGTCTTGGTAGTTGAAGCTTTTGAGAGTGGTGCGGAGGGAAGTGGCGAGGTTGACATTTCTTGTCTAGGCTGAGCTGTTGATGCTGAGCGAGTGCGCGAGCGCAGCCGTGGTGTTTGAGGTGAGCTTGGTTGTGCTATTGATTGGGAACGTGTGCGGGACCTTGATCGGATGCGATTCGGTGCCTGCGCTTCAAGATCTGCCGAGCGGGTAAAGAAGCGCATTTTCAGGGTATAGGAATGAGGGTTGATAAAAAAGAAGGGAGTTTAGGGAGCGTGATGAATGGAAAGTTTCCCGAACTTGCAGAAATGAGGTTGTGGGCTGGCGGAAAAGTTGGGAAGGAGCGTGGGTGGCACTTGCCTGTTTGTTTCCACCAGAAAGTCGAGAATGAATTGGGCGACTCGAACGAACGAGGGCTATGGCAAAAAGCAATCTATGATCTACCTCTAAAGTCTAGTCTATGTCTGTCTAATAACCTCACGCAGCCTCTGATATTGGTACATTTTTCTACAGCCTCGCTCTGAAAGCTTTATTCCCCTCCTTCAAAGGCTCACTCTCACTCGGACCAACATCATCATCTGTACTCTTCGCCGGGCTTCCTGCCGTCGACTTCTTCTTCGGTGCGGCATGATATCCACCATTCTCATTATCCGTATTCGTCGCCACCCCATTCTCGTCCCTCTGAATGCCCAATTCAACCAACTTCGCGAACACCTTCGAAAAATCATCGAAGAATCTGTCTTTGTCCCGAGCATACAGCTCCACCCATGGCTTAAATTCTCTGTCCTGGGTGAGAGCAATGTCGGTCGGCAGCATCATGAGCTCTGTCTCCGAGTCTTCATCATAGTTGACGAACTGTTCGACTCCATTCTTCAACGTCTTCTTCTTCCATTGCAATGAAAGCAAAAGCCGGAAGTATTGATTAGAAAACCTCGTAGGATTGTTTACCCACGCCCCTTCAAAGCCAGACCGATCACTGTGGCATCTCCCTAGACTATGCGCACCTGACAATGCCACAATTTCCTGGTCATTGAACCCCATACGATAAAATATCCAGCGAAGATGATCTGAGCCCTTTGCGCCATCTGGGAGTCGTCCGTGTGGGGGAAGTTTGCTGTCATCCACAAAATCTGTTCGCCCTCCTTGCCATGGAATTGAAGGGCCACCCATCTCCTTGATTGCCACAACGCCTGCCAATGTCCAGAGATCCGCGTAGGTTATCCATGGGTGTGCAGCCTTGACGGGCTCGAGAAAGACTCGGGCGTGTTGTAGGCCTGCGTTCGCGGGGTCGCCACCTTCGTGTTCATATCGCATTCCAGCTCCGTTGGAACCGCCTGTATCTGTTGCGGCGTCGTATGTTCCTGATGAGTGCCTGCGATGTTGTCAGTACCTGTGGCGCGGTGCTGAAGTTGATAATTGGAATTGTAAGGTGAAGACCCAAATGAAAGACGTACCAGGCAAGGCGAACCAGAACCGGCCCTGCGCTGCCATCATCATACTCAGGCTGATGCAGCAGCTTGGCAATGTCCTTTCGAACGGCGGCGAAGTTTCCCTTTTCATTCATTTTGTCTACCTGTTTCTCAAAGAAGAGAAATCCACCAACCAGTCTATGAAACGAGAAATCTATGAGAGAAAGGAAAAGAGAGGAGAGAGAGAAACGTGCGATGGCGTGTGAAATCGACAATTAGAGCAAAAAAAAACCCGGAACGCAGTTGCAAAAAGAAACGTGATGCCTCGGCTCGCGGCAAGGTTAGCTGGTGGTTCATACCTTACCGTGCAGTAATTTGTTGAAAAGTGGTTCGAGAGGCATGGTGGGTCTTTGATGATTCATGAAGCTTGTGATCGAAATGAGTGTTATCGTCTCAAGAAAGTTGGGGCGCGCTTTGAAGAACCGAGGTCGGATCTGCATCGACAGGCGTGGGTTGACATTTCCCAGGCATGGGTCGGATTAAAGTCGAGCCGCGTCCGAGCTCTAGAGCTCGGAGCTGACTAATCCCGCATACCTGTGGTGATTGTTTGGTGGTTCTCACCTCCGACCCGCTTCGCACGCCTTGTACGAAGGCGGCGGGCATTAAAATTTGTCTAATTCACTAAGCGAAAATTTGGGAAGTCCTGGGGCTGCGCTATTATAAATGTCCCGCAATTTCTCCCCAAATTTAATCGTTATAAAATTCTTGGAAAAGATTAACGTACTATTTTTCTGTTGTATAAGCCTCTTGTAGAAAGTTTTGGGCGTTGCGTTGGGGATTAGTGCGACTTTCCGCACAAGGTAATTTTGGTATTCTCGCGCGCACTCTGCAAATGGACGATTTTCAATGCCCGTCGCCTTCGCAGGTGAGGGATAGCGATACGAAATCTGAGATTTTGGTGGCACCCCCCAAAATTCGCCCTTTTTCTCCCTTTGAATTCTCACAACGCAACGTATTAAAACAGTGTCTAAGTGTTGGGAATTGATCCCGAGGCGTAGGCCCTTTAGCTTAGTAAATTTTAAGACTAAAAAATTAAGGCGTTGTTATAATGCAGATCTGTCCGATTTGCCTATACAAATTTTGGTGCGATTTGCGTATCGCTGTTCTGTGCGTATCGCTATCCCTTACTTACAAGGCGTGCTAAGCTGGCTGGAGGTGAGAACCACCGAACGATTAGTGCGTGAAGGACAGCCTCTCCTCTTTAGCATGCTCAACCATCACGTCAAACAAGTGGATGAGAATTATAGTTAGCCGAGCAAGAGAAACAGTAGCCAAGCGCGAAAATGGTGTAATAACAAACCCAGCACCCTGAAGGTACTTTCGTCAGTCCTCAGCCTTGCGGCCTTACGAAGGCGCGCCGAATGGAAAACCGTCCGTTTCGCTAAGCGAGAGTTTTGAAAATCATTCCCTCACCTTTAAAAAATCGTAATAAAACTCCCTAAAAGTTTAGAACCACGAAACCATAACAAAAGTTACTTTGACTTCTTTTCTATTACATAAAGCTTAATTTAAAGTATTCGAACTTGATAGTGCTACGATGCGCAATTTTAAAAAAACTAGAGATTTTGGTGTTCCTTGCCTTAGGCGAAAATGGACGGATTTCGATTCGGTGCGCCCAGGCGCCTTCGTACTGGGACACGATGCTGGCATGGACGATTCGAGGTGAATCTTCAGGAAAGCAACTTCTTACTTCCCATAATACCCTGGATGGGTTGAAATCATTTCTTGAACCTAATTCCTGAACTTTCATTATCTTCGAAGTGAAGATTTCCTTCATCCTGAGATGTGGGGGTCCGATCAAGTATTGATGGATCATCTATGATGGCTATGTCAGGATCCGCAATCCATCGATTACAGACTGACTGGAGAGATTTTGACTTGCGCAAACAACTGCTGCAGGTAACTCCAAAGCTTGCCATTCATTCGATCGTCTCACACGGTGGCGTAACTGGAAGCTGGCTCTTGGGCCAGTGATCGTCGACTGTCTCAGTGGATCATCCAAACTCTATGCTGCAGCTAGGAAGTTAACGTCAAAAAGCGAGCCATATATTGGAGTCGTTCATTAAAAGCAAGATTTTGACTTGTCAAAACGAAGCTTTTGTTTACACGAGGTGGGGGGCTGGTATGGCAGATTGTTCACGTGACTGTGAAAAAGCCTCATCACATGACCCGGAGTATTATTTGACCGGGCGCTGCAGTCTTAAGGGGGGATTTAGGGTTTCTCCCCCTAAGATTAAAGACTACTTTTGCCTTACCCTACTGCCTCCTTTCCATAAAGGGGGGTTTTGGGGGGTCTCCCCAAGATTAAATACTCTTTGCTAACTAAGTCCTCTTTTAAAAGAATACTTTCTCTTGCGCAGCTTCGTTACTGGGGGGGGGGGGCCTGATATACTCTCTTAACGAGAGAAAATCCGGCTTTTACTCTTTGCATTTGCACCTATTTATGCGGCCCCTGGTGAATTTGAGAGGGGTGTAGAAAGAGTAGAGTGTGGCCCAAGAGCAAACGTCACGTGGCAGAGTTGGAATTAAACGCTCTTACTTCTTCGGCGCTTTGCTTCACAGATCTCAGCACTGTGCTGTGCGGCGAGCTTTCTGTGTTTCCAGGCCCCGCTACTCATTGCTCAATCATCCCGATGCACATCCTAGGTTCCTTGTTGGACTCTAATTGGCTGCTTTGAACTTCCTTGTTGGACTTTAATTGGCTGCTTTGAACCAGCCTACAGACCTCCTACGGAACCATTACTGAATTTTCCTCGTCTTCCTCCTCCCAAACAACAACACAGTTGGAATAATCAATCACAATGGGCAGGTTCTTTCGTAACCGTTGCAGAAGTTCATCACTATTTTTCTTTACTAACTATTATTGAGCTGTCGACATTACGAACACCATAATGGGCGCCTTAGGTGCAGTTTTGGCTATGGGAGGTATTTGGGCTACAATCTGGGCAGCTCGAAGGTACCACAACAAGACAACAGGTACGTCTTTTCATTTGGCAAATCCCACTACTTTAAAGGCTCGTCTTTCCAACTGTCGTATTTTTAACATATATATATAGAATGCGCGCGAGTCTCCGATGTCGAATTTGGTCTCATCGAGAATGCCTCACCGATTCCTACCACGCACGAAGACGAATCCCAGGACCTCATGACTCAAACCCCAGCTCTAGATGCTGAAATTTGTAGACAAAATGTGCTGAAAGTATTTGGGGAAGCTCTCGTGGTAATATCGACTTTGTTGTAGGGTCAAAATGATGGGTGTGGGAAAGGATGGTGGTACCGGCGAAGCATTGCGTAAGGTAACCTCCACGTCCCTGGGATGGAGGTTCAGTAGGAGGACAGTGTTGCACGGCTCTGGTGTATTTATGTCTTGTTAGTAGCAAGGTTGCAAAAAGTCCCAAGAGATCTGCTATGCGTGACGCCGCTTCATCTCGAATATGCCGTACTCGAGTACTCGGTGACAGCTTCAAGTTACCGGCTCCACGAAATCGATGTTCGGTGGAAAATGATAGGTCATTGATCTCGGCACAGTAGGCAACAGAAACAAGGGACGATGCACCTGTCCAGCTAAGGAGGGCCGCGCCGCTGGATAAGACGACACAACTTCACAAGGAGCACCAAGGCGACGCCGCTGGTCCTCGATACAATGCTCGAAGCATTCGGCTAGCCAGACCACGCTGAGTATCTTCCAACGGCTGACCGCTAGAAAGGCCCATTTCGAGGAGGTGGGAAGGTCTCCGAGGTTGAAGTTGGACGTACAAATTTCGAGGGTAAATACTGTCACATGAAAAACTTAACAATGCCATTCCAATAATCCAAATTAACCTGTTCTTGTCGCACTAAAACCCGATTTCCCGCCTAGTCTAGGACGAATTAACTGAGCTCACCAAGTACAGAAGGCAGAATCCAGCTTCGAGGGCTGGCTCGTTGATGAAGTGTGAAGTCCCCTAAACGAGGTATCATTATCAACTACTCCCGAATCAGGACTGGACTTAAAGGAATTAAGTTCTCTTCCAAAATTTGTACACATTTATAAATGATCTCGCAATCTTTATTTGCAACTGTTTATCGAGGCGCAAGTTTCCCTTTCAGTAGCAGGCTTTCAAGTTCCTCTTGTTCGAGCTAAGTGAAGTGTCCCACAAGACCAAAGAAGATAAGGAAGCGGTTGCAAAAGAGGAAAGCTGGAAACTGTTCTCCGAAACAAGCCAAAAAAGCACTGCTACTACTCTGCCTGAGTCAAGTGAATCTTCTTGGATTCTACGGCGGCCCATGCGTGCTGGCAGAGCATACTTAGATGTATGTCGTCGAAGTACAGCGCAATCAGTGGGGTGTTGGTTTGATAGTAGAACATCCTTCAGATTTTTAGGCAGAGAGAGTTCTGCGAAGGAATTTATAATGCGAAGATATTAAGAGAATAAAAAGATATGCCAAAAGGATCTTAATAAAGTGACCTCTGTTCAATAATAGGCATTCGTGTGGGAGAATGGAAAAGAGGTGTATCGCGAAAAGAGGTTCAGAGCGGGATATAGCCAGATGTTATGGCAACGAGGCACCTGAGGCTCAGCTTCTGCAACTAGAGCGAGCTTCGACTCTCCTTCTTGCACTTCATGGCGAGGTACCAAATTGCATGAGAAAGAAACAATCGGCAGTAAGTCATTGCATATTCTCCAGCAATGCTAGGGGCACTTATTGGGTTCAGTGCAGGGTGGAAAGGCCCAGAAGGTGGCTTGCGTGTCTCGAAATCGGGTGGTCATGTATGGGTAATGGAAATGTTATTGTCAGCTTTTGGTGTGTATGGAATGAGATGATACGGTGCAAAGTATCTGTGTTGGAGAGTCGCAACGCAGAAAGCCGGACATTTGAATTAAGATTTAGGCGCGAAAGAGGATATCAATGTCGTTGCGTCAAGGCACGACTCGCTGACCGTAGCCGTGATGCCCAGGCTCGGCAATGATACCTAATTTCGGGTATTGAACCGTATTGATACCAGAATCGATCCTAAGCGAGAATCAAGGACCCCCCTGTCCAACCCCTTTAACTACGATTCTTATTATACTTATTGCCTTTAATTAAAAAAGTAAGAATAGCATTATAATTAAGAATATCGCTTTAATGGTTTTAGATATTTTTATAATTTTTTTAACGACTTTAAAAAAGTCCCACTTTTTGGTGTTCTTACCCCTTAGCTATCTGACCCCTCTCGCAAAGGAAAGTACCTCTATATATAAATTTACTACATAAGATACTTAGCAAATTTATCGCTCAGAATCAATACTGGAACAAAACGGATTGATCCTACCAATACCAAGTGGTACCAGGGGGGTATTGATACCTCAGGTATCATTGCCGAGCCTGCGGCGGATCAACAGAGCGGCGTCTGTGCCAGGGTAGGCGAACTTATCAGGTAATACGGTGATCGAAATCCGCCTTAACGCAAACCAGACGCTCGTCCCTCGTCCTTCCGCGGTCCGCAACCTGGTGCTCATCCTTTCCCACGGTCCAAACCCCACGACTGACAGTCACAACTCTATAATTTTAGAGCAATGGGTAAGACTTCTCAAGGCATTCGTTAAATTCTTTACATTGCATGGACTAAAATTTATTCGCTTCACTAGTTGCAACCAGCGATATCCTGAACGTAGTGTTTGGCCTCACGGCTACGCTTTTGGGCGGCGGTGCCATATGGGCTACTAGAAGATACAACAACGCAATGAGAGGTATTTGTTTTCAAATTTTTGCCTGTCTATACTATGAACTCTGGCCTTTCTAACCATCATGTCCGCCTCCAGCAGGAAATGACCACCTACCAACCTTCGGTGGGCCAGATTCTGACGTCGAACTCGGTCTCCTCCACCCCGCGTCCTCGACCCAGGATTCACCCGACAATGGTACAGCCTATACACACAACTTGCATGGAGTCATTGGGGACGCTCTCGAAGTGTTCTCGAAGCACTTGCGAGCCCAACACTGAGGCGGAAGGAGAGCAGTGAGGAGGAGTGCCGAGGAGGTACTGCGCTTGCAAGTAGTGAGCAAGGCTGATTCCAGGATATTGAAATGAACTGTAAGGATAACGCTCGCAATGTTTCGAAGACCACATGCTTGCAGCATATCGGGGTTTGCTGAAATAGCGGTTTGTCGTATCGTGCAGCTTGAATATATCGCTTTGAAAATATGTTGCATAAAAACGAGCGTGATGTGAATGAAAGGCAAAGCATTCGGATCACCGATCTTCTGTAGAACAACATTTTGACTAGCTTTATTGCATTGCTGAGCCTTTCGGAGCCTGACAAACTCGAAATCAGCGCTCGTTGACAGCAAGAAACACTCGTCGGCATCGACATTGCTCGTTGTTGGTACTTCCATCGGGGCTGGTCCGTTGTTCTTTCTTGCTGTCGACCTTGATGCATTTCGCTTCGGCCGTCTCCAGTGGCCATCACCTGCCAAGCGTACCTGCCTTTAAATTCAGCGGAGTATTATCCCGATTCGTGGCCGTGAAGTCCGCGTATTCGGTGATGATGGAACTTGGCGTCGGCGCATGGAGTTTGATGTCGTCGTCGCCGCGGTAAAGCATCACTCACTCCAGTGCATTTCGCTTCAACCATCACAAAACCTGCATTTATCCCTTTAACTTCAGCCGCTTACTTCATGGAATCGTTTGCCATATATCTTGCATATTCGATGATCGCAGAACTTCGTAACGATGCGTGGGCACTGATGGCAGATACATGGGCATTGATGGCACCGTGGTTGCGAACATCTTTGTCTTCTCGCGCTGAAGTCATGGTATCCTGGGCCATAAACCGCGCCGATCAATTCCTCATTTCATGGCCATATAGCTTGCGTATTCGATGATGATGATGGAACTTCGTATATGGATGGGTATTGATGTCGTTGTGGTCGAGAAGGTTGTCGTCGCCTACGGTCCGCACGACTGAAATAACTAGCTCGCTTAGTAATCTCTTCCTCGCCAAAGTCCTCGGGCTATCATTGGTCGAACAGAAGTTGTCCATCAAAATAATATCCGATGGGATCCAATCGTGTTCTTCATTCTGTTCTTGACAAATTTGAAATTATGGGAAATGCGACAACGATTTGCTCGACGAAACGGGACTTGTTTCAGGCCCAGAATGGCGGCCATGGCTCCGGTTGCGAAAACCACTTTGGTTTGCACCCACACGATGCTTCAAGTCAACACGGGGTCGAAAGTTCTTAAACTATCTGGAAAGAGCAGAAATATCTGCTTTGGTCCCCCATAACCTGATGATAGTGCTTATAAGGGAATGACACTCTCTTTTGGCACTCGCCAGAACGTACATGTTGACGAGCAACATGTTTCACTTCTCGCAGAACACATGGGAATCGCAAAGAGTGCAAGTTCAAAAGGTACGAGAACATATTGTCGTGTGCAGAAGACATGATCTTATAGCAATTTCAAACCAGGATCGTAAACAAGGGCTGGAAAGAATGGTAGTTGGCACTTGCCATTTGGGATGCATACAGATCACAGTGAACAAACTCGGAACAACTGACTTGAAACTCTTCATTCCTCATGACTCGTAAAATCTCAATCTCGTTCATGAAACAAATAATAATGGGTATACTAAACAAGCGCCGTCCCTCAGTTTCAATCATGCTCCCAATATTCGGCAACTACGACCGACCCGTCACCGCATTCGTAGCCAAAACCTCAATGCGCCGCGAATACAACGCCATCATATGGCACACCGGATCACCCCAAATAACGCCACGAAGCAAATCATCAGTGACAATCTGCGCCACGACGCCTTCGTTCATCCGTTCATGGACCTCTTTCTTCTTGCCTCGGTTCTCATATCTTTCGACGCTTCGAAGGAGGATGATTCGTCCGGCATTACTTAATGCTGATTCTGGCACTGGCCAGACGGGTGCGTCTGAATATTCGGGAGCGTTCTTGGACTTCTTTGGTTTCTTGCTGACAGCGAGGGAGCTGCTTGATTTGCCGGGTTTGTTGACAGCTAGTGAGCTGCTTGATTTGCCGAGACCGGATGTCAGAGGACATGATTGGCCCGGCGCTGGCGTCGAGTAGAGATCCAGAAGTGATTTGATATAAGCCTTATCCGCTCGTGGGACCGGATCTCCCTCATTGACGAAGGAATAGAACAGCGACTTTTTGAGTGCAGGATTATTTGGCTTCGCGAGAGGGAGGAGAGAAACCGGAGGAGCGCCGAAGCTTATGCAATGGACGCGCCTGAAGCAACCAGTAAGGATGTTGAGCTCAGACTCCGTTTCTCTGCTTGTGGAAAGCATGTGAGAATATAGGAGAGCCGCAACGGCTCCACCAGCTGAGTGTCCCGTGATGAGGAGCGAACATTTTGATCGTCCGGGGTCTTCCTCCAGTAGATGTCGAAGCCTTGCAGCAACTGGCTTGATCATCTTCTTTGCTACAGTGAGAAATCCAGCATGACAGAGATTTCCAGGGTCATCCTGAACTCAAGTCAGCTGATGTGATATCACGTGATTAGAGCCTTCCAACCAAAAACCCTGTCGGCGCCACAGGAGCTGATCTGAGGTTGACAGCCCAGTCCATGAAGGTCTGCGTCCCTCTGATTGCAAATACAATCGTATTCATGTCATCCATGGGCAACGATTTGATGACCATAGCCTTGGTCCCCATTCTCCAATCCGAGTCCACATGCGTCTCCCTTTCTTGACCCCTGGGTTTTATATACACACGTTCGGAGTATTGGGCTGCTAAGCAGAGTAGAGGGAAGGTAGGGATGTATCTATTATCAATTAGTGGAGGGTTCACTACAGAGTGGTATTACTTACAGTTTCATTGGAGGCAGGTCCAAAGGCAGCCGTGAATTGGCGTACAGGTTGACCTTTGCAAAGTAGTTCGTACTTGTGAGAGCCGAAGACACGGAGTTGTTAACCATGCCTTTCGATTTGCCCTTCCCAAGTCCCCTCTCCGTGTAACCACTCTCTTGTTGCTCCTGCTGCCACATTGGCTGAGGGGGTGTGAAGACCGCCAATTCCCTCTCGTCTCCACTAAACCTCTCCCCATCGATAGATGTGATGACAGCATCGAGCTTCGAAGATATCATGTCGCAGAGGGCCACTCCTTGGGTAATATACTGAGCGCCTTGCGCGTAAAGAGGAATTCCATTGTTAAAGTATTGTGCTCCCGGAATGCTATTCGGTACATCTCCTGACAGCAGATTGACTACAGAGGCCAACTTGAGCGTGCTGAGATTCCCGCCACCCTTGTATAATTTTGACGGTTGAGGAGGAGGTTGCGAGACGAAGACGGGCTGGTATTGAGGAGGAACGGGGGCGATCAGCCAGCTTTGTGATTGTGCCCCAAAGCCATTGCCGTACGGGTTGTTGGGTCTTTGTTTGACATATGCCCAATTCGGATTCGAGATAACTGCGTTCGAAGGCTCTGGGGTGTAGTTCGATTGAGGCGGAGGCCGAGTTGTGGTCGGCTTGCTCTTCTTGGATCTGCCGAAGATCGCCATCGCTTGTGGGTTGAGGTTCTGTGGTCCTGGCTTGATCCAACGTCCGCGGAGCGGTTATCGCCGCTCTCCTCTCTTCATTGCAGGTCCAACACAACGACAGTATCGGGCTGTTGAAGTAGTGAAGTGTAGAGCGATTCAAGTGAAGGTTCGAGGGACGCAATGGTTTTGTTTCATACGACCAAGTCAAAGGCGAGAGCACCTCAGGGAAGCCTCCCCAGGCTCTCCAGGTCGGCTGATTGATGACGATTCGTCGAGGACTCCGCCTCGTTGCTATTTCCAGGGGTGTGGGGCGCCACTTCCTGCAGGCTAAGACTGGGGAAGAGCGAACCACAGGCAGCATCCTCGCAGGCTGCACGCAGTGTCTCTGCATCCGGGAACCATCATGTGTTAATTCGTTCTCTTGCGCAGGATCATGCAGTCTCCCAAAGACCCGCCTCACGGAGGCCCGGCTGCTAGCCGCCTTTGTCTGCACCAAGCCGTTCAAACGGCTAGTCATGCATGATTGGGCGTCTCATTGGCTAGATATCTAAGAATCTGATCCAATGGCGAGGCGGAAGAGCCCTGGGAGTTGCCTGTGACAGGGCGAAGCCAAATGGAACCCCGAACACTTGAAGGCTTCTTCTCGGTGAAAGTTCCATCTTGATTCCATCTTATTAAGCAAAGGGATGAAAGTGTAGTATGCTCGAGTGAGAGACATCCAGCCCTGTTGTGTTTCCTACAACAATATCACAGATGGCCCCTCTCGAATGTCCCGATTCGAGATTGCCGAATCGTTTGCCAATGGCCCTTTCCTTCCGTTCTTACGTATTCGATCTGTTGAGAACATCCTTTATTTCCGACTATTCAGCAAGTATTTATCTGGCTTGATTTCACTGGTCTTGCGAGGATTCGATTGTTCTAGGTTGTTCATCGTGAGACGTGCAGGAGGAGGTTGACGAGGTGCTTGGTGGGGCTGGGGGGTTGGTGGCGTCCGGCGCGCAGTCGGACCCCCAAAATCAAATTTGAGCGGTGATCTCCCACGACTCGAAGCCCTGTCGTCTATTTCGTCTTTTCCTGTGCTAAACATTCTCGGATTTGTCCCAAGCGGATGATGTAGCTGTTCTCCATCAAGATGGATCCGATAAATGTCGCGACCTCCCTAGTGGGACTCTTGGGCTCGGCGGGAAGAGTTGTCGTTCTCCTTTTGGCAGTGAAGAAGAGCATTGGCGAAGCGCCACGGATGATGGATCAAATGGTTTCCCAAGTCAGAGAGCTTGAGATATGTCTTTCGGCGGTACAATCTTTCCTTCTTGGAATAAACTCAGCGCCAAGAAGACGCATATCCATGATCCGAGTCGAACAGCTTGTTGCGATCTTAACCGAAGCTGTACTGACCTTCTCTGAACTTGAGGTTCTGGTTACATCAATTGCAAAAGACAAGGGAAGACTGCCAATTACCTCACGCTTGACGACTCTTTGGAAAGAAGATGTAGTAACTAGTATTATGCTACGACTGGAACGTCACAAATCCTCCTTGTCTCTGATGTTGAACATCGCTCAATGGTAAGTTGGCAAGAATTCAGTTGCGAATTATGCGATTCTTGGTTGCTAATCTATTCACCAGCGAGTCAGATTTAGAAGCGGAACAATCTCGAGAGACACTCCAAAGTCTTGTCGAACAGCTTTTGCGAAGTAATCACGACATCTCATTACGACTACAGAGTATTGAGGAGAATTTTGAGACCGGAAGTGTGATTACGTATTGTTTCAGAAATGGCAGCATGCCAAACTTTCCAGAGGGAGAAACACACACTGAGCAATCCTCTCAATTAGAGTTTAGCACGGTGGAAAATGTTTCTCATGGATCTAATTTGCCAACTGAAGGTTGTGCAGGATATCGAACCGGATTTGAAGTCGACCTCGGAACCTCCAGAGTATATAGAAGAACAGAACGATTCAAGTCGGACGTATCATTCACGAGTTCTGCCGTAAGAAGCCACGCGTGGTCGATATTTACTGGATTGAGTTTATCCGAGGTCTCTACGTTATCAGCGATCGCTCTGCCCTTATATCTAAATGAGATATACAACAACAAATGGTATAATACTCTGCCTCCGCAACCATTTGCAGAAGACGAGATTAAATCTCTAGCCAGAGAGTCTTCTACTTCACGTATCCCCTCATACGACCCCCCGGTTCGCGGCATCGTCGACCAGCATCCGATTATACTTGAGGCATGTATTACCACGGCCGAGGTTACGATATTACAAGCACAACTGTTTCCTGCGGAGACGAATACAAACCCAGAGGGACCACCCGTGTCAATTCCCAATTCTGATACATACTTCCCGCGCGTAACTGAGACAAAAGCCGAGGAAGGAAAAAATAGGACGACGGAACACAATTTGATTGCTTCTTTGCGGCCGAACCCACCAAGAAAAGATGAAAATCAAGATACAGGTCGCCCACCTACCGGGAGAAGAAGACGTCGACAAGATCTAATATCTCTCGAAACAAAAATACCCAAATCAGAATCCAAGAAGGAACTCAAGAAACCTCATCAAAAAAGCACACCTTGGATTCCCAAGTTCTTAAAACCGCCTCCCCAGCGTCCAGCACAAGTTGCTCCTCGGCCCCAAGTCCCTACGCGGCCCCCGCGCGCTGGTCGGTCCGGCAAGATGGTGTTGTATAAGTTAGTTGTGCTTGGAGACGGGAATGTAGGAAAAACAGGGCTGATTATGCAAGTTAGTTTTGTCGAGCTGAATTTTGGTGAATTTGCTAACACACTCTCCAGTTTGCCCTCCACCAATTCGTTGATATATACGACCCCACCATTGAGGATTCATATCGAAAACAAGCTGTCATCGATGGGCAACTCTGCATGCTAGAAATCCTCGATACAACTGGCCAAGAGGAGTACACCGCTCTGCGGGATCAATGGATCAGGGATGGCGAAGGCTTCGTGTTGGTCTATTCTATTGACGATCGATCTTCTTTTACCCGTATCAAAAGTTTTCACGACCAGGTTCGAAGAATCAAAGGGTCGACGACACTAACACACGACTCGCTATCCAAACACGAGGAGGACATCGAACTGCAACTCAACCCCCTCGACTTTCCGGTTATGTTGGTTGGTCACAATTGCGATCGGTTGGCCGAACGAGAAGTATCGAAAGAGGAAGGGCAGGCATTGGCGAGGGAACTTGGATGTGCGTTTCTAGAGGCTTCAGCAAAGAATTGTATCAATGTTGAGAAGACCTTCTACGACCCTGTGAGGATGTTACGCCGACAGCGATTGCAGAATGCCGTACAGACACAGCGCGAGTCCCAGCGCGAGGACAAGTTTCCCCAGGAGGGTCCTAAGCGAGCAATTTCGCTTTTCGACATTATAAGGAGAAGAAATCGAGGCAGAAGACCATGATTGCTTGCAAGGAGAGGACCGGGGAAAGACGTCAATGATGCTACTGCTTGGCCCCATAACCTCACGGCCATTCTCCTAGTCTGGGACTTCCGGGAGATCGCCTATGCCAGAGGTTCCCTTTGAATAAGGCAGTCTGACTGAAGTGAGTATTACATTCAGCCTACAACCAAACCCCATCCTCATAATATCTTTTCATTGTGGGAGTATAATCTTGAAGAACGCTGTTCTCAACAATTGAGTCCAATAAGATAAAACTTGAGCCCCCGCTTTCCTACAGATGTTTCGGTTCTCGTTTTCCTTTCTATGGTCAAGTTTTGGGTGTCAATTAATGCATTTGACGAGGGCTCAGCTGACTTGTCCCTTCTAGTCCTAGAGCTTGATTTCTCTGCCAATTTTAGTCTCGCCCTTTCCGAAAGGCGGGCGCCTGACCGATCCGCAACTGAAGTCGGGCGCGACTTCGTGCCCAACCAAAGTACCACCAACTTGCCTAGATTAAGGCTGCACCCCAACGATTATTTGACTTGGCTTCTCAATGTTCTTGCAATGATTTAAACGCCCGTTTTCGTCAGATTTGTTATTAACAAGCAACAAATTCGGGGCATGGCGTTACTCGAATCGTCTAAAGGAGGCAAGATGCTCTCTTGCTCGGCCTACCTTCTCAAGGCTAATGGATAACTTGCAGTTCCTATTTCTCAGGATGACGCCGAAATACGCCTCCATCATGCTGATATTTTCCACCAATTCTCCAAGCTCCCCATCGAGTTGCGAGAAAGGATTTGGCAGCACACGTGGCCGGGACCTCGGTTGATTGAAGTGGGTAGCCATGGCCGTGACGCAGCCAGCGTCGAAGATAGCGATAACGAGCACGAGCACGAGCACGGTGACCCTACTTTCTCCCTATGCATCTTAGGAAACTTCTCCAGCAAGCACTCCATCCACACGGAACAGGAACAGATACCTCAGCAGTGGTTTTCGCCCGTAGCTCTCTTCGTCTGTCACGAATCTAGACAGCATACACTTCGGCATTACACCCTTACAGAACACCAGGAGTCCAAATCCAAATCATTCTATTGCGATCCCTCTGTTGATATTCTCTGGTTCAACTACGAGTTCACGGGACACGCTGTCAACCTTGCTCACGTCGAATTGCACGACCGGATGGATAAACTATGCCAACGGTATCATACTCCTCTCAACCTTTTCAAAACTGTCCTTGTCGACGAGATTTTCTGGAACCCAGAGAGCGGAAATCAAGAATATCTTGCTCTCCTCCTCGGCCTCACTACGATTTTGATCATGGACACATCTCGACAGGACACATCCCGGGAGGATGTCATCCCAACCATATACGACCATGAGGATTTGCAACACTTCATCGCTGCGGAGAAGAAAGAGTGTGCCAAGTTCAAGGAACAACATCCCAGATGGCCCTTGCAGAGCATCCAATATCTGGCGCGTGATACCAATACAATCGGCTTTATCCCGTCCACCACCCCGAGGAGGCTGAGACGGTACCTCTGGGATTCTCGTTGGAATTGGGAATGGGTCTAAACGTCCAAACACAAGACCTTGCCCTAAGATAGTGGAACCATTTAAGTCGCCAATGTTCAGCTTTTTGTACTATCTAATGAGCAGAGAGGGTATCAAACAAACACCAAGCCACGAGTACCTTGATCAAAGATTGATCTCCTTCGCATCATCCCACCCCTTGAATCCCAACAACCCCTGTGCTGCCATGGCACTTTGCTGAATAGCCGGCAATGAATATTGCCACATCCCATCAATATACTTCTCCATCGTCTCCTCGCTCACGCCCTCCTCAACAATCAACTTCAGCAACAACGCAGCGTCGCCCAAAGCACACGCTGCCCCAGAACCACCAGCAGGCATCATCGCATGAGCGGCATCGCCCAGCAGCGTCACGCGTGCAGAAGGTTTCCACTCCGGCCTCTCTGGCTTAGCTGAGATGAGGCGAAGAGGTGCGCACTGTGAAGTGGTTTGGAGCTCCAACAAGCAGCGAAAAGAAGGGAGCCATTTCTCTGTCAATTTCACCGTCAAATTCGCTGCCTCTTTGTCATTGAGGGAATGGAATTTAGAGTCGGAAAGACCCATGTTATCGGCGCTTCCACCAAGAACCCAATACACGTAATCCTCAGTCTTTGTAATCCGCCCCTGAGACTCGATCGAGTTATCATTTGCGAAACGAGTGGGCTCCAGGAACAACGTCAGAGGCGCAGAGTCCTGGATAACCGTGATACCACCCTGCATTACTTCAGGCGCGAAGCGCTCCTCGAGTTCAGGCGTGATGAGCGTCTTGCCGTACAGGACACGAGAGCCAGTATCAACATATCGATGATACGGCAAGAGCTGTTTCCTGACAACTGAAGCCACACCCTCTGCTCCAACGAGCAACGTCCCATTCTCGCTCGTTCCGTCGCTGAAAAAGGCCGTTACTCCATTTTCAGTGACTTCATATCTTGCGAATGATTTCCCAAACTTTACGTTCCCTTCTATACCGAGAAGGAGTAGAGCCCGCAGCGTCGTCCTATCAGCTTTGCCATGCCACTTGGGATCCTCGGCCAGCCCTCCTCTCGGTCCCTCACCAAGCGGCCCACCAGGACCCCTTGGACCCCCTGGCCCCCCCGGTCCACCCGGTCTGAAAATTGGCACCTTGCCCCCATCAATAGCATTCATTTTCACTCCCATTCCTTTACTTTCAGCGCATGTCCGCTGGTAAAGTGACCACAGCTCGTCGTCGAGACAGGAATGCAGTCCTTGGGCCCCAATTCCAGCGATGCGAATGCGGTAGCCTTGGGCTCGCGTGGAGGGGGAGGGGTCGCGCTCGAAGAGCGTGAATGGGATGGAGTGATTTTTGAGGCCTTGAGCCAAGGCGAGGCCGCCTATTCCGCCGCCGATTATGAGGATGTGGGGAGAGGACATGGTGGATGGTTGGGAATTTGGGAAGAGAAAGGTGGTGTTGATTGGATGGAAATAGCCTTCTTTGATGAAAGAGTGTTGAGAATGGGCTTGTTATAGAAGGAGTTGGTTGGGTTTTAAGGAAAGAGCTTGGGTGGAGAACACAGTTTGGTGGATATATAAATCTTGATTTTCTTGACGACAATAACTTGAAGGGAAAGGCTGAGACTTTATGCTTCTGAAGAAATTCTAGGCTTCAACCTTGTAAGATCGGCGTAACAAAGTCCCGTGACTGAGTGCTTTCCGAGCGGCGATGTTGTAAACCGATGACTCCATTCGGCGATTTCTATTTCGCGAGGGACACGTTATACTTACTGTACGTAGATATTTCCGAGCCCCGCCGACTATTGCTTTGAGCGTCGCGAAATTAAAATGGGGCATGTCCTGTAAGAAATATTTTCATATTCGCTTTATATGCTCATAAGTGCATAGTCTAGGATGAGAAGCGGGAAGTGATGTTTCCTCGGAAAGAATCGGATGCTTCAAATTCCCAGAAGTCACGCCTTGTCAATAGCAGACATTACCCTTCAAGCCACCGCAACATTCTTTGAGCAATTCGAGAGATATCCTTAAGGTACATGGCTGCGGAGGAACGCTACTCGCCCCGATAAGTTAAGAAAAGAAACGTTAGAGACTGACCCAATCACGTGACTATCATGATCTCCCCTTTTTGTTGCCCCTTTATCGTACATTACATAAACTTCAAGCGAGGAGCCGAGTAATGAACAAAATCAAACAAGATAACAGACTCATTAGTTGCCCCATCAAGCAAACCATAGACCTGCTTCGGGAAGAGCTCGGTACGAATAGGGGAACGAGGCTCGCTTGTGTCATCTTCGCTCCCACAATTAAGTAGAAGCTTAAAGCTTGCTTAAAATTTATAAAAAGATAAACCAGGGGCCGCATAAGCATGTGCAAATTCAAAGAGTAAAAGCCAGATTTAATAGAACTAACCCAACTTCTATCGGTAAATAGGAGAATATCTGTCGGGGAAGCAAAAATCCCAATGGCTGTGCAACTGCAACTATCCATTCGCCGGATCCACCATACAATAATCAATATTTCCCTCCACATTATTCCCCCAATAATCTGGAAATGGAATCGCCTTCCCACTCGCGCCAAAGAAAACAAACGTCATAATAAAAACCACGACCTGGGTGCCACCATCCAGACCTGCACAAAGCACATAATTAAACTTCAGAAACCATTCCGGCTTATATCTTCTCAGATAATGCTGGCTCCAGAAAGCGACGAGGAAGAAGGAAATGATGGCGGAGTTGATGCCAGTTACCAGCCATCCGATGTGCCAGCAGATGATCGACATGTTCAGGTGGTTGAGGCCGAGTTTGGGGAAGAGGCGGTGCAGGAAGTAGGCGGGGAGGGGCGCGAAGAAGCCGATTACGAGGCCGAGGGGAACCCATCTGCCGTGGAATTAGCATTGAAGTTTCCCGAATTTCTAGAGTGAGCTCAGAGTTGAGGAGAAAAACTTCCACGTTAAATGCGCATGCCCGCTCCGCTGAAGCGCGCGTGCTCTGAGCTCTCATAGGGTGAAACAACAAACGATGAAGAGCTTGAGGCTTACTGATATGTGCTGCCCCAGGAGTACATTTGCTTTGCGAGGCCACCCCAGGTTATTGCTTGGGTGTTGAAGGATTGCAGACCCTGAGGTGAGTGGTGTCAGTTCAAGCCGTAGGGTGATAGGAGAGGGAGACTTACGGCGCCGGACCAGATATGGGTGCCTTCTATAGAGAGCAGGATTTCTCTTTGGTTTTGCGTGATGGTGAGTGTGATGATGTAGTTCAGGACCGACCCAACTAATGTTCCTACCATCTGCATGGTAAATGTGCATCGAGGGCTCAACTTAGCGTATTGGCCCAGCTTCAGATCTCGCAAGAGCAGCAATCCTTGACCGACCGTGTTGTAGCCGAAGAGCGTGAAATACCTTCAAAAGTCAGTAAAGACGCTTCGAAGCATAAGAAAGGAAAACGAACATATTTGTCAATGGATTGCCAGGCTCAAGATAAGCTCCGATCATCTGGATAATTGGCTGAACAGGCAAGCTAAATCCAGTAAGACCAGCTTGGGCACCCGTGAAAAGAATCAAGATAGAAGCCAGGAAGATAGCAATAATGAACGCCCACCAAGACATGCCGGAATCCGCTTCATAGATACAAATCAAGCCCACAATACCGGATACAAGGAACACCAATCCGTACCACCAGTCGGGAGCATCTTTGTACCTTAGCATGAGTCTGTAATGTGGGTCCATCTCGCTGATGTCTTCTTCCGTCGGCTCGGTCGCTTTCCAGAACATCCAAAAGGAAGGCTTGGCGATGTTTTTCAGGCTGCCGAAGGACATGAATGAGAATGCGCTGTGGAGATCGTCCCAGTTGTAGAGGATCAGGTGCGTGAAAGTGGCTGTGATGGCCATGTTCTGTGTCAGGACGTAGGCAGCGAATGTTGCTGCCATGTAGGGTGCTCCGCCCTCGGCTGTGAGTAACCCCTCGTCCAGTCTCCCATTGGCATCCAAAACAGCGGTTTGGTTGAAGGTGATATAGCCGCTGGAGTTTGACGCAGGGGAGAAAAGGAGCTGCGAGAGGAATGGGAAGTCTCTAGCTCGCCAAATGTTCCCGTAGAAGATACCCAGGAAGACCGCCAAGTTAAGTATATATCCGATAAGAGTGTTGAATTGAGTCTAGCAATAATCAGCTGGGCTTGAAAAGTTTGGCTCGAGGCAAGGGTACCTTCAAAGGGAGATATAATGCACTGCTTCCAATATACTGGAAATCGAAGCAGAGGGACAAGAACCCAAGTCCCTCGTTACCATTCGCGCCACCAAAGATGTTCGTGAAGACCACTTTCTAGGCTTAGCATGAGCGGTGTTCAGGCGTAGAGTCACTTACTGCTGTTCCTCTTTGCCAAGCAGAAAATATTGACTCCAGTAAGTATGGGCATCATATATTCAGGCACCACTTCCCACACGAATATAAGCGCGAAAGCCCAGTAGAAAATCTTGAGCTGGGGTTTTGTTTCTCCCTTCTTCTTTCGATGCAGAGTTTCAAGAAGAGACATGATTGGTAGATTGGCGGGGTAGAAGAACTTTTCGTTTGTGATCAGCAAACATTCTTGACAAATTCTGCTGAGGGTGTACCTTGGTTGGATACACAATGATCTTCCTCATCAAGCCAGCAATTCCATATCCCAAGACCTGAGACGAGAAAATCAAGAAGATGCACACTGCCGCATTTGGAATCTTGGTATACCAGAGACGCTGGACTGCAATGACTTCGGCAGCCATAGCTGAGTGAGCGGCGGTCGATGACATGATGAGAATGGCGGCATGTTCTTTGTGGTTAAATGGATGGGGATTGAACCACCTGCCAATGAATCCTTTCTTTGGAATGTAGTCCATGACCATAGCTAGCACATAGCTGATGACGCAGAGGAAGGTTGCGGATAGGACGATTCCTTGGGGCTTGAACTGGTAGATGGTGGCTAGTACGGAAGAGAAACATGATAGTCCGAGGCCTGCGAGGCGTTAGAATCTGCGGTTGAAGTCAATCTGTGAGGTTCGATTTACCAAGACTATGAAAATGTCAGCTCTATCTCAATTACCGCCGGAAAAGTTGGCGTCCATATGCTGAAAACAAACAGTGAAAAGTTAAAAGGGAATAAACATACAACCAAGTTCGAAAAGTCCACGGATTGAGCGAAGGATCATCATCAACATGCAAAGCATACAACGCTATTTCTTCCATATTGTCAACCTTCTCAGAAGCCGTCATCCCCTTCCCAATCGTAGGTTGGGATTCCTCATCAGCAGGCACATATCGAATATCGTCCGCCAGCCCCTTTTCATCTTTCTCGTCAGGAATGTGGGGTTTCCGCTCAGAGACATCGTGGACACCAAGTTCTTCAAGTGCCTCCACACCCGTGGAGTGGCTGGTGTTGAAGGCAAGTGCTGGATCACCACCAAGTGGTGCGCCTGCCTGTCCTGGAATTCTGGAATCCATCTTGAACGAGGTGTTTCAAAAGAATAAAATGACAAAATTCACCGACTCGTCCAACTGTTTGTGTTCTTTTAGAATTCCTGGAAGGATTAGAGGGAGCTGGCATTATAACTCAGGACAGAGCGGAGCTCCGGTGGTTTGCTACATGAGCATGCCTCCCCCATCTGACCCAGTCGGGTCCTAGATTGAATCCTCCTCACCATGGCGAGTGCAGATTGCCAGTGTTCGGGGTATTGAGATACCCCGATCTCGTACCACTCACTCCAGCGTTTTCGCTGTATTCGAGTGAGAGATTGACTTCGCGGGCAACACCCCCGCGAGCGAAACAGGAGGAGCTAAATTGCTGGACGTTGACAGGGAGCGCCGCTACCTTCCTATTTCGACAACAACGGTGAGGATAATCCGAGAATAAATAAGGCTGTCCGGACAGGAAGCTCGAGCGGGGTCGTGATATTGCAGACTGTGCTGCATCGAGCAAGTCTTTTGCTTCCACTCATCATTCTTGCTCGCTCTGCATTACGGAAAGCTGAACCCGAGCCAGCTTGGCATACATCCTAAGAATCAGGGTAACGTTGCAAACTCAAAAGCTATGAGATCTTGGACGAATAGGAAATGCGCTCTACTGCTTGGTTATCACGTTCAGCCTTATCTCTCGCAGGCAAGTGCATTGCTGATCTTGGAGCCAGGTAGAATCGACGATTGTCCCACCTTTGCCTCGCGAAGATTGAAGCTCTGTACTGCGTACACAGAGACCACAGTACAAGAGGGATTGCAAAGCAGAACACCATCACTATTCCCGAGGAGCAGGAAATAAAACATATGCATAGAGTGGAGAATGCTTCCAAAATGTCGTGCTGGACAGGACCTTTCCTTATCTGTATTAATATTCGCAGCGCAAATTGACACGAGAGTGGGATGAATCGGCCAAGAGTTCGCAACTGTCGATTAGTGGGGTTCAAAAAATACTCGACGAGAAGGGCAGGAGGTATTGAATTTAGCACTCCTTCGTAATTTGAGTCCCAATGAGAGTCGACGTTGTTCATGCAAGTTGGTGCATACATTTTATATTTGATGCAGACCTCGAAATGAAAACCTCCCAACCCGGATGGTCTCCTCAAGGACGACTCGACGAGAGTGGACCGCATTATTGAAAATGAGCTCTAACTTAACCTTCAAGGAAGAGGTCGATGTCTAAATGCGCTGGCTTCAGTTTGGGCAGCAAGAAGACGTTCGTAAGACGGTCGAACATAGAAAGCGTGGTGCGAAGCTCATCACACCTCATCTCACACCTCATCTCACACTTCATCTCACACCTTAGATCAAAACCGGAGTTTTGTTTACTTTTGGTGTTGAACTCCTCCCACTGTTTTACATTGGAAAAGAAAATCGGTAATCGACCTTTATCGCAGTGACAAGTATTCGGCAAGGAGTACGCTCCCCTTTGGTAAAATATTGGCTCTCCCGGACACGAGCAGAGATGCCAAACCACGTGAATTTCATAAGCGAGGAAAAGGGGGAATCTCGATGTAAGCTGAGGGATGATATATCGAATCATTCTTACTAAGCCGTGTGGACACATCTCCCCGGGATCTTTTCTCGTCAATCTCCCCCTTGAAATTCGCGACGGGGAGGAATGTAATCTTATTGGCACTCGAGGAACATTCGGGGCGATTCTCCGAGGCTCGTAGGACATTGGGCTGGGCCATACGGGCATTGTACTGTATCGGTTTCGATACTCGTTCGGCCGGGCTCACCTGGTTCTCGCTTAGTACGCTTACCAGGTGAGGGGGGGCAATACGCAAAAACCAGCAATACGCAAATGTAAAACCCCACCAAAAATCAATTATTCGCGCATGATTTTGGGAGCAACGGCACGCAATTAATAACTCGTTAAGAAGTAGAAATAGTTTCTTAATACTAAAACTTCTACCCTCTAAAATTTAGAGCCAAAAATCCGTGGTTGTGGTGGGGGGAGGGGCGGGGTCAAATTTCCCCATACAAATTTTTGCGGTGATTTGCGTATTGCCCTCCCTCACCTGGTAAGCGTGCTAAGTGAGAACCAGGTGAGTCCGGCCGAACAAGTAGTAGCTTTTGCGAAATCGAGGGTCGAAAATGTACCAGAATTACACGAAACCTTTTGCACACATCCATTTATTCACTGTGTATTATTATCTCTCTCGTCTCAAATACAACTCGTCATGGCTCTCTCATCTCATCTTATCCCTTATCATCCCATAATTCTCCCGTTCACAAACCATTCCATGTAATGCTCATTATCTGCCCCATTATCTCTGAAACGCCGGAACTATGCAACCCCCGCTATAAAACACATATGCCAAGGCGCACCAAGATGCCAAATGCAGTGAATTGACTCTCGCAGCTCGATATTCGCGAAGAAAGAAAAAGGAACAAGACTTTAGGATTCCCTGCGCTTGTGCTCCTCCGCCTCCATGATATCCTCCATCCGCATCCTCTCACTAAAGCTTCTTGGCGTGCCGGAATTCCTAAGACTAGCTCGGAAGCTATAATCATCACTCTCAGGTCGGTCATGGACACTGCCGACGAAAGAATTGACGTCTCCCAGCGAAGCAGCCATGGCGTGGACCTCGGGACTGACGATCGGGATGGAGAATGGTCGGCCTTTGTACGAGCCTACGATTCCCTTTGAGGTGGGCGTATCTTCCGATTTCGCACGGGCAGATGGGCGGACGATGTCACGGGCTGGTGAGGAGGAGTACTCGCTGAGTTTGACTGGCTCCTTCAGAGGTGAGACTGGGGGTTCGTCCGCCGCGGATTCAGATGATTCGGAGGAGTCGTCTTCGGCTTCTTGTTCCATGCGGGCAGGGGGATATTTCTGGCTGTCGACATTGCCGTCGTCGAAGTGGAAGAGATCATCGTGATCGTATTCCTCCGTTGAGAGTTGAGAACCTGCGGTTTGGGGAATGCTGCCAGTTGTCTCGAGGCTGTGCAATGGCTTACCGCGAGATCGAGTAGATGCTGTTGGTGACTTGTTGCCCGAGATATCCGCTGGGATTGCTGGAGAGAGCATGCTGGCAGGAGATGCGTTCTGTCGTCTCAAAGGCGGCATATCGAGCATTTCGTCATCGGAGGGTGTCTCCGCTTGCTCTTCTTGCTTGTCCTCAACTGGAGGTATTGCGTTGGTATCATCGAGACGATTGGGACTCAACTTCTTCGAGATGCTTGACGTTGTACTCGGTAGCGCGGCTATTTTTGCTTTTGACGGGCCAATCTCCAGCTGATCATCTTCATCATCGGAGCCTTGGAAGCCGTTCGTGGCAACAGACGCCGAACCATCCGGTGGAGCTCTGACTGTAGTCCATTCCGTACCGTCATCCACTAACGGCGATCGTGACAATGCTCTCAGCGCTTGTGATGACGAGACTCTCTTCGGGGGCTGTGAATTGACATCCTCAATCTGTTCAGATCCTGCCTCCTCGTCCGAATCCGGGTAGCTTCTTGGGTAGATTTCCTCCGGCATGATGGGCTTGAATGGACGTGGGGAAGCTGTGGGTAGAACCTGGAGCAAGTTAGATTGAAGTTCCCATGATGTGCCAGCTTCCTGCCTGAGAGTGAATGTATCCAGACGCCCAGCTGGCCAAAAGTGGGAGAATGTGCTTACCTCTTCGCCCATGACATCAAAACGCACTCGACGCGGGCTATGTGACTTGGAAGAGATTGAAGAGCGTCGCAGAGCGCTACGAGGGGTTGTTGTCCCACTACAATCCGATGCAATTGAGAACGAATCAGTGTTTCGGCGCCTTGGGGGATCAGGTCTCTTTGGCTCTGTTGTAGTTGTAAATGATCTGGTATCTTCGCTAGCCTCGACCTCCCTATCATCCATTTCCTTCTGCTTCCCCTTCACGTCTTGTCGTGGAGAAAGAGGAGGGTCGGGACTCAATCGGCGGTCGTTGCGACTGGTGCTGTCGAGGAGAGGGAGGTAGCTCGGGGTGAACAGCCCGTGGAACTCCTTCTCGCGTTCGTGCTGCGGACTCTTCGGACTGTCGTCTGTCGCGTCGGTAGATCTTCTTTGAAAGGCTGCTGGGATGGGCGCGGTGCCTGCTTGTTGCGACTGTCCAGCCCCATTTACACGAATGCTGCCTGTTGCGGGTGACTCAATAGGCCGTGCCCCGTCTGGATACAGAGATCTGCATCCCTTCATTGACTCGGCGATAGTCTTCGAGACAGTCTCAGATATATCCCTTGGTACCTCCCGTAGGAGATCCTCCGCATATTTCTCGAATTCCGACTTCATGTCGCGCTGATACTGCCAGACCTTATGATCGAGCTGGGCGAGCTTCAGCTGCAGCTCGCATACTAGCTTCGCAGCCTCATCCATGGTGTCGCGGATGGAGTGGCTTTGCAAGTGCAAAGGCCGCAGTGTGGTCAGTGTCGAAACATAGCAAGTGAGATTGAAAACGCGAGGAGGTGGTTGGAGGTGAGGATATCACGCAGATTGAATGAAGGTGAAATCAGATCCGCTTGTGTCGGCTAGTAGCGGGGCGGCCAAAGGTATATCCACTCCGCGCGACCGAGAGAAGTGGCAGAACGAAGAAGTAAAAACACTGGGGATATTGCGCGTCGATGCTATTTTGATCTATCTCCACAGAGTTGTGGATAGCATCAGATTGGAGCTGCTTGTGAGGTCACCGTACCGTGTCGTTCCCAATTGATGGGCGAAGCTCTGAGCCGGCCAGTGGTGGTCTTTGATCTCCCGTCCCACTCCACTTCGTCATGCTCACCACCAAATACATGTGCGCACCCGAGATCGGTGAGGCGTCCACGCCCATGTCTGCAGGGGTCCACAGCGGCTGATTCATGTCCGTGCACCAGGTTCCAGAAGCGGCCATTGGGGGTCACATGAGGGGCAGTCATATTGCCCTTCATCAGCCTCACCTTCTTTGTTTCTTGTTTCTTTACTTGCACTTCACACCTCACACTCTTCACTTTCTTCAATCCAAGCTGATTGTTCCGTAGTTGACACGAAGTCGGACTCGTGGTCGTTCCAGACTCAGCAAGTTGCCTTCGGAGAGGTTGTCCTGAGCAGCTGTGTAATACCACTCATGCTATACTTGCAACATACTCGGTGCGCAGCTGACTTGAACGCATCGTATCAGTACTCGGTACCACGTAAGGTCAGATCGCGTCCGTTGCCGTATCGGATGCCATGGCCAAGTACCCGGGACAAGTGCTCCTGTTAATCTGTCTTGGCTGCCTTGGTTTGCTGTGCCACCGCGGCATGTCCCTCGGGTCGCCTATTTTGAGCAGCCCCTGGTCTTGCTGGGGTCTTGCCTCTTATTGTATCACTCTGCACGGCGTTGAGTAGTAAAAGAAATAGGCCTAGTAAAGTCTTAAAGGACAGCGGGAAGTCTGCAACCTGTTTCAATTTACTAAATGTGGACTTGTCTCGAAGAAATTCATCTCTCCTGAAACCGCTCAATTCGTAACGACACTCCTGCTAGCTATTTGGGAATTCTTCTGACTTTACTAAAATTACCACTTATTTCTCTGACTAATTATTTCTCTGGAAGGAAAAGAGGCCTACGTGAATCTTGAAAGTCATGTTATATCACGTGATACCCCTGAATTCACTACGAAGTATGGTCTAACGACAGCACTTGTTTGCTCTTTCCCATCTATTTCAACAACCTATTCAGCGATAATGCGGTTCATTTACAAGATGGGCTCTGGGCTGAAGGAAATGCCGCCCGAATCTGACGTGCCATCGTTCTCCAAACACTCCGACTTAGGGGAATATTTGAAATCCATATTTTCCCAATACCAACGAGTCCACGTGTTGGCGAATGTGGCAACGGCGGCGACTCTAAGGTATTCAAGACAGTGTTTGCATTCTTGGGCTCGTATAACAATCTATTTCTATGTATTCTTAGGATACGATAACAAATTACCTACAAATACCACAAGAACCGCGGTATATGTTGCTGCCACAGCCAAGATCTCTTGGTTAGATGCATTGGAGAACACCGCCAGAGCAAAAGCAAAAGACAGGACGAAGAGAGAAGTGGTAATTAGGGACCACGTTCTTGAAGTCACGAAGCTAAGATCAATCATCGGGACAAGGAGCATGACCCCGCCGATGACAGCCATCACTATGCGCGCAAAGCGGTCAACTGAGGGCGAGATGTGGCGCGTATGGAGTCGATGCGGTTGTAGGACTTTTGCAGATCCCGCTAACTATCAGTTAGGAGACAAATCCGTAAACACTGGGTTCGATAGAGGAGCGGGAATTAGTCTGACATACCAGTCATACTTCCAGATCTCTGTTTCCTGTCCAGTTCTCTCCGATCTATCCCAGAAGCATCCAGAGACTTCTCAGGAAGCAATTTCTGGAGTCTTGCTCTCAGCCAATCGACCCTTCCTCCGTCGCCAGAGGTCGGCGCGAGGTCCATCAGATTCAAGGAGTCTGGTGAGTCCCAGTAACGCGGTTCGTGAAAAGTTTTGGCTAGGAGCACACCTATGTTGCGACTGCGAGCCGTGTCCGGTTGCTTGTATGTGTTAAGGATGTGCTTGAAGTCGTTGATGGCAGTATCTGTGAATTGGTCAGCACATGAAGGTTTTGTCTTGATGGATTGTGTTGGGTAAAATTGTCACGTGCTGCGCACAGGCCACTACAGATATATATATAGCTTCTTCCCCGCCTTTAGGGCACTATCATTCCTTACTAATATACCAATATACACCCATATTATCCGCACAAGCCTCTTCAGGCCTTGACAAAAATACAATATTGATGGAGAGCATTAGAGAGTTCTAGAGCCATCTTATCAATTTCTGCTGACTCTTCGGCCGACTCTTCGACTGAGTCCTCTTGGCCTTCTTTGTGGCCGTTTCCTCTGATGCTTCGGCGCTTCGCCGTGTGAAATTTCGTCTTCGTCGGCGAGATGACTAGGTGAGTGTGAATTGACTGCGTCCTTTTTCGGAAGGGCTCTTTCCATTAACAATCATTCTCCAGAATTGAGTTTCTCGTCCAATTGGATGAGTCGATGTTGCCAATGTAGGACATTCGCTAGAGCAAGCTTCTCGAACAGATTAAAACTATAATCTTTGGCCTCATATAGCTTCTCTGTAAGAGAGATAAGCTCTGCGGCGACCTCTTTGGGCGTTAAGCCATACATGCGATCCTTGTCTATACGCCGATTATCTCCTTGATCAAGGTTTTCGAAGAGATAATCGAGCACCTTTCTTCTCTGCTCTTGCCGGTGTGGGAGAATAGTGAACCTGTTCATAATAGATGAGAGCGAGATGCCAGACATGGCACTGGCCACAGAATAACTGCGTTTTTGCGGTTCTTTATTCTTTACGGATGGTCGGCCACGCTCCAGGTCTTCGGGAGGGTTTGAGTGCGACATCGTTCAAGGCACAAACAAGGTTGAAGGCAAAAGTGTTAGTGAGAAATGCGCTCTATTATGAATGAGAGAACCGAAGAGAGGGAACGGCTTAAGTAGGAGGCCAGAAGACTGTGTTTAAATTAGCAAATACATAATCAAACTGGCGGTGAGGTAGTTGGGCAGAGAGGCAAACCGAACGCATTGTCACACAAGGCTGTGCAGCTACTGCATTTTCAGGTGCTTGCGATACGGTATGTTTTACTGCCCTTGAGGTAGTGTAATAAGAGGATATAAGCCTTAAATCTTTTAGCATCGCGGCAAAATTCATGAATCACTATATTCCTTCTTTTAAAGGGTTAAACAGAAGAGTAATTATATTGGGGAATTAAGTATAGGAATACTTGAGGCTTGGAGTTTTTATTGTAAGTAAAGGCAACATTTGATAGCACTTTCAAGAATGATGTGATGGGGCAAATTCAAATCCATAATTTCACTTGCTGACACTAATTTGATCAAGAGTTTTTGAACTCAAAAAATCGCGAGTCCTTGCCAAGGATGAGGATTCAAATGTCGTTCCAGCGGATTCTCAATTCCTACCAGGCCCCGAGGACGTGTGACGACCGCAATGTGCATACCGCGGAAAATGAAACTTTTCACCATTCCATTCCGTGAATTAGGCTGTTTCACAACCTTTGAATATTGGAACATTGCCGATTTCGTAATACTAGTATTCAGATATTATTATAATTGAAAGTGTTTCGCATTTTTTTTGTATACTGGCTGTTACGTGGCACCAGTCACGTGGTGCCACTGCACGTGACTTAGCGTGTAGCCAGTGCTTTTAGCCGGGCGCACAGCCTTCAGCTCAATTCAAGCTCTTTACCACCACTGCAATATCACCTTATCGTGACACTGGCAAAGAATGTTGGCGTTTAGATACTAGTATTTGTTCCCATACTAATCTCAGTTCTTTTTAAAACGTCCTCTAGGAGGTCATTCTGAAAACACTAAGTATTTGGATACTAGCTTTTGCGCTTTCTAATTACTTTTGTAGCGTTGCTTAAGGCATACTGTGACGGCAGGAACAGAGCAATAGAACGAGGCTCAAAGATCAATGATTTCCAATGTCTTAAGAATTTAAAGCTAAGGAGGACAGGAGTGAGGTGTGGCAGTGGATAAGTAGGTATGGCCAAGACCACTGAAACGCCGAGCTTTGGAAGCGAGCTTGGTTTGAACCATAGCTTGGAACCTTAGCTGAAACCAACCCCTTTGGCTGAAACCACGTCCGTATCAACCATGTGACACCAGCCGTCACACATACTATTTTATTTATCATATAGATATCACGCTTCTCGTGAAATTTTTATTATGAATTCTTTCTTAGTAGGAAAGCTATAATAAAGTAATTAATTAATTAATTACTTTCGCCTTAAGAGAGAAATAATTATTAGGCTATAATACCTATAAATAGAAAGTGATTACTCAAGAAAAGTAAGCCTTAAGATTTAAGATCACCGGAGATTACTCTGGAACTTCCGTAATTGCGATGGTTGTTGAGTTTTTGCATTTTGCGAAACACTTCTAAACTATGCGGATACTAACTTTGAATATCGAGTGTTGAATGCTAGTATTTGGTTGTTGGCAATCACCAGCAATCAAAAAGACGTGCGTTCGTGCGAAACGGGCCATTACAGGGAACTGTGACCTATGGAAGTGACTTCAAATCATGACCGGTTTGCTTAGCGTCGATCCTTCCCCCGCACTGATAAATGCTAGACTTTAGACAACCAACTCAGGATATATTACATCTTAGATTCGAAGATTGCAGCTAGTTTCTTTTCATGATGTATTAATCGATTTGTACCACTAAGAACTCAAGGTCCCTGTTTCCTACAATTATAGAATAATCCCTGACAACGAAAGTAAGAGCGGGTAAGAATAGCAAGATTATGCCCGCAACGCGCTTACTGTAAGCGAGATGCCTCTCTTCATGCAAATGCCTTTCCACATGCGAAATGATTTTTCTTATTCGGTTTCCTGCGAAGAAATGCTGGTTACTTGTCAGCGGTTCCTGTCTTCATGCCGTCGTACTCGCTTCTTCCAAGAGTCGAAACGGATCACTCCTGCTCGGACTTTACGCCTCGCTGAAGATGTGCCCACTCGATGATACTTCGGACGTCCGTCTTGGCCAATGCGGCGCTCTTGATGGCGGCTATTGGTCTAGCCAATATCTGCGCGTCCCAACGGTCCTCCAACGCGATTTCTTTCTCCATGTAGTCATTCCGGTGTTGGTCGTCCCACTGAAGATTCACAGTCAGCAATGGACCCGTGTATTGTCTTGAGCGACTCTGGAGAGTATTTCTGTAAGCAAAGTGCATGCACTTACGGGTGGTATCTTCTTCCAGTCTTTGCCAGCTTCAAGTGAAAAATCCTCTCTCAGATCATTGATCCACGCCTCCTGCGAGTCCTGCCCAGTAAGCAATGCTTTCCATTCCTTCCAAGCAGCACTACCCTTCCTATACTTATGCAAGGGGTTCTTGTATGACAAAGAGTTGACGGCCAGCTTTCGAAGTTGAGATTCCTTGGGCGTGGTGGAATACATCTGCTTGATACCGTTGATAAATGGCCATGGATTTTTCGTGGGATTAGTATCTGACGACTTGCAATATGCTCTGCAGTCGTCCATACAGAAGTTTTGGAAGGCTGGAGCTTTGAAGACACGCCCCCACTCCCAGAGGTCGTCTACCGACGCAGCGCCTTCCAGGGCGTCATTCTCCACCTTCAAGAACTCTCCAAAGTATACCCACGACACGAAGTCAGCGAAGAGGGATGGCTTCATGGAGATCAATATTTGTTTATCGACGCCGCGGCCTTTGTCCTTGAAGAGGTCGAGGAAGTAGGCTGAATGCAAAGCCAGCAGGTCTCTGTGGACGATGAATGTCTGCTTATCTTCGTTCCCGGCCAAAACTTCTACTGTCTCGCTGTATAGAATGACCCTACAATGCATCAGACCCGTACCTTTGAGCCACAAGGACTAGACTTACTGCGCCGTAATGGCTCGATGTTTTGCTCCGCAGTCTTCGCGTTCGTTGACCAATGCCTGCTTCTCACACTCGTCTTTCGTTTCGTGGGCTTTGAAGCATTCGCAAACATGCCCATTGGCCTTTCTCTTCTGGCTTGGCATTTTAAATGGATTGGAATTGAGAACGCGGGGAGGCAACCTAGCGATGAGGTGAAGAGATCTGCGGAAACAAGCAAGTCGAAATAATCAAGGTGCAGAATCAAGGTCGAGATATTACCAGTGGAAAGTTGATTGCAATGTCCGAAAGTTGCTCAATATGAAATTGCGTGAAAGTTCATGAAGTATGTGGATACGGAGTTGCGTGAACTGCCTGAAAATGTGGAGGTAATAACGGGAGGCTGGGGAAAATCGAAATGTTGAAACGGATTGAGACATTTATCCTTGCAAGTCAACGCGTGATCACGGAACCTCCCTTCCTATACATCAGGTCTGAGAATCAATCATAGTGCAAATGAAAAGGTCCCGATTTTCTACTCATAACTTCATGAGCGACTCGGTGCAGTTCTGCGCTCCACGCCGGGGACGACTCTTCCTGGAATACTATCACGACCCGGAGCGGAAGACCTGAAGGCAATCAGCTCTATTGGGTGTGTATGTAAACGTCTAAAGAGAGAAAGGAAGAGAGGAGCGGGGAGCTCGAGCTAAGTACAGGGTGCCACGCTAGGGCCAGGTCATGTGACGCTGACGTCACAACAAATACTTCCTTCCACAGAACACCAATCTACCACACTCAAATTCTCAAGATTCCAAGATTGAATTGCGCGAATTATAAACCCATTCGCAAAGGAGAATAGATTTCTCCTTGACTTTAATAGACGCAACTTCATACTTAGATGAGGCTCGCTTGGGATCGCTCCTTCCCCCTGAATCCGCGTGGGTACTTTCCACAATAACGAAGCATCACGACTTCCTCAAGAACCCTAGAATTCGCACTCTCATTTTCCACCCATTTCCCCACAATCTTCTGTCTCTTCTCTTCCTTTATCCTTCACCATATTTCACCAGCTTCACCCCCGCCCTCCGCCGGAAATCATCAAGAGCCATCGCCCCCTCAAACTCCACACACTCAGTCACGCTCCCTTCCCATGCTTTCCCTTATCATCGATAGGCAAAGAGCCTTCCTCAGAGCGACAAGGTTTGTTCAAGTAATAAGCTCGCGTTGTGGAGACTTCTGCTAGTCCCTGCACTGGAACTGCGAGGGCAATAGTCGGTCTGCGGGACTGACTATGAGGCGATGGTTTCTACTAGATCAGAGGACGGCGGGCTTTTGTTGCTTCTCTCAATTTTATATTTGCTGTCACTCGACTTCATGTCCAACAAAACAAGCCAGTTTCCGCACGACCTTGGACAGAGCAGCCAGCTTTGCCAACGACTTCTCCCTTGTGAGAGCTCCTCCTTGCTCACGATTGCATCCACTTGGAGATGCATACTGACTTGAAATAGACATCCCTCCGTGCAGTGCTTTCTCTCAACTTGCGTTATGACGCGATCTCCTTTCCGTCAACGCAAGCCTGGCAAGGCAACGCCCGTGCGATTGATCAAGCGAACAGGGACTCCAATTCGTTCAATGGGCAGGGATGTAAGCGTAAATCTCTTATATGGCGATGACGTGCTTCAACCAACTAACGCCTCTTGAAGTCTCCCGTCTTCCATCTTGACCAGCAAAATGACATACCTGGGAACTCGAATACAGCACACTTGCCTGCATCGCTTCGTGTTCGGCCTCGAGATTTGCATTATGCTCCCCCGATCTAGGGCCAAGGAGTGAAGTCTCGCTCAAACCGTTGGTGGTCTCCATCAACCTTCGAGAGCACCAGATACATTGAGAACGAACACGAAGAGATCTCAAGCAAGCATCCCTCCGCTTGCACGATCAAACTGGAAACGGCGACGCAAAACTTGAAAAAAGATAGAGCGCGGCTCAAAACCAAAGCGCCAACATTCCATGAGTCGAAGCCGAAGAAAAGACTCTCCCGATTTCTCTCTCTCTTGAGCAGCATCTTCCTGCTCCAGCACAACTTCGCAGCCAGCTCAATTGGCGTTCTCCTTCATTCCGCCTGGGCCATTAGGTCCCTCCCATCAGGACACGCTCCCTCAGACAAGGCGAGATTTCCTCGTTGACTGCACGACTTTCAGGCTTTCTCCGCATCCCGAAAAAGCAATCACCAACCCCCCCCTCAAAAAGCAAGAACAGGCAGCATCGCCGAGCCAGCGGTCCCAAAATCCCAAGAATCCGGAATCGGGAACCCGAGGGCCTGGAACCGGTGACGCTTCCTAAAAGGGATTGTCGCAGACTCTCAAACGCCCCACAAAGCCACCGGTGGAGCGGAAAAGCAGAGAAGATAGGAAAGCGTGGAAGCCATGTGCGCATGCATGAGCTGGAATCCTTAGCGCAATCACACTCGTGGCCGCACGCCCTGTGCATGAGCTGGGCGACGGGGCTGCGGCCTTCTGGGGATTATTCACAGCTCATGATGTCGGTCAAGACAGCAGAGGAGCAGAATGCTTGACTCGGGGGCTGTGAATTGGGAAACGTAGGCTGTTATCACGCTGCACTATGTTGTGTCAACCAACATCCAACGTCAGGATTTGCGGAAAGCACTTCCGTCTCGAGGAGGAGGCACTTGGATCCTTCGGTACGAAAGTACGACAACACCAACCACCAACAACGATCACCCTTCGAAGCTAATGCAAACCCCTCCCACTATTAATAGCGATCAAGCCCCGCTTAGACCCGAGGAAGGATCCGCATCCCCACCGCTTCACGCCGCGCAAACCGCTGCAGACTAGTCGGTCTCACTCGAGTCAGCCCCGCCGCCTCGTTTCGAGTTGCAACCCGTGCTCGATCGAAACAACGTTAACGCGAAATCAAGAGAGACCAAAAGAAAGGATTGAAGGTCCAAATCATGCGAACGTATTGTCACTGTCGGCGAAGTGATGAATTCGGGTATCTACAAATGCCTCCATCCCCTCCTCCTCTGTCATCAGATACTCGCAAGAAAAGACATCGCAACCCGCCATCTGATCTACCAACCCAAGGCAACCCACCAAACCTGCCCACCGACTCCAGCAATGAGTCTTTTTTTTCATCAAACCTGTGTCATGCATTATCCATTTCCATGAAAGAGTAAAAAGCCAGTGCAGTTAATGCAGTAGTAAAGTCTGCCTTGCAAGAAAGAATGCTCCCGAACCACAACTGCACCACCCAATGCCATGCAATGCAAGTTTTGTTTGTAGTCGAAGTCGAAGCCGATGCTCTCATTTCGCTTCGAAAAGAAGGGCGAGGAAAAAGAAAAAAAAGTGAAAAGGAAAGAAACCCGGTTTTCGCGGTGAGGGTTTCCAAAGTCATAGCTTCGATTCGAGGTCCTCGAACTCGCTGATGTGCTTCACGGGCTGAGGGCCAGCGCTGACCTGGAGCATGGACTTGAATTCCCGGACGTCGGTGATGATGTAGGGTGTGGTGCCGTTGCCTTCCGTATTAACGCTCACTGCTTCTCCGTCTTCCTCGTCCTTGTGGTCCTTGTTGAGACCTAGAATTTTCGTGCCCTTGCCGACGACTTCCTCGACAGCAGATGTGTCTGAGCTAGGTGACTGGGCAGCCATGTGAATCGCCAGCTTTGATCGCACTGGAGATGAGGGGTGAATGAATTGCTGATAGAACTCGATCATGTCGGCCTTGGTAAGCATCTTGACATGAGCAGCGTCGTGGTGAACTGTGATACACAATCAGCTACAATGCAAGGAACACGTAAAATCAAACTTACTGAGCTCAAAGTCGAGATACTCGCTGTCGATGTACGACCACAGACGGCCGGACTCTTGATCCAGATTCTTCAACTTCTCCAAGCGCTTCGTGATCAAACTTCTCTTGTGGCCTTCAAATTCCGCATCAGACATCTGTTCCAAAGTCTCCGCCCAGGTTGAAAGGAAGCTGTCGATTCTTGACTCCAAGTATTGGGGGGTCTTCTCGCTCTGAATAATGAATCGGAACCCAATGGTCGTAGAGGTAGGTCGAGCCCCAGTGAACACGACATATCCAAGCTGCTCCTTGGTCCTAAGTTGATCGAAGGCGGGTTCATGGGTCATTTGATCGAGGAGGAGAGTCTTCGCACGCAATGGCCGGATCGACTTGTCGCCAATGTACAGTAAGTATTCAATGCAGTGGTTGACATTTGCTGGATCCTTAAGTGTCTTCCGGAACAGAAAGTTGCTCCCCGGTAGGAATATCAATTGTCGGGCGATAGGCCATTGTGTTTGAGGAAGTGGTCTCGGCTTCAACAGATTCTCGATGAGGTCGCTCAATTTCAGAGCATCCTCCTTGTACAGGTTTCCATGTACGAAGGTCTCGATGTGCATCTGTCGAAGAAGATGGGGATAGAATTGCTGAATGTCAGCTGCGGTCAGGTGATGCAGCTCGGCAAGAATCTGCTCGTTGGTGTAACCCTTTTCAGCGTTCAGCCACCTGGTGAAGTCCCCAACTTGATTGTACGGTTGTTGGAAATCCCAGTTTTTGAGGCCTCGTAAGACTCTTTCTTTGATGATCTCGAACCGATCCTCCTTGATCTCCATATCCCTCATGGTGACCAAAACCTTCTCTAACAGCACCGATAACTTATCGTTATAGCCCGAAACCGCGATCTCAATGCCCATGGAGTGGGCAGATACCGAGTAATCCAGCCCCGCGAGCTCGGCGTCATATGAGTACTCCTCCAACGCATCCCGTACCATATCGGTGTACAGTCTTGCCTTCAAACTATTCTCTGCTGTCGCATTTGGCAGAGTATTCCGGCAGTTAACAAAAAGATTGGCCTTGGGTACCCAAAATTGATCGTCCTTCTTGAACCAGGTCCGAACAAGATCATCATTTCGAATGAGCTTCGGAGAGAGTGCCGGTTCCTTGATTTCCTTTTTCTCAACCTCGAGCTTCGTGGGAATGAACTGATTTTCATGCGGTAAGTGCAATTCCATCAACCGATTCTTGACTGTGCTCTTTGCAGCTTGTCTGATTTCGGCAAGGAAGTCTGCTGGGATTTTCTCATAAGTATATTCGGTTCCGTACCATTTCTCCTTTTGCTTCCAGGTGCCCGGGAATTTTTGGGATACTACGGTCATCCTGAAGTTATCTGGTCTCAGGCATTGGAGGCCCTCCTCGATCTTGACGGGATCAAATTTCCGAAGTCTAGATGCACAGGTCAGTCATGCAAGCCGCCACTAGATTCGCGCTGCAGAGACAAACTCACGTGCTGTGTCCGCTGAGGAGCCATTCCCGAGGTAGAGGCGTCTGCATCACCGCGCTGATCTTACTCGTGAACCGGCTGGCTGGGGTCTTTTGCTTGAACTTAAAATCCACATCGGCCAGGCCCTTCTGTTCCTGGAAAATCCATTCCTGAGGCGGAGTCTCCTTGAGCAGTGAAATGTATTGAAAGAAGACCTTTACGATTTCCTTGTAATTCTTTAGGCCATCTTCTGTTAACCGAATTTGGCAGTTGAATATTCCTGGCGTGCCTGGACACACGGGATATGCACCTGTGCGGGGGTTTTAGCTACCGTAAAATCGGAGACAGAGATCCCGAGGACAAAATAATGGATTTACAGCTGCATGATCGCTAGATATAGGGGGTTTCCCACTCGAGTCATAACATCGTCATTTTCTCCCCGACTTGGCCGCCAAGACGGTGAAAATTGGCTCACGAAGGAAAAAATTTCAACGTACCTGCACTTAGTCCATTGGCCCAACCTTTTGACTTGATATACGACATTATACTTCCAGGCCCTTCGTGGCCAATCAGATGGCTAATGTACCGACTCGGTTGCGATTCGAATAAGAGCTCTTCATCAATAAAGGGAAACGAGAGGTCCAATTGTCGAGAATCCATTACCGGCTTCGCAAAGCACTGAGTCAAGAGGTCGTCCGGTCCAAACGGCACTTCATCTTCCCATCGATTTTGTTGCAGGCTCTTGTTCCGGACTCCGGCGAAAAGATCTGCAGCCCAACCCTCCAAGACATCTAATGGTTCCCTCCCCAAGATAACGAGTTTCATGCGGTTGGCTGAATAATGCTTCTCATGAAAATCCATAAACTTTTGTCGGACATCAATTCCCCGTGCCTCTGGCTGCGTCTTCAAGATCTCTAAATTTCCCGTAGAAAAGTGACAATATGGATGCTTTGGGTTCGACAGGGACTTTTCCAGCTGATGTAATCGCCATTGATCGCTTTGCAAATTCTTCTTGTTTTCGGAATCGACTGCTCGTAGCTCCCTGTCCAATGTTGAAGAAAGGAAAAGAGGATCAATGAAGAATTGCGCGAATCGGTCCAGGGCTCCATATAATGGAGAGGCCTCGTCCGGGGAAGCATCCTCGGCTTTCTTTGCCGCAACGTCGAAGTAGTAGTTTGTAGATGTGGCGCCCGTATACGCATTAGAGGCTCCAGAATGCGAGGAGAGATATTGGGAGTAGGCGTTTTCCACTGGGTACTGTTTGTTTTGTTAGCCGCAGTTCAAAACTTTTTGCATGCGAGGCTGGAAAAATCGCTTGCTGGATGAGGCTCCCCTGCGCCCCACCACAAAATCCCAGAAAAGCAAAAATATATGTACCTTCTTTGTACCCATGAATAGCAGATGCTCGACGGCATGGGCCTTTAGAACATTGAGAAGTTAGCATTTTTCTGTTTCAATAAATCCACAGAAATGGAAGCTCTCTGGGGCGTGTTTACCATGCCACTCATATCCTCTTCGTCGCTGAAGTTGCCCACATTGACATCCATGGCCGCGCTGGCCTTGTCCGTTTCCGCATCGTGGACCAGGAGCACTTCCAGCTGGTTCGGCGGTAGCCTCACCACGCGGTACTTTCTGTCATCAAGGGATGGGGTCTCCAGGCGGTCCGTGAGTCTCTCGACAGGCCGATGTCGATGTTCTCGCAGGGGGCTATCGAGAGCCGCCGGCGTCTGAGGTTGAGATAAGGTTGACATGGCGGCAGAGTTTAAGGGTGGCGAGCAGAGGCCGCGATACGAACAGGAAGAGCGAAAGAAGCGCGGACGAAGGCTATTTGAGGCAGTCGACGACAATGCGCAGGACGAGAAAGCTCTTTGAAAGCTATTGACCCCGGTCAGCTCGTGGAAGGCTCGCGCTTGGGAGAAATGGCGGGTAAGTACAGGTCGAGGTCGGGATGGGGTGGGTTTGGATGTGGATGGCCAAAAGGTCTGTGCGGATGCAGACGAAGTGAATGAGGTGCAGTATCTCTTGCAGGTGCAGGATGGGAACGTGGAATACTCGTTCAAGCTCTGGGCCAGCGGTGAATGGCCACGCTGGACGTGCAATGATGAGGCTGGCTTGCGAGCCCGAGCTGGCAAAAGTGTGCGTTGGCCACCAGCGGCTAGCGACCTGAGGACGTTGGCTGCGGCACGACAGGGCACATGGAGTGGGAAGCAGGTGACCCCAGAAACGGGCATCGAAGCCCGGAAGGCCTGAAGAAGCAAGAGCCGCGGATGCCGTGCGTCTGCGTGTGTGCGTGCGTGCTTGCTCGCCCGATTTCTGAGAGCAGCAAAGGCGTTGGTCCCGACAACGCGGCCGTAACAGGAAGAGCTATACAGCCCGGGGGGAGGTTCCGTTCGGCGGCGGCGGCGGCGGCGTCGTCGAGGAATGGGGCGGCGGTCGTTGGTCGTTGGTGGCACAGGTGGGACGAAGGCGTACAAGAAAAGCCCAGGTGTGACAGAAGTTCGAACAACAGCCGTTTGTCCTGGATGGGTGGGATTTTCGAGGAGGGCGGTGCGGTGCGGTGCGGTGCAGCAGGAAGGTGCTGGCTACTGTAGCTGGCTGCACTAGGCCGAGGGAAGGGAGGGGACGAACTATTGGGCCCAGCTGCACAAGCGCACAAGCGAGCCTCCACGATTTGCAGCTCCGCGCCTGGAGGGAAACACCCAGAAGTTAGCAGCCAGAAGTTAGCAGCCAAAAGTTAGCAGCCAGCAGCCAGCAGCCAGCCAGCCAGTCCACAAAGGCAGGCTTGGGTCCGGGTATGCGGTCTGGGTCTGGGTCCGGGTCCGGGTCCGGGTCCGAGTTCGGCCGTGGGTGAACTGATGGCCGAGCAGTGCAGCAATTCGTGGAGAAGCAGCAGCAGCAGCAGCAGCAGCAGACGCAGCGATCACAGCAATCTGGCGGTCAGGTCTCCAGAGCAGAGGCAGGAGACAGACGCAGGAGACGCAGGTCACGAATTTATGTCGCCGCGCCCCTGCTTGCAGATGAGGTCGAGAAGGGACCAGGGTCGCCACGGCTGGTGTCCCTCTCCATGGATGGAGGTTGCAGCAATCCATGCCCACCCCCATGCTGCATCCCCGCTCTTATCGTGCGATCCATCGCCTTACTCGATAAAATGCCCGACCTGGGACTGGGCGCCGCGCCCCTGGCCAGCCTCGACTCGCTGTCTGGCTCGCCGGAGAGAAGTTTCAAAGCGACCTCTCTCGCTCGCCCGCCACGGCAGCCAACCACCAGGTCAACGGGAGGGTGGAGTCTTGCTTGGGCCACGGCCGCCCGGAGGCAGCGCAGCGCAGCGCAGCGCATGAATCGATCAATTATTCTGGAAGCTGGAAGAAGTGATGGTCACCATATTGAGCCTCGCACTTGCCGGCTGCCGCCATTGGGCAGAATATGGGATGGCGCCGCATGCTCGAGCAGCTCAACGGGCGAGCTGCATCGTACAGCAAGCATAATGCTGTTGCTGTTCCTGCTGCTGTTGCAATTGTGATATCTGGCTCGCCTCTAACTACGTCTGGCAAGGCCAGGGCCGGAGCAAGCGAGAGAGAGAGAGAGAGAAAGAAAGAGAGCTGTCATGATGCATTGCGAGATGCAGTGTGTTGCCCTCCCACGCCCACCACGCATGAACCGTCTGCATCTCGAAGGGGCCACTCCGCACCGCGTTGCCCGGTTTGGTCTTTTCCTCTCTACCCTAGTTGCTATATCTGGGTTCAACTATTATAAGATGGCCGGTATATTAATTAACATTACTTAAGTCTCTGTCTTTCGGCCTCATCGGGCATCGAACACGTCTGGAGTGCGGTCCTGGAGACTCGCCCCGTTGCACCATGTGCATCCTGAACGTGAAAGGATTGACGGCACGGCCAGCGGGGATCCGGGAGCCTGCGTGTCAGGCCGTGGACGAAAGCGCGGATACCTTATTGTCATATTATGATTGGACTTGAAGTAGTATTTACTATGATTAGAGGCTGATTAAGGTTTTCAATGCGGCATGCTACATACATAAACCTTCTACAGCTGGGCCCGGGGAAGTTTTCCTTTCGCTGTCACTAATTTCGGCTCCACAGCATTGCCTTATTCCGGAGGGAGGCCCAAGGGGATTTATACTCTTCGATGGCATTCAGTAAGTTGCGAAGGGGTCGGCCCGAACAGCATGTAGGTTTGAGGTGCCTGAGAAGCCGAGCGCACTCGACTCGGCATGCGTCAAGAATAGCCTGATTGCATTAAAGTTTTGCCACGAAACTTGGGACGCAGCTGCATCTCGGTTTGATGGGACGGAGTCGGTTTCAGTCATGTGATTTGATTGTTCAACGTCCGTGGTTGCACAAATTCTGCAAGTTTGTCAACATGATATTCCGGCAGCCGTTTGTAAGGTGTGCGCGATGCGTTGGGATGGGGTGAGGCCAAGCAGAAGTATCTTACTTCACAAACATTCGTCACCACTTCGCATCATTCAGAACCGCAATCCCAGCCAAGATCTGCGGAACCTTAACGCATACGGAACGAGAGCGGCACTGCAAACTGCTACTAGAGTCATGACTTTGAGTGATTGACTCAGGGACACTCTGTTTCTTTTGTTTCAACTCAATTCTTAAGCGGACGATACCTGTGGTCTCTCCACGACTTGTTTTTGGTGATACATCTAAAACAACTGAATATTAATTCATTTCTGAGACGTGAACTTTGATGCGAAAGAACTAGTTACACAGGCTGTTGGCATGACCCTAGGTCCGGGGAATAAGGGATCAGAACCCCAAGTGGGTTTCTCGACCGCGCCCTCGACTCGAGGGCCTTGAGTCTCAAGGGGGTTTCGCGGACCCGGGTGAAGAGCCGCTGCAGATTTGTCTCGATTAGGAGCCCTTGTTATTGGTTTTGGCTGAGCCTACCTGACCTGGATATTGCTGAGCAAGGTTCTTGCAAGGTTGAAGCTTGATCCGGTGTGCAAATTGACATGGCAATCGGTTAGCGCTTCAAAACATATTTTCAACGTGTCCAGTGAATGCGAAGCTGCCCTCCCCTAATCGAGTGCCTTGTCAGCGGTGTATCCAGTGATGAACTAATTAGTCGCGAGGTGATCGAATATTTCATGAATAGCCGATATACAGTGACGAGAAGAGCCATGAACTCTCTTGAGAAGATCGAGTAGAAATTGCTTTTGATTCTCTTGATGCTCTCAGCATGCTGTGAAATGGCCAAGCCGAGGCAGTCATTAAATGTCCCACGTAGCGCCAATAATGCAGCTAACTCCAGCGCTATGCAACGTCAAGGAAAGAAAACCAGTCTCAAGGCAGTGCCAAGTTCTCTAGCGTATGTTTAACTTCCGGTAACAGGTTAACGATCTGATTGGGATCCCGCAGCGCAACTGTAAGATCGCCGGGGAGTCTGCCGGAAAACAACAGGCTCTGCAACGATTGTCAGCACATGCCTACACTAAAAGTGGAGGACTAGTGATGAATCTAGACCATGCCATCCATAGTTTGAGAATCTCCCTCCAATGGGTGCATGTGAAAACTCTCCAACGCTCGACCGAACCAATCTGAGGCGAAAGAAATTGCTGAGCTGATAGCAACCAGCTCAGAGGCAAGCGAATGATTTTGGAGACGGAAGAAAGAGTAACCCATACCTTCTTCACCTTGTCGAAGCCATCCTCTCTTTCTGTGTAGTCTCTGATAACCTTGCCATGGTTGAAATCCACGTAGATCCTGGTATCTCGGATCCTGATAAGTACATTATCGAGTCTCATGAATTGTCGGCACAACAACAGCATCCTGTCTGGCATTACCCGCAACTTGCAAGACAAGATTGAAATACCATTATCATCAAGCTCGCTTTCAAAGAGCACAACTTCTTCGAAGAACAGTATCGGATCTGGACGCTTGAGTAGTTCGATTGGAATAAGCTCTGGGCCAACTTCGAATGGTTTTCCTTTCGTGACATTCCCCTTGTAATCTGTTGTGTATGACCAGTCGAACGGCTTTACGACCTCCTTGATACCCTCGTGGGTCTTTTCCCTGCAACGCGTTAGCTATTATCGTCCCCTATTTAGAGTGAGGCTAATACCTGCTGCTTGACCACTCTTGTGAATATGCAACCTTCAACATATTCTTGTCTGTCTTGTCGACCCGGTCTAGCGCATCAAATGCATTGAACTCGAGCCGCCATCCGCTAGCCATGTGCTCGATCGAGACCATATTATCTCCAAAGATCATTTCAGGGACGGGAATGCCCAGCTTCTTCGACATCTCATCGATTGGTCCTGACTTCGAAATGGGAAGCTTGCGTGCACTGATCTTGAAGCCTTTCTGAACATGCGACACGGTGGATTTGTCTGCTGCGGCAGGTGTCGGGAAGTTTTCGTCAACGGGGCCATTGAAAGACATGATGCTGGGTTTGTAGGCTTGATGCGCCAAGGGGCGACGATAATCTGTGGTCTGGTGTAGCTGCCTCTAAAATTCGGAAGGCGCATTCAGCAGTGTGAAGTTGAACTTTGGCGGGGCAAGTTTGGCGGGGAAGGAACCGAAGGTCTCGCGAGGCGTTGCCCCGGCGACCATTAGCTCCAAAATCACAAACACCTTAGGATTTCGAGTTCCAACTTCCCACTTCAAGTTTCACCTCAATCTTCGACAACTTCATACTAACCACAGCACAACAGACAATTGCTCGCTTGGAATCGACATCGCTCGGCAGGAAACCCATCACACTTCTCGCACCGTCTAAATGGCAACACGGGTTCTCGAATCGCGCTTCGAGCGCATGTCTGTGAACGACGAGAATGATCCTGGCGATGGCATGAAATACCAGAAGTCAAAGGTACTTCATCAGCACAAATTATCAGGAACTTCTGCTAACATCTCTCAGATGACAAACGCTTCATCCACCACATCTACACAACTTTCTCAAAATGCTGGCCGAGCGAACCTACTGAAGATCGCATTGCAAAATCAAAACACCACAAGTACCATCGTTACCGTCCCTTCCCAAGCAGCTCAATGGCGAGCCTCGAATATGCAGAATGGACCAACATCACCGACACGAAAAGCTCGAGGGTCCGATGAGGTAGTCAAGGTGGAACGCAAGTCAAATCCTATCTACGAACAACCTGCTCAACCAAAACAATTCCATCTCGGCATGTTTGAAATTGGACGACCATTGGGAAAAGGAAAATTCGGCCGTGTTTACTTGGCAAGAGAACGTAGCACGGGATATGTGTGCGCGCTGAAGGTTCTACACAAAAACGAATTGCAGCAAGGGAAGGTTGAGAAGCAGGTCCGGAGAGAGATTGAAATTCAGAGCAATCTCCGACACCCTAACATCCTTCAATTGTACGGTCACTTTCACGACAGCAAAAGAGTCTTCCTGATTCTCGAGTTCGCGGGCAAAGGAGAGTTATACAAACATCTTCGGCGAGAAAACAGGTTTCCGGAATGGAAGGCAGCTGGGTATATCGCACAGATGGCCGAAGCATTGATGTATCTTCATAAAAAACATGTCATGCATCGAGATATCAAACCAGAAAATATTCTCGTCGGTATCCATGGCGAGATTAAGATTTCCGACTTCGGCTGGAGTGTACACGCTCCAAACAACAGACGGAACACGCTGTGCGGAACTCTTGATTATCTACCACCGGAAATGATCAAGCCAGGAAGTCAGGATAACTATTACAGCGAGAAAGTTGATCTTTGGAGTTTGGGTGTTTTGACATATGAATTTTTGGTTGGGGAAGCGCCGTTTGAAGACACTCCAGTAATGACCCACAGAAGGATTGCAAGAGCGGAGATGACGGTACCGAGTTTTGTCAGTCCTGAAGCAAAGGACTTAATCAAGAGGGTGAGCCATGAAGCCAGACTCTCAAATATCATTCACTGACTTCTTACAGCTACTCGTCCTTGATCCTGAAAAGCGAATACCTCTGGAGCAAGTTAAAAAGCATCCATGGATCATCAAGCATTGTGTCAAGGGAGAGCGGGCCAGCATGCGTGACTCAAAGTCAACTGGCAGCAAATCTTCAGGCGGTGGTGAACGTGATGAATGATGATTTTATGACCTGGTTAAAGGCGCTTTGGCGTGGCATAAGTATCAAAGATTGGGCGGCATGATGTTTGGAGTCGGAGATCAGTATATTCCTGTACGCCTACGCTGACCAATATAATGCTTTCAAACACTGCCTGTGGCCCATTTCCCAGAGCTTCTAATTGTTTGTACAAGAGAGTCGTGGCTCATCTATAAATTTCATCAAACGGTCGGGTATCTGAGAAGCACGAATCCCAGACCTCATTCACAACTTTCACTGCCTGTACATCATCTTTGCATGCCGGTCTTGCCATAACAGACTTCACCGCCCTCGTTCGTACACAATTCTGATGTTGCTGTGTAAGCTTCCAATTATTCCTCGTCCAAAACTCTCTCATGAATCTGCACTCTCCACTTAGACTTGACGCCCGGATCTGTATTCCCATTAGCACCATCCTCTCATACCAATTTCTAAAGGCCAACCTCAGTACAAGCCGCATGCCTCAAATCCGCCCAATCAACCTTCCACCTCAAATGATCCCACGCATGCACCATCTCATGCGCCAGGGTATCCTCCAAATGCTTCCTATCCCGCATCTCATTCGCACAAATAAGTATCCCATGATCCGGACTAAACCCTCCTCCCTGCCTCACAAATCCTCCGTCCTCCGTCCTCCGTGTCGGACACCGTCTACACCGCACATTCTTCGCATTCAGATCCCCATTCAACGCCTCAATATTCTTCCTCAGGAAGATGACCGTGGGTGAGTATTTGAAACACCAATCCCGCCACTCGTCGCAGCTCTTGCAGTCGCGCGCTTCGTTCTGGATGTATTTGTCTTCGCGGAAGTAGTGTTGCCCTATGGGCGTCATGCGCCCGGTGAGGATGTTGTAGATGTTTGTCCAGGGGGACTCGGGATCGTAGCCCGTTTGCGCGGGATCGTGGCCGTTAGCTGTGCCCGGGTTCTCCTGCTCTTGTGGTTTTACGAAGCTGTCTTGCTCTTCTCTTGCCATTACCAGTTCCTTCTTGCTCTGCTGTTCTAGGAGCATGGGCGTGTTCTCGTAGTCTTCCATTGAGGCGCGCTGTGCATCTGCAGTTTTGGGATGAAGAGAGTCGGTCAGGGATTGGCTTGAGGGAGCGGGTTTTGAGGTGCCTGACCCCATGGCTGAGAGTGGGGTGTTCACCGAGGAGCAAATTAGGAAATTCCAAGCGTAATTGAGGGGAATGTCGCTGTCAGGGCGTATATTAGGCGTGGAGCTCGAGAAGCTCTTTGAAGTGGATATTTTTGGACAATGTTGCTGACCGCCCTCTGTTTTCGGCGCTTTCTGCCAAAAAGCGGAGCGATTTCGCAGCATGAAAACAGTCATATTTCTCCCGAAATCTCTCACCGTTGCAGACCAACTCACAGAATCCATGTTAAGATATCTTCTTCATTTTCAAGAGATCGAAAAGGAGGATATAGCCCAATATGAAGGGACCTAAATCTCTCACCATTGTGATAAAGCTCGGTACGTACATCCTAGCCCAAAAATATGTCATGCAAGGCTGAGCAAAAATGCAGGTACGAGTTCGATCGTTGATGAGAAGACTCATGAGCCATTGATCGATATTTTGAGTCTTATTGTGAAGACTGCGGTGAAACTTCATAAAGATGGCCATAAGGTCATCATTGTGTCGTCTGGGGCTATTGGGGTGGGTCTGAGGAGGATGGATCTTGAGAAGAGGCCGAAATATCTTCCAAGGATACAGGTTAATGCTCTTCCGCCTCAATGGCACCTGACTGTACTTACTCGGATGGTTAGGCTCTGGCAGCAATTGGTCAATGTCGACTCATAAGTCTTTGGGATAGTTTGTTCGGCCACTTAAGACAACCCATCGCTCAGATATTGCTCACCAGAAACGACATTGCGGATGTAAGATGACCCCAAAGTATCAAGTTGAGCACATGCTAACTCGAAACCAGCGGACACAATATCTCAATGCCCAAAACACGTTTGCTGAGCTCCTCGAAATGGGCGTTATTCCAATTGTGAACGAAAACGACACCATCGCGGTCACAGAAATCAAGTTCGGTGACAACGACACATTGTCAGCCATCACCGCCGCAATGGTTCATGCCGATTATCTCTTCCTAATGACAGACGTGGACTGTTTATACGACAAGAACCCGCGGTCTCACCCAGATGCCAAAGCCATTGAGGTGGTAGAAGACATCTCCATGCTAGAAGCAGACGGTACCTCCCCTCCCCTCTCCCATTCCCAAGCAACTTATTAAGAAAAATCAGTATCAAGCGCCGGTTCTGCCCTTGGAACAGGCGGCATGTCCACCAAGATCGTCGCCGCACGCCTCGCCACCTCTGCCGGCGTAACAACAATAATAACACGCTCCTCCAACCCCGGCAACATAGCCAACATAGTCACCTACGTCCAATCCCTCAAATCGTCGCCTCAATCCATCACGCCCCAACCCTGTTCACCACCCTCAGGCAATATATCTCCCGCCATAACCTTAGTCAACGAGCCCCTCTCCCGCCCAACAGCATCTCTCAAACTCGAGCCCGTCCCAGTTGCTCCATTACACACCCGCTTCATCCCCTCTCCTCAACCGATACGAGATCGCTATTTCTGGCTCCTCCACGGCCTCGCTCCCCACGGCACAGTCTACATCGACGCCGGCGCTCACCGCGCCCTAGAAAACAAAGCAGGCCTCCTGCCGGTCGGCGTAGTAGACGTGGAAGGCACATTCGCGCAACAGGAAGCCGTGCGTCTTGTCGTTGTTGATCGGATTCCGCGGTCTGCGCTTTCCCCGAGATCTTCCACATCAACTCTTGTCAACGGTATCAACCACGGGGTCAAGTTATGGGAAGGTCCAGGAATGGAGGTAGGCAGAGCGTTGGTGAACTATAGCGCTATAGAGATCATGAGGATTAAGGGCGTGAGGAGTGGTGAGATTGAGGGGTTGCTGGGGTATGCGGAGAGTGAGTACGTGGCGCTGAGGGAGAATATTAGTTTCTTTAAGAGGGAGAGCCGGCCAGTTACGCCGAGCTTAGAGCTATTGTAGAGAGAGCTGGGTTGGTTTCTGGTGTTTGGCTGGTACAGTGGTAGTGGCGTTCTGTTTGCGGATAGAGAAAAGAAGGCACGCGGGCCCGTCGTTAGATGATAGGAAAGTAACGAATTTTCTTGCAGCCATCACCTTATTGATTCATTCGAAAACTATCTCTACAGGGGCCAACTATGCAGTTCCTACCCGTGAATGCAAAACCCTTATCCATTCATTCACCACACAACCCCAAACTCCATCCAAGAGGCAAATCAAGGCAAATGACACTCCAACGAGTGGTCAAACCGATGTTCAAACAAAGCCTAAGACGAATCTATGCAACGCCTCAGCCACTCCTTATCTCGCATCCTTCGGCGAAGAACTACTAGCAGTAACCTCCTCAAACTCCAACTCCCACTGATCCACCTCCTCAAACTTCCTCGCTGCAGCCTTCAGCTCCCGTCCAACTCTCTTCTCCAACTCCTGGCTATTCTCAGGACTCTCGTTTCCCTCATCATCGGGCAGTGGTCCCAAACTATCGTCCGGATCGACATCTTCTTCATTCTCTTTGTCGGAGGCTGCACGAGCCTGTGCGCCGTAGGTCCGTTTGGCAGCTGGCTGCTTACCTTTGGTCGCCGCCCTGGCGTTTCGAGGTCCCTTGAGAGGCGCTGGTGTTCTTCGGGGTGGGATGGTGGATCTTCGACTCCGTGCTCGTACAGCGAGATATGAGAGTTCGTCGTCTCCTGAAGCGAGACCGGAGATATCGACTTCGTCCTCTGAGGTGGGAATGTCGAATGGATCGCGGGCTTGATGTCGCCGTCTCCGGGGAAGAAGGGACTGCAGTTGAGCGGTGGAGAACGTGCTAGGAGGCGGAGCTTGTCTTTTTGGTTTTGATTTCGCTGCAGCTATTACTGGTCGGTTTGGAGAGTGAGTGAGTGGTGGTGGTGAGGAGATTGGTGAGTCTTGGGTCATTGGTGGTGGCGTTCTGCCTCTTAAAGGCCGTCTACCCCTGGACGGCGCTCGGTGTGATGGTAGAGGGGGTTCGGGGCTTGAAGGGAGAGAGCTGCTGCTTCGAGGTGGCGCCATAGTTTCGCTCAATGGTTCGGGGGCGATAGATCGGCCTTCGATGGATAGTATTAGATCTTGTTCGAGGGATCCCAGCTGGCTTCCTTCTTCGTCATTCGACATGCTGGTAGCTGGAACCGTCTCCTCTGGTTGAATTCTTCTGGGTGATGGTAAAGCCGGACTAGATCTGGAAACTTGAACAGATGAGAGCTTGCGTTTCCTAGGATTTGAAGACGAAGTGGCTGAAGAGGTCGTCGTGTTTCTAGTCTTCGAGAGATTCAAGGGCGTTGACTCATCCTCGGGATTGAAATCGCCCTCATCATCGTCATCATACTCAAGTCGCTGTGACTGAGTCTTTTGTGCCGTTCCTAGTATGCTGGTTTCTCTCGCCCTGCGCTTGAAATGTTCAAATTTCAAAGCTGAGCCGATTTGTGCTGGTGTACCTCTGTCCATCTCGAGTCCCATACTACTTGATACCATAGGTGCAACTCTCTGACCTAAAATGCTGGGTTGTCTCGGTCGACGTTTAAACTTGCTGATTGACATAATTGAGGTATTCCTCTTACCCACGCTCGCGAGGCCATTGTCCTGCGCCAGATTTGACTCGACACTGCTTGACCGCGCCCGAGTAGCTCCACCACTGAGTATGCTTGGTTGACGCGCTCGTCTTTTGAAATTTCCAATTACAAGCAAAGAGCTCTCTATCGCGGGTGTCCGCATTTCCTTCCGACCAACCTCTGCTGGACTGCTTGATCCCAGATCCAAATCTAGTCCATCTGACTCCTCACCCCGGGATTCTAAAGCCACGCGACCGGTCTCTAGTGCCTTGTGCGCTCTTTCGGGATCTCTCCCTTCTGAATTGCGCGTGCTCATTCCCATTGCGCGCCCCTCTGACCTCGAAGCGGATCCAACCTTCGTCTTGCCATTAGTTTTCTTGACGTGTCGCACACTCCTCACTGCTTGATCATCCATATCGCTGACATCATATAAATCGTTTTTCGAGTCCCTCGATACTGGGGCAGGCTCTGGCTCGACTGCGGTCTTCGTCGTCTTCGCCGGGTTTCTGACGCGGGGGGCTGGCGCAGAGGGTGCAATTTTTGTGCGCTTCGGACGTGGCATTGTTGCGAAACTTAATTGAAAGTCTCAAGTAGGTGTAAAAGTATGTCCGTCGGCGCTCCTATCGCATTCTGAACTTTGTTGGGGTGGGGTTGTAAATGGTTGTAGAAAGATCGAGACGCGTCTTGCCCACGCGACTTTTCGATGTTTTGACTGACTAAGCGAGGAGGCTACTTCTTAACTCCAACTTCACTTCATCCATTATTCTGGTAATCTGTAGAATCACGAAAATCACCCGAACCTCCTTCTCAAGCATGACGTCTCTGATCGCATCTCGACCGGGTTTGCGCAACGCAAAATGGGTGACAAGTGCAAGACATCCTGTCTCCTTCAAATGTTTCTTCTTAATTTGATCTTCGTTATCAGAGTCCCCGCCTCCGTCAGACTCAGAGCCATCAGACATCAACCCAAACCTCTGCATTTTCTTGAACCAGGTTCTGCCGTACACGGTACTAAAGTCATAACCACGCTTCGCCTGTGAGCGGGAGACGACGTTTGCGGAATTGGCGGCGAATTCGCCTTTCAGCCAGGGGCAGCCCAGCGATTTTGAGAGGGAGACGGCAATGGTTTCTTTGCCAGTCACATGAGTTCCAGAGAGAATGACTATACAATATAAAAAGACAGTGAATCTTTGCGAGTTGATTGTTCTGACATCTTGTTATGGGAAATCGTCCCAACGGATCATTGAAAGTTTTGAATATATTGTTTTGTTTGCTGAGGAGAGAAAGACGGCCGCAGAAAGTTGGTAGTGTCATGTACGATAAGGCTTCGAGTGTCGCTTGCGAGCTTCGGAATACTTTGCCCGGTCCTAACAAGGAAGTTGGAAACCTGAAACTATTATCCCAAGCAAAAGTATGTCCATTTCCATTCATCAAAATACACCCAGGTGGTTTGGTGAGAAGTAGAAGATACCAAGTTGGTTTCTTGTTCAGCAAGTTGCGAGTGAATCTCACCCTTAGTATGACTCTCTTCTCGTCATGTGAGAGAGCCTTGGAGTGAAATCGGACCAAAGAGCAAGAGAACCACAGAGAGCATCATTTGGATGCAGTATTTCAGTAGCTCACATATATCATTGAGGTCTGGTCAAGACTCGCGGTCAAATGAAGTTGCAAAAATGACAAAGAGACATAAAAATCACTCAGCTGGTGGATATCTATGCAACCAATCGCTTGCTTCCCTGAAGCTTCTGAATACCAGAGCGGAGGGGGTACCCAATATTTGCTTTATGTTTTCACTGGAGTTTTCTTCAAAAAATCTAAGATTATGTTTCTTTTTTAAGCTCAGCGTGCTATTTGCCTGTCTCTCCAATTATCCTTCTGTAGTTTCCCCGACCAGTCTCGTCGCCTTCCTGACTCCTTAGCGTGATTTTCTAAATGCATGATTCCCATCAAAAACCCTAAGCCTATTTGCCCCGTTCTCCCTCCTAGGAGGCTAGGAATCGGTATCGAGGTAATCGTTTACATCACTCGCGTCGTAATACCCAGCATCATTATTACCATCCGAGCATCATCGCTCTCAGAATCAGGCTCCAATTCCTCACGTCGATCATCATCACTCTCGGGTTCTGGCTCAAAGTCGCCATTCTTCCCGCTGTCTACCTCTTACCCGCTCTCGCTATTTTCAGAGCCGCAACCACCGCTTCGGAGGTGCAGGTAGGTCTTAGCCAACAGACCCTCTCTCACGAATATATTTATCTCAATACAAAGGATCAAAGTGATTGAGCTCGTGCACGTGATCTTAGTCATATTAGAGCCCTTTTTATCCCAGAGCGGAGACTTAGATCTGAATCGACTTGTTAGAATTAAGGCTCTTGCTAGGTTGGGTTGATTCCGAGTTCTCTATGTAGCCAAGTTAGAGGAGAAGAAGTAGAAGAGCGAAAGGGAATTCGGGTAGCGAGATATGGTTTGAAGCAGGTAACAAAAATGAGAACATATCCACGTGGAGTGTTTTCCCTAAGTTGCAGATATTCACAGACTTTGAAGCGCCAAGATCTTGAGCCTCAGGATGTGTGATAGCATTATAATATATTTCATCCTCTGTAAATCTAGCAGGATGTTGCCTCTGTTTCATGGAGATGTCCAATATTAAGCGAGTTCCTCCTTTCTACAGTTCGGAATAGTACACTAGACAATTCCCCCTTTCTAAGTGAGCAAGAGGGATGCCACATATTTGACTGCTCGTTTGTAAGACAAGATACCGATCATAGAGCTAAGAGGCCGCCGCCTAGGCTTTCCTGATTTCTGCGGTCTCCGGAGTATCTCAAGGTCCGAGTCTGACGTGCTGATCAGTTGGGCGACTTCATGTTTACACATAAATGCGTTTTACTACGGCTTTGTGGATAGTCGGACCCGGGAAGGCAGTTATGCAAGAATTGCATATCCGTGTCATGACGGCTTCATATGAACGTTAGTCGGATTACATATAGAGCGCATACACACAGCTCAATTGAACAGTCCTCGAAGATAGCAACCATCGCTTTTCCCAATGACTCGGAGGTTGTCCGGCTGCTGGCTGGAGTCAATTAGAAGTACATTTCCATCCTAGCAAAAGATGGAAATCCAATCATCTCTTTATTCACGGTTTTCCGTCAAGCGGCTACGACTGGCACCCTCAAGCGACCTACTTCTCCTCATTCGGATATGGAGTACTGGCTCCAGACTTGCTTGGTATAGCGACACAGACAAACCCACATCGCTGTCCGATTATCGTTGCAAGATGGCTGCTGAAGTGTATGGGTACTGGAAGTTGTTCGAGAAGAAAATGCTGCCCAGATTGTGATAGGTCTCGTGAATCCCTCTTCTCGGACTCGCTAGCGAGGAATACAAATTAACTGTTAGAATGATTCTTTTTTGTCGATTCTGTATGCCGGGGATAGTTCAATTTGGAAGGAGCACATGGCACCACTCGGTGCCATTGAAGCTTTTCCAAAGAGTGGCAAGCTGGCAAAGCGAGGAGAATACATCTCTGAAGACGTAAGAAATAGTGTGTTATTGAACTTTTCTCTGACTAATTTACACCTCAGGAAATGACGACGCACCGGGAGATCTTGAAAGATGAATACGGTCCTGCAATGAACTGGTACAAATGCACAATTCAAATCTCAATCTCAATCTCAAAGATGGGCAAGAGGCAAATCTAGATCCAAGTTGGAGGGGCCAGTGTTGATGGATGAGGCAATGGCGGACGCAGGCCATTGTGAATACGCTGAACCCCTGGCCGAAGCTTTGCGGAATGACTTCAGTGCCTCTGTCTGGTATCCAAAGGTATGCGACACGTCACTAGAAGAGTTTCCTTCATGGAGATCCTATAGCTGCTGCATGTCTCTTCTTCCTTCGATACCATCGACTGGATCGTGAAGTATTGAGACCGTGAAGCGCTGGCCTTGATGTGAGACGTCAGCATCAAAGTCCAAGCGGCAGACTTGGCAGACACTAAGTTTAATCTTCTGGAACTTAAATACAACGCTCTCGAGATCTTTGCTCGAACTGCAGGGGGGGGGGGGGGGGGTGCTCCAGAATTAATCTGTTCGGTGTTCAGAGAAGTCGACCACTTGAGTGTGTCAAGATTGAAGGTGGGAGGTGGCATTTCCATCCGATGTCTAGGAACAGTCGACTCGAGAGGAATGGGGAAGACTGGCGGTTACTGATTGTTGTTCTTGGCCAAGCTGCCAATGGTGGCGAGGAGAATCATGTTCTGAAGTGCTTGAGTCACTTTGTTGGAGGGAGAATAAAGTGGGGCTGTTTCCGTTGGGGGGGTTGAGGGTCTTGCCAACATACTAATGGAAGGAACGGTCACAAAACCATGAGCTGGCTACCTGGCTTAAAACATCGATGACTACAGCGCCGGATCAGATCGTGTCTGAATTTGACTTTTCGCCGGAGGGAAAAGAAGCATCATGGAAATTGAAAGGACAAAGAGCTAGGAGGGGAAAGCTAGACTACAAGTCATGGCGTTCTTGATTGTTAGCTGAGGAAGAGTAGTTACGAGTAGCTGATGAGCTGAGGGCAATTTTGGAACGACAAACAAGAAATCGAAGAAAGTTTCTTTATCTATATCTCAGTCCTTTGAACTCAAAGCAGCAATGTTTATACTATACAGATCTTCGGCAATCAGCCTCACCAATGCTATAATCACATTTTCGAAAACCATATTTGGCCCCAAATTCTTATTCCCAGTCTCTTCTCTGCACCCATCTTGGTGCGGCTCCCAGTCTTGTTCCCATCCCGCTTGTCGCATTCAGGTTCTGACTATTGGTGAACCTCAAGCAAGTGGCATTAATTTTATTTAAGAACTGGCCGAACAAATAATCAACCGAGCCCACACTGGTCGCATTCATACCAATTAAGACCCATTTGCTCCAGCTGTATCCAACCGCGGCCACTGCCGTCCCCCGGTCTTGAGCTTCCAGACATACAGCACTAGCCAACTGATATTAGACAAAACCCCTTTTTACACCAAAACTCGGGTATAACACTTTCGCAACTAACCACATTCCGACCCTTTTACAGTAAAAATGCCTGAGTACAGCTCTTAATTGGATTATTGCGCTTAATTTTATTAATTACGGTAATTCCAGGAACGTATGGTCGTAAAGTTGGGCGGCCGTAAACTGCGACGTTTTTGCCTTACCCCACTTTTACACCAAAATTCGCTTAATTTTGAGCTGAATTCCGGTCGTTGCAATACACGAGTAGACTGAAAAGGAACCTCTTATTTTCAGCTTACCTAGAATCGTGTAAAAGCTAGATTATGTACTGTGTATTTCGATTCCAATTTGTTAGATCGGTTCACGTATTGTGGGCGTTGTGATATTTCACCGCAAAGTAGGCAAATTGGCGATTTTTGGTGGGGTTTCGCGATCTGTCTAATATCAGTTGGTTGTGACTGTAGCAAAAGAACAAAACTTAGAGGTTCTACTCTAAACAACTACAGTTAATATATTTCGCAAGCCAATACTCATGTTAGTTCTAACCGCCCCCAAATCCGACAGTTGTATTTATCCTATGATCGTTGTGCACGGTAATCAGGGGCTCTAGCGAAGCCCGCTAATTTTAGCGAGCATGCGGTGGAACTCAGGGGTCGGACAAGAAGGATAGCGTAGATAGCTCGGCAGCAAAGTGGGGGTCCTTTAATTCAACTACCGCGTCAAGTCTATGCTCACATCATCGTCATCGAGCAAAAGCTCTGTCTTGGCTGTATTTGAACTTCCATCTTTCGTGAGATCAAGTGGGTTGAGCCTTTCGATATGAGCTCGCTCCTGTTCCCAACTACACCCGAGAAGGAGTTCAACATATGTCTAGTGGGGAGTGGCGGTGTGGGAACAATAGCGGCGCTAGTACTCGAGAAATCTGGCAGAGCGAGGGTCACGGCGGTCTTGAGATCGAAGTTTGATATTGTGAATGAGCAGGGCTGGGATATTGAAAGTGTTGACCATGGACGGTTGAAAAATTGGAAGCCAAGTCGAGGTGAGCCGGAAGCGTCCAAACTCAGAAGCAACGAACAAAATCAAGGATATTTAATGATTGCTCAACAACTCTAGTCGTGCCTGCTATTCAAGACGCCGTCTTCGGCCCCCCTCAATCTTCTAAACTTGGCTCGTTTGCGCTTCCAACTGGTGCATCGACTCCGTATGAGCCCGCCAAGGAAAGGTACGACTACCTCGTCATATGCACGAAACAACTCCCTGAGAAGTACGACATCGCAACAGCGGTTGCACCGCTCGTCACTTCCGACTTGACATCCATTGTCCTCATCCAAAACGGGCTCAACATCCACCTCCCATTCATTGCAGCCTTTTCAACCAACGTTACCATGTCCGCAGTGTCTATGATCGGCTCCTTCACAGAAGGAACAAACAAAATCAAACATATTGGTCCGGACATGCTTCAAATCGGGCCTCACTACCACGCCGGTGTTAAAGACTCCATCTCACTAGAACGAACTCAAACTTTCATCGACTTATATTGCGCAGGCGGAGCAAAAGAATGCATCCTCGCCCCCGACATGCCAAAAGCCCGATACGAGAAAATCCTCTGGAACGGGGCCTATAACACAGTTTGTGCACTGATGGAGATGAATGTTGGAGAACTGCAAAGATCTGGGGCCAGGGAGAATTTGCTCATGCCGATTATGTGGGAGATTGTGGCTGTTGCAAAAGCTGACGGGATTGAGATTGGCAAGGAGGTTGTGCAGCACATGGCGTATCGGAGTCCTGAATCTTCGACGTATCGTCCTAGTATGCTGTTGGATAGGGAGGAGGAGCGGCCGATGGAGTTTGAGGTTATCCTTGGCGATCCAATTAGGGTAGCGAGGGAATTGGGAGTGGAGGTGCCTGTCATGACGACTATTTATGAGCTGTTGAAACTGGTGAATTGGACGGTTGAATATGGAGCTCCAAGGGACAAATTGAGGAATGGACTGCGGAGTGAAAATTGAGACTTGCTTTATAAAGAATGCGAGGAGTTTCAACAGTTTCCAGAGTGAAAATTACCTCATTCGAGAAAGGATCAACACAGTACAATGTCTTGCGCAACGAAGTTACCAGCTACCAGGCCATGGATCGCCTTGCCTTCATATGGCCATGTACCTAGCACGCTCTCACAGCCTGATAGAAAATCACCTTTTGACCTCAAAACCATCAGAATTCTTGAGCCAGAGATGATCCAAATTTGATCCTGTGAAGGTAGAACGTTTGGGCCAAGTCCTTTGCTACCATTCTCAGTCTCAGAGAAGGTGCGATTCCACGCCCAGTACTGAACAAGGACTTGGTAGGGACGGAGATCGTCATCCTAATTGTCTTCGCTATCATCAGGGTAGGGAATAGTGTGACCTCAGTCCAGTGCCACCGCAGTGCCACCGCAGTAGTGCGGTATAATATAGCTATAGTCTAGTTTAGTGCAGATATACTGCACCGCGGTGGGTGCAGTATAACTGCGGTTACACTGCAGTGCAACCGCAGTTTAAGGGGCAGTCTCGCTTAAAATTACCTAAGGACGTCAAGTAACTTATAGTAAATAGAAAATAGCCAAACCTTAACATAATTAAATAACTCTTTTATTATTAGAAAGAATTAATCTAGAGCTTTAAAATAGATTAAAAAATTTGATTTTAGATATAGTAGTTATAGAAATATATCTAAATACTTAATCGGAAATTCTTGAAGCTATTTACCGAATTCTCGCTCCGGTACTAGAAGAGAATTTTTCTCTAATTTAAGCCTCTCTTAAATCTCTCTTAATTAAAATACTTTCCATTAATTAACTATTATATAACTATATCTCTAAAGGCTTAATTAATACTTTCTTTTAGAAAAACTACTTAGTTAAACTCTTCTAATAAAAGAAATTCCTCTATAATTAATCTAGAAGCTTCCGAAATTAATAATCAAGCCTCTATAAATTTGACTTTAGCTTTTTCCGAAATCTCGAATATCTCTTCCAAAACCTTTAAATTTCTCTAAAAGCCTCTAAATAAAAAGACTTTATATATCTTCTAGATATTTAAATAAATAAGAAATACAAATAATATATAGTATATATTTTATAATATAGCTAGTAAAAAAAAGTAGTATTATTAATTTTACTTATAAAATTACTAAATTAGTAGTAGAACTAGTATTATTAGAGCCTATTTAAATATATATAATATTGAAAAGAAATCCTCTATAAATATTAAAACAAAAAATATATAAATTATAATTAAAGAAGCTATTAAATTAGTAACTTAGAATTCTCAGAAATATAGAAAACTCAATAATTCGAATAGTAGTAAAATATCTCTTAATAGAGATATTTTTAAGATTCTATATATTAAGTTTATAGTAGCTTATAATATATTATTATATTTAGTAAAATGTCCGAAATTCAGAGTTTTATTTTTATACTTTAATTCTAATATTAATTAATAGCTTCTAATAATATATAAGACAGTTCGAACCTGAATTTTATACTAATTTGAGATTAAGAAAAGAAAGATTAAAATATATCTTTAGTATAATAGCTAGTATTATATAGTTAATACGGACGTGGTTTTAGCTAAAAGGGTTGGTTTTAGCTAAGGTTTCAAGCTATAGTTCAAACCAAGCTCGCTTCCAAAGCTCGGCGTTTCAGTAGTCTTGGCTATACCTACTTATCTACTACCACATCTCATTCCTGTCCTCCTTAGCTTTAAATTCTTAAAATATTAGAATCATTAATCTTTGAGCCTCGTTCTACTGCTCTATTCTTGCCATTACATTATTTAAAGCTTCTATATTCTCGGTAGCGGATATCAGTATTACAAAGCCTGCAACCTTCTGTCTATCTGTTATCGTCTGTCTGTCTGTCTGATTAGTAGAGTACAGTTTCTAATACCCTCTGTCTATCTGGCTTGGTAGAGTATTATACCGTTCCCAAGCACCTATTCTGTCTGTCTGGCCCACTGGAGGGCACCCCCATTTTTATGATTTTTTAGTACTAACTTTACCGATATTTCCTTAAGAATAGACAGCTTCCAAACGCAAGTTCAATGCAAGTTCGATAGCCTACGAGCTGAAATCGCCACTCTGAGAGTAGCTCTTATAAAGATCCAAGTATCCCGGCCCTGTTCAAAGCTCTCTAATTCTGAGAAGTTCGCTGGAAGTACTTATAAATTCGATATCTAGCTTCTGTTAATCGAAGCAAAGCTAGCTGTCGATAGTATAGCAATTAGAGACGCTATAGCTTAATTCTACTATATCTACCTGAATCTTGATTCGTTCGTCTAGTCTATAATTTTGCTATAGCTCTTTTATACAAAGTATACTTAGTTATAGAACTACTAAATGATCCTGAATCAGCTTTTACGGATATACGATAATCCAAACAAGTAATCGGAAGCTAAAGACAAGCTCTATACCCTCTGCTAAAGCAATAATTCTCTTTCTGCCTATATTACCAAATTTGAATATATTTTATATAAAGCAAATAGCTAAGGCTAGCTAGATATTAATAAAATCTCTAGCTTTCACAATAGCCTTAATTCAGTAATTCGTTCTCATCTGGTCTAATAGCTTGTTTTATTCCGGGTTTATACTAATTTCCTATATACGGTTCAGTAGCTCTCGTTAAAAATAGCCGCCCTGCTATACTAGACTATTTTCAAAATTGCTAGCAATTCTATAGACATTAGTAAACTAATAATTAGTACCCTTATATCCATACCGGTCTGTTAAGACTATCAGAAATCTGGATAGTACTTTAGATGCAGTTCCTATAGCTACTAGATAAAGAACTATATCTGGCTACCTAAAGGCACTTCCTCTAGTTCTAGTTCTAGCGAACGGGTTATAATTGCTATAGTAAATAATAATTACTCTAGTATAGAGAGTAATAATAATTCTGGAGAGGGTTACGAGCTTCTACCGAAACTAGACTAGACAAAGCTAATTACTAGGAAATAGAGTTCTTTTCTTTTCTTTTATTATTTTTACTATACTTGTTTTAGCTTTCCCTTTATTTATTAGTACTCGGGACAAGCTTTCTAAAGGGGGGGGGGGGGGGGGGGGGGTAATATAATAGCTAGTATTATATAGTTAATATAAATATAGTTTTAGTTAAAAGGGTTAGTTTTAGCTAAGGTTCTAAGCTATAGTTCAAACCAAGCTCGCTTCTAAAGCTCGGCGTTTTAGTAGTCTTAGCTATATCTACTTATCTACTGCCACACCTCACTTCTATTCTCCTTAGCTTTAAATTCTTAAGATATTGGAATTATTAATCTTTAAGCCTTATTTTACTACTTTATTTCTGCTATTATATTTAGAACTCTAAAACTAAGATTTATTTATCTCTTAATATTTGAATTTTATCTAGTAATAAGCTAATCTTTAGTATTATTACTTATTATATATCTAATACTGGAATACTAGAACGAGTTATATTTACTATAAAGGAAATAGAAAGTAATTATAGTAAATTAAACTTTATACCGGTTTTTCTAAATATAATTAGAAATTAAAAAATTTAAAGCTGAAATATATTATAATAAATAATATAAGTAATAATAATATAATAATACTAGTATTTTTAACTAGTAAATATTTTATATAGTAATTTTATAAGTCTTAGCTAATTTAGATAGAATTACTTTATAAGTATAATATAATTTATAACTTTATTATCTATAGAATTTAATATTAAAGTTATATAATTAATCTATCTATTAATTTCTTTACTTATATTATAGATAAGAAGAATTTGGAAGAGAAAAAAAAGCTTAGAAAGCTTAAGTAAACTCTTAAAAAGATTAATTAATAGAGGAAGTTTGAACTAATTAGTAAACTATATAATATTATTATTAATATTTAAAATAATATCTAAAAGATATAGAAATTTATAGTATTAAATAAATAAAATCGCCCGGTATAAAATAATAAAATATAGTAAAATTCTATAATATATATAATTAAGAAAGCTATTATTTTTCTAATTTATAAAGCTATTAAACTATATATTAAATACTATTAATTAGACAGAATTAGAGAAGATAAGCTTTTAAAAAAGAATTAAGCTATTCTATATAATATTTATAAGTTTTTAAATTAACTTACTCAAACTATATTTATATTAGAGGTTTCTATATTTATACTAGATAATATTTTATTCTCGAGCTTTTTAAGTAAAGTAAGACTTAATATAAAAAGAATAAAATAATAATATTAATATATAATTCTGGATAGATAAAAATAGAGAAGTATTATAATATAACTAAAAAGAGTCTTATTTATATTACTACTATTATTTTGAATTCTAATTTAAAATAAAAATATATAAAAACTAATTGAAATTATATATAAGTTCTAAAGGTATAAACTATAATAGAAGATCTTTAGAAAAAGTATAAACCCGATTTCTACTAATCTTAATTAACTACTATACTATTAACTAAAGCTTCTATTTAGAATGCCTTTAGTTAGTAAAAGAAATATTACTAAGGTATACTAAATCTTGAGAACAAATATAAGAGATATTATATAGCTAAGTATATATATAATATTAATTTAAAAGTATAATAGTTAGAAAAGATTTAGTAAACTAGCTATTCTAATCTTAGCTATATAGTATTAGATATTTTAAGTATTCCTACTATATTAGCTAATCCTAAATATCTGTTTTCTAGTACTAAGTTACTAATTTCGGATCTATAAAATAAGCTCGGTATAGATATTATTAAAGTCTTTAAGTACTTGAAATTATAATATAAGATTAAAAGGTAGAAGGCTAAATTAGAGTAGTTAGAGAAAATTATTGGTATTAAAGCTAGTATAAGCGGATAAAGTTATGTAAAACTAGTAAACTGCGGGTTAAACCGCGGTTTGGAGGATATAATTATAGTTTAGTTTAGTAGAGAGATACCTCAGTTTAGTGTATTTAAATCGTACCGCAGTTTGATAAAAAAAATCTGCACCGCAGTCTGAAACCGCGGTTTGCACTATGCCCTACCCTGGCTATCATGGTCTAAATAATCTCACGATTGCTTGCCAGAAAGTTTTGCGTGTACGCATCAAAGTCGCCTCGCTCGAATTGCCATCTAAGAGCCATAGTTCGAGAGAATGCTGTTTGAAGTCCTTGCCAGTGCAATAGACAGGTTTGACTTCGCTCCAACTATGTTTTCGGCCCGCAGGTTAAATTAATGGTTCTCCCTCTTCGGCATCTTGTCTGTAGTAGTCAAAGTAAGTGTTGTCCAAATCATCGCTGAAAGCCACCACGATGGCAATCTGGCAGCCTCGGACATGAAGTTTGTTTCCCAAAATCTCACAGTTGGGAGCATAAGTATCACGCATTTCACTAGCGTCATAACATTCGGGGACCAGAGGTATCATCCGCCGGAACTCCCAACGTGGAACCCAAGAAGGCCAGTCGCCAAGGATTGCTGGAGGATGGAAGATTTGTGCTAGAAAGGATAGGGCCTCTGCTTTCAGCATCTGTCTGACTGCCTCCATGAAGAGATCTGTGACAGGTTTTGTATAATCCTATGTTGTCCAGCCAGCTCTCCTGCCTCCGTCCAAGTCAAGAGTCGAGTAGATTTTATCCCACGGATCTGTACATTCGAAGTTCGAAGTTGGCGCAAGAACTATTCTCAAGGCCATATTTGAAAGATCACTGTCTCGCATGATGAGAGCATGCCCCATCCCAGCCACATTTCGTATGAGCCAAGTAACTTCAACCTTGTCAGGATCATAAGATGCCCAATACGCAGCAAGAGCGATCAAGGTAAAGTCAATCTCACTGTAGCCGCCGAGAGCGGCTGCCTCTTTGCTGATGTTCACTTCCTGAAGATACCAGCTCCGGGTAGAATACGCATAGTCATAGAAATCGAAGAGTTTTGTCCATTTGGAATGGTCGATCGGGGGAAGCTTGTCGACACCGAACTCCTTCAACCTACTGGATGAGTCAAGATCACGGATATGTAAGCGATTGAATTTTCTTGGCAGTAGAGCTCCCTAATCTCTTCATAAGTGTAAATGCAGCTGTGTTTTCGTCGCCATCGGTACCAAGCCAGACATGACTTCGAGTCGCCTTGGCATAGATCATGCTCATAATGCTGACTTGTTGACTTCGTTCCTCCAAGTCCTCCTGATTGATACAAGCAGCGTCTGCCCAAAGCACCCTCGTTCCTATCTCTGGACGAAGATGCTGGAGAGCAGCCTTCAGGTTCGGGGTTACTTTCAAGCTACTCGCTTCGCATGTGATGCTGATTTTGACGTTTGGGTCACGTAGGAGATGGCTTCGTATGAAGGCACCGATTCGAGCTCGACCATTTGTAGTTTCGGAACCACATCTCCTGAATCGGATGAATGAAGTTTCATCAATCGGACGGTATGCCTCGTCGGAAGTGCGGTGTACTGATATGCTTCATCCGAAGAATCTATGGATGAATCGTCCTTGCCTTTGGAAGAGAATTTGGATGGTTGTGTCATCATCGTTGCAGCATCGTTGGAGGTGGCGATTGTTCTAGCCAGTTGTCATGGGAGGAGAGAAGAGAAATTGCGGTTTGGGGGAGGTTGGAGATTGGGCGTGCTGGAATATACGCACCACTTCAGTAAAAGAGAGATATTGGTCACGTGTGGCCTCGGCCAGCCCCAAACTGTTGAGAATTCAAAGCAAACGTCACGTGCAATGCTTCTCAGACGACTGTCCATTTTGCAGTAATCTAAGGCCTATACTTATACATGTCCAAATGGCCCCTATTACCACTGAAAACCCATGTTTAGCTGAATGCCCTGCATAGCTAAACACCCTTGCACAGCTGAATGCCCCTGCATAGCTGAATGCCCCTGCATAGCTGAATTGCCACTGGTAGCCTTAGGCACCAATTTCCAACACAAACTTCATGAGAATCTCTTCCTCATCTGCAAGCATCCATTCAACACTCTATCGCGGAAATCCGCTTCAATGCTGAGCCCGAATAGCAAATGCGCAGCGAGAATCAAACATAGCATAAATGCCTGCTCGAAACTCGAAGTCGCAAGCAGCATTCCACCATCGTCTTCTTTCGTCTCCACGCTCAATCAGACTTCTAGCACTCCTGCCATCACTGGAATTCCACGCTCCCTTAGAGACTACCCTAACAGAGGCCAGCCTAGGCGATGTCTCGGAGACTGAAAATAGCTATGAAGCACTCTCGTACGTTTGGGGCTCACGATTCGGTACAGAGCCAATTCAATGTGATGGTAAACCACTCTTGGTAACCCCAAATTGCGAGTCTGCGCTTCGGCATTTACGACTGAAAGATAAGACTCGTATTTTATGGGTTGATGCAATTTGTATAGATCAAGGGAATGGCGAATCAAGCGTCAATGAGCGAAATGTACAGGTTGCGCTCATGGGAGAAATCTACAAGAAGGGTACCCGTACGCTATGTTGGTTCGGTCCAGGCAATGGTTTTACAGATGAATTGATGGCACAAGTCAATCGAATTGGTACATGTCCATCACAGCGAGGATTAAAGAAGCTCTTACAATTCGACGGTATGTGTAAGCACGGAGTGATACAGCAGTGACTTACACGGCCACAGAAAAGCTCCGCGAAGAAGGGCGACTAGATTCTGACTCTTCGACTTTAAATTACATATTCTGTCACCCCTGGAATTCCCGGATCTGGACAGTACAAGAGGCAGCGTATTCCAAGGAATGCCAAGTTGTATGTGGAAACTCCACTATTCCATGGGATGTGTATTCCGCAGCAGCACACTTCCTTGTGTTTGAAGAGTTAATCGACCAACTTGATCCGCAGGCACACAAGAACTATGTCTGCATTGACGTCCGAAACACTATACGAGATTATCTGCGCAAAGCACCGTCCTCCAATATTACCCTCCGCACGGAGGATGAGGGAGATGAACGAGACCGAAGAGTGGTCTTTCTTTCCTCCTGTCTCTCGGACGTCAACCAACTCCAAGCAACGGAGCCAAGAGATAAAATCTATGGAATACACGCATTGTATACAGACCTAGGCATCCCCCTACCGGCAGTAAATTATGGAAAGTCGCTCTCTCGCGTCTATGAAGAAACTGCTGTCGCCATGATTACGTGGTCTGGTACGCTCAAAGTTCTCGGTGACGCATGTCACAACCATCGCAATACTGCTTTCCCAAGTTGGGTACCGGACTGGTCTGATGGAAACATGAAAATATTTACACCCTCGGGCGACGCCACCGGGGGTTCTAAAATCACTAAACCGTCGAGAACCCTTAATCCACGGCCTGGAGAACTTCACGTCCAGGGTAAAGTTATCGGAACAGTAACTGATTGGATGAACAAATTCGCTACTGCGGTCTTTCCGACGCGACTAGAGCAATGCGAGCTGCCCATTTTGACCGACAAACTCGATCAGCTCGTTGAAGACGTTGAGATACTGCGACTTTGGATTGAGAAAACGAGGTTCTTTCGCCAGTTACACAGCCTGTTGCAAGCCGATTCAGGTATCTGTCAAGAAGATCCTGAAGACAGTCTCCTTGATCTTTTGAATCAAGACAGCTATTCTGAACCGGACGAGACTTTTATAATCTGGCTCGAAATCCTGAAGTATCCAGAGACAAAATACGACCTCAGTCTTGGAGAAGCCCTTGTAGAGAAATGGAGAACAGCCGATGAGTCCAATGCAGCACGCTGGACCCCAGAGCTGACAAACTGTGCGGTCATCATGGCTGCTCTGCTCTCTAATTCAGTTCGACAAAATGGTTGCGTTTCTAGTCCCACTTTGGGGATTCTTGATTTGATGAACCAGTACTCCGCAAACTTGGCCGATAAGACATTAATGTTGGCGTATATCAATTCGCTTGGCAAAACAGCACCCGGAACAAGCTTTCATTCTGTTGTAGCAGAGGATTCTATAGTCTTACTTCAGGGAGCTGAGTGGCCGGTCGTCTTGAGGCAGACAGGCACGAAGTGGCGGTTCATCGGGCCAGCTTTTGTGACTGGAATCCTGGATGGCGAAGCGTGGTCCGATGAAAGTGGGCAAGTGCATGGTATGAGTACGTTTGTTTTGGTCTGAATCTTTCCAACAGTTCAGGCGGCTGGTCAGTAATGCCTTGTGGCGCATGATGCAATCTTCAGAGGAAAGTATGAATCATAGAGGGGTAGAACGTAATAGTTGTTTGAGAACTAGTAACAGATTTTCTGGCTCGCAATCAAGCACTGGGAAGTAAGGACTTTGCCAAAGTACAGTCTAGATAATACTGCTAGCAGGAGAAGAGAAGGGGGATACGAACTTATTGGTCACATGACGATCGGTTCTCCGGGTTGAAACTTTTCAAACAACGAACCAAACACCCGATATGCTTTGAAAGATTATAAACACTCTCCCATTTATGCAAGAATGTCGTTGCAGGCATTCCTAACTACCTCCGTCCTCCTTTATGTACAATCGTCATTGATCGAAGCTTTATACGAAGATCACGGCATAAAGTGACGGGATTACAGGGTATTTGGACCTTTGGTACCCCCCAGGTCACGATTTAGGGAGCTGAGCCCGCTGTTAGCCCTATGACTTCAGGCCACACGGTATGAGATATTCACAAGGTATAAGAAGATCTTTAGGGGCAAATATCGCCGCTGGCGGAGCAACGATAGCGCTTGGCTGCTAAATAGGTAGATACTATAGGGCTCTTTAGCGAGGTACCCCTTGTAAGTATAGTGGAGAAACCGTAAAAAGTGTGACACCCCTTGGCCCCGTCTTATAGCGTGTTTATATGCAATGGCCTAGAATTATAGGGCAATTTAGTGACCGAGTGCGCTAGAAACAGGCACTGAAATGCCGTTAAAGCCCAAGTGCCCCGAATTCCCGTCACTTTATGCCGTGGTCTTCGTAATCATGCCGCTCTTTCAGAACACAGATCTCTTCAAGGATACAAGGAGAAACTTCTAAGTGGCGCTCTCGAACATCACCCGCTGATGCGGCTTCCAGTTTATTTGAACGAGCCAACAAGATCTTCACCGCGTCGTGACATATAACGTATTGACTTCTGGGATCTTATAGTATGCATTAGCACGTCCCAGAGTTGGGATCGCGAAGTTTGCCGGCGGACGTTGGGGGACACTCGGGACCGAGAGTGTGGGCCCCCTCAGCTTCCTTGAGTCCATTGTTCGATATAAGTAGTTGATGTTCAAGCACCCTAAAATAATCTCATTCAAACCTGTCAGGGTATGAACAATTCCATAAGTCTCTTCCACAAAACTCTGTCACACCGAAGCTTCAACTCAAGAAAAATGCACACCGCCCTCCTCACTAAGTGGGTTGAAACTCCCAAATACGTCGAAGTCGACACCCCGCAAGTTTCTCAGATGATTCCAGTCCCGCCCAAGTCAAGATGGTAGCCTAGGGCCTCCATCAAATTGCGAAGTCTCGAGCTGGAGGCACCCATTACTCCACAAAGACCCTCCCACGCATTCGAGCCAGTAGCTGAACCATAGTATCGCTTAAGTTGAACCATATTATTAATTAGCGAGAATATCCCTTTATTTTCCATAATATGGATCAACTTTCCTCACCAAAAACCACACTGTACTCACTATCTTTAATGATATATAGACACCAGTCCTCGTTCACACCCTGCTTCCAACCCCGACCTCCTCCCAACGGCCCGCCAGGCATACTCCCAGCATACTCCCAGCATATGCTTAACTTTTACTACTAAGAAAAACATAAGTAAGTAGAATACATCTTGCTTTACTATTACTATTACTCTAGTATATGCTCGGTATATGGAACCTATATACTTAGTATATACTTTGTCTTTATTACTAAGAAGTATATAAGTTAGAATATATCTTGCTTTACTAATACTATTACTCTAGCATATACTCGGTATATGGAACCCATATACTAAGCATATGCTAACCCTAACCCGTAGGGCCTTTACGCTTTAATATATCCCAATGCGGGGGGCTCTCACCGACCCCCAAACCCCCGGACTAATGCGGACCCTAACCACTCTAGCCCCTAACCCTAAGCCCCCTCGCAAGCTCGGGACTAACCCGATCCTTTCTAGCCCGTATATACTTTATAAGCAGAGTATAAGGAGAGCATATCGGAATATATACTACAAATATGAGTGTCACAAAACCTATTCATTTGCTCGGCTAGCTGTCTCGCTTCCTTAAGCGATACTATGGATCACCTAAATAAACGAGCATATGCAGAGTTTGATAATATGGTTCAACTAAAACCCCCACACATTCTTGGTTTTGACGGCGGAGCAACATTCTCACTTCTCAGATGGCAAATAAGTCTACTTCAACACGATTGCAAAAGGGGGCTCCACGTGCGAAGTTATCGATGTCCCGAAGAAAGATACGACGCCATTTCCAGAAGTTTTGGATCCAGTTCAAGCAGCAGCTCTTCTGAACCTCGCCGTGTCCAGTTGGATGGCCATGCGAATTCGCACATTCAATCTTCCAAAGAACTTCACCGTGCTGATTACGGGCGCTACCACCACGTCAAGCACAATTGTCGTCCCACTCATCAGATCTCTTGGTGTGCCAAAAATCATTGGAATAGCTCGAAACATCGCTGCTCTCGAAGCCCAGGGCTTGACGAGACGATTCAGTTGAAGGACCCTGTTGAGAAAACAGATTTCTCGAAGTTGGGGGACGTGAACTGCCTTTGGGGATCGCCGAATGTCTATATATTCAACCAATTCGCGTCCAAGGTCGTCGTTCAATACCTGCAAGTGGGTCGGTCCATGACCGGTTTAGAGGCGAACTTGGCATCTGCAAATCTGAGGTCGAAAAAAATCACGATTCGAGGGGCAGGGCCTGAATCTTGGACATTTCCTCAATTGTATGGAGAGTACGGAATATGTTGAATGCCCTCAAAAGTGTGAGCAAGCAGGAGGTCAGGGTCGTGAAGCTGGCAGATATTGAGAAGGTGTGGAATGAGAAAGGAGGACAAGAATGGGGCTTATGCCACGATTAAGCGAGACTGGCGTCCAGTAGGCGGCGGCAGAAAATTAATCCAGATGCTTATTAGAGCCAATTATACAGAAATACTTTGATTGAAAAATTCTTTCTTATTAGTAAGAACGGTGCGTGCTACGGTAGTCTGAGGCAGCGCATTAGAACATGAACCATTGGGAAGGATTCCGGCGGCTGGCACTAGGGGTTAGGCTGCTTCCTCCGTGAACTATCCGCTTTCCCCAAAATCAATCCTCTTTACGTGACAAAAGTAACATTCCTGGCTTGGGATCTTCAGGACTACCCAATCCAGAGTTGAAAGCGAGAAGGAAAATAGGGGAGCAGCCGCCAAACTTTAGCGAATTGAGTTGGGAAGGGCCTAAGCTATCAAAAACAGGACAAAGAGTCGGAAATCTAACTTCCCTTGTTTGAGATCCCCCGGACAAGGGGTATTTGCTAGCTTGATGCGTGTTATGGACTGTACCAAGCCTGCAATGCAAGGCTGTGCCACAATACCCCCAGTCGCCCACACAGTCGCTGAGAGTGGGTTGTGGGGTCCAGGACAATCTTATTACAAAACCATAAAATCATCGCGCCCTCTAGATATCAAAATCATGGTTTAGCCTTGCATTGCTATTGGCGTCGGCTGCGGGGGCAACGCTCAACACTGCGTATTGGAGGGGGCTGAGCAGGTAGGTTGTTGAATGTGACCGGATTTCTTGTGGAGTTGTTGCTGCAGACTCGGTATCTCAATTCCTCTGCATGAGAGATGACTTTTTATACTGACCATTTCAGCCCAGCGCACCGTGTTTCAATGCTCATGGTTTCCATCTATCGAACACCATCTGCTTAAGTCCGGCAGTTCCAGATCTAACCACCGGCTTTTCAGGTTTTGAGTGCTAATTCTGGATGAAGGTGATACACTCACTACTTCAGACGGCTGACTGAGCGAGTAGATTGTACGAAGACACAACGGCTTAAAGTATCGGGATTACAGGGTATTTTGACCCTTGGTGCTCTACAGGGTGTGAATTTAGGGCAGACGCTCGCTATAAGCCCCTATCACTCTAGGTAGTGCATCCTAAATCGACCTAAAGAGGCGCTATAAGACATTTGCAGGGGATAATTACTTGTAGATCTTCTAGTGATAGCGCTATTGGTAAGCAACTATAGCGCTCGGACGCTAAATAAGCGGCTATTATAGGCCTCCTTAGCGAAGACTCCCTTGTAAGTAAAAGGAGAAGCCCTGAAAAGGTGTGGTAGCCCTTGTCGAAGGCGTAAATACTGCTTTTAGGGGAAGGGCCTGGAAATATAGGGCCTTCTAGCGAGTTTACCGCCTTAATCTGAATGCCGGAGAGCCTAAATGTCTCCCGATTCCCTGTATTCTCGATACTTTATGCCGTTGTCTTCGTACTGGTAGTTGTACCGACTTGAAATACAATGTTCCATCATGAAACACATACTGTCAGTATGACTCCCCTTCCATATCCACTTCTTCATAGTCAGATACATCTCTGACTCCATAACAGGAGCTCTCCTGTGCAGGTATCGTCTACAATAAGGTCTCGCAAATCTGGACTTGCTGTGGCACTGACGCAAACGGCAATGTCTGTTGAACTGAGGTAAAACAAAGGTGTTCTTTATTAATTATAGCTCCAAAACAGACTAATTCAGATGAGCATAGAAGCTTTAATTAAATTCTCTAATGCTAGGGGAGAAGGTCACCTTAAATAGGCCAATAAGAATAAAGGATATTAGCTAGACAAAGGAAACCCCATCAATTTTAACAATGTCAACTGCAACAGTGGTTACAGGCCCAAAAAGATCAGAAGTTCTCCGACTCTGCTCCAGTCAACCCCTCCACGACTTTTTCGGTTACAACCACAGCTATAACATCCATCCCATCTTTGACTTCCTCTCCCTCCACGACAACCTCAAAGTCCTCCTCGTTTTCAGTATCCTCAATGCTGTCGGGTTAACGTCACAAACCGGGCAGACTGGAGCTGCTCAACGATCGAGTTGCTTGAGTACCGGGGCCAAGGTGGGAATCTGTTGGCGTTGCCATTGTTGCAATCGCGGTGCTTGCGGGCTGGACGCTCCTGCTGTGGAGGAGACAAAGGAGCAACCAGAGTCAGCCGGACTACGAACATGTGCCGCCGCAGGAGTTCGGTGCAGTGCAAGAAGTGAAGCGGGTAGAGCTGCATACACAACAGCCCACAGCCGAGATGCCTTAAATATATGGAGATTTGGAACGCGTTAGGAAGGTCAGGGCCAATTCAAAATATTTCGGGATACGGGCCGAGACATTTTTGGTGGGTGGTAAGATTTTTTATGGATACCATTTAATTGTCAAAGATTCCCCTCACTTGTGTGCATCTAGCAGGGGGCCAACACCTCACATGACATACCCAGTTTAAGCTGGAGGTCTTCAAATACTTTCCCTGTTTTCCCCTCGAAGTAGTTGCAAGTTCCCAGCATATCGTCTGTATGTTGGGTTGCTCATCCCAATCCTGTAGAATTTTGGATGCTTCCTTTTCAATGTTTCATGCGGATTTTCCGTCAACCTTGCCTCCAGTGTTATGAACAAAAGGGCGAGGAAGCCATATATGGTTATTGTATCATAGCAGCTATTGATATGGCTTCGGAGTAGGTTTGAATTTCTCAGATGGACTGATTGGCAGTCCTCCGTATAAGTTGCAGCCAAGAGCTTGTCGTCCAGAAATTTTTCTCTTACCTCTGCCATGTTGGCGAGAGTCTACTTCCGCTGCAGATTGCAAAAAGTCAACCTGTTCATAATTGGGTTCAAAAAAATGCCGACCAAGGGTTGCCCTTCTATGTGGATTGCCGTTTCATCTTCTCCATCACCCCTCTCTCGTGTTCGTATGCGAGAACCCGTTCTCCAACCACTCATGCCCACCGGACCCCTCATCCGGCTGAATTCAGAACCCCAGTTCAAGAACAATTGGACTAAAGCAATGCAGTGTCACGGTTGAGACGTCGGGGAATGAATTGCGATACCGGAGCAGGGATGAAGCTCTGGCAGGACATCGTTCTAGCGAGGATGGAGAAGATTGTTGCGAACACTTCCCGAATACGGCCCCAGGATTCGCAATCCGAGCCAAGGGGAGACGAAGGGATCGGCGTGGGCATTATCCGGAGCATATCATGCGAGTGCAACGGACCACTGCTTATGGAGGAGAGAGCGAACCTGGATTTATGCAAGTGACGACGCTGTGCGCATGAGATGATGCAGGCTTGGCAAAATCCAAGATACCGCATATAGGTACTGCTCTATATCCAGCTTTAGGTTGTTTATCGTTCAGCTAACCTTAGTTGTGTGATGACTAAGATTAAGCCAGGGGGAGGTATTATGCCACCAGGAGCCAGATATTGGGAATCGAACCCAACCTACTAGATCACTCGTACCCTTTATTTTAGTTTAACGGCTGGCCAAGTATAGGTCTCGACTCCATATAATAGGGAGAAGTCGTACTCTCGGTCTGCCAATCCTTATATTACCTTAGTTCCTAGTATTCCTATTCTGTTTCTGACTCTATTTCCCACTCCGTATCTCTATCCAGTCCCAGATGGTTAATCCCGTCCGTCTCAGGTTCAGGGTCCTCCTCTCCTGTACTCAGGGTTCTTAGCAGAAACCTTAGCCTATATATAATACTCAGTTATAGCAGGGATTCTCTCTATCTCTCTTTAAACTCTATCGGATTTATTTCCCGGTCTTAATATCTCTCTAATATATAAGCTACCCGGTCTGCTAGAACCTGGTTCTTAATTACTTCTCTATAGTTATTTCTAGCTATATCTGGTTCTTATAGTCTATAGTTAGATATAAAGAAGTATAATAGAAAGTTCTTCCAAATATACTATACTATAGTTTAGTAGAGAACCTTCTACTTTCTATTTTTAAGGTCTTTTATTCGGAATAAACTAAAGGCTATAAAGATAATAAGTTTATTAATCGTCTTTAGAGAAATAAATCTTATTTCCTATCCTATATTCTCTAGATCTATTAGAATTAGATTAAGCTTTTCCTAGATAGCTTTTATAACTATATATTCTAGCTATATATATTATATTATTAGATCTATTCTATAAATTAAACAAATTTGAAGTTTTTCTATTAACTAGTTCAGGTCTTTTCCTATTCTTATTCTATTATATAAGAAATACTATATTAGATTATCTATTTTCGGAATTCTAAACTCAGTATTTATAGCTTTTTATAATTGTTTCGGGATTTTAATTATCTTTATTAGCTTTTATAGTACTACTAGTAGCCTTATAGTTCTATTACTAAAATTAATACTCGAAAGTTTTCGATCTATTAGTACTTTATATATTTTTATAAACCTTTAGATTTAAGGGCTTTTTTTCTTGTTTTCTGCTTTATATCTAAAGATAAAGCTTAGTTAGAGTTAAGCTAGATAAATCCAGTTTTATATTCTTATTCTTAAGAAAACTTTCTATTTTTTTTAGAAAGGTTTTTTATAATTTTTCTAATACTTTTATACTACTATAAGTTCTTCTGAAATTATAGGCTTTACTTCTATAAAGTTCCAGATATCTTCTATTATCTTTTTATTTCTGACTTATATTTCTTTTTATATATCTAATCTCTAGACTTTAGGTTTTATATCTATTATTCAAGTAATTTATAGATAGTATTAAAAGTATATATTTAGTATATTATATATATTTTTTAGCTCTTTTATAATAGTAGTTATAGTAGATATTATAAGCTCTCTCTATTTACTTTAAATAAAAGCAAATTTATAAGATATAATTAGCTTAAAGTATAGTTACTATATCTATAGTATATTAATTGTTTTCTAGATTAACTATAAAACTGTTTTTACTTAAATATCTCTAATAATTAACTCTTTAGTAATTTAGATCTATACTAGCTATAATATTTATATTACCCTTATTATAGCTACTATAGCTAATACTATTACTACTATATTTAGATTAAAGTAGCCTAAACTTCTATTTTCTTTAGAGAAATAT